CATCCTCTATGGCCCAGGGCCAGAACTTTCCCGCCCTCAAGCTCGAGACGCCGCCACAGACTGACATGTTCCCGTGGAATCGCTCGCCAGATCAGCTGTCGGTCTGGAACGGCAACCTCGGCCAGTTCGGCGAACCACAGTCACAGACCTTCCAATTCCAGCCCAACATCACGCCACAGAATTTCAACTCTCCAACAGGAGCCTAGAGGGGAAGGATGGGTTCCAGTCCCACATATATCAACAGCGCCTGCTCCCCCAGATCTTCCCTGCCCATTCAAGAACGGGGCCGGGGAAGTCGTGTATTATACCAATATTTCCTTTATTTCTCTCAGCTTCCTATTGCGTACCTGTCTTACCTCGAACATCACGACATCTATCATCAGCGTCTCGGAGTTTTGACTTTCAATCGCTTCAATTTCTCTCTCTTTTACATACTAGCCGTGGGATTGAGCAACTTCAAAGCAATGCATTATCCCCAAATGTACTCTTCTGTAAGCATAACATATTGGAGTGAAGGGTACCTTGGACCGGTTTGGAAAGTAAGGAGGAGAAAAGGAGGATACCCCTCTCAAGTACATGGAAACCAGTCTTTGCTGTTTTCTCCTCTTATTTTCTTTCCTTTCCTTTTCCTTTTTTTTTCTCTTTTCTTTTCCTTTCCTTCTCTCCCCTGGGACGAAAGCGATATGCGGAAGGGCAAATGACTTGATCAGCCAGAGGACCTGGTTTGTAGGCTTTAACAAAACAAAATCATAAGGAGCTTTACGATGCCACCTGTCTTGCCTATTTTCACATGTGTTCTTCCTTTTTTTTGGGCCGGGGGGGGGGGGTGTTTTGTCTTGTTCGAGAACAGCGGGGAGTACTTGTACCGGAAATTGCCCGTAGTTTCAAAGGCACTACCAATACAAAGCATATTTCATATGCGTAAGGATCAAGCCTTTCTGCTTCAACATGTTTAGACCCTACGGTCTACTCCATACTATACTGCTTATTCTTTCCTGGAAGGGATTTCTTGAGTGGGGGTGGTGAAAAGATGCTCTAGCCATTTCTTGAAGAGCTTGAACCAAGTAACCCATTAGAACAAATGCAAGACCCTTCTTTGATCGCTTAGCTCCATCACACAGTAAGTTACATCGAGTAGAAGCAGCGCATGCTGTGTGCACATCTACTGTCATCCCCGGGTGTCCGCCTACAATCTTGAATCCAGGGGACATGTTCTAACGAATGGTGCTTTGATTTGTTCTTTTTCCTTTCTTTCCTTTTTTTTTTCTTTCCTTTCTTTTCCTTTGTCTTCTTTAGATTTCGTAAGGGGGGCCATCTCTGGAGAGAGGGCACTGGGAAGGAACTTAGTTTGGGGGGGGGGAGGAGTGAGGGGAAGAACAAGGCAAGCAGAAACAACAGTTTGGTACCGAACTTTTTGGTGAGCGTAGCATCGATCGACAGGGCCAAGATGTCTGCATCTCTTGTCTCTGACCCCCCTCCTTTGGATGATTGTTACCACTTCGGCGAATGGGGTAGGTACGGCCGTGGGTTGGCTGCCTGGGTGGTGGTGGTGTATCTTTGCTTGTGGTACAGTACTGCACGGCGCAGCTACGAGTATACTTACATAAGGTTTTGTTTTTCTCTCTCTCTGTTTGTTCCTCTCTATACTCCCTCCCGTCCCCCCCCCCACCCCCAAGGCCCCTTCTTCTTCTTCTTCTTCTTCTTCCTCCTTTTTTTTTTTTTAAAAAAAAAATTCTTTTTATTAAGAATACGGAAAGCTAGGCAGCTGCATCTGAGAGGGATACAAGGCAGAGAAGGGCGGAAGAAGAGGGGCAGAGGGAACAAATAATTCAACTGCCGATAGTTGAAAGTTTGCAAGCTTCATATGTCCGGAGCGGGGAGAAAGGGGGGAGAGGAGGAGGAGAAGAAAATGAGGAAGAAAAATTGAGGGAACACGTTGGGGTGGTGGTGGTGGTGGTGTTTGGTGGTGGCGGTTGTCGTGCATGCGTACCAGAGAAGGACTTTTTTTGGGTGATGCTGTGCGTCGTCTGCTCCAACAAACCCGCCCCTTCCCCTCCGGACCAGAGGAAGGGTTTGTCATTCTCCATGTAAAGGGTTTATTTCTTCCCGCCTATTATCTTTCAACCTTTCGTATGTCGACTGGCAGCACAGTGAGCTCGGTAGGAAGCACCACCGGTAGATAAGTAGATACTTGATGGAACAGAATTGTGGATCTGAGCCCGAGGCCAGTAAAGGCAGGCCAGCTGGAGAAATGTCCTTTAAATAGGGCCAGAGAAATGGTGAAGAAGGACGACCCGAGGGTAGGTAAGGGACGAAATGATATGATGCATCTTGGCCCGGGGGGGGGGGGCATAGGACGATGATTCACGGTAGTATGGAAACTGAACTAGGCCGGGGGGGGGGGGTTGCTACTCTCTCTAGACATTCATAACATCCTGTAGAAACAATCATATAAAGCCTATTTTTTTTGTCTCTTTCTTTCTTTCATTTTTCTTTATAAAAAAAGGAAAGGTAATGAATATTGCGAGAAGAGGAAGAGAAGGGTCAACTCAACGTATTTGCCCTATCTCTGCAGAACCCATTCATCTCATTTCTGCCTCAGTTTGATTATTTGTTTTCCTTCTTTATGCCCCTCGGCCCGAGGCAGGGATGACTTTCACAGGGACAGGGCGGGCTGTGGTAGGCAAACGTGCGAGAGAGAAGAAGAAGAAGAAGAAGCAGTCTATCCGTCGTCTGACCAAGAACAAATCGTATATGCATTATGATGGAGACATTGTCCAGAGAACAGGACAGGTCGTGAGGCGGGCGGGCGGCATGGTACGCCTGTTCACCCCAAAGAGGATGTCCCCGGGAGGAGCTGGCAGTGGAGTGATGCCACCGTCTCCGTGCATCGGCGGAAATCGCTCAACCTCGTGTTGTTTCTTGTTTATGCGGTGGCACCACGATTTTATAGCTGTCTGCTTCTCTGTAGAAAAAGTTCGTTCCAGGGCTCAACAGTAACATGAGTGCTGGGAAATATTTATTGAGAATGCAGAGAAAAAAAGTCCAATAATTGCAAGGGGGAGAAGAGTATAAAACGACACGACCCACCCCCCCCCCAGGCTACCGAGAGCTTCCTACAAGAAATACGCATATCTTGATCATATGCTTGAATGTGCATAATCACGGCCCACTCAGATAGACAGGCAGAGACAGACAGACACAGAAAAGAAAATCAAGGAGGAAGAAGAAAACAAGTCGCAGAGTATAGTTCCCACTCCTGGCAATCCTGAATCGGACCGACTTTCATTCTCGGCAGCCTCTCGGGCTCCCCACACCGCTCTCCCCCCCATATAGTCATACTACATACTATAGTACTCCGCATTTCAATTGTGTGGGGAAAAGATGGAGAGGCGAATGATCTAATGGGGAGACTTAGGCTTTTATCCTGGGGTAAACTAGTGGGGTCATTTTTTTTTTTTTTTTTCTCTCTCTCTCTCTCTCTCTCTCTCTCTCTCTCTCTCTCTCTTCCTTCTTTTGTGTCTATGACATGACATAGCACTGCTGCCACTACTTACTCACTCTCATTGCGATCAATGCATTCTCCTGATTCAGTACCTCGTAGCCACCCACAAAAACCCGGGAACCAGTCGACCTCGCCTCTAAACTAACGAGGCATCGTGAAGCGGACAACGGCGGCCAGAATATTCCCCGGGAGCGGAGACACAACTTGTCCGAGGTCGTCTCGTTTGCCAGGCCGGCGAGAATGTATTTCCTTCGGTGGGCTAGCTGGTGAGAAAATTGAATCCATCACGCGCTCTTGGTCGAGGGTATCCACGAGTGCCACGCCGGCGGGGCGTGGGTGTGGCAAGGAAGAAAGAGGACGAGATTCATTATGCCTTTGGACTTGTTGTAAGTGGTGTGTACAAGACATTGATGGAAGGTGTAATCAAGCTATCACTACTTCTGAAGTACGCGTACAGTAGCAAGTTCAGCCCTGCTCAAAATTACCACTGTCTGCTACCCATGAGGAAGGCATGACGGAGAACGAGAAGAGAAAAAGAAAAAGTGAGTGCAAGAAGAAAGAGCCAAGGCCACGGGACCTGGGATCCCATCCCTAACCTAAATCAACCGAGGCTTAACCGAACAAGCAGACTATAGTAATTAGGCAAAGAACTGGCATGGGGGGGGGGGGATCGACTTCCGTTTTTTTTTTGTCCTGCTTTCCTTTTTCCCTGCGTGGGGAAACCTGGTAATCCACGTTGACACTTGACATATCATTCCACCCCATCCAACAACGATGACTACTGGGCCAGGATTCTGGTTGGGAATCAGCACCAGGCAACTCTGAACGGGCGAGTGAGCATCTTCCTGGAAGGTCATCTGAAATCGAGACGAGGAGAAAGTCCCGATCATCCCGAGGTTGTTCCCCCCCCCCCCCCCCTCCATCTCCTCCTCCTTCACCAGCAACAGACCAACACTCAGACAGTCGTTCGGTCATACGAAAGGCAGCCCCACAGCACAGCTCATGATGGACTCGACGTCATGCCCACCTCCAAGAAAGAAAAGAAAACATAGCCATCCCGGCAGATACCCACGGGTCCCCCTGTTTGTTCAGCAGTAGCCTGCGGGGAAGAACACGCGGGGCGCACCTAGGCTAGCCCACGGAGACGGTGGATGTTCTAGGTTACTCTATCCGGTGTCTTGGGAATAAAACCACGAGAGAAAAGAAAAGGCGACGGAGTCTCTAGTAGAGCTAGGAGCCAAGGGGGAAAATGATCTTCAGGGCCGAAAGGCACAGCTAGTGGTAGTGAGTGGGGAGGGTCAAGAGAAGGGAAGGAGGACCCATGATGATGATCCATTGATCGTGATGGAATATGACTAGAGGGAAATATTTTATAAAAGAAGACGGAGACGCCGGCATCGTTCTGATTCTTGGGTTTCCTTCCTCCCCCCTCTCTTCAGGCTCACCACCAAACGTCACCTTCTTTTCTTCCACTCCCCCTTGTGGCAACAAAAGGATGACTTCCTCTTCCTCCTCCTCTTCCTCCCTCAAGACCCTGCTGGCGTGCTGCTCGCTGCTCGCCACAGGTTCTCAGGTGCATGCTGCTGCGGTTCACCCTCGGGACGGGGCCGTGCTGCGGTCCACCTCCTCGCCTACAGTAACGGTCAAGAATGGCTCATATGAAGGTGTTTATAGCACCGAGTATGATCAGGACTATTTCTTGGGCATGCGGTATGCCGAGGTACGTACATAGCCCTGTGTCCCGACCTCGTCATTGTCCTTCTTTTCATCTTACCTCTTCCTCGACCTCGCTCTCCCTTTTCCCCCTCTCCAGCTAGCCCTTTACTGACCAAGCCCTTCTCGTCGTCTATGATTACAAATATAGCCCGCACAACGGTTCGAGCTCGCACAGCCCCTGACAACAGCTTGGAATGGCACCCAACCGGCCAAGGTGTACCCACCGTCCTGCATAGGCTACGGGTCCGACGACACGGGCTACACCCTCTCGGAGGACTGTCTCTACCTCAACGTGATTCGCCCTGCTGGTATCGACGAGACGGCCGAGCTTCCTGTGGCGGTATGGATCCACGGCGGCGGCCTGTACGAAGGAGGCAGTGCCGACAGGCGGTACAACCTGTCTTTTATCGTGCAGAACTCGGTCGACCTGGGCACGCCCATGGTGGCCGTCTCGCTCAACTACCGCCTGTCTGCGTATGGGTTCCTGAGCGGCAGCGAGGCCCTCAGCGCGGGTATTGCCAACAACGGGTTCCGCGACCAGAGGCAGGCCCTGCGCTGGGTGAATGAGAATATTGCTGCGTTTGGTGGCGATCCGAACAAGGTCACCATCTGGGGCGAGAGTTCTGGTGCCGAGAGCGTCAACGCCCAGGTTCTTGCCTATAATGGTATGTCTCTATGTCGTACTTTTTTTTTTTTTATAAAAAAAAAATTCTTTCTTTGTATCTTTCATTCATTTCCAGAAGAAGAAAAATAGGAAAACCACTGACAAGAAGAAAAAAAAAAAAAAATAGGCCGTGATGATGGCCTCTTCCGCGCTGCCATCGCCGAGTCGGGCTTCGGAGGTACGCTCCCTCGCTACGCAGGCGGCTTCAACGCCACCGATGCCATGCAGGCCGTCTACAACACCCTCGTGGCCAATACGTCGTGTGCTGCCACGGTCAACACCACGGCCTCCCTCGACTGCCTCAAGGCCCTCCCCTTTGACGAGCTCGACGCCGCTCTCAATGGCACCGCCGCCTCGCCCTGGCCTCCCATGCTCGACCATGACTTCATCGCCGACTATCCCATCCACCAGCTCGCCGCTGGCCGGTTCCCCCAGATCCCCATCATGATCGGCTGCAACACTGATGAGGGCACCGCCTTTGGTGATGCGAGGGGCCCCAACGGCTCGGCCGTCAACACGGACGAAGAGATGCGGTATGCTGTGGAGAGCATCATCGGCGCCCAGGCCCCCGAGCTGCTGGGTCGTACCATGGACAGCATCATCGACGAGGCCCTTACCCTGTATCCTGACATTCAGGCCGTGGGCATCCCTTCTCTCGAGAAGTTCCCGGTCATCTTGCCAGGTGATGAGGTGGCTACTACACTGGGACTGCAGTACCGCCGGACGGGAGCCTTCTTTGGCGACTTGTACGTCTTTTTTTTTTTTTCTTTTTTCTTTTCTTCTCCATCCCTTCCCTTACCGTTTATGTGGAATAATCTTTACTAACGATTATCTCTTTCTCTCCATAGTGTGATGCAGTATGTCTCGATCCCGACACATATTCCAATTTCCCCTCTTTCAAGATCGACTCCTACAGACAGAAATAAGTACTGACATGTAAATCATAGATACCTTCGGCGCAGGGCATCCATCGCATGGTTCAACGCAGGCCTCCCCTCGTGGGCCTACCGCTTCGATGTGACGGTCAACGGCGTCCCTGACTACGTGGCCGCCACTCACTTCCAGGAGGTTGCCTTTGTCTTCGACAACACCCTGGGCGTCGGCTATGACGCAGCGCCCGACCCATTCGCCAACACCACTGCCGCTTTCCCTGCCCTCGCCAAGGCCATGTCCAATGCCTGGGTCAACTTCATCACGGGGCTCGACCCGAATGGTGCTGCAGCAACAGCAGCAGCAACAGATGACAGTGCCTGTGACAGTGACGTTGATAGCGACAGTGACAGTGATAGTGCGGCCGTCCTTCCAGCCTGGCCTCAGTATAATGCGACGTCTGGCGGCGGTGTGGGACAGAGCATTGTGTTCAGCGTCAATGGAAGCTATATTGAGTGGGATGACTACCGGGCTGAGGGGATCAACTGGATGATCCAGAACTCGCTGCCCCTGTTTGGTAACTAAAGTACCAAGGCAAGTGTGTTGTTGTCGAGTATACACCTCTCTGTAGCTAATTATATTAATTATATATATATATATATGAATAAGTAAGGACGAAAAAGAAGCCGACCAACGCCATTTTGTAGTCTTTTGCACTTTTTTATCTACGTCCACCCACTCACTCACTCTTCTATAACACACCCGGCTCCAGAATCTCAAAAGCATCCTGCTCCGAGTCCAACTTCACAGTTGCGTCCATGGGAATCGTAATCATAGGACTGGTATGCCCAAAGTCCACGCCCATTAAGACGGGAAACGCGCCAAACTTCTCATTCCGCACCCACTCGTTCTCGACCAGCACCTCCCTCACGAGCTTCTCCACGACCTTCCTCCCTTGCTCATCCCCATAGCCAAAGAAGCGGCCAAAGACCACACCGGCGACGCGATCAAAGATGCCCTGCGCCACCAGATCCGCCAGCTGGGACCGGATCCTCTCCACCGGCACGCCCTTGTCCTCATCAGACTCGGCCATGGCGGTCTCGAGAAAGACGACGCGGCCGTGCCAGTCTGGGTTGAGCTGGCGCACGCCGCCCAGCCTGACGACGAGCGACAAACAGCCGCCAAAGATACGGCCCTCTGCCCGTCCGGGACGCAGCCACGTCCAGCCCGGGTTGGGCGCGTACGGGGCGGGCGCCAGGGAGGCCGGGTCGGCGAAGTAGGCCGGGTTGGCGGTGCGCCACGAGGCAGCGGGGCGGATGGTTCCGACGGGCTGGTGGGGGCGGGCGATGGCGTCGAGGAGGTGGCGGAGCGAGTACGGGTCGGGGCGGGGCGCCTCGCCCAGCTCCGGGACGACGGTGGGGCCGTAGAAGGTGCGCAGGCCGCACTGGGTGTACAGCAGCCAGTGCAGGATGGTGATGTCGCTGTAGCCGACGAGGATCTTGGGGTGGGCGCGGATGAGGCGCAGGGCGGCCTGGTCGTGCAGGAGGGCGGGGACGAGCTCGGTGAGGGTGGTGCCGCCGACCATGCAGACGAGGGCGTGCACGGAGTCGTCTGCGAAGGCGGCGAGGAGCTCCTGCTTGCGGGTCTCGATGTGGCTGGCGATGGTGGTGGTGGCTGGGTCCTCGGGGTGGTGGATGGTCTTCACCTTGTAGCCCTGGGCCTCGAGGGCTTGGGTGGCGCGCTGGGTGGGGAGGGGGTGGGATTCGTGCATTCGTGCCGAGGGGGAGAGGAAGGCTATTGTGCCTCCTGGGGGCAGGGCTTTGGGGGTGATGATGAGGGTGGGGGAGGTCATTTTTTGTTAAAGAGGAGGATGGATGGATGGGTTGGGTTGGGTTGAGGTGTGGTTTGATATATTGTGTGGTGTGTAAGATGAGAGATGATTAAGTTGGTTTTGAAGTATTGATAGGAGTCGAGATGAGATAAGTAGATGGGAATTTGTTGTAGGCTTATATAAAACTAAAGAAACAGTTGCGTTTTATATCCATATATTATTATGACTACTCCAATATACAGATGAAGTTGTCAATAATGTCAAGTCTCGCATGTACAATAGGGCGTGGGCGTGCCTTGTCTGATTAATGTTGTCAGTTGGGAAATTGGTCATGTGAGACCCACACCTCCTCTTCCTCCTCCCACTGCCTATGTAGAACTTTTACCACATAACCTGTTTCTTCTGGCCGTAGATGGTATCCAGGACAGTCTGGCCAGGCAAGATTCATGCAGGTAAGATGTTGAATGCGGCTAGATGGATCCTGACGGGCACAACCCTGGTTGACACCTGGGCATTCTTGATATAAACAACAAATCAGAGGAAGGGGAAAAGAAGGAAAGGAAGGGAAAGAGGAAAAGACAAGAAAAAAAAAAAAAAAAAGGGCCAATGCAAACATATTCTTCAACTATCTGGACTGGAGCCTGAATTACAGAGTCATAATATATAGATTGTGCAAGATCGTTACGGTACTTGGGTTCATAACGCTAAATAAATGAGTGTTCAGAGGCGGGCTTCGGATTGTCGTGCATATTGAGCTATGCAGCCTTGACCGTCCACAGAGGGATGAAGAGAAGAAAGGGAATTGTAAAGATAGAAAGAAAGGACATACCCAAAGAGTCACCTGAAAATATATCATGCTAAAAGAAAAGAAAAAGAAATGAAACAGAAAGGCATAAGATTGAATATCGTTCTATATGCACAAATCTCACAGATCTCCGCTGTCTATGCTGCTCCTCTGATACCATCCAATTCATCAATACCATCTTGATTATCATTACCTTGATATTACTTTCCCGTTTGAGATGGTCGAGTCCAGCCCGGCCTCCACCCTTAGTTAATTCACCACCATCAAGTAGGATCAGAGCTGTACATAGACGACGCCCTTTCTTCCACATCTTGCAAAGAGCAAACCCTCATCCATGACAGCTTACGACATGCACACCAGCCAAACAAACACCCTCCTCCTTAGCGAGTCGGACCAACCCCATCTTTTCCCTCCCTCAGTTGCCAGTTCCCGCCTCAACACTCGTCTTCCCCCCTCTCTCTATCAAGCCACCCAAGGAACAAGCTGACATCCTTGGCAATGGCCCCAGGCACCGCCCTCGTCTGCACCCACATGGGCAGGACCCCCTTGGCATCACTCGCCGTAGCCATAACCCACTCGATCTGTCCCTGCTCTCCTCCTCCTCCTCCTCCTCCTCCTTCTCCCGTCTGAGGAGGAGACACCACCCGCCGCACCCTCTCCACACTCACATACGCACCCACCACAACCCCCTTCTCGGCACTCAGCTCCGCCCGCCCTTTCCACTCCTCCCCCTCCCCCTCCGCAGTACTGCTCCCCCAGTCTGAAACCGGCACGCTGATCACCAGAAACTCCTCTTCCTCCTTCTCCTCTCCTGCCTCCCCACGACCAGCATACGCAGAGCAGATGACCTGCAAGACAGGAAACACGCGCTTCTTCAAGGGCGCAGGGACCTTGTGCATCATCTCCACCACCACCATCCGAAACCCACCCCACCACCTCTTCTCTCTTCCTCCTGCTCCTGCTCCTGCTTCCACCTCCATCTCCACCGGCCCCAGCCCGGCCGCGCCCTCCCAGCGCACCCCAACCCGATGCCCCACGACAGTCGGCGTAAACGCCTCCTCGGTCGCAGCGTGCTCATCCCGGATACACCGCACAAACTCGGCCCACGACGCTGTTCCCTTGCGCGGGGCGTCGGCGTGCAGCGAGCGGCGGCAGGCCCAAGTATCGCCTTTGGTAGAGGACGAAGAAGAAGAAGAAGAAGAAGAAGAAGAAGAAGAAGAAGAAGAAGAAGAAGAAGAAGAAGGAATGGTTCTCTCGGTGAGGTGGACAGGCGCTGTGGACTCGGCAAAGGTCTTGGTGCCTTTGGGTTTCCAGAGTGGTTTGGGGTTGGCCGGGCCGCTGGGAGGAGAAGGAGGAGGAGGAGGAGGAGGAGGAGGGGACGCGGAGCTGATGAGGGGGATGGCTTCTTGGAGGAGGGAGGTGAGGAAAGGTTGGAGGGCCTCGGCCGGGGCGGTGGGGGAGGGGAGCTGGGTGGTTTTGAGGCCGCTTAGACGGAGTAAGGAGGAGGAAGAGGAGGGTGAAGAGGAGGATGGAGTGGTGTCTTGTTCTTGGTGAGGAGTGGCCATGTTTGTGTCTTTGTGTCGCGTTCTTTGTGTCTATTATAAGTTGAAATACTGAGATGCGAGAAGAACAAGGCAATGAATTAGAGTGGAAGACCAGTTCGTCTGTTCCGTTTGTGAGGAAAAGGTCGTGGGCGATTGACGAGCGTTGATTGACGAGTGTCGAGACGTGAGCCGCTTCCGAGCAACGCGCGAAGGGTATTTGTAAGTGATGTATGACGTTTTTTAAGAGAACCCTGAGCCGAGTACAACTGGACCTCCCAAAAAGGGCAATGAAGTGCTACTCAAGTAATTACAAGAACCTTCCCAACTCACACACAAGAAAGAAAGCAAACAATGAATCAAAGAACGAAGGGGAAGAAAACACAAAGTCATCGAGCAAGTCTTTCTTTTGTCTTTTTAAAGGGAAAAATGAAGAAGAAAAAAAAAAAATGGTCTGGACCCCGTCTTGAGGAGAACCTCGTCGTGGGACTGCGTTTCAGCGTTTCAGCCATGTCACCATCAACACTCGCCAGCCCCTGAAACGCAACACCATCACCTTTTTGTCTGTGCAAAGAGGGAAATGGGAGAACCGGCAGGACCCCTCGTTGTTACGGTAGCACGGGAGTGCCACCTGAGACACTGACAGAAAGCTTGACCTGACAATTTATCTCATATAGAAACGAGCTTACGTCTGATCAAGTCATTGATATTCCTTCAACAGAGAGGCATTAGAGATTATTATCTATCATAGTTGTGCGTGTGTGCATGTGTGCGTGCGTGAATCTATACAAAACCTCCCTCCAACCGAACTCTCTGATAATACAGAGCAGAGAGAGAAGCTAAAAAGGTGGAAAGAGGGAAAAAGAGGAGGAAAGCAGCAGCACAACCACCCCCACCAACCACTTTTCCTGACCCCCACACATTCAAGACCGCATTGATTGGTCCAGTTCTTGTTCTTTTTCCTTGGCGTGCAATCAGTCCGCATCTAACTCGTATGTACATAGCTCCAGTTCATCATATCTATGGGAAAGAGGAAAGACGACACTAAACAAGGAAACAAGAAAAAGGTCGGCTGACGGCGGATCCTTCTTAAGCCGTCTCCCGCTTCTCCCAAAAGATCTCGGCCGGCTCCTGGGCCTTGGAGAAGAGCGAGGCGTAGTCGGTGCCCGGCACCTTGCGGGTCGACCCATCGACGCTTCTGAACTTGAAGAGGCGCACAACATTGGCAATGATGGCCTGCAGCTGCAGGTAGGCAAACTGCTCGCCGATGCACCTGTGCCTGCCCGCGCCAAAGGGCAGGTAGGGCGACGAGGCGCCCTTGCTGATCATGCCGTAGCCGTAGTCCACCTTTTCTTCCTCGTCCTCGTTCTTGACGGGGAGCCTGGGCGCCAGCGACGAGTCGGCCCCCCACCGGTGTGGCTCCCACTCCTCGGGCTCGGGGAAGTATTCTGGGTCGTTGCCCGACACACCCGGGCTGGCGAGCAGGTTGTGCGTGGTGGGGATGGTGTACTTGGTGCCCGGGACGTGCATGGGCGACGTGACCTTGCGCAGGATGGACTGGATCGGGGCGTGCTGGCGCAGAGTCTCCTTGATGACGTTGGCGTGCAGGGTGAGCTTGGCCAGGTCCTCGTACTCGAGGGGCTTGTCGGCCGAGCCCAGCTCGCGCACCTGCTCCTGGTACAGCTCCTCGATAATGTCCGGGCGCGAGGCCAGGCGCAGCATGATCCAGGTCGATGTAGCCGACGACGAGTGTTGGCCTGCCATCAGCAGGGCGATCATCATGTGCGCGATCTCGTGGTCGGGCACGGCCTGGCCGTTCTTGTAGGTGGAGTTCATCAGGTGGAACATGATATCCTTGGCACCCTTCTCGCCGCTCTGGCGACGCCGGGCAATGGTGTCGCGGTAGATCTTGGCAACCGTCTCGCGAGCCTGGTCGCGGCGGCGGTTTCGGGGAAGCGGCGCCCAGGGGAGCATAAAGTTGATCGGGGTGAACCCCATGTCAAGGTCGTGGTAGAGGTCGGCCAGGGACTCGTCGAACTGGTCGCGGACAATCTTGCCCTGCAGACAGTGGGAGGCGGTGAAGATGGTGAGCTGGGCCATCTTCTGCGAGATGTCCACGACGCCTGACTGGCCCTTGAAGGCCGGGTTCTTCTTGAAGTACGAGTTGACCTCGTCCGAAATGATGGGCACGTATTGTCTAAAGGCCTCAGTCGTGAGGGTAGCCTTGATGAGCTGTTTGTTGGGGGAGGGGAGGAAAGAAGTCAGCAAGACGCTTCAACAGTCACACATCCAAGTAACTCTCTCTCTCTCTCGGAACAAGAACACACCCTCTTCTGCTCCAACAGCTTGCTGTTGGGGCAGTCATAGACGACATCCTTCCCAAAAACGGGCGTGGTCAGGACACTGTAGATCTCCTCGGCGTTGACATCCTTGTGCTTGCCGTTCAGGATGAACTCGTTGCCCTCGGGGCCGACGTAGACGGTGGTCTTCTTGCCCAGGAGGATAAAGGTAAAGATGTCGCCAAACTGCATGGTGAGGGCCAAGTTAGCGGATTTGTATGGCTTTGGGAGCACGACGCAGGAGGAGCCAGTCTGCTGGAATATCTGTGCATCTCAACGTCTGGTGGTGGGCTTCTCCTCACCTTCTTTCTGTTCTCGACAAAGAATTTAGGCGGGTCCATGCCGTATGTGATGGTGCTGCCGATAAAGGGGAACACGTGGAAGACGACAGGCGGCTCATTTGGGTTCTTGAAGAAGATCTGCTTGGCGACATTGACGGCGACAGACACGGCGACGAGGCCGGCAACAAAGACGACAACCTGGAGCGGCGTAGACAGCTGGGAGTAGTGATGGGACAAGGGTCCCGCCACCTCCTCGAGAAGACCCATGATGGGCGTTGTATTGTGTTCTTTTTCCTTGGCGCGTAAGGGGGTCAGAAGTCGAAGGAGGAAGAGAAGGAGGGTGGTGGTGGTGAGTCTCAAAGAAAAAGAAAAAAAGTGGAAGAAAATGGGAGGGGAGGGTTTGACGGTGGGAGAGAGAAAAGGGGTGGATGTAAGGAGGAAAGAGGACGGATCAAGACGAGGGTGAGGATGGTTAAGTAGTATCACCAAAACGTAACAAACCAGTCGCGGTCACCGTTTCTTTTTTTTAGTGACGATCTCTAGCACCACCCATTAGTGGTGGTTTAGGAGCAGGCTACTGGCCAGCCAAGCAGCAGCATCCCAATTTTTAGGGGGTCCACCCCCTGTGGGGTGCAAATCCCAATTGACCAATCAGCACGACCCACCTGCCCCATGTACAGGGCACATCGAGGACGATATTTCTCGTCCTAGGCCTCAAGATCATGCCATTGCACATCCCACATCATCTTGCATGAACTGAGGAAAGCTGTGGTGATCTGTCAAAGGTGGGAGGGGGCCCTCGAGGAAGCCCAGTTTTCTTTTTCGTTTTCGTTCCTTTTCGTACGGTTGCGTGGGCCCTTTTCCCTTCCGTGGCACCAACTCCTAACGGGTACACGGTACATGTATACAACCCGGACCCGAATACGAATAAGATTACAGAGGACGATAAGGTAAAAGAGAGGGAGGGACAACTCTCTGGAGGTATGTCAGGGGCCTAACACCAGCCAACCAATCAACGAACGTTTGGTTTCTGATGTGTCAGCATACATCATTTATACATGCTATGTCCTCCTCCTCCTCCTCCTCCTCCTCCTCCTCCTCCTCACAACAATCCAAAGCACATCGTTCCCTCGACTCTTGCATCAAGTAGATTGAAGATTTATAATTTTGTCCAGCGAATGTAATCTGCTACTCTCCTCTTTTAGGAACAGCACACAGGATGATGGTATCATAAAAAATAAAAGAAAACGACTTTGTCCAAAAGTCGGACCAAGATGCTCCTTGGATCAAAAACCATCCAACGCCATGACAATGCACATCCAGACTAGACGCCTCGTTCCTTCCTCCTTCCACGTCCTTCTCCTCATCGCGCCTACCAGACAAACCCACTCCATCCAAAATTGCCATCCACGTTCCTCCACTGCCCCTTCTCAAACGCTCTCTCCTCTCCCATCATCACCGCCAACAGCCGACATCCCGTCGCGCTCACCGCACAAACCACACCTCCTCCCTTTGTCTCCGCCAGCACTGCCAGGTCCATCAAGTATGCCCTCCCCATGTAACTTCGCAGCCTCGTTGTGTCCTCTGAGGGCGTCACTGTTGTTGTTGTCGTCGTCGATGTCGATGCACTACTTCCTCCTCCTTGTCCTCCCAAGTTCCAAAACATGGCCCCAAAGAAACCTCCCTCCCATCCAAACGTCTCCTCCTCAAACTTGTGCATGACATACTTGTTCGTCTGCTTCTTTTTCTTCTTCTCCTCTTGTTCCTTCTTTTCCTTATCATCATCCTCCTTTCCCGCCAGCCGAATCAGCTCCTGGGCTCGCACCAGATCCTCCCCAGCCCCAGTAAACTCCTCCGCCTCGTAAACAAGCGGATCATCACTCGCTAGAACCACAAGACTGGCGTTCCTTGCTGTCTGGTTCTCGTCGTCGTCCTCGACAACCCCAACTGCTTCCAGCACCTCTCTCGCCGCCTGCGCATACGCCGTCAGGGGAATGTACGAATCCGCGTACTGCGCCTCAAAAGGCCGCCTGTCCCCACGTCGCACATGCACACCAACCGCCCTCCCGTCGCTGCGCACAGCGTGCTCCTCCACGCGCTGTGCCACGTAATCTCTGTCCTGCGCACCCAGTCGGAACAGCGCCTCGTATCCTTCTCTTGCCAAGGCGTATAGTGCCTTCTGGCCAGGTCGTTGGGCCAGGGAGAATCCTTCGACGTACACCTCGTCCGGGGCTGCATCATCGGTAACCAGCACCTCACGTGCAGTCGCCGTAGACACGACGAGATGCCGAGCTTGGCGCGGGCACGGGAGCCGCTCATGTGCCGGAGGAGGCCGACAGTCGGGAGCGGGAAGCGTCTCGAAGAGCGAAGTATACTCGCCATACGCCCAGCGCGTATCGTCGATGAAGAAAGTCCGTCCTTCCCTCTTGGCCGTGCCGTACGCAATCCACAGCGCCATAAGCGACGTTCCCAGCCCTGCGTCCTCGGACTCAAGCACAAAGGTCAGGCTGGAGGCGCAGATCCGTTTTTGGCTGAGGCTGTGGCCGTCGACGCCTAGCTTTTCGCCGTTCTTGCCGGACCCTTTGCTGCCTGGTGTGGTTGGGGGCAAGAGGCGCTGTCCTTCTGCCTCGCGGACGTCGACGAAGTGTTTGTCGTTCTCGGCCGTGTTGGTAGCCTCTCCTCTGCTGCTGCTGCTGCTGCTGCCAAGGCCGCCGCTGCCCAGCATGGTAATCTGATCAATGCCCATAGCCTTGTGCGAGTGCAGCCCCTTCACCCGCGAAGAAACCTCCCTGCATTTGGCACACATATCCGTATACTCCCTGGGTGAGAGTGGGAACCCAAGACTCTGCGGAATCGACACGGTCCACTTCGCCCTTCCCCTCCGATCTGTCACCACGACAGGCGTCGGGAAATCAGGCAGGCTGTCCTGTCCGATCATCTCATATTCCCGCCTCTCATCCCACTGCGAAGCAGCCCACTCAAACACATCCGAGACAACGACGGCAGCGCCGTCATGCTGCTGAATGGACCTGCCCGCTACGAAGAAGAGCAGGACCAAGCCAGACAGCCACAGAAACCACCGGATGACCCGGCTGGGCCGTGGCGTGTTGGAGGATTTTCTCCTCTTGCGCGGGGCCTGTTGTGGTAAAGGCAAACCCGGGGACGGCGGCGGGGAGTGAAAGGCGAGGTGTTCGAAGCCGAACCTGGAGGAGCTGGAGGATAACGGGCCTCGGTCTGCGGCGTTGTAGGAGGCGGCCCTGCGCAGGTTGATACGGGGCGGCGAGACTATCATCTTGGTTGGTGCCATGCCGCCGTGGTGGGTGACTGTTAACATGGGAGGAGTCATCTTCGACATTGTGTGTGTGTGTGGGGGCCCGCCGGTATAAGAATAAATGAAAAAGGCCCGAGGAGGGCCAGCCGAGAAAGAAGAAGGGGAAAAAACAGAGTAGAAACAGAATGGTGATCGTCCTTGTTGCCGTCACTGGCCCACCAGGAAACGCAGATCGCAACGGAGAGGCCCGAGAACAGTAGCAACAAAAGTGTCAGAATAAGATTGTGGAGACGACACAGACGTCGGATAAGTAGCAAGTAGACCGACCCAGTGTCAGGTCAGGACGGCGGTGATGAGAAGGAAGCCGTAATCAAAAGCTGCGAGGAGAGGAAGAGAGGAGAAGGATCTCTTGACCAAGCCAGTTCTGTTGTGTGATGATGAAAATGGTGGAACACAGAGGCGAGTCAAGGTCCCTGACGACGATCGCCGGCTTGGTTCACCGCGGATGGGGATTGACGAGGCTGTGTAAGCAGGTACTGTACTGTTCCCTACAGTAAAGTAGTACACAGCTTCACCCGAGTCAAGTCGAATGAAATGAAGTGGCTCAGCCGAGGAAAAGAAGAAGAAACAAGAAACGAAAAAAGACACAAAAAAAAAGGATGGTCGATCTACTATGTCATGTCTCGATAGATCCACAGGAAACTATAGATTCAGGGATAGTAGGAATATAAGACAAGAACAGAAAACCCCCCTGGATCATGGATCATATGTGGTAGATCAGACGAAAAAGGCGGGGGGGTTGGGCAATGAAGGGAGGAGGAGGATGAGAGGAGGAACGTCTGTGTGTATGTGCGCCCGCGTGATGGCGACGATGGTGATGGGAAGGAGAAAAATCCTTGGGAGGACAAGTCGTTCTAGAAGAAACGGGGAATTGGGCAGGTTAATCTCATTTCAGATGTTCCTGACCCCCCCTCTCTTTTCCCCTCCTCTCTGGATTCATAAGCTGTGAATGGGCAAACCCATACTTTTCTGGGCCGAGCGAGCACACACCATACACACACACACACATACAAAAGAGGGAGAGAGCATGCTTGTTCACCATTCTCATTCGCTAGCCGACAGTCCACTCGAGCTCCTCACCTCATTGAATTCTACCCCCCCCCCCCCTCTTCAGTCCTCGGTGGGTGGCTGTCAAGCTTATGCGATTTAAGCAAGCCAGTATGTTTCAGATGTTCGAAAAGGGAGCCCCTGCAAGTCCTACACCACGAGAAAAACCCTTGCTGCCTTCCCTCTCTCTTCCTCCTTCTTCTCACCTAATATTTAATTGAGCTTTTTTCCCCCCTTCTTCCACAACGGATCGTAAACGGGGTCCCTAATTTATCCGGTGGTCGGAAGTGTCGGCTCAACTTTGTCTGAAAGGAGAAGAGGCATCTTCCAAAGCAAAAGCTTCTGTCGTCGTCCTGAGTGGCGCGTTTCTGTTTGACAGGTGGGAAACAAGGGGGGGGGGGGGTGTGGTGGTCCAAAGGTTCGAAAGTGGATCGCCCACGATGTGGCCGAGGTTACCTTGGGGGCTTTTTTGCCCTTCATACGTTGATGGGGGCTGGTGCGCCGCGTCCCCCTTCCCGTCTAATGTATTGTGGAAAACCCCACCCCTCCTCTCCCCAAAAGTTATGCTGGTAGCCGTTTGTGGTGGTGGTGGTGGTAATGCCTCTCTCTCTCTCTCTCTCTCTTTTCGCACGCGCGCTGTGTTTCACACGACGTTTGCATTTGATTGTTTGCCCCGACAGAGATGGATGAACCTCCGAAGTCTTCTACATAGCATATCCCCGCTTTGGATCGACCTGTTATAGTAACGGGTTGTTTATCCCCTCTCAACTTTTTGCCCGAGCACTGAATTGATCGTCGGGGTTCTCCTGAAAATCAACGTGATCTAGTATGTCTCTCTCTTCCCCTTCAGAGTAAAAGAAGAACCAAAAAAGGAGAGCACCTCGACGCTGCAATGAGAAAGGTTTGGTTAACTTCCACAAAAGTGGTACGTGGCTTTTGGTTTTTTTTTTCTCTTCTTCATTCTTCCGCTATAGTTCTCTTCTTTTCGCCATCCCTTCCAGAAAGACGCCCCGAGACAACTATCCCAGAACAGGCAAGATGGACTCAAGACAAAAACGTACCCTCTCTTTTCCTATTTGCCAACCATTCTCTCATCGCCATTGCCCCCCTTGTAATCCCATGAGAGAGAATGTTCCATATTTAAAGAGCATATGATCAACACAAGGAAAGCGGACCAAAGAGAAGACACGCATGCACATACTATGGTATATACGCCGAAAAGTGGGGAATCCAAGACAAAAGCCAAAACGCGCACACATGCACACGCAACACACCTGCTGTGCCTCGTGCGATTGGCTCTCGTCTACAGAGGGCTGTGTCCGTCGATCCCCCTCTCTCGTCGCAGAGTGAGTGCGTGTGTGTGTGTAAGTGAGTAAGAGAGACAGAGAGCACTCATTCCCCCGCCGCCTGGCCCATCTTGTTTTTAAACTTTGTGACATCGTCATTGTCCTCGAATGAGAGAACAAGTCGTGGTCAGTCACAGTCACTCGGTCACACGGAAGGGAAACGGGGACAGACGGATGCAACTACACCAGCATCAGCAAGAGAGGTTGGGCTAGCAGGGTTGGGCCTTGGACCGAGGATGAGATTTCGAATGGCAAAAAAGGACAAGAATTGAGAGCGGCGCTCCGGCGGGGGGGGGGGGGGGGGAAAGGTGTGGGGTGGATGGATGGACCCTTGCTTGTTTCAGAATTATTGTGGAAAGTATCGACATCCTCCAGGGTTACCTAATTATTTACTTACCCACTAAACCAGCCGCTGTCAGGCATCAAAATGACACAACGCCTCCTATGCTCTCTGTCTTTACAAAACAAAAAAGAAAAAAAAAAAAAAAAAAAAAGTGCAAATCAAGCCTGACGAACCCTTTTCACTGTACATAAGTCTGCATAACTCATACACACCCTCCCCTCCCCCCCCTTTGTCCTTGAAACCCCTATTCGGATTTAAAAAGAAGCGAAGAAATCATTCCATATAATCCCCACCCACTCCCACAAGTACTTACCTACTACTAAGTACTTACTCAGACCGAGAAGGAGAGGGCGGGTGCATTAAGAGGGAGCCTCGTCGTCATCCACTGCGCTACGGCTCAGCTTGCCAAACAGCGACCACGTAAGAGATAGAAAGAGGAAGGTCAATAGGGAACAGCATAATAAAGTTTATGGAATAGTCTACCATACTTGCATGGTCCCCCACACCCCCCGGGCTAGCCCACCACTACTACATCGTCATCATTAAGCACGCGCCCAAGTATTCCTACCCAAAACCAGACCACAACTAAGTGAAATGAAAAAGAAAAGATGGATAGAAAAAAAAAAACCTGGTCGATATGTACAGCAGTAGGACCTCACAATGAAACCCAAGGGGATTGCAGTCATTTCGCCACCACTTCCCACCAGTACCACCGTAGACTGGGGGTGGATGGCGCGTTATGTTGACCAAGCCACGGGCTACAGCCTATAATCTCTACGGCCGCATTGCCGCCACACCCGAGAAAGCTTTTTTTTTTGGGGAGGGGGGGGGTTGATTGAATACACATTATATTTGAGGGCCAGGCAAAACAGCGTGTGTGTACAGAGGAGCAGACACTGGTGTACAAAGAAAAAAAATAATCGAGACATTTCTGATCACACCAGGGCTGTTGCTCCACCCCCTTTCCCGGCCTATAGGATTTCGTACGAGCTTGGACCGTTGGCATTCCATCACTCACGCTGGGCCCGAGGTGCACTGCACTGCACTACACCGTGGTGTGTAGCACACACACCCACACACACACAGAGGGAAATGTCACAGATACAACACAAGACACATACAATACACACGCACGCACATGCACACACAATGAACCATAATCTATCTGTACATGCACAGAGTTTGGGACTGCTCGCTTCATTCCTCGTGCTTTTTTTTCCCCCCTTTTGCTTTTATCCATCCTTCGTCGACAGTATAATTGACTGACGGTGGAAGAATGTAATACATGTACCTATGAATGTAGCAAGGATGGCTTCGCTCGTTCATAAAAGAATTTCCTCCTTTCCAGGCTCAGGTATTAGCAGCATGTCCCGGTGGCCGCCACAAGAATCTTCCATCGCTGCTGGGTCCCCCCCCCCCTACTTCTCTGTTCTCTTCTCCATCTTCCGTATTCTGATTATTACTATCGTGTCATTGCCGTGAGTGATTGTCTCGTCTCATAACCCTCTGGCTGCCCTGTCTTCTACCGTACAAGCAATTGGACCTCCGCCAAAAGCAAAAGAACCCGAGGAAGCCAAACCCCATCATCTCACCACAAAAGAGACCAAGGGATAGAGAGAGGAAGAAAGTATGTGATTGAAAAAATAAAAAATAAAAAGGAAACAAATTTGGGTATAATGAGAAGAACAACAAAAACAAAACGAAGGTAATAATAATACTTAGAAAGCTGGTCAAGTAAGGCGACCGAAATAGCATGTCAGTCCCTTTCTCCCAAAAACGCCAGCAAGTGAACCATTCCATTCGTTCATGTCCCCGGGGAGGAAAAAAAAAAAAAAAAAATCCCACCGAAATGAGCCAATTCCGTCGCCGTCCATGCGATGGGGGAGACAAGTCAGCTTTACCGCACTCTCTTGTTGTCCTTTCCCGTTTTGTTAGATTTCCTTTTGAAGAACCTGGATGCGGGGAGCGATGGCCTCGACTTCCAATGGGCCACGTTCTCGTTCTGTCTTCCACTGTAATCTCCCTGTAGAGAGAAAATTGATGATGCTGACCTGTCCTGCTTGTCCTTGTTTGAGAAAGAGGACCGGAGGCCTCGGACCGAGCCACCTGTCTGGATCCACCGCCGAAAGTTATGAATGCTCTAAACCTCTAACACGACCGGCCGTCGGCTGCTCTCGCTGCTCTGTCGCAGCGGCTCGATGTCGACCGCTGGCTTCTCTTGGCCGCCGAGGGATGCTGGGATACGCACGCTGCCTCGCACGCTCTTTGTGATCTGGCCCTGATCGACACGGTCCTGGATCATCTCGTCCAGCATGCGCGATACCTCGTCATCACTCTTGCGGAGCTTCTTGGGGGATGGTCGAATGATGCTCGGGAACATGGCACGTGGGGGGCTCGCCGGCGATGGTGGGACCGAGGGACCGGGGCCGTCCAGACGCGGAGACGCGCGGGAGTCGGCGTTATCCCGAATCCTCGCGGCGCTGCGGAGCGCAACCAGCATCCTGTCTTTGTCCTCCAGCTGTGCGCGGAGCTCGGCGATCTCGGCATCCTTCTCCTTCATGACGGCCGCGACGCTGTGATCTTCGCCCACCATAATACCCTTGCTGCCAGAGGACAGCCCGATCGATGTCCTCGACGAGCTCGTCCGCCGCGCCTGCAGCAGTCGCTTCTCGAGCGTGGCGATGTACCGGTTCTTGTCCGCAAGGTCCGCCCGAAGCGCGCGATTCTGTCTCTCTAGCGGTGCCGTCCCATCGCCGTTCTCGCCCAGGCTGTCGGACTCATCCCCCACAGACCTCTCGCCACTCGATGTGCGGTGGTCTGTACTAGGCCGCCGACCGATTGTGGATGCTGACGAGGCGAGGGATGCTGTTCTCTCCAACATGGGCCTGCTCACCTGGGACGCTGTCATGGAGGACCGTATCGAGACCTGCGAGAAGCGTGGGTGGTTGCTCAGCGAGCTCCACGTCCCGCTGGCATTCACCCCGATCGACCTCGAGCTGAGAATTAGCTTGTTCAGGTGGTCTATGCGCTCCTTGAGTGCCGTCCGGGCAAGCTGCATCTCCAACATTTGCTCCTCGTGTCGCGCTTCTGCCTCCTTCTCACGAGCGAGCTCCTCCGCGGCATCGCGCATCTTCTCCGCGTCGTTCTCGTTGGTAGGGGGCTTCTTGGACTGCGAGTCGAGCTGCGCCTTGAGCTCTGCAATCTCCATGCGGTATCGCTCCAGGAGCACCCTCGCGCCGCCCTCACCACCAGCACCCAGGGCCTCTTCCGCGCGCTTCGCGTTGCTGACGATGCTGTTCTTGGCCCGGGATGCAAACTTCAGGGTGTTGATGGTCTCAGAGGTCTGGGTGTTGGAGGCTGCAGCCCCAGAGGCGACCTGGATCGTGCAGAGGATGCTGACGAGGGAGTTGCCGGAGAGGGCGCCCTGCAGCAGTCTCGTGAGCTTGCTGTCTCGGTAGGGCAAGTGCTTGCCATCCTTATCACCACCGCCCTTGCCGTCCTTGTCCTTGTATTCGGACAATTTCGAGATGACCGTACCGAGAGTCAAAAGACTCTTGTTGATATGAGAACCCTCCGTCCGCCGCTCCTTGCTCTCGGCAGCCTTTTCTGAACCTGCCAGGTCGATCAGGCTCAGGGTCGAGACACGTACGCCCCCAGGGAGGATGGCTGATCGCTTGGAATCCACACCCGATGCATTGACGCCCTGTATGCGTTCTCTGCTCTCGACGACAATCTGCACGACCGCGTGGCTTCGGGAACTCCGCGAGTTGAACTGAGTGCTCGCAGTCCTGCGCGCCTGGTCACCTCGGGCGATGACGCGCAGGAGCTGTGTGGGGCTCTGCACGATCTCCTCCTTGAGGGGGCTCGCATAGACACCCCGCTTGCTATCCTCGCGTAGTTTAATCTCCTCCTGCGTTACAGCCCCGCCAACACCACCGTTGGTCGGCATGCTGAGCAAGTCATGAATCTTCTCGTTGTAGATCTCCAGGTAGCTGACCCTGAGCAGGAACTCTCGGGAAGGAGTTTCGCGAATGTACGAGAAGATATCGGTGATGGCCAGGGGTATCACACCAGGTGATGACGCAGTTCCTTGCATCGAGAACGTCTTGCCGGTGCCCGTCATACCATATGCAAAAACAGTTCCGTGATAACCCTCCATGACACGACGGACGAGCCGCTTCGCGATATGATCGTATACCCTGGAGTTGTCGTCGTGTGTCGTGAATACGTTGTCTGTGAATTTAGAATCAAAGGGTTAGTTGGGAGACCAGGCAAGACATACGTCTTCCTTTGTAATCATTCAGAGAAAATCCATACCGTAATGATAGTCACCAGCCCCGTCCTTGCCTCCGTAGGTGATGGACGATTTGCGTCCGTCAACCAACCATTCACCATCCGACCGATGGTCTTGGCCTCCCGCATCTGGCCTCACCCTCACGCTCACAAGAACGTTGCCCTTGGTGTCCGACTTGGACTGGCGCTTGCTAGAGACATCTGTGCTCGCCTTGGGACCGTCATTGTCGTCGTATGTGGTTGCCGAGGTAGAGTAAGAATCCTGTGCCGAAGAGCTGCGGCTCTGCGGAAGGGAAGATACACTAATCAGGCCGTCAGAGAACCGTATGCTTCCTCTTCCCACAGACTTGCCGTCGCCAGAGCCATTCAGCAGGCTTGGCGTCCCACTCGTGTGGAGGCTTGTCGAGCTGGGCACCTTGGATTTCCGCGAGCCAGACAGAGGGCTTGGTGGTACGCTCGAGTTCCTGGTGTCTCCACGAGGGGGTTGAGGGAAGGCGCTGATGCTAACTGATTTCCGCAGCGCCTTGGAAGAACTATTTGCGATTGTTGCTACTGCTCGTGGTTGCGGTAAGGCGGTCGAAGGAGCTGGTGAGGTCGGTGGGGGAAATAATGTGGATGATGGGGCTCGCAGGCCCGTCCTTGGTGTGCCCGTCAGCGATCTCGCCGGCGTTGATGGTCCTTGCAAGCCTGAAGGTTTCCTCGTCTTGCCTACAGGCAGTGCCGGAAGGGCCGTGGTCGGTGGCCCGCTGATAGACCTCGGGGTCTGGGGGATCGCAGTCGTCATCTTGAAGACCTGGAAAGGCTACCCAACGGCAGCTTTTCTGGTCGAGGGATGACAGAGCTGCGTTATCGGCTGCACCAGGGATAGGAAGGTCAATTGGTCACTAGAGCCTAGTTGTCGTGTTATGGTGTCGCCTTCTTCCGTCTCCTGGGGAGGGAAACGCCTTCTTTCGAGTGAAGGCGTACGGTCGGAAGGAGCAATCAGGCGCAAAGAAGATAATGGTAGACCAATATTTCGTGATCGCCCCTAAAGAGGGGAGGAGAGGGAGATAACCTGGTCGACACAGAGGAAGCAAGCCCGCTTCCATGAATCAACGTCCAGCTAGGGTGAGTCAGACAAGGAACGTCGAATAGGAGAGAGGCCCCGTCATGCAGACGACCGACGCAAATGGTATATGGAACGTTTTCGTCTCGGAAGTAATCAAAATTCCCGGTTGACAGATCCCAAGCTCGACGCCGAGGAAAGCGGGACCTGGGTTGAACAGGGTAGAGGGCAGTGAAACGACTTTATGCGCACACACAGCCACCAGGATCCCTAGCAGGCCCAGTCAGTCTTGATTCTCTATTGTGCCAGATGCAAGACAGGGGAGCAAGCAATGCAATATCTCTCAAGCACACATGTTGAGAAAGGCATGAATGTGCAGAGGAAAAAGGAGATGGAAAGATGGCGCTAAGAAATGTTCAAGTAAGGGCAGGTGAGACCACAGGAAAACAGATTTCAAGTGTCGTGTGTGGAGGTGATGGTAGTAGAACAAAGAAGGTCCTCCCTTTGCAGAAGGTGTGCGGAAGTGGAAGCAGATCAACAGATCCCCCGTAAGACAAGCAAGGGTTTTCCAAAGTGGTTGTCCAAGAGGTCATAGACTCAGGAGGAAAAAGGAAGGGGGGGGAGGGGTAAGGAAACGTGTGTGTAAGTCCCCGGTTTCGCGTACCTATCGTGTTCAGGGGATCTCCTCGTTCCTCCCTGCGTGATCAGAGACGACGGTCCAGGGATATGTCCTGTCTTTATTTGGAGCTTAGTCCGGAGAGAATCGTTTAACCTGACACGACTCTGCATGCGGTACGCCGTGCCAACAGAATAAGTAGTCGAAACGTTCAAAGTTTTGCGCAGCAGTAGCCGATGAGAAGAAGGGTAGAATAGGTTCTGAGTCGCACAAAAGTTGCCTGCGGCGGGTGGTGATGGTGGTACGGGTGGGACGTGCGTGCCACGAGCGAGTCGGATCGCCAGGAGTGCAAAGAGTGTGGGCGCGCAACGAAAATGAAAAGTCTGTATGTGCAATGACGATAGCAGGGGCGTTGGCTGTTGTGCTGTCGGGAGAAGACGACTGGTTTGGTGTGGTGAGGACCAGTGCACCACGAACTTGAAGGGAGGATATCGGTGAGCCAAGCGACAGCCCCTGACTAACGGCAAGGCTGGTTGGAGATCGTCGTTGTGCTCTAGTGTTAGGCGGCGGCTACTTGCAGCGAGCTTGAGCTCGAGCCTCGAGATCCAGACTCGGGGAGTCGGACGGGACGGGTAGGCAGGCGGCTGTAGGTGCCAGAGCGGCGGGAAAAGAGTAGACGGGATGCGAAAGTATTGCCCGTCAAGATTGACTGCGCACAAGAGAATGAGGGATGCTAGCAGATCAAATCGGCTGCATCAATGCGCCTATACACTAGAAAAGAATATGTAGCAGCGCGTGATCGTAGTCGTGGTCGTCCAAGTTCGGTAGCAGGTAGCACCAACAGTTCAGTCGTAGAATCGAGGTCCAGTCTCAACCAGGTCCAGTGCCTGGAGCGTCTTCGTGTCCGTGCCAGTCGGGCTGGGGGTGAATGAGGGGCCGATCAGGTGCCGATAATGGGAGTTTTAAAAGAGACGAAGGACGGGGAAGAGTCGAGCAGTGACGAGGGAGGGAGAAGGAGAGACGACACGAGAGACAGTCGAGTGGCGGTTCGAGATTCAACCCAAGAGTTTAGAAGGAAATGAGTATGAATGTGGAGTGAAGGAAGTGGCGCTGGCGCTGTGGGACTAAGGCTGGTTCCGGCGAGATGGCCTGTGCGGACTTGTGTGTGTCCCGATGGATAAAATTTAAAATAAAAAAAAAGAGAGAGAGAGAGAGAGAGTGAAGAGTGTAAAGAAGTGTGATGTGTGATGTGATGTGACGAGATGAGATGAGATTAGATGATAAGCAGATATGCCATGTCAGTCATGTCATGTGGCATTCAAGTCCGAGTCGAGTCGGGGTCGAGTCCAAATTAATGCCCAATCTTGGTTGATCTTCCTTTTGGACGAATTCAGACAAGATCGTGAGGAAAATGTAACGCAACACGAGAATGAAGACACCAGAGGAGAGACTTGAGTCGGATTGTTGCAAGCCACGTCGCAAGTGTATGGTGGTATTGGGTCAATCAGAGCAGCGCAATCAGAGACCTTGCCGTCCAGTGATCACTCGAGTGAGGCGAAGGACGAGAAGGGCGAGGAAAAGCAGGAGTAGAGGCGTATGGAGGCGGTAGAGTTAGTGGTGTTTGTTGGTCGGGTTGGATGAGGTTAAGGTTGGGGTGAAGTGGCACCTTGTCCACATTGGCCAGCACAGCCCAAAGCCCACAACCAGCTCAGCACGGCCAGCTCAGATGCGAGCAGGTCGGTGAATCGATTCGAAATCTCGAGATGCTACTATGTACTACTACGCAGCAGCAAGTCGGGGGGGGGGGGGCGTGTTCGTGGTGGTCAATGGTGATGTAGGATCGAGTCCAAAGGGTTCAGACAAATCATGAGCACGAGGATGGAGTATCCCCCCCTCTGTCTTTCTCTTTTCTCTGTCTCTTTTTCCCTTGTACCCTTATCCTATTCGCGAGCGACGAGACGACCACGGCACGGGACGAAATGACACGGTCAAGGCGTGCGTTGTGAATGGCTCGAAGAGGGAGGGGGTGGTTAGGATGAGGCGTCGATGGGTGTGTGGGTTTGTGTGGGTTAACGGGTGGCCTTTGGGTGACAGGCGAGCGAAACAGGTCCCTTGTTCTCGCTCGACGAGAGAGCAATTTGGATGATTCCCGCTGCGGGCAGGGGCGCCCCTGTAGCTTGTCCCTTCCATCCCCTGTCAAACCACAGGCGCCGCCTCTCTCAACGATCCGGTGGAGGTAGGCACGATGGGACCAGAGGGTAGGCTGCTGAGGTAAGGCACTCTATTTGCCCACATCATGATCGTCATTGGGGGGTTACCTCACTAAGTAGGTAATGCTAGAGGGGTGGGGGCCCACTAGCTGAAGACCACTGGGGGGATCTCTTTCTCTTCTTTTTAGGGGATTGATTCTCCTCTAGGGGGTAGGGGCCATCACCTTAACTGGAGACCCTCGTCACCTCTGGGGAAATGATTCTCATCACTGAACTGACCTAACGTGACCTCTGTCTGTCCTGAACCTGAAAGTCATCATCGTTGCCCTTTTTTTTTTCTTCCTTCCTTTCTCTCTCTCTCTTGTCTTGTGTCACTACCATCAATCCTCCATCAATTGACTCGATAGGATCTTCTAAGCACTCTAACCGGATGACAGGACATTCCTCTTCCGTTTCCGACGCTCTGGGCAGATTGCGGAGCCAAATCAAAGCAGCTTGGACCCGACGCCACACCCTTGGAGCACATTACATCCCATCCATCTCATCCCATCCCACTTTCACCCACCGAACAGGTGGCACCAATTGCCTTTGGAGGCTTACCATCCTGGGCGCCGGGGCGCCGGGGCGCCGGAGACGTCTTGTCTGCTGCAACGATCTGGCTGCAGTGTGACACCCCCTTCTCCCCTCGTCTGCCCTCTTTCTGGAGCCCAGGGGAACATGGGAAGCTGGGGGAGGCTTTCCGCGGGCCCTACCTAGATTGTAGTATATTATGCTATAGCCTGCAGCAGGGCGAAAAAGCATATGAGATGACACCCACCAACTATTCATCCATCCATCCATCCATCCATTACCACGGCACAACGGCCGAATGGTACCACGGTACAGGTACTATGGTATTAAGGTAGCATTCTCATACCACTACCGGTGTGGATTCTTCAGAAACAGGAATAGCGCTGTCCATCTTCCCAAATTTGAGAGGGAAAAGAAAAAGATTTGGTTGACATGTGGGAGGGGGAGCTGGGAAGCAAGGCTTGCAAGGTAGGATCCCATGCCTGTCCCTATACTAATCGATCGACCTTGGCTTCTGCACCTGGACCATTGCTTCTCTTTAGGTTGTGGGTATGTGTGTGCCCCCCCCCCCTTATTTTTATTTTATTTCTATTCTTCTTCTTTTCGTCAGGTTCCATTTTCTCATCAATGACGGGTGTCCTTGCATGATGCATCACGGAGATACTATTGGGGAGGGGGAGAGAGAGAAAGGAAGGCGACACGTCCTCCTTTTGTGGCAGAAAAAGGGCCTCATTTCCGATTCTTTTTTTATTTTATTTGTTCTCTACTGTGGTATCCAGCATCCACTCGCCACCATGCATTACATGCAAGTAATGCACAGCATACATCTGCGCCTTGTCGGAAACGGTCCATTATTTATCAATGGAGAAAGGGCAAGACAGACAACAGGAGACGACGAGGACAATTGTGTGAGATTGATAGATCCGATCCAGGTTTCCCCAGAATCACAGACCGTCTCGTGGCCTCTTGCCAGGAATCATGGCCAACTCCTGAGGCCATCGAACGAGTTGCCCGCTGATCTTGACTCACTCTGAGACCCTCTTCTCTTTCTCTTTCCCTGGGCAGATCTGCTTCGGCTCTTGGGCAGGTTCAAAAACCTTGAACGGCCCATGTGCAAGAAGCGGGTGCTGCCAGTCCTCTCACGTCGATGGCAATCTCCGGGGCGGCGCCACCGAGACGGGTTCTGCCCCCCCTCCAAAGCAGCCTGTTGAATCCCCGGACCTTGCGCGATCGTCCTTCTCTCGGGTCGCGCACACTTTCTCTCTCAATCTCTCTGTCTCTCTTTCTCTCCCTCTCTCTCTCTCTCTCTCTCTCTTACACGTGGATACAGCCCGAAAGGGTACCGAAAGACCGCTGCCATTTCTTCTTCTAGTACTTTTCTTTCCTGGTGTCCTCGGTGCTGACAGTGGGCCTAGCCAGTGACGATCGTGTCAGGGTTGTCATCGTCCTCCTGTTCTTCCTTCTCTTTTCTTCTCCATTCAGGGTCCTCTTCCTGCTGCTAGTGTGTGTACTATAGTACGTGTTGGCCACCTGGCGATCCCTGCGTGTGCGATTTCTTTGTTGGGGCTCCTCCCAAGGTGCAATCAGTAACCCCGGTTTATTTGTTCAATATTTCGGAACCTCGATCATCATCGTGGGGACTAGAAGACAGGGAATAGGCCACGGGCGAGGTGACAACGGGGGACGGGAACCAACGTGATAAGCCACGATTTGATGGGTTATTACCATAGTTAGTGCCACAGTCTCAATTATTAGAGTTGCCTCGTCATATTGTCCTGCATCACCAACAGCATAAGGGGGAGGAGACGGTCGAGGTGCAACGGCTGGCTGCTTGCTCTTGTAACGAGGTAAGCCGTCATTGATCCCATTCATCAGCTACATTTACGTGATGAACGATGGAACAACAAAGTCCCCCACATCCCGAGGCTGACGGTCAACTTTTAGCCAACGTCCATTGTGGTTCCCAAGAGTTTATCTCGTCGTGTTAATTTACCATTCCACCTCTACGTCCAAGGTGAAATATTATCCTGAGGAAAATCCTGGCATGATTGCGAGCTTGGGCTGCATAGAACAAGAGAGAGAAAGATAGGAAAAGAGGACTCACTGGCAACACACGAGTCGTTGCTAACGTTCGATCCACAGCAGCGTGTCAATTAGAAATCGGCAACTGAAGCATCACTCCTGGGTCCTAGACAGGCGCCATCCCTGCTGTGGCAAGCCGGCAATATTGCTCTATTCAAACTCTAACATAGTATATCGCTACGCCATGATGTGCCACGATATGCTTCGAGCATTGTCTGGGAGGCCCCTAGTTTCGCAGTTCCATCTACTATTACCCCCTGTCTTACGAGGGATCATAGTAATGGTTTTCATCTCGCCAATATCTACTTAGTACCGCACGAATCTGTTGAATGGATGTCCATCCTGGTCGGGACAGGAAGAAAGAAAACACGAAGATATAGCAACCGTCAAGGAAAGACAAAACAGGATTCCGGTACCAATATAGAATCGTAACCCAACAAGAAAAAACAAGAGAGAAGAAAAAAGTCATCCGAGTTTCTTCTCCCTCGGTTTTATCCCCGTAATGACGAGTGCCTAGGTGCCCTTTTTCTTTGATATGTTTCTTGGACCCAAAACTCCCCGTTCCTCTCCACGATGTGAGCTAACATCCAACAAGGCAGGGCTTGGCCTCCAACATGATGGAGCCCACCCTCGCACGAATCAAGTAGAGCCCGATTTCTTCAGCACGACGATCTCTCTGATCGACCTCCTTCAGCAAGAAAATTCATCCTGCCTTCTTTCCTTTTTCTCTCTTTCACCCCTGACCTAGATCACAAGATCCCTCCCCCTCTTGAGGAAAGTCGCCGCCGTACCTTTGGGCTGAGCGGATCAAACTGCTTACTTTGCCACTAGAACATACCCGTAGTACAGACCAGCGCCCCACGAGCAAGGTCTTTGGAAGGGGGAAAGAAAAGAAGGCTTGGAATGCCACTGCACTTGTGCTTTCACTCAACTGCACGCTACCCGTTGCTTACTATCTTTGCTACAGTACAACATTGCACATACGACACCCCGGCAGCCCGGGACCATCGTTCAGGAAGGACCATCATGAAACAGCCCGGCCCTGGAGGAGATCTGTTCCGAACGAGTATCGGAATAGCATACATACATAATACGTCACATACTTACACAAACAGAGAGAGAGACGCCGGGTATCCCAACCCAGCAGAAGGGTAACTGTTCCCCCACTCTTTCTCTTGTCTCCCGGAGGCACGATGTTTTTTTTTTTTTCTTTCTTTCTAGTTCTGTTACCATGGCAAAAGATATGCTGGGTTTCCGCTCAGACATTGTCAATTGGGACTCTGCAGAAGTAGGTCTGTACAAGGTCAATGCACCGTACAATATACAGCGATTGAGACACACAGTCTTTTGCTTTCATTCTTTAATTTTTTCGAGAAGAAAATAAAGAAGGAAGAAAAAGAATTAGAACAAAAAGCTGCCCTGGTGGATCCACACACACACACACACACACACACACACACACCTGCATATGCCGGAAGATGCAGGAACCGGTAGGCTGAGTAAGTTACGTCTCGCATGCAGACAAGAGTTTCGTTCCCGACCTCCCAACATAACGAACGGGGGGTGTGGACCGTGGGAGAGGATCCGGACCCCTTCTCCCAAAACGACACCTCGGTAGGGCACATGCTTTGTGTACTTCTTATTATAGGTATGGACCACGATATGGAAGGTCTACCATGGTAGTGTGTTTGTACCATTCGTAGGGGGTCCGAGGGAGGCAGGCATGCGATAAGTGCGTGGGATGGCAAGGCTTTTTTGAGAGTGCGAGAGAGAGAGAGTGCGAGAGAGAGAGAGAGAGAGAGAGAGAGAGAGAGAGAGAGAGAGAGAGAGAGAGCTATCTTCAAGACAATTACTAGGTGGTGTGGATGACACCTTGACCCGTCTAGTTCTTCACAGCAACAGTGCTACATGCCATCTAATTTATCTAGCCTGCCATCTCGCCCAGGCCCGTCATCTCGAGTCGGTGCGGCATTCCATGTCTAGGGACCCGGCGTAAAGGTCCGTCCACAACATGTGACGACCCAAAAAAAGAACTTATCACACCAAATAAGAAGAAGGGTGGAAGAAAGAAGAAAGAAAGAAAACAGAGAGAGACCGTCGATCACTTGATCATGTAATGCACTCTAATGCACTTAAGCATCACAGTCCGAGCGCATGCATCAAATGGTTACAAAGGGAAAGAAGATCCAGACCCAAGCAAACTCTCTCTCTCTCTCTCTCTCTATCTTCCCCAGTGCCGGAAGGAGGGCACCAGTCAAAGAATAACTATAAATTATCAGACGAAACACCACCGACCGGGGAGGATTGCCTACTGCGGTACTCTGTTCGTTGACTACCACTCAATGCGAAACACACAACACCTCTCTCTCTCTCTGTGTGTGTGTGTGTCTCTCCTACACAGCAGCACCTAGGCAGCTGGCTGGGGAAGAAACCTGCACGAGCCGCAGTTTCTCATCACATACATGGCATGTGCATATGTATGCTTGCGGGCTTCTTCCCCTCTACCATCACCAATTGTCTCCTTCCTTCTCCCCCCAAATAGAAACATTGCCTACCATATTCTGAGAAACAAAGGGTCTGCCAAAATGCGCCGCCCGCAGCCGTGCGCCCAGGGGCAGGAAAAAAAAAAAAAAAAAAAAAAAACTCTTGGACCTCTTCTTTGAAAGCGATCCGGGTTTCGCTTCGTCCTCGGATTTTGGTCGTGCCGCTGCCTCCTCACCCCTCTTTCTAACTCATCTGAGGGAATGAAAGAAGAAGGACGGGGAAAGAAAAGAGAGGTTGTCGTGGGTTGAACATGACATGCCGAAGTACCCGACCCGGTCATCCGTTCTCTTCACCATCACACAACCTCCCCGAAACTTCCCCGGTGCTTCTCCAGACAAGAACGACGAGGATGACTTCAATCTCAACCCAGTCAAGTCGCGCAACGGTCTGGCTCGCGCGCGTGAAGAGTAACTAGTAAAAAGAGAATTTACCAAGAGAGAAAGAAAGAAAGAAAAAAAAACCTGAGACCCCTAAACCACGTAGTAGTTGGAAAAAAGAAATAGCCAAAAGAGAGGAGGAGATGGAGGGAGGGCTTTGACAACGGGGCTGCGATACTAATCCGTACAAGCTTCCTCCTCTCTCTTAGTTGCTGGCGTGGCGGATTATTAGGTGCGCCCGCTAGAAGAACAGCAGGAAGAGGGGTTGCCTGCCTTTTCCTCCATTCTCCTGTCTCTTACACCATACATCCATCTCTCCTCTTGGCTTCTTGGAGCCTCCTCCCCTCCCCTCACCTTCTCTTCTCTTTATGGAGGGCGAAGGCTGGGGAGATCCTAGTGGAGGACGGACGCTTCTTGGGGTGGGGGAGGCTTTTCCTCTTATGTATCTGGTGATAACCTGAAAGGGGAAGGAGGCGGTGGACATAGCTCTGTGGACGTGCGCCATGAGATTTTCATTACAAAGTCTTTTCGTACTATGTATGTGTACCTCTTTCTGCACGGGCAGCTCTAATGCCGGGACTAAGAGGTGGTTCCTTTCTCGTCCTCCACTTGCGATATTACTGCGGATCTGTTATGGGTAAACGGGGGTTAGATTCTCGTAGAACAGTATTAACGCGTCACAAACCGTAATTACTTGGCGTGACGTATCTGCCAGGTGCCCATATCCGCTTCTGAGTCGTGGCTGTCATCGTCGTCGTCGTCGTCGTCGTCGTCGTCGTCATGCGGCAGTGAACTTGTGAGAAGCCAGAAAAAGGTCGCAAGGTGGAAAAGCAAGAGACAGCGGCAACAGCCACCAAAGCCACCGGAAAGCAAAGCCCCTCGAGTCCAAACTCACGACAGCAATCTCACCCCCCTCCCCACACTGCCCGTCTCAAAAACCTCCACCAGCCCAGCCCCAACAGCCTCATGAAGAACCCACGCAAACGCCAGCCCGCGAAACTCGCGCCACTTCTTGGTCCGCCCAGGAAGCACCCCGGCAAATTCCCGCCGCGCCCTCTTGCCCTCGAGCTGCTGTGAGCGGCCCGGCACCGCCACGCCCCCGTCCCACCTCTCCCGCAGCAGGTCCTCGGTCGTCTCGCCGTACGTGCTGTTGGACCTGCGCAGCAGCGACGTGAGGTGTGCCAGCGCCGCCGTCTCGAGCTTCAGGAATGCGCCCTGGCCCGGCACGGCGAGGGACAGGTCGCTGGTTGCTCCGCCGCTGGACCGCGACTCGGCCCCGCCTGACCTCGCGCCGCCGCTGCCGCCAGCGCTGTGGATGGCACCCTCCCCGCCCACAGCAGCGAACGAGCCGGTGGCCGCGCGCGAGACAGCCGCGAGGCTGAGCAGCGTGCCTCGGTCCTCTGGGCTGGCAAAGCTAGAGGGGACGTGGCCAATGTCGAGGTCGTGGTAGGCCGTGAGGAAGCCTGCCCTGACCAGCTGGTCTGCCTGCTCTGGCATCAGCTTTCCCTCGCCTCCTTTGTGGTGGACGTCTGCCGCGGGGACCTTCAGCTTGGTTGGGTTGGCCGCCAGCCACGCCGAGAAGGCGAGCTTCGTCTCGTCACTGAGCGCCGTGGAGTTCTTGACCATCCTGTCCAGCTCCCCTCCTTCCACCAGCAGCTCGACCACCCCACCACCCACTCTCACTCCTCCTCCTCCTCCTCCTCCTCCTCCTCCTCCTCCTCTTTCTCCTTTCCCAACCCTTCCCCGCCTAAGAACAATCACCTTTCTGACCACTCCGGCCCTGCCCAGCTCTGCCGTCTCCCTTTCCACAGCCGTAGGACTTCGCAAGAGCCCATGCAGATGCGCAGACGTAGTGACCCGAGGTAACCCTTGCCGGAAGCCAAACACCTCGGCCACGCGCGCTGAGCCTAATCCCCATGACGCCGGCTGTTCTGGCAGCGGGGTGAACATGTGGGCTTGGGCGTAGCGCATCGCCTGGGGGACGTCGCGGAGGGTAAGGTCCGTGACGAGGGCAGTGACGAGGCCTGCGTCGGGGAGGGGACCTTCGGGGTCGTTGGTGAAGTCGTCATATGGTGCTTGTCCTGGGCTGGAGGTGTTGCTCTGTGGTTCTTTGCAAGAGGTGGGTGTTGCTTTCGTCCCGGGCTTGACGCGCCGAAGTGAGTCACTCCATGATGAAGATGCTGCCGACGTTCCTCTGTCGTTGCTGCCGCCACTGGAAGTCCGTCGAGGGCTGGACGGCCTCTTTTTCTTTTTCACTCGATGAGAAGTGCCCAGAATTGCGCGGAGACGGCTCGTCATATCCTGTGGCGCGTGTGTCCTGCTGAATAATGGCGTCAAGAAGAGACCCCAGATGGCATTTATCTTCCTTCTTCCACTCCTCTTTCTGTTTCTTTTACTCTTTTTTGTCTTTCTTTCCCTGGCTCTCCCTTCTTGTCTTGCTTATTGGCCAAGGTGTTGTTTCGGGACAAGACCAGAGTTGAAATGAGAAAGAGAGAGAGAGAGGAAGGGAGAGAGAGGGTCAGATAATGACCCAACTTTTGCCTTCAGCCTCGTTCCTTCCAACAAGAAGTCGCGGGTTAGCCAAGTAGGCGGCGACTCAAGTGCCCCATGATTCGCCCCGAGAGCCACTAAGCCCACTAAAACTTTGCCACTACGCCCTCCCGACAGGCCGCTAAACCAATCATGCTGGGTTATGCATATTACTGGCCTGCGCGCCTTGCCTTTGTCTGTCCACGCCCTTCCCAAGATGATGACTTGTCCAGATTGGCCGAGGTGGTTGTAGTCCTCCTCTCATGTTTCGTTCTTGACCTTGTTTCTCTGTGTCTGTATGTGGCGCCAGCTTTCTCAACCACAACATCACAGCTTTGATACTACAGATGGCTTATAGGCGTCCTCATCGCTACATCACAGGCATGATGAGCTAGGCATATGTAGCCAAGAAACCCAAGAGGGATGAGGGAAAAGGTTCGGATTTAGATCTAAGAGGTACCATCTAGCAGAAACATGCAAAGGGCTTCGTATCGTCAGCCCGCGGTGTACCAAATCTCCTATCCGATTTCCCCTCCTTGTCATCCCCTATATCAGAGCCCCCACTCGAGAGGGCTCTGGAATCCCCAGCCTGCAAACTCAGAACTCGAGGGCCGAGCATATGGAGACAGTGCGACGTGAAGCGCCTCTGTCCCCGGGAGACGCGACCAACCCTGCTTCAGTCCTATCCGGACCCCACCAAGCGTTAACAGCACTACCTCGTTTGCGTTGCCCTCGCGGGGTAGACAAAGGGCAACGTGGCCAACAGTAGCTTAGATTCCCCTGGGTCTCGCCCCAGATGCTGGCTTCGGAGCCAAGTAACAGCCCTCCCACCGGACACTTTCTCCCTCTCTCCTGGTTGCTTGTCGTCCGTGATTGTGAGAGAAAGATCATGGCGGGCTGTCCTTTCTATCGCGCTTCTCTCCTTCAGAAGGAACCCCGCTTGGTTTCGTTCACACGGCTGTTCACCCGAAGATCAATTTCCGGGACTCAACCGCAAACAATTAGCCGCGATCCAGACGGCATCTGTCTGGACCATGGCCTCTTCCCCCTCGAGTTCTCAAGGGGCCACGGGCAGATGTCCAGTTCGCACACGCAAAAGATTTTGCATGTCGACGCTCCTTGCGTGCTTGTACTGGATATCGACCATCATGAGATGTTCCATGCCCCTATACCACAGACATGATAGGATCGCCACCCGATTCATGCGGGCAAGACGCCACGCATGTCTTGTTGTTGCTGTTGTTGGTCGGACTGCGTGTCGAGTGGACTTGTCGCGCAAATATCATGGTGGCCCATGATCATGATCACGGTCTACGACCATGTCGGCGCTCCCATCGGGGTGTTGTATTTATCACAACTTGTCCCTTGGTAGATTGATGGCAGATGGACCTTTTAATGTCCTGCCCAGGACAAGACCTCCAGCTCCCACCCGATGCACCCGCGAAGGTGTCGGGGTTTTCCACTACCCTGACATTGCAGTTCCACTATCCAAAGTAGAGTACTGCAGTCGTAGACCCAGCCCTACATCAGGGCTGTCTCTCCTCCCCTTGAGGAGAGGCGGCCGGCCGCAATCGTATCCGTATCTCCCTATAGTTTGTGAGTGGCATGTTTTTATGAAAATAAGCGGTGAGACTTCTAAAGAGAGATGAAGGGAAGGTGAGAGGGGGGAAGAGAGACTGGGATGGTGAGGAGGGGGCCGGGGCGCGTACAATTGTTGGACGACATATCGCTACTATCACTATTGGCCGACGGGTCTCAACATGCTCCCAGATGGCTTCGTGAGTAAGCAGCTTGGGATGATCCAGTTCTTCATGGCATGGCTGTTTCAAGGGCCGATGACATGAGGAAACAGACTCTTGATGACCGAACCCTCCATCAAGAATCACGCTGTCTGGAGGTCATGTCCTGCACCAATGTCAGACGCGGCTGTACGGAGGGGATGGGCTGTGGTGGCTCACTTGACCGTTTTCACCTCCAAGTTGCCGCCATCTCGAGCTGGGCAACACCGTGTGGGCCTTTTCAGGTCTTGCCCAGGACAGGAGGCGACCAATATCTCAGAAAGTATCTAGGATGTTGGCCGCTGGTATGGGCCTTTTAAAGTCTTGCCCAGGACTACCACACCAGCCATCATGAGCTTGATGACGTGGTTGGGCCTTTTAAAGTCCTGCCCAGGACGAAGTGGGGGCGGAGCACACGGCGGGTGCGATCCCCGGGGACATCGGCGTCGAGAGCATCGTGTGGCGTGTAGAACGCTCTGTGAAAGCAGGCATTGTTAAGAACGGGGTTGAAAAGAGTAGTGCTGGTCAGCTCTCCTTGCACGAAACTGGGGGCGTCAGGGGGAATGACGAGGGGTTGTTGTCGCCTGGTGTCATCCTGAGCCCAGCCTGGAAGAATGGTCAAACCCGACCACGGCGGGTGAAGAGAAAGCCATTTTGGCGACAAAATGAGATGCACAGAAAAATAGTAATGGTTCAGAGAAGGCTGTGAGATGGGAGAAGAGGAGAACTTCCAGATGTAAGCGGGGGGAAGGGGGAACTGGTTGACCTATATATATAAGGCTGTTGCTGGCAGGAGAGCCGGGCGAGGATAGCTGGCGTGTTCGCGTCACTGATACGGTGATTAGGCGCATTAGGCTGCTCTACAGTGGCTTTGGTGGGGTTAGGTGTTGTGACTCACTTAGTCAGCGGCCCAACCTCACCTTTCCAGGGCCTACTAAGAGTTTAGTGGGCGGCCGAAGCAGACACGGAGGTCCTGGAAAAAAGACGGACAACAGTTTTGATGATGATGAGACTCGCCTAGGTAGAAGAGCCTGGCCATGGAAGACGGTTTTCCAGCTACGGTTGACGATTCAGACTTCGCTCAGCTGAAGAGGCCAAGCGGCATGTGACAGTATGGGAAGCCAAGTAAATGATGTTAGGACAAGCGTCGTGAAGCCGAGAGAGGATCGCGGGAAGACGGTGGTCGCTAGGTTCAAGGTCCTTGTGCAAACCTGGGGAAAGGAGGACAAAGGGGAGGAAGAGAGAGAAAAGAGGGAGAGAAAAGAGGGAGAGAAAAGAGGGAGAGAAAAGAGGGAGAGAAAAGAGGGAGAGAAAAGAGGGAGAGAAAAGAGGGAGAGAAAAGAGGGAGAGAAAAGAGGGAGAGAAAAGAGGGAGAGAAAAGAGGGAGAGAAAAGAGGGAGAGAAAAGAGGGAGAGAAAAGAGGGAGAGAAAAGAGGGAGAGAAAAGACAGAAGGAGAGTTCCAAGAGGACAGAGAAAGTACTGGTTGCAGTCTTGTGGGCTGGACAAAAAAAGACGAGGAGTTCTCGTTAGATCGAAGGGACCTACAAAGTTGACAACAGGGAAAGAAAGGCGTGAAGGGGTGCAGACGTAGGTTCTTTCCTTCGGAAATGATTTTTCTTTGAGCAGCACTCCTTCCGTTTCTTCTCCCTTACGAGCTTCTCCTTCCTCCCAAGCCTGGAAAGCATCTCAATGCTTGGCTACCCAAGTGCTTCCTGAGGTAGCATCCATGCATCTGTGCCTGTGTTTTGACCCTGCTGTCTTCGCATCCCACCGTTCATCTCTCCATTCTTCCTATTCCATCTCCGTCAGTGTACGATATTTCGGAACTGTGTTCGTCACCAACAAATGCATATACACTGAACCGCAACTCTCCCGCCGTGCAATCACTAGCCCTCACCGTCATTCCGTCCTGCCCTCACAATGCCTGGCCCTTACACTGAGGATGAGAAACTGTACCTCGAGACCGTCAACCAGTTCCTCGCCAAGGCTGATACACAAGCCCTACACGCAGAGATGAAGAGCCTGCGTGAGACCGTCACAGGGTTCGACAGCCGTCTGACCCAGGTGCAGGAGGCAAACACAGAGCTTACGAGAGCCAACGAGATGATCCAGAGCGCCCATGAGTTGCTGGAGACCCGTCTCAAAGAGTCCATGGGCGTGAATGACGAGCTGAAGACAAAGGTCGAGGAGCTTCTGCGTACTGTCGAGGCAACTGCAGACGTCAATGCCGGCCTGCAAGCAACCAACGAGGGTCTGAGAGACTCAGTGGAGAGCTTGCGCAAACGCTTTATGCTAGCACAGCAGGATAAGAAGGGCTTCATGACACTGCAAGGCCAGTTGACGCAGGTGCTGGTCCGCCTGGACGAGGCCGAGGATGCCATTGATCATGTGGCGAAGCTTGCTAGCCAGGGTGAGGACGATACCTCCTCCGTGCACGGGCAGCGATATTACACCTATGCTAACCATATGGTGCAATTCGAAGGCCGTCCAGCACAAGAGCCTAAAAGACGACAGATTGAGGAATGGGGTCACGACATGGATTGGACCGAGGTTGCAAGTCCTCCAGAAATCGCCCATCATGCTGAGTATGACGACGAGCCATCTGTGTCTCAAAATTTCGAACAGCTCGAATTCCCGTCTCGCTACGAGTTCGGGATCCCTCCAAAGCAGATAGTCTCGCCTCGACAGCAGCAGAAGCAGCAGCTTCTTGTCAGCCGAAAGCACGCCGAGCCTGTACGAGAGATATCAGGCAACAGAACTGCCACTAGGGAGCAGCCTGGGGCCCAGGATGCAGAGCACAGCGGCAGCAAGAGACTCAGACTTGAGGCGATCCAGAAGCACTGTGCCGCCACCATACACGCATTCGAAGCCGCCCCGCCAAAGAACCACCGTCGCTTTATCTGGGCTTTCATCAACGGGTTCAACGACCACGAGTTCTCCATGTGGCTGCAGGAACAGTTGCTGGAGAACTTGCCACCTACAATGATCCGCCGGGCCTCGATGCCGTTTCGAGAACACAACCGGAGAATCGCGTTGACTCCTACAGTGACGTGGGAAGCTGTCCGCGAGGTGATGAAACACATACAGCTGGTTCCATTTCTCGAATGATGGTACTATTTTTCGGGTGCGGGCACAATGAGCCAGATGGGTAGACTTCCCCCGAAATTATTCCTGGACAAGCACCAGGACTTGTATGTGCGATAAGAAAACTTGCGATTGCTATCTGCTTTTCTTCTTTTGGTCTTTCCCTTGAGGTGGCATTTTCAAGATCTGGCGGGACTGGTTTTGAATGCAGTCAACAACATGGCAGGGTTTGCTAAATTCTCATTCTCACTCCTGATAGTAGCAAAAAAAATTACCGAATAGTTTGAACAGAGCGTTGACGTCCTCGTAACATTGTCATCATGCTTTTATTGACAGGACCATGTTTCAGCTCCCCTGCGCGTTTGATTGTTTGTCTACGAAAAACTGCAGTCCCGGCTCATCCGCCAGCTGTTGAGCCCCCAACCCCAGAGTACTTGTTGATCCAGTCCAGCACCTCCCTATGCCAGACAAGTGAGTTTTCTGGTTTCAGTACCCACTTTTGGTTTTTGTATTAGTTAGATATCAAGCAACAAGGTGGGAGAGAGAGTTTGGGGGGGGGGGGGGAGGGGACGGTAAACGAGGAAGAACAAGGCTCACATGGTTCTCATCTGGGAAGACGAGCAGCTTGCTCGGGACGCCTCTGGACTGTAGCACGTTGAAGGCGGCTAGGCCTTCGGAGATGGGGAGTCTGTAGTCTAGCTCGTTGTGGATGACCTGTTATGATAGCATTGTTAGTGTTTTGTTACTCATATACACATTTACATAAGGGGCAAGGAAGGACACAGGAGGGGAAAAGGAAGAAAAGAAAGAAGAAGGGGAAAGAGAAAACAAAAGACACCCACCAGCTGCGGCGTGGCCCACTGGTCCGTAAATCGTGCCGGATCCCACCTCTCATACCCCGCGCGGTTCTCCCACAGCTGCCCGCCAAAGTCATGAATCGGGAAGAACAACTCCTCGCTCGAGTACTGGTTCAGCGTGCTAAATACGCCGTCGTGGCACACCAGCGCCTTGAACTTGCGGCCGAGCTCGTGGCCCTGCATCCAATTGATCATGAATCCGCCGTAGCTAGCGCCGAGGGCCACAGAGCGGTCGAGATCCGCCACGTCCGCCATGGTCTCGGCAATATGTTTGTGGCATTTCACGAGGTCCTCGTAAGGCCGGCCTCCCCAGTCTCCACGGATGCCGTTCTGCAGGCTCATGCCGTACCCCGTGCTCCCCGTCGGGTTGGGCATAACGGCGATGTAGCCCTGCTCGGCAAAGACGGCCGGGTTCCAGCGTGTGGACCAGGCGTCGGCCCAGGCAGACTGGGGCCCGCCGTGGATGAGCAGGGCGATGGGGTATTTGCGCGATGGATCAAAGTCCGAAGGGCGGAGCACCCAGGCGTGTACTTTGTAACCGCCAGCGCCGTCGAACCAGAGCTCGTCGACCTGGGCGCGGGAGAGGCCAAAGGTCTTGCCCTGGCGGGTGTTGGACGAGACGAAGCGGTGGGAGCCGGAGGAGGGGTCGAGGACGGTGTAGAAGGAGCTGTCGATGAGGCTGCTCGCGCTGACGAGGAGGTTGCCTTCAGGTCCTAGGGCCTTCACGTCCGAGACGGAGCCTTCTATGTCGGAGACTACCTTGGGCAGCGCATTCCCAGCGGCAAGAGGCGACGCGGGGAGCCGGAACACTTTGGACCGGCCCAGATCTTCGGCCACGACAAATAGCTCCTTGTCCTCTGGGCCCCACAGCATAGTATCTGGACGACGATCCCAGCCGCCCTCGCCGTCGGGCGTGGCGTAGAACTCCTGCACGTTGGCCAGGTCGCCGATGTCTGGGAGCAGGAGGAGGCGCGGCTTGTCGCTCTCGTACTGGTCGTTGCGCATGCGGGTAAAGGCGACGGACCGCCCAGAGCGCGAGAAGGCCGGGGCGGCGGTGTAGCCCCTCAGATCTCCTGTGCGTACGAGCTGTGGCACTGGTGCGCGGGCCTGGGTGAAAGAGTCGAGAGGGACAAAGTAGAGGTCGCTCTTGGTGTGCGTGGCCGGGCTCAATTTTGGGTCTGGCGCCACGAAGACAAGGCCGGCTGGGCCAATGTCAAAGTCACCTGTGCCACCAAAGGGTGGGATGGGGGATTGTAGGCCTGTGTCGCGGAGGGCGTTGACCAGGCCGGGTTTCTCGAGGCTCCAGGTCCTGCTGGTCTTGCGCAGGGAGCCATAGAAGACGGCATTGCGGTTCTCGGTGACCCACGAGTCCCAGTGGCGGGCAAAGAGGCTGGTGTAGACCATGGCAGAGCTCAGGGGCTTCTTCTCGGTCTCTGGGTTGTATATCTCACCCGAGGGCGTCACCAGGGCTGAGCAGGCCAGGGCGGCTGTGTCGTCGCTGAGGCTCTTGACCTTGAGGTTTGCGATAGCCCCTGGGAATTTGCTAATCTCTTTTGGTCTGTTTGAGAAGAGAGAGAGAGAGCGAACATGTATTGACAATCAGCAACAGCTCTTGGTGTCTGGATGAGGGAAGACGAGAAGAAAAGGATGACACTCACGTTGCACCGGGGCTGTCCACATCTGCCAGCAAGAGAGTCGAGGCGCCCTTGTCTCCACTCTTGAGGAAGAGAAACTCCTTCTCGCTCAGCCATGTCGGCTCACTATAAGTGTTCTCACTGTACAAAGTGGTGGACTGGCCAGAGTTCACATCGAGGACGTGGATTTGGCCTGTCTTTTTGTGCTCTTTGAACGAGTATGTTGAGGTCTGGGAAAGAAGAGACAGAACACTGATTAGCATTGAAATGCCACAGACCAAACGTGCTTGGGGAGAGAGCAGCAGGCCTTCCCAATGGGCTGTAATCATAAGAGGTGAAGACACACCCAGAGTTAGAGGGGGTGAGGGAAAGGGGAGCAGTGACCATGGAAACTCTCTCACACGTACCGTATATAGGACCAGCTTCCCTGTGTTGTTTGGGATGCCTGCTGATCTCCTGGGCGCCGAGAGGAGCACCTCGGGGGTGAATTTGGCAGCACGGATGGTCATCATGAAGTATCGGGCGTTCTCTCGAGAAGACCCCTGGGATTGAGACAGGAAGAATGTGTGTGTGAGGGTGAAGAGATGTTTGAATAAGCCACCACAACAGACACGGTACAGTATAGCCTAGCCTGTGTATGAACCAGAAGAGAGTAAGGTCAAGTGAAGTGGTAGGGGAGTTGAGTTTAGACAGACAAGAAGAGAAAAGAGGAGAAAGGCATGAGAAAAAGTCCAAGAAGATAAGTCCTAGCAGGGAAGAGGGGGAAACGGGGAGGAGAAAAAAAGAGAGCAATGATAAAATATCCCAAATTCGTCTGTCGTTTTGTCTCTCGTCAACCAGCCACGTTGTACAAAGGCACCCTCGTTGCCGGATAAAATAGAAAAATCCAAAGTGGTATTTTCCCCTTCGTTTCTTTTGTTCTCTCCTCTTTCTTTCCTAATACCCTCAGCAAGTAAAATACAAGAAGAGGGCCCAAGGAAGGGGGGGAAAAAAAAGAAAATGAAAAAATATTGGTGCCTATGGTCGCCCGACACAAGAACTTTGACTTTTCCCTCCTCCTTCTCGATTCGAGCATGCAGCTTTAATTGCGTGCTGTCACAGCCTGCGTGTCTTGCACTTTTCCCTCTGTGCTGTTGGAACCCCGCAACGGGCCGCCCGCTTGAGCAGGTGAGGGGGAGGAACAGAAGCCAAGGGACCCCGCCGCGTTCTTTGCTACCCCTCCTCAGTTGCCCCTCTCCTCACTCACTAAACCAAGATTAGTGCGCAAGTACGTATAGCATTTCAGTACATAGTACGTCAGTATGTGCAGTATGAGCACCCATTTATGACATTTGATTGACGCGCACAGCACCCAATTATGATACGCACCCCTGCAACGCCCGGCTACTATCGTAAGTACCCTGATGGCCTTTTTCTCTCCTGCTCGTCCTCCTTGGCCTCTCGTCTGTCTCGCCTCACCTTTGTCTACTTTCACATTCTCTTCCTCTTTACCTATCGTCTGTCACACCCACCCCCCTAAGAGAATGAGGGGATTCTCTCCTCTGTTAGCGCCAGTCCCACGAGGCAACCTTGTTTCTACGGACCGAGATAAGTCTTACCTTTAGCATGAGGTCTCCATCTCTTCTTTCTGCTCACCGCCAGGGCAGCCTTGCACATTGTACAATCACGCACTGTCGATCTTAACATACGTCTCCTCCCCTTGGTCCCCTGTACAAGTGATCGATCGATGTACCATGCATCGTACTGCCAGTTCACGATGTGAATGGTGGGGTAATATGACAACACAAAAAAAAAGAGAAGGTGATTTTCCAGCCCTTGCTGCAGATACTAGACGTAACTGAGTAGGTGGGAAAGAATCTCCCATCCCCCACTCTCTATACAACAATACAGGATGGTGCTTCTCTCGATGTTGGGATCGACAAAAGACAAAGATCGTGTATGGACGGACTCTCATCAGACCACCCAAAAAAAAAAAAAAAAATTATGATCAAAATTCCTCCCGGTTTCCCAAAGTTCCCACCCAGCATCAAGAGACAGCTTCCTATGCCCTTGAGGCAACACACAATAAGATTTTCCCTGTTATAACCTTTGCATCCGGCCCCCCAACGCCGTGCTGAAAATAGTTCAAAATGTCCCGTTGAGGAAATAACACACAATAAAGCAGAAGAAAAGAGAAGGGGAGAAGTAGTGACAGCGGTCTGGCCTAGTCGCGTGACAAGACTCTACGCTTACTTCCGCGAAGCACCAAAGTTGGTGCGCACCTTCTTGACATCCTTCGCGTCACTCTCGCTGTCACCAGTGTCCACGCTGACGACGTTCTTCTTCTTACGATCGCGACCGACAGGGAGGGCACGGCCAGCTCCAGCACTGGCGCTCGTAGGGGTGGCGTGATTGGTGCCGCTGCCGCTAAACGTGCTGCTAACCGGAGTCGGAGCGTGGCTGGAGCCGGGCGTGGTGGCCGAGGAGTCGGGCGCGGCGGCGTTGGGATTGTATGAGATGCTGGAGCGCGAGAAGACGCGGTGCTGGTCGACCGTGCCCGTCTTGCGCCGCTGGGCGGCCGCGGCCTGCGTGGTGCCTTTGGTATAGTTGTCGAAGCCGGTCAGGATGTTGCCAAAGGGGGTGGTCTCGAGATACTCGCTCTCCTTCTGCTCGATGGCCTCCTCGTCGCGTTGCTAATGGGGCACGTTGGGTTAGTGGACAGCTGAGATGGTAGAGAGCCAAGCTGGTAGGTAGCTAGGACAGTAAAAACTGAGCAGTACCCAATAGCAACAAACAACAAGAGCAACTACTCACTAGCTTCTCAGCAAGCTTGCGTCGCTTCTCTAGCAGCTCCTTGAGGTGCTTGCGCTGCGATTCGTAAAACGGCACACCCCCGTCCCCATTTGCGCCGCCACCAGTAGCAGGCTGCTTGTTATTGGAACCCGCGTTCTCACTCATCTCGGCGCCAGTGTTCTTGGGCGTAATTCGGTATTGCTATACGGGGATGAGTCGGAAGCGACCAACAGGGCGACGCTTTCCAAGCCTGCAGTGTTCTTCTTCCCAGCAGCTTTGAGCCGATAGTGCGGGTGGTCTTGGGAACGGGTTACGAAGAAGAGTACAACTACGACGTTGCGACAAAGACAAAGTGCCGTTTGTGATGGATTCTGCAAGCTCGCTAGGAGGAACGCTGAACGTGACGGCGACCTTGCGCTCCCCTGGAAGGCCCTGGAAGAGCCGGCTTGTCGTGGATAGAAGGTCGATTGTGACGCAGAGAGAAGATCGCGGCGGAGGGTTGTGGCGCGTTGGTGGAGGAGGCAGAGAAAGAAGAAGGATCAGGGTGCAACAGTTTGGTGTTGGTGTTGGTGTTAGTGTTGGCGTGACCAGCCAGTCTGGGCCGAGACTGTAGGTGATGATCTTCTAGGCCGGCATCTGGGACTGGAGGGGCCCTTCGCTAGTGGTAGTGGGGTATGGTTACTGACAGGGGGGTAAATGTTATTGGGGTGGCACGTGCACGAAGAGCATTGTATAATCTGCATTAACTGCATTATGGTGGTATCCAAATACGTGCACTCACATAGGAGTCTCTCTTTTGGGATAAAATTATAAAAGTTGTGATGATTGCTAGAAGAGGATCTGGACAGAACTATGAGTTGCAAACTACTGGAGAAAATAGTCTCAACCATACAACATCAACATTTTTACGTAAGTTGTCCACAATTGGACAATGTAAATGAGGCAAAGGCCAATTCAGTGTGATGAAAGATCTCACTCTATCTGTAGGGTTGAAGGCATCCTGCATTTCTTCATGACATTAGCCATCCTTTACAAGACGAGAAAGGAAATCGAAAATTTAGGCTGGAAACTTAGAGTATAGCAAGTATGCTTATTTATTTTGGATTTTCTTTCATTCTATCATACCCAGAAGATAAGGTCAAAGGCTGCTTGCTGCATTGCGTTATAATGTAAAAACCTCATGAATTATACAGGCACACCAAGTGACCTGGCGAGAACTGTAGAGAACATACTCGTATCCAGGACTGGTTCTCGAGGAGCGAGAGACCAAAGCAAGAGATGGCCTGCACAGATAGTCGGTCAATCAGCAACAAGACATCAGCCCTCAGACATGATTGCCTGGGCCGGACCTGGACGACCTCCTCATCTTGATGAGCCTCTCCCGGAGCTCTTTCTCTCGCAGCTCATTCGCCTTCTGCTGCACAGAAGTCCCATATAAGGGCTGGGGTGTACACAAAAACAAGGCCTAGTTAGTAGGTTGGTCTCTTCGCATGACAGCTTAGAAGAATAAAATGACTTCTTTTCTTTTTCTTTTTCCCCTTCCCAGCTCTTAAAAGTGTGTCCCAGTCAAGGAGACTAGCGTACCTTCGATGAGGCATCATTTGCGGTCGGCCCAGGCTCGGTACGTCCGGCGGGCGACTTAGATCTGGGTCTGGTGGTTCTTCTGCCTTCGGAATCGGAAACATCAGCCGTATTGCCTCGTGAACGGTCTTGAGATGAGATGGAGGATGTATTATGTCTTTGCGAGTGCTTGTTGCCTCGTCTTCCTCCTCCGCCCCCACGGCTTGAGCTTCTGCTTCGGTAACGTGACAGGCGCCGGGAGTCACGCGGTGGTTCGGATGGTGATCTGCTACGACTTAGTCCACGTCTGCCCCGACTTCGACCTGCATCTCGGCTGCGGCTCCTGCTGGAACGTCTCCTCCGTGGCGGGGGGCTCCGCGAACGTGACACGGAGCGTGATAACGATCGTGATCGGGCACGCCGCCGCCTGTCGACTGACCGGCTCCGTGACGAAGAGTAACGGCGGCGCTTAGGAGCAGGAGAGTCTCGATCGGTGGACGGCGACCGCCGGCGGGCGGGGCGGTAATTGTTCTCTCGAGGGAAAGGAGACCGAGATCTCTTGCGGGTGCCGTGGCGAGATCGGCGTCGACGACCACCACCTCCACCTCCAGGGCTTGACGAACGCGAGCGAGAACGTGAGCGGGACCGTGAGCGGGACCGGGGTGACCCCACCGAAGACGACCGGCTTGGCGATCTTCGTCGTCTATTGTCATCGCGTCGAGGAGCGTGCCTGTCACCACCAGGCATGTATAAGTCTCGCCCTCGGGTGGCACCTCGGTAGGAGTCGCGGCCACGTCGGCTGGGCGGTGGTGAGCGGGACGTGCTGCGACCTCCTCGATCAAAGCCATGGCCACGACCGCCATATGTATCGCCCCGGTCGCCACGGCCGCCGCGGTAGCTGTCTAGGCGCCCCCCTCGGGCCCGGCGCTGCTCGGCCTCCTCTCGTCTTTTGCGCGCCTCTTCGGCTGCCTTGTCGGCCTCAATCTTCTCCTGTATGAGCTCCATCTTCTTGGCCTCTAGCAGCTCCTTGGGGACGCCCTGCGGGCTCGTCTGGGCGCTCAGGCAGAGGTTCCACAGCTCCTTGCAGAAGGGGGCCGTGTCTTTGTCGAGGAATCCAGTCAGCTGGATCTGGAGTGACTTGATGTCGGGCTGTGGGGGATGGCGCGCGCACACACACACACACACAGAACGTTAGCCAGGTGCCACAAGCCGAAAGGCCAGTCTCAATATGGCCGGTGAAGGGGGAACAAGACAGATTGACTCACGAAGCGAGATCCCTCGATCAGATTGAAGCACAGCTCGATGACGACATCATCCTCACTGCCCAAGATCTCCGAGATCTTACCTGCAATCCATCTAGAGACACGAGTTGCGCGTCAGCTGGGGAAAGAATGGGGGGAGAAGAGGCAAACAAGAAAAAACGCGTCGAGAGGGTGGGGTGGAGGAGAACAAGCAACACCCACTTCTTCATGACCTGCAGGTTGACCTTGGTCATGTCGACCTTCTGGCTGAACTCGGGAGGGAATCTGGTGCTCTTGAGGAGCTTGGCATCCACACCGGTCGCCATCTTGGGCGACGTTCTAGGCGGTGCAGGCTGGCAGGCTGATTTGTTGTCGACAATCAGAAGAAAGTGCCCTGAAGGGGGAAAATGGGGGTGGGTTAGAAATAGGGAAGAGGCTCCTTGTGACGTCGGAGCTTGAAATTTAAACGCGCCGGGGCCTTCCAGGCGGTGGTGCATCTGCTACGGTTAGGTGGATTTCTATGGATCAATAAATCAATTGGGACCAGCCAGCCGTCAAATTCCATTGGGCCCCCGCCGGAGCCGGACCGCCTAGGCATCCTTGCCAGCACAATGACTTCACTCACTGTTAGGCGGTGGACGTGTACTGCTGGTTGCCACTATTGCAGCGTTCAGATGTCAAAGAGGGGACAAATCCGTGCCCACTGATATGAAAACAAGGAGAAAAGGAGAAGAGGGGTAAAAAGGAGAGAAAATGTCTAGCATCATCAAAAAAGAGTCTGATAAGGGGTTATTCAATACTTTCGCCGTTTGCTCGCTAAAATACCTGCATGCAAGCCGTGCCTTGGACCCCTTCTTCTTCTCACCAATCGCAGTCGGCACATGCTTGTGCGCCTGACAAGGCAAAAGGTAACGTGTAGATTAATCCGTTTGTGGGAGAATATGCACTGCTGCTATCATGAGCCTATGGCTGTTCATACCATCTTCTATCTTACAATCCACACCAGCTGTGGTAGCCCGAGACAACGAGAATTGTACAAGTCGTAATTATTCCATGAACCCATTCATAACCATCCCAAAAGCTCCTCTGGCTTTGTCTTCATATCCCGTCGTGTTCGCGCAGTTTTCTTCTCTTTTTATGTAAGGAGAACTTTTCGTGACCCAGTAACGCCGCATCTCCATTATCCATCTCTTGCAATAGTGTCACCAGTGCACCGTGACTGGAAACCCAACATGTCCCCTAGCGTCGCGTCTCATTTCATGGAGCTATTTCGTCTCGCTCGTACTTGAGGTCGGCTCGCCCCTGGGATATGTGTATGTCCTCGAGATCGGACGCGGTCGTTCCGTCTTCTGCTTGTCAGCCTGGCCGCCCCCCTGTTGTTGTTGCTGTTGATGCTGCTGCTGCTGTTCTTGTTGCTTGTTCTTGGCAATCAGCGCGTCGATCTGCTCGCGCGCTTTTTTCAGCCCGGTACTGTCTTGCTGCTTGAGCCTGTTGCGGATCTCGTACAGCGTCATCAGCGTGCTGGCTTGGTGTACGTCATCATCGCCTTCACGTGGTGTGCCCGGCATGGACGGGACTTGTGACGGTGGACCGGTCGAGTTGGAGCGCGACATAGGAGGAGGCGTGAGGATCTTGCGACCAAACTTGTCGAAGCGGTTCCCGGAGGCTGACGCAGGTGGCCGGTGCGCGCCAGAGCCGGGTGTGGGTGTCTGTGTGGGTGCAGGGGGTTGGAGATGGGCCTGCTGTGGTTGTTGAGGGTGTGTGGGGAGGGTCTTGTTCGCGTTGAGTAGCCCTTTGGCAGCTTTCTGGTCCTGTGTTGTGGTGGTGATGGTGGCGGTCGACTGTCAGCTCTCTGAGGGCAGATGGTTGACAAGCAGGCCTAAGAAATGCCCTCATCCTGTCCAACTAGCTCTGAGGGAAGGGGTGTGATGTACATACTGCTGCGCTGAGGTCCGATATGTCAGCCAGCATTTGTGCCAGCTGTAATGACTCCATCTTCGACGTATGCCTAGTGCGACCACAATATGGGCGTTTGAGGAGGGATCTTGGGATACGATGGCAGAAGAGTTGGGCACCACCGAGGGGTGCTCGGGTATTCAATAAAAACTCCACAGAAGTGATGGATGATGTAGCTTTCGAGGTGGGGAGATTTTGAGCAGTGGTCAACGAGTGATGGTGGGTGGTGTGATGAGAGAGTGACTGTTCACCGAGGAGTCGTCGGAAAGAAGAAGGGTAGTAGCAAGAGGTATGGTGTGGTATCAGGCTTCCGTCGGGAAAGACAGTTGCTGCTGCTGATGCTGATGCTGCTGCTGCTTAGAGGAGGAATTTCTCTTTAGGAATGAGCGACAAGGGAGGCAACATCCTTCAGGGTGCGAGGGTTCTCTGTGGGGAAATTTTATTAGCGCCGCGGGGAAAGCAGGAATGCTCTTTTCCCCAGATTTCAGTGGCAGACGGGCGGCAGGGGACCATTCTGCAAACGCTTTCTGCCTCACACAGACATACACACTACATCATATTACCATAGTAATAATTGTACCACGCAGTACTATGGTACATGGAGCACCAGGTTTGCCAGGGTGGTTACATGGTGACAACTCTTGGCAGCCTGGCAGGGCTATGCTGCCGAAAAGAGTCGTTCCAATGAGAAATCGACCGATCACTCTGGGCAAATCATCCTGCCTTGCATAGATTCTATGGCATAAGAGCATGAATAGAGTTTTCAGGTTCTGGAAGCTGCAATCAGGCTGCATGAAGACACCCCCCTGACAATGGATAAAAGGAGCCATTTGTATCTGCACCCGTCAGCTCATTGTTGAGATGAATCCCAGGAATCCGGGAGTGGCTGGAGGAAGGGGCAGGCAGTGGCAGGCCGCAAGCACCTCCCTCTTTCCCATGCATACCTGAACGGAGGTTTTCTTCCAGGCCTAGGCTGCCCAGTTGATGGTCTTCCCACACTGGAACATACTTAATTGCCCCAACGGGAACATTCCTAGCCGCAGCAAGGACCCACTGCCCATCTGAACTCTTCTTCCCACGTCGTTACTCAGATCGACGTGTCTTCTCTTATGCTGGCTTCCAAGTCCCAGAGGCGTTTGTTGGTGCGTTTTCTGGGGGCGAAAACTGCGTCCTCGAGACGTTGCGATGACGAAGCTAGGTCTCAGGGGGTTCATTGCCGCCCAAGGAGCGACTCCGGAGCCCTCCACAATGGTTCGCTCGTGCTCGCCCACATCGCGTGCTGCTGCTGAGTCACGCTGTCTCTTTTGCTCGCTGCGACGCGGACCCCCTCAGATTGAAATACACCAAAGAGCAATGTCGATGCCTGGCCATTGACTTCAGGGTGCCACCAGTTGCCTATGTTCGAGAATGATGCCAGCATCTCGCCCTCTGTCCTCCGACTGCGTTCGCATAACCACATCAGGTGTGTCTGTGTGTGACCAGTGCATTGCCACGTTCCACAATTCGTACCATGCTTTCGAGGTCAAAGGGAACAGCAGACCCGCTCGTCCACTCCCTCGCCCCCTCTGATGTAAAGAGGGCAACGAGATCTCCTGCCGGTTGTATGAGGCTTTCGAAGGGGAGCAATCATCCGTGAGGCGAGCGACAGACACAGAAGAAGGTGCTCATATGTTCCATGCAAGAAACATAACCAGGGGTAAGATGAGTAGTTGAGCTGCCAGCAATGTGTGAAGTCCAGAGGATCTCGGCGTGGTCAAAAACCAGCACAAACCTGCGAGGAGAGTAAGGCCGCGTCCACGAAGGGTGCCTCGTCAAAAGTTGGTCTTCTGCGGTCCCTCAAGCCATCACATGATAGTCTTCCTCGACTGAAGGCAGGCAACCAGAAACACACAGGCTGTCGGTGATGGGGGCTGGCAGTCCTGTGGGTCGCGATAATATCACAGCGGGCGCGATTGCATATAAAAAGCAACGACATCAAGACAGCGTCGCTACATTTGAAATCCGACCACGACGGCGCGTCAGGGCATGATCGTCTACCATAGTAGCTGATGCGTCTCAAGGGCCCATAAGAGCATGCCGAGAGGCTTGCGAGGCCGGCGGGCGGGGAGGCCCACTGTATGCCGCGAGAGATAATTTGGGGCCCCGAGCTGGGGGTTTTGAACGTAATCCTACTCATTCTCTGACGGCCTCGACTTTTGTCACCATACACATACATACCCACACTCGAACAGGAAAAACATCCACCACCAATTCCTTAGAAGCCCCCCGGCTCAATATTCAACCACCAAAATTTAGGTAGGTTGCTTAAAGCACACTTTCTAGCATGGTAGCGTGGGATGTGGACGACCCCTCGCCGTACGCCCCCGGAGCTCTCTTCTGCGCGCCGAGCTGGGCGCAGGCGTGCGACGAAAGGCCCAGCAGCGGGTTTACGAAACCACCGAACCCCCTCAGCCGGGTTTGCCGACCAAGCGCCGAAGCAGCAACAAGTGCTATGTATATAAAACACTCAACTCGAAGGCGCTGACTTTGCGATAGCTTTTCTCGAAGTCTTGAAGATGAACGCATTTCGAAGAGCATTGTCCACCATGGCTACTGTTAAGAGACCCAGCAAGATTGTCTGCATTGGCCGCAACTACGCGTGAGTGCAAGAGCTTGTTCCCAGGCCCCTTCTTCAAGAAAAATAGCTCAGCAGGATGAGGAGTTGTCTGTCTTGTCGATGATGGCGTTCACAAACACACACCCTCACGAATAATACTGATAAGTCTTTCTTCTCTCTGCAACAGGGACCATGTGAAGGAACTTAACAACGTGAGGCCAAAGCAGCCTTTTTTCTTCCTCAAGCCTCCCACCACACTTCTCCAGCCCGGTGAGGGCCCTGTCATCGCGCCCAAGGGCGTAAACCTGCACTATGAGATCGAGCTGGCTCTCATAATTGGCAAGAAGGTCACAGACCTTGATGCTTCGGACGAGAAGGCCGCATTCGATGCCATTGACAGTGAGTCTTGCCCATCAAATATCATGATTTTCACAGCATGAGTAGCTATATTGCATGTACTGACCACAGACACCAACCAGGCTATGCGCTGTCAATTGACATGACTGCGCGCAACATTCAGGAGGAGGCCAAGAAGAAGGGTCTCCCCTGGGACATCTCCAAGGGATTCGACACCTTCCTGCCCGTCAGCAAGGTGATCCCCAAGTCCAAGATCCCAGACCCGCACAACATTGAGATCTGGCTCAAGGTGAACGGCGAGACGCGCCAGGAGGACTCGACCAACCTGTTCCTGTTCCAGATCCCCCGTGTGCTGAGCGACATCTCCAAGGTCATGACGCTCGAGGAGGGCGACATTGTCATTACTGGCACCCCCAAGGGCGTCGGCCCCGTGCTGCCGGGCGAGGTGATGACTGCTGGTATTAGGGTGGACGGCAAGGAGCTGGAGGAGGCGGCGATGGAGGTGCCGGTGGCGGAGAGCAAGTCAGCCTACGTGTTTGCTGAGACATAAAAGTAGCACCAAGTCACAGAGACAGGATGTGGCTAGATTGTGTTTTCTGTATGTGTATTTTGGGAATCACTACGCATAGACTTTTTATACAGATACCATTTTTCGGATGAATTACCCCCTTTCCCTCAACTGCCCGTACCTCGAGTAAGGCTTCATTCTTACCATTGATGACATCTATGACCATACAATCTCATCAAGCTCGTTTAAGCAATTCACGCTCTTTGAGCCGCTATATGTCGGTTGACCACGTGTCATGACTGTAAGTACTGTGTGGCCCCTTATCGTGAACGCAGCACAGCTCATTTTAGGAGGGAACTTTTTCTTCTTCTTGGCAGTGAGAAAGTCCTCTCAGGGCCAGCATTATTCCGCATCATGATTATTGTTGTCGTGAACGGACCTGCTCCCACATGGCCCTGGCCTGCGAAGTGTTATCCCGTAAATCCGCATCCCGCACGGACGCCAAGGCTACCCTACTTACTGCATCATCCTCTTTAAATGGACCCCTGAACACGGTGCTGACTTAGCACTTCGGTAGGGGTGTAAGCCCACTGTGGGAAGTGCTACTATAGCTCGCATAGGTACTGTACATTACTTGTAGTGCAACGTCAGCAGCCACGCCAGTACACCTGCGACATACCACACCCGCCCGCCATAGCCTCGCGCAGGTTTGAGCAAATTACGGGCCAGCGTGCCTGGAAGGGTCTCCACCGACGCCGACACCACTTACCGGCTGATGTCGATGCGTGTCGGCGCTGCTGCCCTGCCCTCCCTTCATAGCACTCCCAAAACGTGAAGCGTTTCGTTCTTCTTTGTTGTCATTCTCAATCATTTCCTCTTCTCAGTTGTTTACATTCCTTTTCCGTCCGTCCCGTCCCGTCCTGTTAAGTTTATGACAAAGCATTGGTTAAACTTGGCATCTCCTTGCTACCGACAACGACAGCGACACCATGGATCACGCACACCACATGATGGACCACGGCGATATGGACATGCCCGGCCACGGCGGCCACGACATGCCCGCCATGTGTCGTATGGATGTAAGGAAGAAGCGCCCTCTTCTCTCTCTCCCCCTCCTTATTTCCTCTACTAGAGGTCATTTCTGTGGCGTGGAAACGATAAGAAGACCGATGCTGACAATGGGGACAACTTCGTCCTCCCGTTTCCACAGATGCACTTCACTTGGGATACGACCAACCTCTGCATCGTCTTCGAGTCCTGGCACATCCGGTCCACCGTGGGCCTCATCTTCTCCCTCCTCGCCGTCGTCCTGATCGGGATGGGCTACGAGGCCCTGCGCGCCGGCACGAGGCGGTACGAGATTGCTATGAACAAGAGGATGGAATCTGTTCCGAGTGAGTTTCTCTCGCTCGTAACCTGATCACACACACACACACACACACACACAACCGAACACACCCTTATTCCACCCCCACAAAGCACACATTCTCTTCTGCTCGAGAACAATTACATGATCTCAGAGGAGGGGAGTTGCGCGCACCTCCCCCCGTTCCGCGTTCCAACCCCTCCCCCCCACCCTTCTCCAACCTCCTTCCTCTTTGCTGCATCACGTTGCGTTCTGTTGCTCTCTGCAAAAGAAGCTTACCGAGAAACCCGAGGCGACACGATTACTGAGACGACGCCGCTGGCGTGGGCGACAGGGCAGAACAAGGCGCAGGTTAACCAGCGGGTGCGCGTGGTCAAGGCGGTTCTGTATGCGTTACAGACTTTTTATGCGTTCATGCTGATGTGAGTATTTCGCCCCTCTGACTATGCCGGGGGGGGGGGGGGGAAGAAGAAAGAAGAAGAAAGAAAGGGGAGACAAGATGCTGACGAAGAGGTGTGCGTGTGTAAATTTGTAGGTTGGTATTCATGACTTATAACGGCTGGGTGATGGTGGCCGTGACGCTGGGGGCATTCTTTGGCTATTTGACCTTTGGGGACCAGACTTCGGTCACAAGAGAGACGCAGTGCCATTAGGGTAAGAGGATAGGGAAGCCTTGATACCAAGCAGTTTCTCACTCCTCTCTTCTCTTCTTCGGTACAAGAGCGTCAGTCATCAAGCGTATGACGAGGTTTTCAGCATTCAGCAGGTCTGTTGTTATTGTTGTTGGGGGCTTGCTGTTTTTTTTGTCGGCCTATGGGCAGTGTTTTCTCTCTTCGCTGCCTCTGGTCTCGAAATGATTGGACATTTCAATACAGCATCTATGCATCTATGTCAAAGAGTAACCGATATCCCAAACATAATCAGCCATCTAGCAGAATTTATTCAGGGGCAACGTCTATTCGCACACACACCGCCGTCCTCTTTGGCAATAGGAAACAAGAAATATCACATCCTACTGCCGTCTTTAGCCTTCTTTACCTCCTCTGGAGCCATCTCCCCCTCGGGCCTGCGCTTCTTTTCATACAGTTTACCCGCGCCGGCCAACGCCTCCAGCAGTGCCTCGTCGCCGTAATGCTTGTTATGCTCAAACTCAGGCTCCTCCCCATACGCGATCCTCGCTGTGTCGACCAGCATGCGCCCTGTCATCCCCCACACCATATACCGCGCAGCCTCCTCCTCCTGCTCCTCCACGCTCTCCGCCAGCGCAGCCAGGCCGTCCTCGCGCTCCTTGGGCTTCGTCACGCGCTGGTGGGTGACAGGGACATAGAAGTAGTGCGCCCGCCAGGGCACGTCCTTAAACTCGATCCACTTTCCCTCGTACCACTTTCCAGGGGGGATTTGAACCCCCCTCTCCCTATCCCCTGGCAGAACCTCGTCCTCCGCCAGGAGGAAGTTGTGCAATGGGCCCGAGAAGACAGCCGCGACTTCCTTGGGGTCAAGACGCGGCATCAGGCTCTCGTCGACGGTGGGGGAGGGCTGTGCTGCACCGCCGGCGCCAGCAGGCTGGTCGTCCGAGTGCAGGAGGGCAACGCACGGGCGGACAGCCAGCTCGGTTTTGGCAAGGCTGTGGGGGAGGCAGCAGAGGTGTTCTATGCGAAAAGGGGCGGGGATCTTGGTGTCGTCTACGGGAAGCCCTATTTCTTCCCAGGCTTCACGTCTGGCTATCTGGTCTAATGTTTTGGGAGCGAGAACAGTGAGGGCAAGGTTAGCCATTGTGGCATACATAGTCTCATACAATTTCTCCCGTGTGCTGGATTGAAAACACAGAGGGCAAAAGAAGGGAGGGAGGGCGTACATGGTGTCTCTTCTAGAGTATCTGCTTTGCCTCCTGGGAATGCCGCGTGACCTAGTTTATACGAGAGACATAAGCATCGTCAGCTTTTCTCGCCTCTCTCACAATGACAGCCACAGCGCCCAAAGGGGGGAGAATAGACAATCACGAACCAGAGAAGCTCCTCAAGGTAGCGGCACGCATGGTGAGGACCACCCGCAAGTTCCCCCGCCTATCGGCGTAAAGCAGAATGAGTACGGCCGCCCTCCGGCTGAGAGGGAGCCTGTCCCACAAGGGGAACGGCGGCGGTCTGAAGGCGCGTAGACGTGCCACTGCGGCCTGGGATCTTGTTAGTATACTGCTCATGACTTGTTTTCTTTTCGGTTCCTGTGGCCTGGCCCAAGCATGTCACATGTGTAGCCAGGCTGGACACTCATCAGATAGATATCATATAATACTGACAGCAGAGGCTGCATTGAGAGGTGCCATGCTTGGCAGGTCCCAATATGCGCCCTCGTCAAGCTCGTCGTCTAGCTGCTGTGGAGACGAAGAGCCGGTCCTAGGCGGCAGCGGTGACGTAGTAGTAGTAGCAGCTTCTCCAGTGGCGGCAGCAGAGGATGATGCCTCCCTGATGCTCTCGATGATACTCTCGACTTCTACTGCTTCTGTGGCTGATGTGAGCGTGTCGTCCTGTTCTGCGTGTGCTGGTGGATCTGAGATGTGTCCGTTTGACAGATTCTCTTCCTCTTCTATGGTGCCTGTCATCTCTTTTTGTCGCTGGCTGACAGGGCCCTTTTTTTTCTTTTTTTTTCTTTGTCTTTGGAGAAGGGGAGGTGGGGATGGGAATAATATCAGAGAGAGTCACAAGGAGGAGGATTGGTTAGTTGATTAGTTGAAGAGCATGAGCCGAGGGACGGCGCTGTAGTGGCCGAGCTGAGGAGCCGAAGGAACCATCCGCCCCCTCCAAGCCGTCCTCGGCCAACGCGACGACTTCTCAAGTGTTACCATTTCCCAGTGCATGCTTGGTCAATTCTCTTCTTCTTTGGTATATACATGTATTCCTTAATTTTGCCCGTCATTCAAATTGACTTTTCTCCTCAGGTTGATAATTGTGGCCACAGTATCTTTCGAAGTTTTAACGCAGTCTTCATACTCGGCCTGGTACTTAGAGAGGAAAGACTACTCTATCACACTTCCATGGCGCCTTCTAAGTAACTGATTTCCTTGAGGGGAGAGAGACCACATGTCGTCACCAAGGACTGACTTGCTCCTTTCTCCTCCTCAGCTTCGACCAGACATAGGAGACTTTCATTTCACAGCTTTTTTAAACTGTTTGCGTGGATGAGATGAGAGGCTCTCGCTTGACGTCATGAACGCCAGCCACAAGCGCTCGCGGGCCAAGCATGCCTGCAAAGAGTGCAACCTCCGCCGCGTGCGCTGCGACGTGATGCAGAAGCACCCGTGCTCCAATTGCGAAACTGGCCAGTCCGACTGTATCATCCTGCCCTCCAAGAGAGGCAGATATCCACGCAAGCCTCGCCAAAACAGCAGCGTCAAGGATGTGGGCTCATCAGGCCCTTCTCGATTGCTGGCCAGTCGGGATCCTGCCGTGGTATCACGACGAGGGACGAGGAGGAGAGGGCCGTCGAGTCTTGACGATGGACGACCAGGAACTCCTACGGCGCAGCCAACAGGGTCAGGAACGCCAGGGACGGTGGTGGCAGGATCATCAGTCGCCGGTGCCTCCAGCATCTCTTCCTCCTCGGCAGCAAGCGGCAGTCTCTTCTTTGGCGAGTCGAATTTCCTCACGCTCGTGCCGTCGAGGAGGCCAGGAGCACAGCTTAGTGCTGACAAGGGCCGCCTCTCTTTCCCCATCAACACGGCTTTATCAACGCCCCAGTCCACCCAACAACAACATGAACAGCCTTCCAACTCCTCGCCCTCAGCAGGCATCATCCATCTCAGCCAGGGAACCGAGCGCTACCTCAGAGACGAGGGCGCCCTCACCTTTCCGAGCCTGCAGACCTGTTTGCCCGTCATCCACGCCTACTTTCGATGGTTTCACCCCTGTTTCCCTGTCCTGGACCGTCCCAGCATCGCTCGACGGCTCACGACTATGGACATCTCGCCCTTGCTCCTCCAGGCCATGCTTTTCATCGGCGCGACGTGGTGTGACGAGGAAGCCATCGTGGCGATGGGCTTCCGAGACCGCTCCGAGGCCAAGTCACTCCTGTACACCCGGGCTCGGCTGTTGTTCCACGCAGACTGGGAGCGGGACCAGATCACGCTCATTCAGGGGCTGTTTCTCATGAGCTTCTGGCGCGGCGAGTCGTCCGACGTGCGGGATGTGCGGTACTGGCTGGGGGTGGTCATCACCCTGGCCGAGACGTGCGGGCTGCACCGGTCGACCAAGCTCACCACCAGGGATCCAAGGATGGCACGGATACGCAGGAGAATATGGTGGTCCGTCTACGTCCGCGAGAGGCAGTCGGCCGCATCGCTTGGCCTACCTATGAGGATCAGGGACGAAGACTGCGATATCGAGCCCCTGACCAGCGCCGATCTACAACATGACCAAGACGGCAGTCCGCTCACGGGGCTCGGCTCTCCTACAGCAGAGCACCTGATCTATCCCGTCAAGATGGTCGAGCTGGCGCGGCTGCTCGGCAGGGTCATCGACATCCACTTCATCCCCGGGAGGATTCCCACGGCACAGGAAGAAGTCGCGCATCTGCAGGTATCGCTGGGCGAGTGGAAGGACAGTCTTCCGATCGAGGTGACCAAGATTTCGGGCGAGGATACTCCTTCTGTGTGGACCTGCCTCATTCATCTGGCGTACAATCACCTGCGCATCTTGATACATCGCAACGGGTTTCTGCGGCATGATGAACAGGACACACAGGCAGCTCTCGGCGCGGCAAGTCAGGTCAGCAGGATCGCAGAAGACATGCTCGATAAGAAGACCTTGCAGGTAAATTCTTCCACTCAATTAGAGACCCAAATTCATGAGTGTTGTCAATCATTACGCCACAGTAAGCTCACACGCAGCATCAGTACGGCCAGATGCACCTCATCACCAGCCTATTCGCTGCACTCTGCATTCACTCTATCAGCCTCAAGACGGCCAACGGTGTCGGCAGGAGACTCGCAGAAAACCGTGCTCAGATCTGCCTCCTGGGCCTGAAGGAGGTGCAAAAGTCTTGGCGCATCAACAACACCGTTCTCGATCTCTTTTTGCAATACCTCGACGAGTCGATAGCAAGGCGTCTCGGCGGCGGTGGCACCGATACCAATCGTGACGACAAGATCAACACGGCCAGATCACCGGCTGCCGTGTCTAGAGAGTCTAGCAGTGCAGGCCATTTGGCGCCCAAGGGTAACGACCCTTTCGAGCAGCCTGAGACGAGCTCGTTCGAGGATCAGTACTTCAATTTTCTGTCGACGAACTGGGAAGGGGAGAATGCCATTGATGATCTTGGCTTTATTTTGGATCCGCAATTCCGGGCGCAGACTCCGGCGGGTGGGCCGGCACAGCTGGATGGGTTGAACTTTCTGGAGAGGTGGTTGTGATTAGTGGTCTGTTCAGGAAGGGGGTGCCTCACCTTGGCAAAGAATTCACACGTGCATCGCAGTTATTCTCTTATGCAAAGTCCCGACGTCTTTACCAGCAGAAAAAGCACACCGCACACGAAGCGATTCGCCGTGATTACCGGAGGACACCGTCTCAGAAAAGCATGAGCACCACACACTGTCAGGGCTCACTTGCATTTGTGAGTAATCAATGATTTGTCCTGAAAACTATGCAAAGTAACAACGTAACGCCCACACGCCTCTTTCACCAGTCATGCTTGTGATTGTGACTGATGCAGTGTTATGGGCTACAATAATCCGGCAATTATATTTGTGTTACTTCAAGAGGTGTTCAAGGCAAACCTACTTAGATATTCTCCTCCCTTCTATGAGGGCTGCCTTTCTACCAGCAACGATAAATTTAATACTGAGCGCTTGACCTCACATAACCCGATCTCTCCGTAACAGAGAGCTAACGACTTCAACGCCTCGTTCTACTTACTTAATACCATAACTTTCTTGTCCACGACAGAATTCAGGACTTAATCTTATGACGAAAGAACTCACCATTGTCCTTTACAAGTCCTCTTACCTCTAAAACATGGTCCTCGGAGCGTCAAGATTCATCGAGCGATCAGATCCAGAAGACATGCCACCCAACGCGGAAAGAGAGATTCCCGGCCCAGAACACCATCCTCGCTCAAGCAATATCGAAAGATACCAAGATATCAAACCTAGGAAATTCCGCACTGTCCTACTCATCCGAGGAATTCAGGTACTTACTCAAAACATAGACCCGTACGACAGGCACAATTTTCTCAACAAGCTTTCCACGATAGTTCTTCCTGGCTGGATTAAGAGCGATACGATGGAGGGTGGGCCGGACGACTGGGAGGAGAGGGAGAAGAAGAGGCCTTGGTGTGCTTGGATTTTGCCTATTTTTCTTGAGATTTGTTCTTTAATTGCGGTGGTGGTTATGTTTGCTTGTGAGTAATTATTTCTAATCTTCTTTCTTCTCTTCAAAGTCCACTCCTCCCTCTTATGAAGCACTAGTTTGACTGATACTGTCACACACAGTATGCCTTCCGCGCAATGAGCGATGACCAGTTGCCTCGGCTCGCCGGACTTCGTCTATCAAGGCGTCAACATCTGCTCGCAGCTCGTGGCGGCATGGTACATGGTTGTCCTCTCCGAGGGGGCTGGACTGGCGTGTGTTTTTCTGGAGATGTATCGCGTCCACCACTGGGTCAAGGTGGTAAAAGAGTGGTCATGATAGGGGAGGAAGAAAGTGGAAATTGGTCTGGTCATAGAGAGGTCCAGTTGACTGAATGGAGAGGATCAATGTCATCCCTTTAAGAAGTTGAGTTACTGAAGAAGAACTTCTATGGACGAGGACACTGAAAGGGGGACGGTAAGGGTGGAGAAGTTTTATAAGAACGTTCCCTCGAGACTGCATTTAACTGTCAAATATAAACCTCATTACAACAAACCACATCACGTACGACCATACCTAGTGGAGAACTTGGGATCCCGTCTGCTCTCCCCTAAATAAGCCACTAAGGGCCGGATTAGTAGTTAAGTGGGTGACCATTAGCGAATACCCGGTGTTGTACGTTTTGTCTTTTGTCCTTTTTCTTCTTTTCTTCTTATTTCCTTCTTCCCCTGTGTTAGAAATTCCAAAAAACCTCTGTTTCAAGTAGCTCTGAATTTATTTGTATCAATGACAAGGCCGTAGTGCCCATGGCACTCTCGGCTGCGCAACAGGCAATTACTCAGGCTCGCCATCTAGGCAAAACAAGCCAACACAGTATCTATGGATCTGGATGATAGTTGGACCCCTCCAGCCTCAGATCCATACTGTGCCAGGACGGGATATGATGGCCAAAACATTGCCGCTCCAGTTGCTCGAGGCTCCCATACCCGTTCCTGCAACCCATGATCTCTCGTTCCAGCCACGGCGTCAGCTTCCCAAAGGGGTACAGGACAAGATCGACGGACCCGAGCGTCTTGAGCGAGCACAGGGTTGTCGCGACGCCGAGATAGAAGTCGTAGACGAACCGGAACCACCCAAAGTCAAGACTGTCCCACAGCAGCAGATCGTTGACCTCGAAAAAGGACCACCCGCTGGTGGCCATGTCGACGATGATGCGCAGCCGGGGCAGGTCCGCGTTCTCGGCCAGATACGACACGACGGCCCGCCAGCCGGCCTGGTAGTCAAACACCGGGCGCGGGCCGCCGCGCCAGTACACGCGTGACATGTCGCCGAAGCTCGAGGCGGGATACCCGCTGGCGAGCGCGCCGGCACCCCAGCCGTCGCACTGGGCTACCGTCATGGTGAACTGGATGCGCCGAAGGCGCCGCAGGGACGTTGGGGGGATGAGGCGCAGCACGGCCAGGGTCACGCCAAAGTCGTCGCCGTAGAAGTCGAAAAGGGCGTGCGAGTAGAAGACTTCAGAAGCCTCGTGGTACATCTGGCGGTCCACGAGGAACAGCGCCATGGGCAGGATGCGGCATCGGCAAGGCGGGGTGCTGGAGCCGTGCAGGGAACGACGATGGGAGCTGTGTAATCAATCACCCGCCTTTGTTCAGCATTTCAATTCATCATGTAAAGCGACGGTGAATTCGAGGCGTGGAAGTGCAGACAGACCATGGAAGGGAGAATTGCCCAACTAGGTTGAAATTGTCGACATCCAGTCTCCCGTCAAGTATAAGTAATTCCTCGAAACACGCGTCATAGCCACCTGTTCCTGGTGGCCCCAGGTGCGTGTTCTGGAGGACTCGCAGGCGAAGCTCTCCTGGAAGCATCCGAAAATCAAAGTGTGTAGCCGTGAGGCCTGGCTCCACGATTGGTGGCTCCAGGACGGGCAGCGGCTCCTGGTCTTGTGGCTCGAGACAAGGCTGCCCCGAACAGCCCCAGCTCGTGCAGCTGTGCGACATGGCGCTCAGAAGGCAACGACTGAAAATGCCAACGATAAGTGAGGCGCGTGATGGCGGGAGGGACAAGTAGGAAAGTGCAGCGTTGCGCTTTGGAGTGGAGGGTCAGTGTAGAGGCTTGAAGTAACTATTTTTGGATCTGAGTGGGTGTGTGGGGTGTAAATTATAGGTGCAGACTAGTGATAATTGGGTTGACTTGGTTGGGTGAAAGCTTCAGCTACATACTAAGTACTTACTAGGTGTGCATTTGCAGTGGTACGACTTTGGCATAGGTCAGGCAACGGACGAGGGTTGACTTATCTCTGTAGTAACAGCGCACTCCAAGCCCTTGAGGCCAAGAAAACCTAGCAACTCTTCCTGTCTTTGGAACAATTCTGATCCCAGAAGAATGGTTCTGCAGCTTTGTTCTCTTTTGTGCATCAGGAACTCCGTATAGACTCTGCGTCTCTGGGAAACTTCCACCTCCACTTTACGGAACTCACTCGGTAGTACTAGGCTTTCAAGCAAAAGTGAGTAATTACAGCGTAAATCTTAATCTCCTAGATAAAAAACTCATAAATCCACTCAAATTTCGCAATGGATGGAAAGTGCCCAAGTTGTGCTGGAAACAGAATATTAAAACTTTTACACGTGCATCCCACATCTAAAATATAGTAGCTAGCCCTTCAATGACTTGGTATGGGAGATCAACAAGAAAACAAAAACGAGGCTGTTGCCGCCGAGACTCCACGAGAATAGCCAATTTAATAATGCTGATTAAAGTATATTCTCTATAGCATGCCAACTCAGCTGGCTTGCACCTGCGGCGGGGCGTCCTCTCTCAACTTGCTTTCCAACCCTGCGAACGCCTCCAGCACATCAGTCGCCCTCGTGCTCAGCCACTCCTCCACAGACTTCTCGCCCAGCTTCCCCTCCGTGACAGCAAGCAGCGCATCCGGGCCGCGACCCCCAGACCAGGTCAGCTCGATCTTCTTCTCCACCACCTTGAGCTCCATGCCCGCCAGGACGGCGCTGAGCTGCTGGTTCGCAAGACGCCCTCCTGCACCGCCATAGCTGACAATCATGACTGGCTTGCCTGTAAACCCGGCCCACAGGAAGTCGACGGCGTTCTTGGTGGCGCCCGACATGCCGTAGTTGTACTCGTTGATGACAAAGATGTAGCCGTCGTGCGAGGCCATCTCGTCGGCCCAGGCCCTGGCTGCCTCTTCTTCAAACTGGACGCCCTTGGCGGCCATGAACTTGGGGGGCGCCGGCCCGCTGAAGATGGGGAGGTGGAAGGACTTGACGTCGAGGGTCTTGAGGGTGATGTTGGCTGTGCTGGCGGCAGGTTGGATGATTTTTTGGATCACGGCGCCGACCGAGGGGCCTATGCGGAGGGCTCGGTGGGATGTGACGACGAGGGCTACTGATTTTGCTTTTGAGGTCATCTTGGAAGAGGTTGTCTTGATGGAAAGGGGGCTGCTGAAACGGTTGAAAGGGGTGTTGGGAAGGGGTTGACGAGTGGCAATCACTTCACATGCAAGGCTGAGTAGGGACACTTTGTGGCAGCACAGCACAACACAAGCAGGACAACTGAGGATGGATGGATCTAACGTGAACTTGCCTTGCACTGCTTCGAGACATCTCTCACCAGTTCTAGCCAATTTGCCTGGTGAGGAAATTGGTTGTGAGAATTGGTGTAGACAAGTCTGTAATCAATCATGTAAGCATCAGGTAAGCATGTCTGAAGTGCGCTGGGTGGGTGTCCTGTAGTCTCGTTATTTGTTTCTCGGACAAGTTGTGGTCAGTTATAAGCACCGAATCTCTCCGTGGCTTTCAAATCAAATCATGGCCGGAACAAACAACTGCATTGCTTCATTAGTGGGTCCTCTCGGAATGATGATATCTCCGTCCACAGCAATGGTCGTGATGAGGACCTCGCACTTGCTAACTATCGAGATGGAGGCCTCGAAAGGCTTGTTCCAGAGTTGGCCAGAGGATCTTTTGTGAGGGAAAAAGGAAAAGAATAAAAAAAAGAAACCCTTTCTCGTGACGGTCACGTCTCCGCCCGCAGTGGTGTTGATGACTTGCCGCACTGCTCACCATAAAACTTGATGCCGAAAGACTTTCTCGTAAAGACGACCCTCTGAAAAAAAGAAAGAAAAAAAAAATACAAAGAAAAACCAGAAGAGACAAAAGACAGAGATGAAAAGAAAACTCCTCCTTCCCGAAAATGATGACGTCTCCGTCTGCAGTGGTGGTGATGACTTCGCACTGCTAACCCTCGAGCATGATGCCTAACGAGGTTCTTCCTGGAGACTGTCCTTTGACAAATGAAAAAGAAGAAAGGGAAGGGAAGGGGAAAAGAAATCCGAAGCCGAAAACCTTTAGCAGCTGTCCCTATCATGCAAGCCCAGATTGCTTCCCATGTATCGGATCCCCCCGGCCCAAAATAGCGACAATCCCTCCCTGCCCTGCCTCGACGCCTCACTGGGCCAGCATCAGGTTGGCGTCGTGGATGCGGCTCCTCCAGGCAGCCACCTCGGTCCGCAGCGCGACGACGTACTCGATGCGCTCGTCCTTCTTCATCAGGTCGACGTCGGCGTCGGCGTGAGGCGGCAGCAGCGTCTGGTTGAAGACGTTATGCTCCAGGGCCGGGCAGAACGTACCCCGGGCGCGCAGGAGACCCAGCAGGCGGGCGCGCTCGCTCATCAGGCCTGCGGCGGTGGCATGGCCCCGGCGGGCGACCTCGGCCAGCGCGGCCATGTTGAGGTGTCGGAGGACGGGCGGGCGCGCCGACGTGTCGCCGAGCGCACCGCCCCGGCCCGCTGTGTTGCGGAAGTCGAAGTGCCGGCACGCGAGGTGCTCGTCGATGGGGATGGTGCCGTCGCGGAGGCCCGTCCAGTCGCAGCCCCAGTAGGGGCAGTACTTCTTCTTGACGGGGTCCCTGGTGTGGTTCTCCAGGTTGTGACGGCTGAAGTCGTTTACCTGTCTCTGGCAGAAGGTGCAGAGACGTCTGCGCTGGGGTCCACCTGGGATTCTGTTGGGCGAGGCAAGGGAAATTTAAGTTGTTAATGTTTGTTCTGAGTCATGGCATGGCACAATAAAAAGTAGGCTTTTGTAAGAGGATAGTAGGAAATGTATAGGAGAGAGAGAGGAGGAAGGGAGAGGAAGTCATCATCAGGCAAAGAAGAAGAAGAAAAGAAACATACCGGACGGGCATGCCACCAGGACGAGCAGCAGGGGCCATGGCCCGGCGGGTAATAACCCACTCCGAGTTCTGGTCGTAGAACTCGTATACGGCGCGACCAAAGTGCTCCCTGGCAGCCGCGTCGCGCGTGGTGCCCTCGTGAGCGAGACCAGGGTTCTTGCGCAGGAACTCCTGCATGGCGTTTGAGATGGCGCCGGGAGGAGCCGCGGCGCCAGGGACGACAAGGGCGGGACCACCAGCAGCAGCAGCAGCAGTAGTAGTAGTAGCAGCAGCAGTGGTGGTGGTGGTCATGGTGGAGGAGGTGGCGGGAGCAGAGGAGGCACCTGCAGCAGCAGGAGCAGTGGCCATAGGGCCAGGGAAGGGGGCACCGTTATTGGTGGAAGACATCTTGCTGTTGGAGGAGGAGGAGGAGGAAGAGGAGAAGGTGAGGACGTTGGTGAAGGTGAATATGGTTGGAAAAGAAAAGAAAAGAGAAAGAGAAAGAGTTGGTTACGAAGAAGATGTGATGAAAGCTGGACCGTTTCAAGAAAAACAAGTTCGTCTTAAAGTTCTAAAAACATATTTATATAGTTGCAAGCCTTGTGCACAGACCGACTGCTCGCACATCTGGCCGCTTTCGTGATCTGGCAGAAAACTTTCGTCGAGGGCAAGGAAGTTTACTTTGACATCTCTTCCCAAGTGCAGTGATGTCCTCAGCACGAAGACAGCTTTCACGAACAAAGGGACAGGATGATGCGTCCCTCACGAAGAGGACACGACGCTATCATGAAAGCTGATCGAGGGCTCATTGCAAGCCTTCGCCGAGTTGGTGATTGCACGAGGCTGAGCCAGTCACTGCACGAGGCTGACACATGGAGATAGCTTCATCATGATTGTCCTGTCTTTAGTCCCCAACATGAGATGACTTGGTCACTTTGCAGGGCACACTGATTCAGAGATCACTTTGCACATCGAATGGCAAAAGTTTCATTTCCAACGTCGGGCTGCAGCTGCTGAGAGATTACACTCAGGCTCGTGTGATACAACATAGATTCTATGAGATTCTACTGCTACTGAACACTTGTTATTGACCTACACTGGCTAGCATGACTCTACTGTCTATTCTGTAGAAGGTTCCGAATACTTCTGAGAAACCCAGCTGTCATGACAATCTGTGATTGTTCTCAGAAAGTGCAGTATAGAGCACACTACTATCTTTGACAATGCATCTTTTGTCTCTGGCTATCATCTTTATGCCTTCAGCTACTGTTAAGAAATTAACAAGTCACGAAACTTTTACATAACCAAACCTTTGCAGCAGCGAAGCTTTTACCATACAACAAGAAATCTCTATAGAATCTAGCAGAATCTTTAATAACATCAATTCAATGAATACAGAATCCCCAGTACCGTTTCTCACTACTTCATAATAATAATCAGCTTTGATAAAGATCACCTTCTAGTCTAATTTGGGCGCAGAGACCACTTCTACAGCACACTCCTTGTGATGAAGCAGATGCTCTTTGGAAATGGCTATATCTATAGGAAAACATGATACAGCAATAGCAAGGCTCAGAGAAGAAGTAAAATGACATTATTTTCTTTTATACCAAGAGTTAACCAAAGGCCAACATTGGCTTTTCTGGAAGTATCCAGCCTAGAAACTAATCTCTTTTCATGACACAACATAAACATGATCTGGTGGACATTGTCAGCCCTTTCAAGGTTGAACAATGTATCAATAGTTTGCATTACTATAATCGGTCTCATTATAAGAGTTCAACACTAACATATGACAACACCCTAGGCTCCTATTTTCAGATCTAGAAGCTGAGAGTGGTATGGTCAAGATGATTGCCTGTTTTGAATCTGGCCACTGTTGTAGCCAAACTTCCATTGTGCAGGCCAATCACATACCTTTTTCACATAGCTGTCCATAGGTTGCAGTGACTAGTATTGCACATAAGTTTCCCAATCATGTCAATGCAGACGCAAGGACTGAACAAACACAATGGCTGATGGCAACAAGGCATTGTATGGAAAGTCTTTTGGCTGACACAAATAAAAGTGGTCACTGTTGACGAGTTAATTAGGCACAAGATGGATGAGAAGGGAAGATCAGACGAGAAACTTTTGATAAGTGCAGGATGAGACTGGCTGATGAGAAATCCTGGAAATGAATGGCTTTCCTCACAGGACCATTAGATTCCTTGCATCAGTTCCATGACTGTGGATTTTTGAGAGACATGGTCTTAACTTCTATTGAAAGCCTCAGTACAGTGTCAGGTATGAGGTGGTTACCTGCCACTAGAATCGCAATGACACACATTCAAGAGAAAAGAACAGTATCAACAGTCAGGAAAAGCAAGGCTGTGGATATGATCACATGTTGAAGTTGGGTTACTGAGGCCCTTGATTATCATCATGTGTCTTCACGAGTCTTCACGAGAATAAGTAGATGCCTATCAATATTGACCATGATGTTGACATCCAACTTTCTGCCTTATCACTAATTGTATACCATATCTAGAATGTGAATTCTTTTAAGCCGACAATGCTCTAGGCAGATGTTTCTAGTAACTCCTTGGTAATTGTAGAACTCTCTCGCTAATGTAATTGAGAATCATCTCCCTGCTCACAGGGGCAATCCGTGGCACAAGACATTCTCGGAACCATCTTTCAACATCGTACTCTGTGGCATATCCCATACCTCCATGCTAAGGAAGGAAAAACCATTAGCATCATCCACATCTGTGGTTAGGATAGGAAAGAGGTCCAGCTTCGTCCCATTTTCCAAGGGTCAAGAACACTCACCGTCAAGATAGCCCTCTCACAAGCATTGAACGCAGCCTCAGCCGCCATATACTTTGCACTATTACAAGCCACGCCAATCGCATCGGGCCGTATCGAGGGATCCGTCTTACCTGCATCAAACAGCCTCGCAGCATGGTACGTCGCCAGCTTAGCCCCCTCGAGGCGCATGAACGCGTCCGCCAGGGGGTGCGCGATCCCCTGGTTCATGCCGATGGGGCGCTGGAAGACCGTCCTCTCGCGCGCGTACGCGGCGGCCCTCGTCAGCGCCGCATAGCCCAGGCCGAGGGCCTCGCCGGCGAGCAGACACCGCTCGGCGTTCATGCCGTGCAGGATCATCTTGAAGCCCTTACCCTCCTGGCCGATGAGCGCGCTGGCGGGGATCTCGTAGTTGTCAAAGTACACCTCGTTGGCGTCGACGGCGCGGCCGCCCATCTTTTTGATCTTCCGGATGTCCAGGCCGGGCTTGTCTCGGTCCAGGTCGATGCAGAACAGCGACAGGCCCTCGCTCGGTTTTGTGTCGGTGCCTGTGTCCAGCGCCGTGGTCCGCGCCAGCAACATCATCTTCCGCGCCACCTGCGCACAGGTGATCCAGATCTTCTGGCCCGTCACTCGGTAGCACGAGCCGTCCGGCTGCCGCCTCGCCATCGTCGACAGCCGCAGCGTGTCCAGGCCCGCGTTGGGCTCCGTCACGCCAAAACAGGTCCGCCATGTGCCGGACACGATGTTGGGGATGGTGCTCTCCAGCTGCTCCTTTGAGCCGAACCGGGCGAGCGGCTGGGTGGCGTACACGTTGGCGTGGATGGCCTGGGCACCGGCCATGCCCGCCCCGGACTCTGTGATGGTCTGCATCATCATGGTGGCCTCTGCGATGCCGAGCCCGGACCCGCCCAGCTCCTCGGGGAGAGCAATGCCCAGCCAGCCGTCCCGGGCGAGGGCGGCGTGGAATTCCTTGGGGTCCTCTTCGTTCTGGTCGTGGTCGCGCCAGTAGCTGTTGGGGAATTGGGAACAGATGGCGCTGACTGCCTCGCGGACGGTGAGCTGGGTTTCGGTGAAGCCTGTTGTTTCCATGAGGCGGTTTGGAGGGGTTGTTGAGAAGGGCTGGTGTCTTTTTGGGTTAAGAGACGAGAATAGGACTGGTTCGAGTTGTTGGGGGACGGAGGAGGTGCGTGGAGGGAGGCGATGATGGATGCAGTGCCATGCTGTTCTACGTAGGGAGAGAGACATGATGAGATATCATTGAGTGTGGGAGAGGAGGATTTGTACTTGGTTATGACACGAGGACATGCATAGATGAACAAGTTTACTGACTTTTCATGTATTATGAATGATCTTATGTACCAAATAATCTTTTGCAGTGTCAACCATCGTCAGTCGGGGGACTTCTCTAGTGAGGAGGGGGCGGGTCTGCTTCGGTTATATGAAGTCGGCTACTTGGGTTTTTGTTTGTTATTTCTGCAGAAATGATACAACTTGTGTACTGAATCTGGAAGATGGATTTGCAAATGGTCCTCACTTCTATCACCTCGGCTCTCCTCATGACGGCAGCACCACGTTCGATGTTATTACTTGGTGTCTACGCATGTTCCATTTAACAATGCAAACAATTGTCTTGAGATTGTGTAGCAGGAATTAATTGATTGCTTTCGTTGCACTTGCTTATTTACCCAGTTTCAACAACATCTCAAAACTGATACAATAATTACACACAATGAATAACGTCTAACACCGGCTCCCAACATGTATCGCCTTCAGTATCGCCTTCAGCATCTCCTCCACTCACATCTACCAACTTCTCGTCTCCCTCCCAGACTCACCTCGTCGGCAAGGCGATGCTATGCCGCTACTCCTCGTCCCCGCCCCACCAGACAACTCCCCCTACAAGGCATCACCGTCGTCAGCCTGGAACAAGCCATAGCAGCGCCCTTCTGCACGCGCCAGCTCGCCGACCAGGGCGCCAGGGTGATCAAGATCGAGCGGCCCACCACGGGCGACTTTGCCCGGCAGTACGACACCCGAGTGCGAGGCCAGTCCTCACACTTCATCTGGACGAACCGGTCCAAGGAGAGCCTGGCGCTGGACCTCAAACAGCCCAAGGGCCAGGCCGTCCTCAGGGCCCTGCTCGGCCGCGCCGACGTGCTGGTGCAGAACCTGGCGCCGGGCGCGACAGGGCGGATGGGCCTGTCGCACGAGGCACTGCAGGACCAACACCCACGGCTGATCGTGTGCGACATCTCCGGGTACGGAGCGGACGGGCCGTACAGAGACAGGAAGGCCTACGACCTCCTCGTGCAGTCCGAGGCCGGGGTCCTGTCCGTCACGGGCACGAGAGACGAGCCTGCCAAGGTGGGCCTCTCGATCGCGGACATTGCGGCGGGCATGTATGCCTTCACCAACATCCTGGGCGCGCTCATGACACGGGACAGGACGGGCCGCGGCGCCAGGATCGACATCTCCATGCTGGAGAGCATGGCCGAGTGGATGAGCTTCCCGCTGTACTACACGTACCAGGGCCAGCCGCCTCCGAGGCGCGTGGGCGCGGCACATGCTACCATCTATCCCTATGGCCCCTTTTCGACGGGCGCCGACGGGGGCTCGGTCATGCTGGGCCTGCAGAACGAGAGGGAGTGGGCGAGGCTGTGCGGCGAAGTGCTGGGAGATGCGGCGCTGGCGTCGGACGCGCGGTTCAACACCAACACCAAGAGGGTGGAGAACCAGGAGGCGCTGAAGAGGATCATGGACAAGGTGTTCTCGACGCTGACGGCACAGCAGCTGCTGGAGAGGCTGGATCAGGCCGGGATCGCGAATGCCAAACTGCGCGACATGGCGGACGTGTGGGCGCATCCTCAGCTGCGGGCGCGCGGGCGGTGGACCGAGGTGGACACGCCCGAGGGTCGTGTGCCGGCTCTGATCCCTCCTGGATCTGGGGCGGTGGACGAGGCTCGGATGGATGCTGTGCCTTTTGTGGGAGAGCATAATGAGAAGATTCTCGCTGAGCTTGGGATGGAGGATTGAATATTGTTGACTTTAAGAAGTATTGAGGGCGACATTATCCACAATGCCGAAGAGAGAGAAGTAAACTTGCATTTTATATAAGTGATATAGAAACAAAAGAGACAAACAGTAATTGTCAACTCTATTCCTGTATATGTCTTTGGTTGACCGTTTTGTAGGCAGGTTGGTAACCTTATATAATTATCATCTCAATTCAATATCGTCGATTATTATCAACATCATCATGATAATGAATCGTTCAGTTTCACGAACCATCTTCTCAAGCACCAGAATAACAGAATTTCAAACCAAGATAAGACAGAACGGGGGTAATATGACTGATCATTTGGAGATTGCACCATGGGACCTCATAGACTTTCATTAATTACCCCAATCTTCATAACCTTTACTTATCAGTATCGCCCCTCAAGATATATAAACAGGCCTCCTCCTCCTCCTCCTCCTCCTCCCCAAGCAAGCAAGCGATAACCTCCAACATCTTCACCCCAGTAAACATCATTCCCTACTCCGCACTTCCACTCAACCCAACCATGTCTACAATAACCGAGGCCTACGTCGCCCAACCACCCTCCCCCCCAACCCTCAAGAAAATCAAGTACCCGACCCCTCTCGCCCCCCATGAGGTCCTCGTCGACATCGCTGCCGCCTCCATCTGCCACTCCGACCTCCGCGCCGCCGCAGGGACCTTCCTCCTCCCACCGCCCCTCATCCTGGGCCACGAGGGCGCCGGCCGTGTGCGCGCCGTCGGCCCAGAGGTGACCTATGTCCAGCCAGGCGATGCCGTGGTCCTGGCGTTTGCCTCGTGCATGAAGTGCCGCTGGTGCAGGAAGGGGCAGAATCCGTACTGCGACGAGATGTTCCGGCTGAACTTTAGCGGGCGGAGGGATGATGGGAGTGCAGTGGCGACGGTGGTGGAGGACGAGGAGGACGGGAATAAAGAGGGAGAAAGAAACGTAGAGGTGGGTGGGTTCTTCTTTGGGCAGAGCAGCATGGCGCGGATCGCCCTGGCGAGGGAGGAGAGCTGTGTCAAGATTGGGCATGTGGGAGAGGCGGATTTGCGGTTGTGCGCCACTCTGGGCTGTGGGATTCAGACGGGCGCCGGCACCATCATGTGAGTCTTCATCATCAGTTACAGTAGTAACTTAATTGCCTACTGAACCTCTTTTTGTTCATCACAATTGATCATGCTCCAGGAATGTCGTCCAACCACCTCCCGGATCAAACCTGGCCATCTTTGGCGGCGGTGCCGTCGGTCTTGCTGCCCTGCTCGCGGCCCAGCTCACCTCGCCAGCCTGTATCGTGCTGGTCGACACGTCGCAGACCAAACTGGACAACATCCGTGCAATGTCGATCCTCGGGCCCAATACGCACCTGTACAACCCCTCAGGCAAGTCCAACGAGGAGGTTGCCGCGGAACTAAACAAGTACACACCTGACGAGCACGGCATGGACTTTGCGCTGGACTGCGTCGGGAACGAGAACATTATCAAGACGGCACACCTGGCCCTGGACAATAGGGGAATGCTCGTGACGATTGGGGCGGGCGTGGCCTCGAATGTGGCCGGGTTTAATCTTGAGGAGCACCTGGTCAAGGGCATCACGCATCGAGGCACGCACCAGGGGGACTCGGTTCCTAGGCAGATGATCCCGAGGCTGTTTGAGATGTATAAGGAGGGGCAGTTTCCTTTTGACAAATTTGTGACTGCGTTTGGGTTTGAGGAGATGGATAGGGCTTTGGACGAGATGAAGAATGGCAGAGTGGTCAAGCCTCTTTTGGTTGTGTGATTTATTATTAGGTATATATCGATTTCTGCAAACAAGGAAAGAAGAAGAAGAAGAAGAAGAAGAAGAAGAAACAACTAGATAGTAAACAAGACTATAATGAATGAGATTGTGAATGAGAGTAGATCAGTCTTTGAATCATTCTCTTCATACTTACATTTACATTCCTAAAGATGGTCTGGAGAACGGCATATAACCGAGCCGGCTATTTGATTATTTGACCCCACACTCACTCAACTCAATCAACCTCACAATCTCAATGAGACGTACATTGAGCTGCCGCAAGACTGCTTCTCTGTGGCTAAAGTCTTGAGGTCTGATACAGTAGATACAATCAACTTTGACCTGGCGCCTCAATCATCCTCCTAGAATCTCTTCCTTTTCATTCATTCAACAGTTCTGACACCTACACATGGATTTATGCCTTCTCACCTGCTAGGCCAAACCATCCCACTCACCACCAGGCCTTATTCACCTCCTTTCAAAATGGCCACACTCCTAACCTCCTCCGCCGCCGCTTCACGTCTCTGTACAAGGCACGCCCGCCACAGCACAAGAACCCTCACCACCGCCACAGACGCCGCCCAGGCCATGCTCCAAACCTTCCAAGCCCAGACCAAGACCCTCCGCCAGACGCTCGACCCGCACCAGCTCCAGAAACTCAGCCTCACCCTGGGCCGCACCCACCTCCACCCAGACCTCGACATAACCGCCCGCCCTCCACCAGCCGGCACCCCTCTCCCTCCCGGCTACCACCTCGTCTACTTCAGCCCGGCCCAGCTCGAGGCCGACCTGGGCGCCGACGGCACGGACAGGACCTTCAACGCGCCGGGCTCCTTTTCGCGGCGCATGTGGGCGGGCGGGCGCATGAGCTGGACGGAGGGGGTGGCCTTGTGTGTCGGGGACGAGGTCGAGGAGCGGACGAGGCTGGTCGGTGCTGTGGCCAAGAGGAGTCGGCAGCGGCAGCCAGGGGGCGGGGGGGAGATGGTGCTTGTGGATGTGGAGAAGGAGTTTTGGGGGCCTCGAGGGTTGGCTCTTGTGGATCGGCGGTCGTGGGTGTTTCGGCCGCCGGCGGAGGAGAAAGAGGTGGGAAAGGAGGTTGCTGTGTCTGTGCCGAAGGGGGTGGTGGTGGGAGGTAAACGGTCAAGTGTTGAGGATGTGAAAGTGGGTGCTTCTGGTGAGTTGCATGAAGAGAGAGAGAGAGAGAGAGAGAGAGAGAGAGAGAGAGAGTGCGTGTGTATGAGTGAGTGTATATGAAATTACAGTACTGACTATTATCAAGTAGACCTGCCCCAGCGCAAGCTCACCTGGTCTCCAGTCGCCCTGTTCCGCTTCTCCGCCCTGACCTTCAACGCCCACATGATACACTACAACGAGTCCTGGACAAGAGACGTCGAGGGGCACCCTGCTGTTGTCGTCCACGGTCCTCTGAATCTCATTGCTATGATGGACTACTGGAGAGATGTGCACGGGAAGAACGGCCAGGAGGCAGGAGAAATCAGCTACCGGGCTCTTTCACCTCTTTACGCTGGAGATGAGTATACGATCCGGACAGACTCGGTGGGGGAGGAGGATGGTGAGAAGGGGAAGAAGACTTGGGAGGTTGCTGTTGCTAAGGGTGACAAGGTATGTATGAAGGGCACCATTCTTGCTCATGCATAGGATGAGAAGATTCAAGTGCTTGTCTTGTATGCTGCATAGAGGAAAATTTTAATTGCATTTACATCACAGTGCTTTGGGCTTTGGAGTGTAATGTATGTATTACATCTCAGTCAATGTGCTCAAGATGATGTATCTTCTAAAGAATCAGACCTTAGACCAAGACTGTATGTTATGATGAGTGCTGAAACATACATACACATGTATGATATAAAAGGTTCTGCTTGGGTCGTGCTGACTTTTGACAAAGTCAATGGCTTGAAGTATGGAAGCCACTGCCTGCAAGAGATCAGGCAGTAGCACAACAATCAATGGATGAATGAGCCATCTAAGAAGGCAAGTCAAGTTTGATCTCATAAAGTATTAACTTGTCTGGCACCAGCATCATGATTTCATCTCGTTGTGTGTTTGGTCTCAAGTATTACCAAATGAACAGGCCAGGGGTTACTCATCAGGCTTTAATTTCGATGTTGGACCAGAGGCATCAGAACCGTCTATCGTGTATGACACGACACACCTTGCTCTATCTGTAGTGATGGCCACGTGAGTGAATGGCATTGATGATATCCTCTTTACAGCAGGTTGTGGCTACCCAGATTTGGATGGTAATTATTGTCAGTCCTCCTCATAGAAATTACTCCTGCAAGCATAACAAGTTCCAAGTAAAGGCCATCAGATCACGTCAAGTTGGTAGAAAATGATGCTGTAGGTTGGGAAGAGGCGCTGGAGGTATAGACAATGCCGATAAGTGTAGTCGCACCACAGTACAGGGGGTTCAGTACACCTATGCAGTGTCTGGGGACAACGAACCAGGGACCCTCCAGGGCAGGCTGAACAACTATCGTTTAGCGCACCTCAGGCTCCTATCCGGCTGGTTCGGACCAGCAGGCCCCCTGCAGTTCATCCTCTTCAGCGCCGCGTCATCCGGGGTCTAGCAGCCGTGGGCCAAGGGGGGACCGGCCATCCTTGCGCATCCTCCTTCCTTTGCCTCCTTCTCGACGACGCCAAGAACGGTCGACACCACACGAGGCACCCAAGCCAAGCAGAAACCACCAGAAGATGCATTGCCGTGAGGAGAGCGCGCAGTTCTCCTCTCTTCAGTCTCGGCCTTCAACGAATAACACAAGATTACACAGTGACTGATCTCGAAATTGTCGACTGGTGGCACAGATCACAGACCGCCACCGCTGATCGCGAACTCTCTCCCCCCTCTCGACCCACGTTTTCCACGACCCTGCTATCGTGATCAACACCCAAAATGTTCCCGCGCGTGGCCGGCCCACGCCGGCTCGCCGGGACGGCATTTCTTGTCTTTCTCATCTGGAGCCTCATCCTGTGGCTCTTCCTGCCCTACGACAACCCGATCCTCCTCTTCATACAGTTCACCACCTCGCGGGTCCTCTCCATCTTTCGCTCCTCGGTTGACGACGAGCGCCTCCTGCTCGAACTGCCCGGACGCTTCCCCTTCTCCGACGACGAGGTCGCGTACGTGGTCAAGACGGGCTATGGCACACAGCATCGCGTGCCGGCACTGCTGGAGGCGTCGAGGAGCATCGGCACGGGAACCCTGTACGAGGAGGATAATATCCTGATCGTGGGGGATTTTGCTGGGGAGCTGGACTTCCAGGGTCGGCCGGTTGTGGTCTATGATATGGTGGCGGCGGTCATGGAGGACGAGGCCGTCATCAGGATGGAGACCAAGAACACGGAGCGCATGCAAAAGTACGCAAACATGACCAGGGCTATCCTGGACGGGGAGAAGGAGGAGGCAGAACGGTATTCCAAGGCCGTGGGGTGGGAGCTGGATGCTCTAAAGGTAATGATGACAATTTGAACTCCCTGTGATTTTCAACTGCAAAAAACAACCAACGCCTTGTCATGCTGAGAGTCTGTTGTGTGCTAACCGTTTACACCTTACAAAACATAGTTCATCCCGAGTCTACAACTAGCATGGAAGCAATTGCCAGGCAAGAAGTGGTACATTGTTCAAGACGACGATACGTTTATGATCCGGCCATCGCTGTACCGCTTCCTCGAGCACCTGGACCCGTCGACCCAAGAGCTGTACCTAGGCAACGCCATCGGCGACTACAAGGGCCGGTTCGCCCACGGCGGGTCGAGCTTTATCCTGTCCAACAAGGCCATGCGGCGGCTCCTGGACGACAACCCGCAGGTCGTGACCCAGGCCTACGTGGAGTCCCTGGACGAGACGTGGGGCGACAAGCTGGTGGCGACCACGCTCATGAAGGTCGGCATCTACCTGAGCGAGCGGTACGGGCACTTTTTCAACGGCGAGAGGCCCCTGATCACCAAGATCGCCGCGGACCGCATGTGCTCCCCGCTCGTGTCGTTCCACGGCCTCGCGCAGCCGGAGCAGATGAAGGACGTCGGCAGGACCTTTGCCGACCTCGACCAGCCCGTGTTCTGGCGGGACCTGTGGCGCATCTACGGCCAGCCGAGCCTGGAGGTCTTTGAACAGCTGCCGATTCGCATGGGCCAGGACCACGTGGGCAGGCAGGACGACCCGGACATGAAGCTGTCTGGGGTGCGGTCGGTGGACAAGTGTGCCACCGCGTGCGAGGGTCGCGGGCAGAAATGTCTGGCCTGGACCTGGGACAAGCTCACCGAGGTGTGTTTGATGAGCCCCTGGGTGATTGTCGGCGAGAAGCCAAAGGACAAGTTCTCGGGGCTGAATGTCAAGGAGGTGAGGAGGCTGGAGAGTCAGTGCGGGAAGGTGTCGTACTGAGAGGAAATCCGGCTTGTTGGAATATGGACATACTTTGTCCCATGTTGTGTCTACATGTGTAAAAGTTGCATTTTCGGAGTTTAAGAGAGGCGAAACTAAATTAATGATACCCCCCCCCCACCCCCCAACCCAGTCTACAGAAGATTGGGACAGCAGATACTGGGGGTTCCTTCTAATTCCATCCTTTAGAATAATGGTGCTATTTATTATCTTGCACTGCGACTAATTTTCAAACTCATTATCATATATAACTCGAAAGCTACCATTGATCTCATCACATTTACAGTACAAGGTGACCGTAGCAGCTATGCGACAATACGATCTTGCGTATAATTATATCAGCACCAGAGAAAGGGTCTTCGGGCCGATGGACGACATTCCTGCCTGTGTATTAAACGCTAGTACGAATGCATACCTTGCGTTGCTCCAACAGGATGACGAAAGGAGTGTGAGAAAGCAAGAGAGAAAAAAGAGTGTGTGTGTGTGCGGGGGAGGCGCTGGTTGGGCGGTGTGTGTGTCAAGTGGCACTCTTGTGTGTGTTACTGTAGTATAGCTTTTTCCAGGCCCCCGCCACGGGTCATCGCTGATGTACTGACGTCAGGGGAGGAAGAGTCAAGAGGTCGCATCCTGATCCTGGGCTGCCATCCAACTGCTGTGCTGCAGGACTACTACACTGTACCTCGCCTCGCCTCCCCCAAGTACTACAACTGACGAAAGGACCCAGGGGGCTGGGTCGACTAATTAATTATATTCCTCTACTGGCCAACCGACCTGGCTCCGTGCAACCCTTAGACAAACAACAACAAACCTACGAGAAAATAAAGACAGAGAGGATCATCATCCTTTGTCCAGTCTTCACTTTTTCCTTTTTTGGATCAAGAAGAAAACATAAAAAGAATACTTCGTCCAACACGACCTTAAAAAGAATCACAACACACCGTTGTCGAGCCATCATCGCGTGTTGGGTCCAACCTAGAAGCGCCCCCCCCCCTCTGGAATTTCCTCCTCAAGGTACGATCGAAGAGAACCAAAAACCCAAAACCCCACCCATTTTACCCACATGCTCGCGTGTCGATCTCACTCGCTCATGGTCCATGTGGTGGCCCTGCTTTTGTCGAGGGTCTACGAACTTTAAAACCCCTCCTTTTTTATATATACGTATCTTTTTTTCTCAAGACCAGTATACCTATAACAGGCAGCAGAGGTCTTTGTGAAGGGTTTCCTTATTTTGCTTCTTCTTCTTTTTTCCTTGAAGGATACATATTATTTACTTACCATTCATCTGTCGTCTTCCTCCAGCTCAGTCAGCCAGCCAACCAGTGCTCCTCCTCCGCCGAGAAACAAGAACAGATACACATCATGGCGGACAACGTGCAGCCGAACCCGCAGGCCACGGGGAGCAGTTGGACTTCGTTCTTGAAGGTAAGCAAGCTGGTGCCCCCTTTGCCCTCTCCCTCCCTCCTCGGTGTCTCTTGTCTCCAACCGACGCAGCACAAGAACAGAGAAGAAAATACAAGGAAGAGAAGAGAAGAAAGCTCCCCCTTACTAATGCCTTGGCCCGCCCTTTCGGTGCTCTCTAGTCCATCGCCTCCTTCAACGGCGACCTCTCCAGCCTGACCGCGCCGCCCTTTATCCTCTCCGGCATCTCCCTCACCGAGTACAGCTCCTACTGGTGCGAGCACCCGGCCGTCTTCGCCGCGCCCGCCAAGGAGGCCGACCCGCAGAAGCGCGCCATGCTGGTGCTCAAGTGGTTCCTCTCCACCCTGAAGCAGCAGTACGCCACACGCAGCGAGAAGTACGGCAACGAGAAGAAACCTCTGAACCCGTTCCTGGGCGAGCTGTTCTTGGGCACATGGGAGGATGACGCGGGTACTACGGAGCTCATCAGCGAGCAGGTCAGGTATGGATAGAAAAGAAGCAGGAGAAGAATTCCCAGAGAAGAGGGAGGAGAACAAATAGAGGAAGAAGAAGAAGGACAAGGCTGACGAGATAATGCGTGTGATGCCGCAAAACAGCCACCACCCGCCCGCCACAGCCTACAGCATCACCAACATCCCCACAGGCGTGCACCTTGAGGGCTACAACGCACAAAAGGCAACATTTGGCAAGACCATCAACATCAAGCAGATCGGCCACGCGATCCTGACGGTGCCCACGCCGTCGGGCGACAAGGAGACGTACCTCATCTCGCTGCCCTCGCTGCACGTCGAGAACCTGTTCCTGGGCGCGCCCTTTATCGAGCTCAACTCGGCCTCGTACATCACCAGCTCGTCCGGGTTCACCGCCAAGATCGACTACGCCGGCAAGGGCTGGCTGTCGGGCAAGAAGAACAGCTTCGTCGCCACGCTGTACCCGACGGGCCGCGAGAAGGAGGTCCTCTACAACGCGTCGGGCCAGTGGACCAAGCAGTTCGAGATCCACTCGGGCCCCGTCAAGCACAACGCCGCCGCCAACCTGCTCGAGTCGTACGACGCCGTCGCCGCCGCCACCACCCCCCTGAACGTCGCGCCCATCGAGAAGCAGCACCCGCTCGAGTCGCGCCGCGCCTGGCTCAAGGTCGCCGAGGCCATCCAGAAGGGCGACATGGACACCGTCGGCCGCGAGAAGGGCAAGATTGAGAATGCCCAGCGCGAGCTGCGCGCCAAGGAGAAGGCAGAGGGCCGCATGTGGCAGCGCCGCTACTTTTCTGTGCGCATCGAGCCGGACCCCGTGCTGGCTCAGCTCGGCGCCGTCGTCGGCGTGCCGGATCATGGGGACGGGGACAAGACGGGCGGTGTGTGGCGGTTTGATCGGAGCAAGGCCGACAAGGTGAGGGCGGAGCCGCCTCTGGGTGAGGAGGAGCAGAAGGTCTTTGCTAGGGATTTTCTTGGGCAGTAATGGGTTTGGCAAAGGGAGAAGGATGTTCTGGAGATGGTAAGATGTGAAGACAAGGCCGAACTAGTCATGGCAGAGAAGAAGTGTCGAGTCACACAGGGAGGTAGATGGGGATGGGATACAATAGTAGCTAGCTCTGGCGTATCTGGGAACCTGGCGCTGGCTGGTTGGTTGGAGAGATACAGGGTTACTTGTACGAGAGGAGGGGGACAGAGAAGAGAGTGGAAACATGCGATTGATAAAGCATGCCTGCGATAATATATAAAGACGGCATAAGTATACTGGACAGAGAAAGCGAGTGTGTGCGAGTGTGACTATGAGTAAGTTATTAGTGAGTAAGTGAGTGAGTGAGTGAGCGACCCAGAGTAACTCAAGGTAGGAGGAACCTGTGATACAGCCAGGCATGCGCGTTGGTAAACGAATTCTGGTTTTCAATGTGTAGGTGACCAATATTGCTCTACGTGTTGCGTTCCCTGTGATCGACTCAACTCGAATCTCGGCCAATTGCCAAGACCAGACAATACAATCAACCGGGTGGGAGAGGAAGAAGAGAGGCTTGTCAAAAGTAGGTATCAGATGATTTCTCATTTTAATCAAGGGCACAAGTAACTACCGCTCGTCGCCCCATTTGTTTCCTGATCGGATTTCCTAGATATAGGACCGCCCCGAAATGAGGGCTCCCCCCCTTAACACCACGTACACCGACCGACCACCCAAGAATTGTCCATTGTTCGAACAGGGAGATGGCCCCCTCCCCCACTTCATGTTTGGGGGTTTTTTTTTCTTCAGGTCCCTGGGCAGATTTGCAGAATTCATTCTCTCAAGGGGTCCCAGAAAATTGCATTCTTTGCATAATTCTTTTCCCAATTCTTTTCAACAGTTTCTATACTGTCTGCTGACAACTTCTTACAGCTGACCGGCGGTGTTGAAGTCCTTGAGGGCCACGGTGACACGGGCAGTCATGGTCTTCTCACCCTCACGAACCCACACACGGGGGTCGAAGAACTTCTTGTTGGGCTTATCCTCACCATCGGGGTTGCCGACAGCAGTCAGCAGGTAGTCCTTCTTGCCGAGGAAGTAGTCGCGCATGCCGGACATGTAGGCGAACTGCATGTCGGTGTCCATGTTGACCTTGACCACACCCAGCTTGATGGCCTGCAGGTACTCGTCCTTGCTGGAGCCGGAGCCGCCGTGGAAGACAAAGTACACGGGCTTGTCCTCCTTCTTGGACAGCTGCTCCTTGACGTAGACCTGGTGCTTGCCGAGCAGCTCAGGGTGCAGCTTGACATTGCCGGGCTTGTAAACACCTGTTGTGGAGGAGTGAAAGCTGTTAGTCAACTGGAATCATGGAATTGAAAGGTGTAACTGGTACTCCGCGGGATTCCTCATGTAAACTTACCGTGGACGTTGCCGAAACCAGCAGCAATGGAGAAGTAGGGGCTGATGGGCTCGAGCTTCTTGACGATGGCCAGGATGTCCTCGGGCTGGGTGTAGAGAGAGTTGTTGTCGACATCCTCGTTGTTGACACCATCCTCCTCACCACCGGTGATACCAATCTCCATCTCAAGCCACTGCTTCATGGGGGCAGCACGCTTCAGGTAGGCAGCGGTGGTCTCGATGTTGAAGTCGACAGGCTCCTCCGACAGATCGATCATGTGGGAGGAGAAGAGAGGCTCGCCGTGCTCCTTGAAGTACTTCTCGTCGGCGTCGAGCATACCGTCGAGCCATGGCAGAAGCTTCTTGGCGCAGTGGTCGGTGTGCAGGATGACGGGGATGCCGTATGCGGGCGCAATGGAGCGGATGTAGTGAGCGGCTGCGACAGAGCCAGCGACGGACCCGGCTTGGTCACCGTTGGCAACGCCCTTACCGGCGAAGAAGGCAGCACCACCCTGAGAAGTCTGCAGAATGATGGGCGACTTGGCATCGCGGGCAGCCTCGAGAGAGGCGACGACGGTCGAGCTGGAGGTGACGTTGATGGCGGGGATGGCAAACTCGTGCTCGCGGGCGTACTTGAACAGAGCCAGGACGTCATCGCCAACGATGACACCGGTCTTCCTGGAGAGAACGTCTTGAGCACCCATTTTGGAAGAGTTTATCTGTACGTTTGTAGGCGATGTATTTTTGGTTTCGGTAGAGGGGAGGAAAATAGGATGATATCTCGTCGGTAGAGGGATTTTGTTGGTCTAGAAGATGATGTAGGTGTTGTTGTTGTCAGTACAGGAAGCAGGTAGCGAGGAGTAAGAAAAGCTAGCAGCAACGAGGTATAAAAGGAAGAACAAAGTTGGAATCTGCTTGGTGGCGTGTCAGTGGGGCGGAGGGGTAAAGTTTCCCTGAGTCGCAGTGAGGTGAAAATTGCGATCTGATGGGTTGAGGTGTTTCTGAGAAGAGCGATGAAAACTCCGGGCTCCCCTGTACTTGACACCTGCGAACGGTACTAGACCATCTGCTGTCACCAAAAGGTATGACACAAGACAGTCCACTGTGGGAAAAAGGGTGGGTTCGGTGGATTTTGAGACATCGATATGAGGTCAATAGCCAAGCAAGACGCTTGTCTGCTCTTCAGCCCCAGCCAAGCAAAGCCTGAGGGTTTATGCAACTGCCAGCAAACAGCCCAGAGGAAGAGAAAACTGAGGATACTGGTAGACTGCCCCATCGAAAGCAGCCTGCCAGTAGCTGCTATTTGTTATTGCTGCCACCGTTTTCCACAGGTGCTGAGTACTTAGGCAGATGGGTTGCGGCTGCACACCGGTGTTGTCATGGCGGGGTAATTTTGAATGCGGCGAATACAGGGCAAGACCCTCCCTGCAAGATCACAAGATGGCGACCTTACAGGGTGACCGTCCAATTGATGACCAGAATGTGTAATAGGCAGGTTGAAAGAATATTTGAATCAGACGTACCAGTTGTGTACAGCAGAGTGTGGACTTTCTTTTGATGTTCAATGGGCAGCAGGCACAGAAACAACAGCTGGAGGGGGAAACAGAGTGAGAGTGGAAAGGAAAGGTGGGGTTCAAATTTGTTTAATACGTCGTCATAGCCTCCGACGTCCTAGGCCCAGGCCCAACCCGATCTGCCTCTCAATACCCGTGCGCCGAGTATCCCCCGCCATCACCCAGCAACTCGGGACGATTCCTGGAAGGAATCACCGGAATGTTTCGGAACCTCACTTTCACAGCGTTCTAGGCATACTTATGCTTGACCGAAACACCAATTACCTTCTTTGATTTTTGCAGATTATTACAGTATAAACAATTCCTTGTAAATTTACATATATTGAATCAACACTACATCTTGCATACAGCTACAGGCTAGCTGCGCACCCGAGCACTAGGATAAGTCTGGGCCTCCTATGAAACGTTGACATGAATCTGCATGGTACGACTCTCTCGGCACTCATTTGGAGTATATTTTATTTCGGTCTCTTGCCGAAGACCATATTTCGACATAAATATCGGTGCTATTTACGGACCGAATGGTCTCCTTTTCAAGTCGTATGTTTAGGTGGTCTTTGGGCACTTAAGCATACTGGGGCTGGAGTGCTAAAAGTCAGGCCATGTCTCTCATGATCACTTGAGTCTAAGATTGAGTCCAAGCACAAGCTTTCAGTCTGAGGCTTACAGTCAAACCGTTTTCGAAAATCTGACAGCCTTTTCATTAAACATCTCTTGCTGCTAAACTTTTCAAATTGCAGCTACTTGTCTAGGCTTATTAGCTCTTCCAGTCTTTAATACACAGAGTAAACATGCTATCAAAAGTTTGCGAAAAGTTTGCGAACAGCAAACATTGCAGCCGCACATTAGCTCTCTGAACGTTGATGTTTCAGTGCTCTGGGAAAACAGATACACGAATTTACCAATATCTCGTCTTTGCGAATCCCCTTCTGCTCTGTCTATTTACGTGCATGTTCCTGAATTTCGCTCAAAGCAGAAAATGGCCGCTAGAATAAAGTGTCAGATATCAAACCGGGTAAAATGTTTTTGACTACCAGTCATCTCAACAACCCCCTTACTCTTTAATTCATCATTTCTCGTCACATCTTGAATTCGCTAGAACAAAATGTTTTGAACATGGAAAATCAATTGCTATTTCGTCGACCACGTTATAACCAGCAAGCGTTCACGACGAATGTCTTGCTAGATAACCACATGCAGGCACTCTGAAAGCTTGAAGTCTCGGGACCTCTCTTTTCCCCTTCTGCTAATGTTGTCGTTATTTAAGGTCATGCTTCATGGTTTGTCAAGCCTTGTTCCTTCTCTGCTAGATGTTTCTGAGAATTTACATTTGAGGGTGTCATTCTCTGCTCCCGAGCTATCATAAAATCGATGAAGTCCGAGAACGGAGCCTTGTTTCCTCTACAGGTACGAGATTCTGATTTCTCTTAGTGCAAATTCATAGTCCTATACGTAGACACTGCCCGCCTGGCTGCCTTCCACATTATTCACATGCAGGGTGACCAATTCTACGCTACTGTGCTGTCCACTCTGCACACAAATACGACGCTGCTATTCCTCTCTTCGAAGCACCCCTTGATGAATCGCCTGCGTGACCCGAGGGGAAATAATTCAATTCCATATAACGTCGATATCGAGACAGTACGTTGCTTCAGTATTGGATAGATCTCGAAGCCGCTGTTCAACATCAAGCTGCCTGCAAAGTTGCCCAGAGCAAGGAGTGCTTGAAGAAGCAAGGCGTTGGCAAGACCGATTGACTGCTTCAGAGTCAGAAATTGAAACTGGTTAAACATCCAAAAGGTTTATAATACGAGAAGGAGACGTCATGGGCTCGCTTTTGGCCTTTCCTTACCTGTCTTCCAGGTTTCCTCATTTTTCTTATTTTAGGAAATGGTGTTTCAATAGAAAGTCAGGCTGTTGCTGAACTTTTCCAGATTGCGTCTGCTTATCTTGATCTGTGAGCTCTTGCCAGTGTTTGACATACCTAGTATACCATCACAAGTTTGCGCATCTCAATTGGAACAAATTATGTTAAGGTATTATTATAGTTACAATGGACCTTTTTCCTCCCCAAGCTCTACTATGACAAGCTTGACTATGCAGAAAATTTCTTATTGCAAAGAAATATTTGTGAAATACTTGTAAGCACAGCGAAATTTTTCTCAAAATACAGTAAAGCTTTGTACACAGCATGAACACTGGCAAAGCCTTCTTGTATTTTGAGAAAACTTTCACTGTGCTTACATGATTGTGTTGCGTTCACATGCAATTGGCAGTAACTAAGATGGACAGATAAACTACATGCCAGGATTTGAATGTGTAGTCGACCTGGGACTCTAATTCGATGTCCTCCCGATCTTGAGAATGCCCGAAGCACCGTGAGGATCGTATCTGGTCTGGACTAGTAGTCACAGTCTGCTATACTTGCCTACCCTTTCTATGGCATTTTGCCTCCTATGATTCATCAATTGGCCAGGGGGTGCCCGGAAAGCACGGGCCACCAGCATCGGCAACAAGGCCCCAGCGCCTCGGCTACACGATTCAATAAGCAGGATCTGATTGGCTGGCTTTTTCGCAGTTCCGATCCTCGTGGAGCTAGACAGTGACAACTTCGTTACCCAAAACCACTTCCCGACTTGCCGCTGATTTACCGTGTCACCAACTTGCAGGACGAGAGGTTGTGCTTCTGGACCTGGATTGAAACACTGCTCTCCTTGATCTTCACACTGGGATACACGACCCACGATGGCCTCTACAATGGCAATGAGGAGGCTCGCGACTGTAAGCTGCCTTCTTCTCCTCCTCTCGACGTGTCAGCAGGCACAGTTGCCAGAAATTGAACCTTTTTCCTCTACCCCTCTCAAGGCGAGCCAAGTACTGACGATGAGACTTAACAGCTGCCGCGCCTTCCTAGGACACAGGCAAGAAGGGCTTTCTCTTCGACCCCAGCAGCAGGTAAATACGCTTTCTTTCTCCGCTTCCTCCGCCTGCTCCTCCACCACCACCACCATCACTATCACAAGACCGTGTCTTCGCCCTCTTCATCTGCAGCGTCGTGCGTGCCCTGTATGCTAATACAGCCGTCCTACAGCCAGAATATTCGCAAACCAGCCTCTACGCGCGAAGGAGGCGTCTCCCTTCGTCAGCACCAAGTACCCTGTTATAGTACGTCGAGTCTTTCCAACCTGGTTACGAAGACCTTCCAGCGGCACGCACACACAACCCATTAACACTGGACTTCACACAGGACCATGAATACGATGTTGTCGTTGTCGGTGCTGGTGGCGCAGGTCTTCGAGCTGCCTTTGGCCTTGCAGAGGCCGGACAACGCGTCGCCTGTGTTTCAAAGCTCTTTCCAACGAGAAGTCACACTGTTGCAGCACAGGGGGGAGTGAACGCCGCGATTGGGAACATGCACGAGGACGACTGGAGATGGCACATGTACGATACGGTCAAGGGTTCCGACTGGCTGGGCGACCAAGACGCCATTCACTACATGACACGCGAGGCGCCTGCGTCTATTATCGAGCTCGAGAACTACGGCTGCCCCTTCTCGAGAACCGAGGACGGAAGAATGTATGTAGCCGCTCTTCCTTCCTCCTCATGTAGATGCTTTGTGAGCCCAACATCCCTCTGACGGCTTCTTTAGTTACCAGCGTGCCTTTGGTGGTCAGTCCCAAAAGTACGGCAAGGGCGGACAAGCGTACCGATGCTGCGCTGCTGCCGACCGAACCGGCCACGCACTCCTGCACACCCTTTACGGCCAGTCCCTCCGACACAACACCAACTACTTTATCGAGTACTTTGCCATCGACCTGATCATGGAGGACGGCGAGTGCCGAGGTGTCTTGGCCTACAATCAGGAGGACGGAACGCTGCACCGATTCATGGCGAACAACACGGTCCTGGCCACCGGTGGCTACGGTCGGGCGTACTTCAGCTGCACGTCTGCGCACACGTGCACGGGAGATGGCATGGCCATGGTCGCTCGTGCTGGTCTGCCCAACCAGGATCTCGAGTTCGTCCAGTTTCACCCCACGGGTATCTACGGTGCCGGTTGTCTGATCACGGAGGGCTCACGTGGTGAGGGTGGTTACCTCCTCAACTCGGAGGGTGAGCGGTTCATGGAGCGGTACGCGCCCACGGCCAAGGATCTCGCCTCGCGTGACGTTGTCTCTCGGTCGATGACCATGGAGATCCGTGAGGGTCGTGGCGTCGGCCCTGAGAAGGATCATATCTACCTCCAGCTGAGCCATCTGCCCGCCGAGATTCTCCACGAGCGCCTGCCCGGTATCTCGGAGACGGCCAGCATCTTCTCCGGTGTTGACGTTACCAAGCAGCCCATCCCCGTCCTGCCCACTGTGCACTACAACATGGGCGGCATCCCCACGCGATACACGGGTGAGGTCATCACTGTCGACGAGCAGGGTAAAGACAAGGTTGTGCCTGGCCTGTTCGCCTGTGGCGAGGCCGCCTGCGTGTCTGTCCACGGTGCCAACCGCCTGGGTGCTAACTCCCTGCTCGATCTGGTCGTGTTTGGCCGTGCTGTGGCGCACACGATCTCGGAGAAATTCACCCCAGGTGCCAAGCAGAAGCCCATCAGTGCGGATGCCGGTGCTGCGTCCATTGAGACCCTGGACCAGATCCGAACCTCGGACGGGCCCAAGAGCACGGCCGAGATTCGCCTGGCCATGCAGAAGACCATGCAGACGGAAGTCAGCGTGTTCCGGACGCAAGAGAGCTTGAACGAGGGTGTGCGCAAGATCAATGAGGTCGACCAGACATTCAGCCAGGTGGGCATCAAGGACCGCAGCATGATTTGGAACTCGGACCTGGTCGAGACGCTGGAGCTGAGAAATCTCCTGACCTGCGCGTGAGTAATACCCTTGTGGACTTTTGAGATTTGGGTTTGCTCGTGGACCTATCGACTAACTTGGGTTTTCTGATATAGTACACAAACTGCCGTCTCTGCTGCTAACCGTAAGGAGTCTCGTGGCGCACACGCCCGTGAGGATTACCCTGATCGTGACGACGATAACTGGATGAAGCACACGCTGTCATTCCAGAAGAAGCCACACGGCAAAGTCGAGCTGGGCTACAGGAACGTCATTGGTCACACCCTCGACGAGGCCGAGTGCAAGGCCGTGCCGCCGTTCAAGCGTGTGTACTAAAACAAGCATGCTATCTTGCGAAGACGAGAGAAGAGTGCAGTGAGACCAAAGTAGACTTTGAAAGTTGGCACGAATGGGAAGAACGGTGAAATGGGGACTCCCTGGACATCGCTCATGCACCCACACGAGCACAAGACCTCGAGCACGTACGGTGGGCCTTTGTGTCGGTGCAAACAACATTTGGCGGGGTGAGATTATCGAGAGTAGAAGAGCTTTTTTGAGGTCTTCTACCTATCCGAGAAGTGGTCACAGTACGAAAGCAAGGCCGTGAAAGAAAGGGTGGAGTTCAATGATGAAGAAGGACGTGTATCCCCTGTAATGCCATTTTTGGTGTTGTGTACACACACACACACATTGGTGTGAGAGATTATGGTGATGTCCGTAGCCAATGGAGTTGATGGTGATCTTGAATTCAATCGCGTGACGGGTGCGGTATTTATCGACGTGGTCTCTGCAATCCTTGACTTTGTATTTTCATGTGGTTTTCCATTCTCATTATGTATGTTTATGCGTGCATGTATGCAAGTACGTATGCCTCACTATCTATCATGGGTATCTTGATATCCAACATTCTATTTACACTCGATTTTTCCCTTTCCCAAATCATGCACTGAAGCCTAGCTGATCCCTAGAGTCGTCAAGGAGCCTTCCCCACTCGAGCAGCAGGCGGAACATGTACACCTGCATATCCTCGGGCCTCAGCGCCCTAAGCGCCCAGTTCCTTCCCTCTCCCGCAATGGACTCGGCCAGAGACATACTAGAGCTCCCCATCCCCTCCTCTCCGTTTCCCTCTCCCGCTATTTCAGTGTCACGACCGCTCACAAACTTGACCACGTCCCAAAACCCGCCCAGACTAACATCCAAAGGAACATAATGAGACCACGCATGCAGTCTCTCGTCTGCCCAGGTCCGAAACAGACTCGCCTTGTACACCAGACTCTTACTACGCAAGAATGGCAGAAAACGACCCGAGAATCCGGCGCCGTCGAGGTCGATGAGGTGGCGGTAAGCCCAGTGGTCCTGGAAATCTATGCTCCCACTGGTAGGCTCGGCGGTAGAGGCGCCGTAGAAGGTAGCTGTCTCGGCGAGGCAGTCTGCCACGTCACAGCGGGAAAAGGCGCCTACGAAGGAGACGTTGGCTGTTGTTGTTGTTGCTGCTGTGCTTGGCCGCGACGATGAAGATAAGGACCGTGCCATGCTAACAAACCGTGCACGCAGATAACCAGGCCAAGTCGCCTCCCTGGCGTACCCATCCGTTGCCGACCCGCGCCAAAACACCACATCGGCCTTGTCAGCCCACTCCGGGTCCCGCGCCGACGGGTCCAGGTCGACCTTGCCGACAAAGTTCCAGGGGCTGGGGACGAGGATATCGCTGAAGGCGCCCTCTGCGCGGGCCTGGCTGAAGATGGGCAGGGCGTGCTGGGTTACGGCGAAGGCGCCTGGGTTGAGAAGGAAACCATGGAGGTTGGCCAGGTCGGGGCGATTGCATAGGTCTGCGATGTTGTCGCCAGACGTAAAGAGATCACCTCCTCGGGCGCTAGAGGAGACGACTGCGTTGTCTGTCCACCTGTACCGTCTCGCTGGGCTGGACGGTGGACACGCCGGCACGACAAAGGTATCGTAGATAGGCAGCCTACTGCGCTCCGAAAAGTACTCGGAAAACGGCGGATGATCATCCTGCGTGAGGTGCAGATACGCATCCGACCAAGGAGGCCAAACCTCCGCACTAAATGACGACCGCAGAGGCCGCCCGACATCCCTGGAGCGAGCGAGCCTCGTCCGCGCCAGCTCCCCATCCGCCACGTGCTCCCAGTACCGCTCGAACGTCATCACGACCCGGCTTTCGTCGTCCAGGTTGAACGCCAGGTCCATGTCCGGGAGGTGCGCCACGAAGGGCTCCATCATGGCACGGTAGCCCTCCATCATCCACCTGTGGGTCCCAGGCGTAAGGTCGCTCAGGATGATGGTTTTGTTCTGTATCCTGAGTCCACCCATCCCCAGGTGTGTTTGTTCCATGAGGTGGCTTGTCCGGGCGCGCAGGATGCCGGGGGACATGCCCCAGAAGGGTCGGAGGTCGGAGTGGATCTGGTCGAAGGCGTCGATCACGGGAGAGTTGTGCTGGGTCGCGAAAGCGTACCACTTGTCAAAGTGAGGCGGAGGAGGTATGCCGTACCGGTTCTTATACTCTGCCACGGCCTCGTGAAGAGTCTGGCTCTGGTGGGCGGCGGAAATCCACGTGTCAGAGGCCTTACGCGCGGACGCGATGAGGGCGTGCACGTCCAGATCGGGAGAAGAGGAGGCCAAAGAGAGCCGCACCAGGCCAATCCAGAGAAACAGGACCATGCCCGCAAAGGCGCCCATCAGCCGCTTCTTGTGGTCCATCCTGTCTCCTGCCGACAACCTCAACACCTCGCCGTCGAGACGCGTCGCCTCGCGGCCTAGCAGAGCCACAGACCCGATCGTCAGGGCTCCCACGGTCAGAGGCCACAAGGTAGAGTGGGGTGCGAGGTGGATAGCGCCGCGCTCGAGTGCGAGCCAGCAATTTTGAAATGATGCAACGACGGCGGCTCCGCTGCAGAGACAGAGGGTGCTTGCCGTTATGTGGTGGGCCAGGAGGTTTATGGCGGTGAGGAGCACGAGGCTGGTGGCGATGCTGTCCTGCAACAACTCTCTCAGGGCTAGACTACGGATCGAAGGGGCTGCTACGAGTTCCCTGAAGCTTGAGGTTGAGTTGGGCGCAGAGAGGAGAAGAAGCAGACACATGACGGCTGCTGCGACCAGGAAGTCCCCTTCCAGGTTCACCCGGCTACTGCTGCTGGAGTTGGAGATGGGGGCGGATGATCCGACTGCTGCTGCTGCTGGTTCTGTGTTGGTCTGCTGGTGCCATCGTAACCTCCTCGCAACTAGCAGCACAAGAACAGCGTCGAGGCCGAGGGTGGCCAACTGCGGCATCACACCAAGCCACGCTGCATTCGCAGGGCACACCGCTCCGGTGGAGGTCTGCACCGAGGCGAGGCTGCGGCTGGCCAGGAAGGCCCAGGCCACGGCACAGGCAATGTATTGCAGACTGGGACGTTGGTCTGGCTCATGATGGTTCGTCTGTTCGGCACCCTTGGCCCAAGGGGAGGAGGGGGGAACTGCACTAGAAGAGTTCGCCGACAGCTTGGATGTCGCCAGCTGCATGTAGCCTTCTTCTTCTACCTCATCTCGTTGCTGATGGGGGAGATATCGTTCCGCCACAAGAACAAGGGTAAGTAGGAAGGTCTGCAACAACGCCCCGTCAGTACAGTCACACTTTTCTCCCCTTCCACCAAAAAAAAAAAAAAATAAAAAAAAAATAGAAAACCAAGCAGGATCAAGTCTCACATGTGCTCCCGGAACAGTACATTGTGACCACCACAACGTCTGGCGGAAGAAAAAAGCTCTAGCAACCAGACAAGCCGGTATGGCCAGGGTCTGCGACAGTCCCCATATGGATCGGTGCCGCCAATACGAGCGCACGTGGTGGGCAGTCGAGATGCGCTCGCTGCCGCCGTGCCATCTGCTATAGAACAGGAGGGCGAGGGCCGTCCAGAAGAGGGTGAGGGCGGAGAGGGCGATGGGCCGTTCTGAGGTCAGTGTCAGCGGGAGGTCTATCACATGATATGACAGGACATGACTCCTGGAGAAAATGGGTGCCTCTCATCAAGCTTGTAAGTACTTACCAAGTGTAGAGGTTGTGTAGTATCGCGACGAGAGAAACAAGGTCCCTACGAGGAAGACACTACAATGTCCAAACGTCAGTCTAAGTACATGTCACCAGACAAAACCGATAGAAAGAAAGACGTACAATAATGAACCTGATCCCCCCATGGTCATCACGGCCAAGAAAATAAAGGCTCCTGCAACATATGCAACGTGAGGAATGGGCAGCCGGCGCTAGCACATGGCCCGAGCCTCAAAATAGGTGTGTAAAAGTGGTTGTATAGTATGTAGAATAGAATAGCTTGCCAAGAGGGCTGACTTGACTATACACAGACAAACACACACCCAGATTTTACGAACAAACCAGAACAAAATCGAACATCAGTCAAGAACAAGAAGAAGAAGAAGAAGAAGAAGGATACACACACACACACACACACGCTTTGAAAGAGATGAGAGAAGTGAATCACATATTACAGGCACAAGCGTGTCAGATAAGTCCTTCCACGCCACATTGCTGACACAGAAGTAGGATTAAAAACCTGCCTTGAGAGGATCGGAGCAAAAACACATACTGTTGCATACCTACTTACGTAGATAGCAACTTCTTAGCGCGGCGGGTTCAACAAAAAATCCTCCCGCTCGCAGCCAGGGCGTGTGCCTGCTTGCTGCCTTGCCACAAGAGACAGTCAGCCAGCCTAGCCATGCAGCCCCAGCGAGCATTCTTCTCTTCTGTTGGAGCGACCAAAAAACGCTACGTCAGACAGATTTGCATGACCCATCTTTTTTTTTTCTCCCCTTCTCTTCTACTCTTCCTTTCCTTTCCGTTTCCCCTCTTCTTACAGGTTTCTTTCTTTCTTTCTCTGTGCATAGCGTCCCCCTTCCTCTCTCTCCTCCCCTCTCTCTCTTTAGACTGAGCGAATGACGGCTAGTCTGGTTCCACAGCTTGAGATCGTGGGCCCCCCCCCCCCGGGCCGCCCCCCTGCCTGGGAAGGGGTTTTGACAAGCGAACAGCGCTTGAAGATGGGATACAGCGGTCTTTTTGGTTGGTTCTTATTTAGGCAGAGCTTGGGGGGGGGGGGTGGTTTAAAATTGGTACTAGACAGGATAGGCTAACTGCAGTGATACACACTCACAGAGCCTTGAATCACTGACGGGGGAAGCCGGGGGGAGGGGGGGGGTTATCACATTTCCAGCCCCAGTGGAGAGAAGAGAGAGAAAGAAAAAAAAAGAGGCCAAGCCACAAAAGTCCAAAAACGCATTGAAGAGAAGAAAAATACTGTACAAGCCAACCCCAACCTATGCTCACCCGAGGGCTGACTTCGAAACCCCCCCCCCTCCCCCCTCTTCCGCCTTCCTGCAGGATTCACTTCCCTTTTCGCTGTGCCCCCTCTAGCCAAAAGGCTGTAGATCACGATTGACAAAGCCCCCCAGTCCATTCTGTCCTAGACCAAGGGAGGAGGAGGGGTGCTTACTCTATTGTAATACACACACACAAAAAAAAAGTTCCCCACATTCGCGTTGGAGGGAAGAAGAAAAAAAGAGAGAAAAAAAAAAAGAAAAAAAAAGGGAAAAAAGAATAACAAAAAAAAAACGCGGAAAAGGAAAGGAAAACGGCTCTTGTCCTTTTTTTGCTGACTGCATGGGAAAATGCGCGCGCCCCAACTTGATTGGTATCCGCAACCCCCCAGCCAGCCCATTTAGCCGTTCCATCCCCCATCCCCCATGTCTCAACTTCTCTCTCTCTCTCTCTCTCTCTCTTGTCCCGGGGACCCCCAATTAAATTGATTAGGCTTTCCCAATGTCATCTTTTAGTTACTATATACTGTAATGCGGGAGGTGGGGGAGAGAAGGTTCCTGAGGAGAATGGATCATCACGCACAATATACCTGGAAACAGCCAAAGGCACCTCGGGTATCGCAACCGTTAGGATTCAGAAAAGCAGTAGTTGGTGGTGGTGCTCTGGGAAAAAAGTGGCCCGTACCGCTGTACAACCTTGGCTCCTACGACGGGTTTGGGATGGGTAGAAAGGACCTTCGAGGAGGCGGCGGGTCGTCGTGAGTGGGCGTTTTGACACTTTCTTTGTCGCGGGGTCCTTTCCGGCTGGGCTTTTGACTGCTACTGTGTGTGTTTTCCTCAATAACGTATTCACAAACCAAAGCCCATCATCTCTCACAAGTCTTACGGCAGTAAGTCCTGTGAAGGCACCGTGGGGGTATATACAAGGTGGCAGGGGAGGACGAATGGTTGTATCCAACTACAGTACAGTACAGTTAGCGAATCCCCGAGTAGTAAATATGCACTACGGTAAGTGTACCTCATTCTAGCGGGGCACAGGTCGAAGCCTCCGACCACAAGCCCACTCAATACATACAATAGTCCACACATCACAAATCACCGTGGGGTAATGCTTCCCGAGAGGCGTGCATGCATGCATGCATCCATCTATCTGTATCCATGCCCAAATGCTGGCTGACGGCATGCTATCATTTGAGTTGGCGGGGGGACGCCAATCATAACGGCCCGTCGCTCAGTCAGACCGTGTTGTGGTGGTGGTGGTGGTGGTGGTGGCGGCGTCGTACTGTACGTATATCAGACACCTAAACAGTATGTATACTTCAGTACTAACTAGACTGACTTGTCAGTGTCACCCTTTCATCGATGCAACCTCATTAGCAGGACTCTACGCAGAAAGAATACGAGTGGTAGAAACCACCACCCCCAGTGGAGAGATTGCATCTCGACATGAAAACGCACACAGGCACACAAGCACACAGAAGAATCAAATAAAAGGAACAAAACGTGAACGCTTGAGTTGATGACATGTAGTCTAAAATATAGCTGCGATGAAACGCATAAGCTCTCCTGACCTTGGGGCTCTCGAGAAAGAACCCCACAACTGTGTCTGTCCCTTCAACACACACACAACCAGAACACCGAATCCATGTCACCTCTGCATAGGATGCTGGCAGTGTCCTCCTCCTCCTCCTCCTCCTCCTCCTCCTCCTCCTCCTCCTCCAGACGAGACGCTATTGCTCTGCTGCAAGTCCGATGACGGCCAGATACACTCGGGCCACCGGAGGTAGATGGCCCACTAGGTCCTCTTGACCTTGTTCCAGAACCTCTTCACCACGTTCTGGTCGCCCGCCGCCGTCTCTGTGTTCCAGTGGTCCACGACGGCCCACATCTTCTCCGCGTTGCTCTCGTCGCCGGCTGCACCCTGGCTGCTCCAGCACGCCGTGGTCGTCTGCCCATTGACAATGGCGACGTCGTTGCGGGTCAGCTGGGCCGACTGGGACCGGCGGCCAGGGGCAATATACGCGCTCTGGGTAGCCTGGTTCCGCCACCCGTAGATCAGCTCCTCGTTGGCCCGCAGGTCGGGCCTCGTCAGCGTCATGCGCATCGTCATCTCTCTGGAGGCCAGGCTGCTCGGCGCGTGCGAGTCGCTCGTCATCGGCTTTGACACGACGGTGGGAACCCGCCGGTGATGGCCGCTGTCGAGGTGCAGCGGGTCCGTCGAGGTCCTCGTGGGAGGGTGGTGGCCCGGCGGCGGCATCAGGCCGCCCATCTGGGGGGTCCTGGGGGATTCTGGGTCTGACACGCTGCTGACGTCGTCATCGTCGTCGTTGTCGTCGCTCAGATCCTCGTCGTCCTCGTCGCCGTCAAAGTAGAGGAACGAGCGCATGTTCTCGGACGATGCTGCTGGGCTCAGCCTTTGCCTGGACTGCCTTTTCCTGTCGCTCGTCGTCGTGGACATCTGTTGTTGCGAGTCCGTGGCCGGAAAGCCGAATTGGACAGCCTCGTCGAATTTTGTTGGCGACGAGAGGTATGCCCGCAGCTTCTGCCGGGCCTCGGGGTCTTGGTAGTGGGTGGCTGAGGGGTCGATGATGGATGTGGATCCCGAGTGGGCATGCCTGCTCGGGTTCATGACGGAGAGGGTTCGAGACAGCCGCCGCTGTGTGTTGCTGATGTGCTGCGGCTGCTCCTGCTGTTGTTCGAGGGAATGGGTCCGCATTGGCGAGGGCGGGACTTTGGTGTCTGGCCGGCCCGACAGCGAGGTGCGGCCAAAGGAGCGTTTGGAGATGGACAGACGGCGCCGGAACGAAGGGCGACTATTCTTGCCGTTCTGAGCGATCTCCTCGCGCAGGTTGGCGTGGTAGTCGTCCAGGGCAAGCCCCAGGTCCAAGGCGCCATCCTCGTCCAGCCATCGGATGCTGTCATACAGGCTCTCCCTCACACCGTCCTTCTTGTCGACATCAGCACCAGCGCCACCAGCACCACCAGCACCACCGCTTGCGTCCTGGTTGCTGGTCATTGCGCTGGTCAACATGGAGTCGGGGCTGCCCGTCCTGGAGGAGAGGGTTGCTGTGGAGTGATCGATATCCGGGGTGGGCAGACGGTTCGCCTCGTTGCTGTTGACGTGGTGGGCTCGCGCGATAGCCACGCTGGCTGCGTCGAGGATGACACTCGCTCGGAGGTGCTTGACCAGGCTGACCTGCTCCTCCCTCGTGAGCTCGGCCTTGTTGACCTTGTCCGGGTAGCTGAGGACCCACGAGTCGTCTGAGACGGCCGTGAAGTATGAGTCGCGGCACTTTGCTCCTGGTGTGGCCCAGAGGGTATCGGGCGAGCTGAGAGCTTGCCGGTGTTTCCTGTGTTTCAGATTGACGGACGACAAGTCGTAATGATTATAGATGCGGTCGACCTCGTCTGATTCTTGGGCGAAACGAAGTCGTTCGAGTGCCGAGAAGTACTGTCAAAGGTGGGCAAGGGTTAGTGACAGAAGATGACGACGATTGTTGGCTATAAAATCCTCTTTGGCAATTCAAGATGTGACGCAACAAGGCGATAATGACACAGGACAATCAGGGAATTAGAATTGAGAGATAAAGAGGGGGGGGGGGGGAGAGAGAGAGAGAAGTATGGGGCATTGGAGAATAGGATGACCTGAGGAGGACAGAGACAGGACCCAAGAAAACGGCCTGTCAGTGTGATGAATGAATGAGCAGAGTGAATGAATGGCTTGCTGGTCTTCGGGCTCGGCACAGACAAGAGAGGGGCAAAGTGAGAGCATAGAAAAATAAAAGTGGTGCGTTGTCATATGCAGAGACGGTCGCATGCAGGAACACGGGTACCACTACCCCCAAGTGTGCTGTCCAGGGGTATTGACTGCATTGCATGGCTATGCCTGGAACGCCAACGCGCGCATGGCAACAGCGAGCATTAATTGGGTGGTGCACCGGGGAAGGCTCCTCCTTCTCGTCCCTCCTTCCTTCTCGTTTCTCCACCACCACTGCCACTGGCCACTTGCCAAGCGCCTGTAGCAACGGACTTGCAGCAAATGATTGATGATCCCCTTGCTCCATGGAGCATGGAATGATTTGGTGTGTGGTCCGTCATCCTTGCGCTGCTAGGCGAGAAAAGAGGAGGGGGAGAGAGAGAGAGAGAGAGAGGAGAGAAGGAGATCAGGGGGAGAGCTGTGGCAGCACAGCTGCACTGCAGCAGCCACAATGAGCGCCCGATGAGTTTAGTGTGCCAATAATGCACGGAGAATAAACACGACCGACACACCAGACTTGGGAAGACCCACGATAACACCCCTGTGTGGAGTGAAGGAAAAGAAAGAACGAGAATGAGGATGAGAAGAGGCAGGGGAGGCCTAGGCTCACCACGTGCTACTAGCCAAAGCAGAGTAGAGAGAAAAGAGTCTCCGTGCTCTTGTTCCGACCGTGCGCGACGCCACAGATAAGCAGGAAGCCCGCTTGTTTTGTTGTCATATGCGTGCAGATTTGGAGCCAGAGAAAGCGCCGGCGGAAAAGAAGGTGAAAAAAACAAACAAAAAAAAAACACAAAGGATGACAGAAAAGAAAGGAGAAGAAGAAGGGAATACCAAAAGGAAAAGAAGAAAAAAAATGAGAGTCAGAGGGGTCTTGGGTATGTAAAGAGAAGAGCATGAAAACGCATGAGGACCAGGGCTACGAGCATGATGATGATCGTCCTCTGGGACCATGCATGATAGACAATTAAACGCCCAACGTCCCTGTCAACCAAGAAATCCTCAACCCAAAAGAAGAAAAAAAGAGGATCTTCCTTCTCAGGCGACGATATAGAGAATGGAAAGAGTAAAGTATTTGTCGGGTCCATCCCATCCACAGAAGGGTTTTTTCGTCGACATTGCTCAATCGCACAACTCCCTCCCCTCTTTTTTTTTCTTTTTTTTTTCTTCCTCTATTTTTGCTTCCCTCCCCTTGCCTCCCTGTCTCTCTCATCTCTGTCTCTTCTTCTTTCTCATCACAAATGGGGCAAGCGATGAGCGGCTCTGTGTGATACTATTGGGAAGGGATCCACACAAAGAGACCCCGGTGAAAAGGGAACGACACTGGCATCAACCCAACCAGAGCAAAGAGCGAGGGGGCGAGGAGGAGCTGTCCACATGTGACAGGGCAATTCCGGGAAGGAATACGGCGAATCTTCTGCCAGGCTGGGTCTAGTCCAGAAGGTGGATCACACCCAATCTTACCCCGGTTTTGTGTAGTCCAGGAACGCTTGTTCTTGACTCTGTCTCTGATTCTTTGCCTCAGCTTGTCTCTCACCCGGCGGTCGCTTTTTTACTGTACTCTGTGCCCCGGTCCCGGACTGCTGGGTTCGAACTTGACACTCCTAGCTACGGCTCACTAGGCCCTAGGAGGCTCCAACGCCGGGACTTAACCGCCGTCTCTGACGCGTAGTAGCTCATCTTTCTCCTCTCTTTGGCTGAGTCTGCCCTTTTTTTTCTCTTTCTTCTTTCATTCTCCCCTCTCTCGAGAGGGTACTGCCGCGCTCTCTTTCGCCCTGGCTGTCTCCTTATCTCTGGAGCTCATCACAAAAACTTTCATGGCCGCTTGGCTTGCGTTCCTAGCAGGTCTAGGCCGACTCGGCTGCTGGCTGCAATGTGCTGTGGAGAGAAGAGACGGAGAGAGGCTGTGTGTGGAGTGCAGGCCTTCCATGTGTGCTTCCATGCAGACCAGACAGGGGGGGCTTGCATCCACTGTTGACGCTCTCTCATGAACTAACAAGGGAGAACGGACGAACAGACAGACAGACCATGTCTGTCGTTGAGACGATGGGTAGGAAAAAAGAGTACGGTTTGATTATCCAGCGTCATATCGAGCACAGAGATCGATAAAAGAGGAAGCCATGTAGATGAATGGGGTATTTGATCAACCAGAAAAAAGAAGGAAAAGGACGTCATGGCATGGACGGTGATTGCATCGAGGAATTGAAAGGGAAAAAGTGTGCTAGGAAAAGACGAAGAAAAAAAAAGGACCTCAAAAGCATACCTTTCTCTGGATCGCGAGAGGCAGGGCCTCGTACTCCTCCCTCGTGATGGCCGGTGGTTGCTGTTGATCATCTTGTTGTGGTGGCTGTTGTTCTTGTGGTTGCGCCAGGCTCTCGGAACCGGTCCCGTTCCGATCCATCAGCTCCTTCATTATGTCCCTTCTCCTCCTGCTGAGAATACTGCTCTGGCCGTCTGTCGTTCTCGCTCCGGACCTCATCGGCGGTGGTATCGGGGTCATCTTGCCCAGGTGGTTGCTCACGCTGTCGACATATGTGGCGTCCTCGCTGTCCCTCGGCATCTGCTGGCGGTGCAGAAGTTGCTGTTGCTGGTGGTGCTCCATCACCGCGAGCCAGTCGGCATCATGAACTTCCTTCACCCTGCTGGCCCCTGCAGCTTCGATGGCCTGTAGCTGCTGTAGCTGTAGCTGTTGTTGTTGCTGTTGTTGTTGTTGTTGTTGTTGTTGTTGTGGCGCCTGTGGCTGGCCGCTACTGGCCCCTCTCTTGGTCCAGAACAGGAGCGGACTTGGTGCCCTCGACGAGGAGGTATTGTGGCTGCCCGTCCGGGGTGCTGACCTCGGCCTCCACGACACGTTCTTCATGTTGGCGTCTGCTGCGGATGTGAACCCGTGGGAGGTAGAAGGCGGTGGGTAATCTGGTGGGCTCAACCTCAATGTGCTGTTGCTGTTGCTGCTGCTGCTGCTGCTGCTGCTGCTGCTACCGACGGACTCGGTGGGCTTGGACACCATCATCGGCGCCAGGTTGACCGAGCCACTCTCTCACCCCGGGAGGGAGGGAGGCGTTTCGACGTGATATATGTTAAGGGGAATATGACGAGAGTCGAGGGATAAAATATGCCGACTGAACAGCCTCAACCAACGGATATTTCGTGTATAAGACGAACACAAATAAAGGGGCGGTGTTCAGTAGCTTTGTTTTATGAATCGAGGGTCTCGCACTGCTGAATATCGCTCGAATCGTTTTGTCGATTGACGATTCTGTTTTCTGCGGCCTCGATGTCGTGGTGTCTTGTCTAGACTGTCCTCCTGAGTTGACAGTGGTGATGATGATAATTTTCAAACGACACCAAAGTTGAGAGTCTTCTGCCTGGAATCCTCTTCTTGGTCCGTAGGTAGGTAAGAAAGTAGCCGTCCTGTTCTCCGGTTCTGGCACCAACGATTATTCGCTTGTAGATCTTGTTCAGGGCGATTTTCGGTGTGGTTTCAGATTGTATTTTGTCGAGAATTAAACTTTCACAGAAAGAAAGAGAACATAAACACAAACACACACACATACACGCATGTGGTTGGTAGTGACGATGGATAGGAAAGGAACGGGGGCAAGAAAGCAAAAGGCAAAGGCGGCGGGTCCGGATCAGCGTGTAGATCTGGATCTCGAGTTGCTTTTGATTCACCGCCGGAAAACGATCTCATCAACAAGACCAGGAACAGGACCCCCAGGACGGGACAAGGACAAAGTGAACAATGCCCAGGCACCCTCCTCCTCCTCCTCCTCTCCATTCTCCCCTCAAGGATCTCCACGGTAGTCGGGAAATAGGCGCGCGCAGGCTCTCCCTTGGGCGATGGTGCGTGCCAGGGGGGGGGGGAGGGACCGTGACGTGGTACTTTACGTGCGGAACCCAAGTCAAGAAGAGGAGAGAGAGAAGGAAAAAAAACACCCCAGTCAAGCGCTGTCGCCGAATGAGGCGCGTCCCCTTGTGCGGAAGAGAGAAAAATTAAAACGAAAAATAAGAAAAGGGAGCTTCTTTGGACTGGGCAAACAAGCGTGCATGCCATGCAACATGGCTTGCTGAAACCCCAGGGCTTGGGATACTACTAATGTACACTACAGGGATCAAATCTGGCAGTGGCTTGGGCCGATTTTTTTCCCCTTCTGATGAGCACCCAGTCCTGCCCGGGGGTCTCCTTCTTCTCCGTTGTGGAGTCAATTCCCTGGCGACGGGGCGGCGCTGAAGACTAGCTCAGAAGAGAATGGGAGGTGGACCGTGAGAGGAGGACGAGGAGAAGGACAACCTACTCTGGTGTCAGGGCCTAGATTCCTTCTATTTTGACGACAAGAAGAAGAGGGCGACAAGAGCAAGAGGTGGACGCAAACACGGGAAAAAGGGTTGCTGTGGGTAGGTTGAGGTGGTTCTTTTTTTTTTCTTGTTGCTTGTTTGGTTGGTTTGAGCGCGCTGGGCCTAGTCATGCGTGCGTACGTGCCTGCGGTCAAGGCAGACGGGCGGGCGCCTTTTCTCGCCGGCCCACACTCCCGCTTCCTTCGTGTTTACGCATAGGATACGTGGTGCCAGTAAGAGGTCGTGTCTCCTTCTATGTAAGAAAAAAAAAAAAAAAGACAGGAACAGGAACAGAATCCCAAGGCAGGGCGGCGGGCAGATGGATACAGCACTGAGGGGGAAGGAGGGGAAGAAGATCGCTGCCAAGGATACAACAAGAGAGGCAAAAAGAAAAAGTCGATCCTCCATCTTGGGAACTATCCACCGTGTGTGTCGGCTTAAGAGAGAACAGGAAAGAGGCTGATAGAGACACTATTGTGTCCAGGGATGAGCGATGAGCTCCTCACAGAAGCCCGCCGAAAAAGAAGAAAAAAAAAGGCTTGTTCACGGCCTGGACCCTGCTGGACAGCTCTGTCGTTCGATTGCTCGGACAGCGGAGTAGTTTTCGCTCGTAAAGAGGTAAGGGGAAACAAGATAGACTCAAGCCCAGCCATGGTTTAGTCTGCCAAGAACTCAGCAGGCTGCGGAAATTGTGCTTCTTGTTGTTCTGCTTCTTACTGTTGATCTCTTCCTCTCACTCTTGTTTTCCATCTGAGACGAGACACAGGAGACGATACACAGAGGCTTACAGGCCTCAGTCAATGCAGATCTCCCGCGAGACACACACACACAACCAAAAAACCAAGAGACAGGCGGTGTGTGTCTTGTCCAGTGATCAAACCCGCACAAGCACTTTGCAAAACAATTGTGAAATACACTCATGTATCTGGAACAAAACAGGACGGGGAGGACAGAACACGTGTGCAGGGCCAGATGAGGAGGTATCAATATAGAATGTTAAACGTAGATTGTTACCCGTTTCACAACTTGTGCTCGGTTGTGTCACAAGAGAAAGCCTGCAAGCTGCCGATGATCAATCTGCCAGCCACAGTTCTAACTCTCCTCCGCTCCTGCAATGTATGATAAGAGAGTCATCATTATTGTTGTCGTTGTCGTCGTCTCACACAGACATACATACACCTTTCGTTGGAAGGGGTTGAAGCTCCGGCACTTGGCTGCAATAGAGTAGCATTGGGCCCCCTTGGACAAGGTCACATTCCACATGTCGTCTTGCATACAGACATACGCAATGCATACCCTGTGAAATTCAGTGTAACCCTATCTAATGGCCCTTGAGATCCAGACTTGTGACATAGTATACCAATTAATGTCTATGTTAAGTGCAGAGCAGAACAGAGCAGGTCCAATGGAGGTGATTTCTCGCCGCCCGGGGGGGGGAGAGTGAATAAGATCGGACGCAACACAATGGAATGGCGCTAAACTGCCCTACGACGGGGAATCATCGACCGCTACCAACACCTGAAACTGGCCCTGCTAGGATGGGTAGGTGGGTGTCTGTATGTTGGCCCCACAGCGGAAAAGTCGGGTCTCTGTCCTCTCATACGTCTTGTCCGGGGCCTGCTGCATGGAAACTTCCATGAGCCAAAGGACGGAACCTCCCCCAAAGGAACTAGGCAGCTTCTCTCTCTCTCTCTCTCTCTCTCTCTCTGCCCCTTGTGCCTGATTCCTGGGATCAGGCCCTGAAAAGAGCAGCTGGGCCAAAGCATTCGGGGACTTCGCCGCAGTGTCAGTCCACTGAAGGACCCTCCCCAGGGCCCACTACCACTAAAACTCCAGCTGCTTGGACCCTTTTTCAAAGGAAGAGGCCGGTGGGGAAAGCAAGGGCAAGGGGGAGGGGATAAACAGGGGAAAGGAAGAGAGAGATCAAGAGGGAGGAAGAGAGATTTCGCAGCTAAGAGAACAAAGCATTGTGATTTGCCAGGAAACGGCTGTGGCTTGCTTGCTTGCTGCTGCTGCTGCTGCTGTCTTCGAACAACCCACAGCCCCATGGAGGAGGAGGAGGAGGAGGAGGGGGGGGGGGGGGGCGTCTGCAGTAGTTCCACATGAGAACAAAGACGGCGTCCATCACTGGCTCGCTCATAACGTGATAGTGCTGGGCCCTGGATGCTGGGGACCTCCTCGAACACGGTCGTGATTCGACAATGGTCAGGCCATGGAATACCAAAAAAAAAAGCAAATGTGATAGTGGCGTGCAGGGATGGAACAACGCGTTTATGCGACTCGACCGCTGTGTGTACCATGATAGGCTTGTAATATGGCACATCGGGGCCCGAAAGAGATGATCGCCAGAAATTGCGGGCGCCAAAATCGTCTGTTTCTCTGTGAGAGAATAGAGAGAGCCATGAAAACAACAATAATTTGTCTGGTGTGCTGTCAGCACGAACTCCTTTGGTCTCTGCAGACCATACCCAAACCAGGACATGCAAAGTCGTACCTCGATATACATAGAAGAGGAATCAGGCAGGCAGAAACGCCCAGTCGGTGAGATGTTTGGAAAGGGGGGGCCAGGGGGTTCCATTTTTCCAGGAACAGAAGCTCACTACTGGAACCACCACCGGTGCTCTACGGCCGTACGTTCCAGCTGCTGTCTTCTTTCTTTTGATGCTTTGGTCCACGAGCCAGACCATCAAGAGAGAGGGCAAGTCAATGTGCGCGCACGCCGACGTTCCATGGTACCGAGTCCTTTTCTTCCTGATTCCTTTCTTCTATTCTTTTCCCTGTTTTATTATTATTATTGCCATTATTTTTTTTCCCCTTCCCTAACGTTCCATTATTGATGCAAACCTCGACGCGTCGAATGAACCCGACCTTCTAGAAAAAGAGCCCGGGATCAATTTCCGGGGTGCATAGCCGCAAGAAAAGAAGATGACCCAATGTCACGGTAGCACTCAAGAAAGCTGCCGCAATGGGGTCCTGCAGCCAAACACTCACTCTTAAAGGAAAGTGTGCATCTATGTATGAAACAAGACTCTATTTATTTTGTGCAGCAATGACATGTATGTATGTATGTATTTTGCAAGGCAGCCTGGCCGACGATGAAGATGAAATCTGGACACCCTCTTCCGAACGCCGCCTACCATATCCGACGTCCCGTCGTCACGATGCGTGGCTTGTAGAGCAATGTAACGTCAGCGCAGATACCATTCGGAATGTTTTGGATCTCCCTGAAATCTCATCGGGAGAACCTGGAACCTGTTCTATTTTGCGTAGTCACATCCAAGGAAATGTCGATGAAAACCCCACGCCTTGGGCAGCCGGCGAACAATGTGCCGAATGGCGTTACCTGGTGCTTGATTGACGGACGACGCCAGCACTCTATGTGACATTTGTTTGCGTCCGATCCCTGGAGGCGGCGTTGCCTTTCTCCTTTGTTTCTTGTTCCCAGTGGACAATGCCGGAAAAGAAGGTAGTCTCGCCGACTGTGGTGAATGGTGTGAAAGCCAGCAACGCCAGGCAGAGCAAAGGGAAAAACCACCAGCCGCACACACGGCACTGTACCGTCATGTCGATCTAGAGTATCGCAGAGGGTAAACGCCAGGGTCGCATCGCGGACTGCGCTCTTTCGCTTGACCTACTAGAGGAGAGATTTGGGTCCTCTTCGGCCCCTTCACCCCCCATCCAGGGTGCCACGGGGATCCATTACTGCGTACCAAACCGGCATGTCCGACAATATCAGCTGCTGCAAACATGGTCTGTGATGGTCCGTCCATATGTCCGTCGTTTCTATGATGTGTCTGCGGTACACAGTCCCTTGCACGACGATGCTCGTCGCAATGATGGTATGTGCTGTAGGAAAGTTAGATCCCCACATCCCCCATCTTTTGTTACTGTACTATGTAAGTGCATGCATCCACAGCAAACTCATCGACAATCTTGGCCTGCATAGATCTTATGCTCACTTGGCCCCCCTTCCCCCTTGGCTCGAAGCAAGGCCATACAATAAGTCCTATGCGCGCAGACAGACAAGAAATATTGACATATTCGAATACACAAAACGAAGGAGGCATCTTTTCTGAAGATGGACAATTCTGCACGGTCGGACACTAACCTTCACCATCCGACCTACTTCGGGCAACCCGGAATCTTCCATCCCGACGCGACCTCGTGTCATCCGATGATCGCCCGCCAGACTATTTCGACTACGCTTCTTTCGCTGAGAAACACGAGCGCATTGTTGCGCTGGGTACGTACCTTTTCTTGTCGGTTCTTTGTCCACCATTCACAGAGTAACCCAGCAATGATAAGGTGTACGAAGTGAGCAGGGCCAGCGACAACACAACACAGCTAAGCTTGTTACAAAACCAAAAACAAAAAAAAAACCTCCGGGCTTCAGCAGGTTTCAGTTATGGAGGGCGTATGATGGGAGGCACAATGGCCTTGACACCCCAACCCTTGGCTTTCTTGTTCTTGTTTCTGCCCCAAGTCATGACTGTCGCAATATCCCTGCCGAGATTTCCCTCTCGTGTCGCGTCGTGTCCCGGACGAGTATCTCCCAGGGCTTTGACTCGTAGAAGGGAAGCCAAACCAAGGGGGCAGTTTTGGTCAGATTGAGTGGTCAAAGAGGGAAATGATGATGGCGTGGTGATTGACGACTTTCCCCCCCCCCCCCCTCCTTCTCCTTCCAATGGGTGTGGATTCTAAAGTCCCGTGGGACTGTTTATCTCTTAAAATTAGATCACGGAAATAAAGGACAATTGCTTACAAGGCAGATTGCTTGCATCCTGCCATGGTGTTAAAGACATGCGACTTTACATATTGGACAGGGTAACCTAGGGTTTGGGTGTGAGGGCTGGGGAGGGTCGTAAGGCTGGCCAATCATCTTACATGGTTCTGACAAAGAAGATGCCGTCCACCAAGAAAACAGTTTGGGAGGGCCACTGGTTGCTTCAACTACAAGCTGGTGTCTGTTTGTCAATTACTTTAACCTCATAGAGAGGTTTGAAGAAGATATTTCCTAGACGGTAATGACAGACGGTGCATGGACATGAGTGAATCAAACCAACACTCCTCCACAACAACAACAAAAAGGAAGGGGGAAAAAAATAAATAAAAGAATGGACTAGACTTCCTACCGCCTACCAATTCCTACACTCGTCCACCAAACCCAGTGCTGCTGAGACCAGTACTATCGATAGGATCATAATACTCAAACACCTCGGGCTTCCTCCTCCCCCTCCCGCCGGCGCCCTCCGCCGTGACAGCAGGCGCCACAAACCGCGAGATGCCCGTCTCGCGGTCATATGACTCGTACGAGCACCCGAGCCTCTTGCCCCCGCCGCCGGGAAGGTCGACCACAAACTACGACATCATGTAGCCCGCAATGGTCCCGCGGATCTGCGCCTCGAGGTCCAGCATCGTCTGCAGCGGAGTGCGCATGTGCTCGTTTGCCTTGACCATGTCACATTGGTAGACGTAGTACTACATAACATAAATCGCGACCCACGAACCGGTCCGTCAGCTTCCTCAAACTGCTCTCCTCAAGATGCAGGTTCAAGCAGGACAGGTAGAGAGGGGGTGAATGGGGGGGGGGGGGGGGAAGCGGGGTTGGTGGTGCAAGCACGCAACAAACAAGTTCTCAGGCGCAGAAACGTACAGGATTGTTATTGTTATCCGCCAGCCTCCTGATCAGCGTCGACATGGTCTCGACATCATCATTGATCCCCCTCAGCAGCACGCTCTGATTCCGCACCACCAGGTCCGACTCGAACAGCCTCTGCGCCGCCGCCTCCGTCACCCACGAGATCTCCTCGGGGTGGTTAAAGTGCGTGTGCAGCGCCACCGACTTCCCCGCCTGTTTCGCATCCGCCGCGACCTGCATCAGGGCGCTGGCCCACTCGTCCTCCTGGTCGAGCATCCGTGCAGGCGCAACGGCGAGACCCCTGGACGCGAACCGAAAACCGTCGGATGTGCGGCATCTTGATGAGCGCGTTGCCGATAGATTGAATGTGCTCTGGGTGCAGGTAGTACGTGTCGCCGCCCGAGATGACAACGTCGTGGAGCTGGGGCGTGGCCGCGACGTAAGCGAGGGCTGCGTCCCAGCGGGTCCGGCTAGGCTTGATTTTGATCTTGGTCACGCAGCTGGTGCTTTCGCCGACTGAAATGTAGCGCGTGCAATCGGCGCAGTTGGTTGGGCACTCGGAGATGGCTGTGTACAGAAATCCTGGAGTCAGCCGTTGTTCCTACACTGTGAGGGTTTGTTTTGGGGTGAGAGAAAGAGAGAGAGAGAGAGAGAGAAAGTAATGTTCAGTGCTGACTTTGGAAAAAAAAACCTTATCTGGATATCTGTGCGCCAGACCTGACACCGGAGAGTCGGCCATCTCGTTCAACGAGTCGAACGCCAACGTGGGGTGGTCGGGGAGCATGATGGACTTTAGAGGAATGAATTGTCGGAAGATTGGATCGCTTCGAGGATCCTGCCAGTTGATACGGCTGAGCATATATGGCCTGTCATTCTCGATATGTCAGTAAGGCTGTCCCTCTCTCTTTCTCTTTGTATGTGTGTATAACTACTCTTGACTATCCGAGTAGTGAATACATGGTCATGGTCGAGAAGCGACTGACGTGATACGAATAGCCATCGCCGCGGCTTCAATACCCTCAGCCACATCCTTCAATAGGTCTTCCTTGCTCTGTTCTCTAGAGCCCTGTTTGTCATATGGGATTTCGCCTGGTATGACAGTCTTTAGAAATTCCAAAAGGCTCTCTTTTCCCGAGACAATGTTTTTTTTCTATGGTTTGTTTTTGAGGTCTATGTAAGCCAAGTAACTCTTCAGAACTGTGTGACATTATCAAGAAAAGGGTATTGCAAATGAGTAAAGGGGTGCAACCAAAAAAGACATTCAGTATCCCTTACCGTCCATCGATGAGAGAGGAAGTCTTTAGCGGTTACATGTTCGTATACAGGCACTTTTCGCCAAAAGTCCTCTGGAGATGTTGTCCCGTACGCCCTCGAATGAAGGGCAATAGTGGGTATTTTGTAGAGGCGAGGCCTCGTTAGAGCGCGACACAGTCTGGCTGTGTTCGTCTTCAGGACGAGATGAGGGCGCGAGAACAGTGTCGGGGGGGACCTCTTGATACCCAATATTATATCTTGAGAGGATAAAATCTGTTTGAAAATGTAACTGTATTGCATTGAGGAGATTAGTCTTAATGCTGCAAGAACGACACAAACGACAGTTCAGGAGGGATGATTTATTCCAACATTTTATAGAAGCTGTTTTTCTAACATAACAATTATCATAGGACCAAATTCCATCCCATTCTATCCGTATTGTCTTCTCCCCCCCCCCCCCTCCCCCCACCTCCTCCTCCTCCTCCTTCTCCTCTTCCTGTCTCGTCGTATCCTCTTGCCAACTCAACAGTCCCAGCATGCCGGTACCCAACCAGAGGTTGACTCCAGCACCTCATCTGACCCCATGTTCCCACGATGACAAATTCCAGAGCCGCTCGTCAATATATCAGCCTTAAAATGGACTCAGTACGTCCCAAGCCTGCTGATAAACGTTGGCTGCTCCACCAATAGCGAGGCGTCGTGCTCTGCGCTGGCAATCCCACACGACTGCGGCTCAGTATGACCGCGTCAAAACATGACCCTCGGGACAGCCGAAATATCGTTTCGTTTTCTTTTCAAGGCCTAGTATACCCAGGAGCCTTTCTTGTCATTTATGAAACTATACAGTGCGGCATGTGATCGGTTGCGTACGTGGATCTGTCTGTTGGTGCCTTGCCCTGCCTGTTATGTTACCCTCCTCTCTTCCTGGTCCTATAAGCTGACACGATGGAGAAGCTATTGGAGCAAACAAGGAATGAATTCCGAATGCCAAGGCTGGTAGTGAAACCCATCTTCGGTATCTCTTTACAACGAGGACGACCGGCTCGGTAGCCGTGCCAATGAGTTATATCAACACAACAACCGCGGGCCTTCCTTGGTCGATCACACAGATTATTGGTCTATACACTTTCAAAGATAGGATAACTCTTGTTATCTCACTCGGCTCTTCCAGTATTCTCTTTCTTCTTTCCCCCGAGACGTTTCTAAGGAGATGAATACGGCTTCTCAGCGAACGGTCACCGAGCAGATTGGGAATACACTTTACAACACTTATCCAGACCCCCCCCCCCGGGGAGCCCAACACATTTCCTTTCCATTTTAGTCAATATGCATGAGAATAATAATAAAATACCTCACATGCATGCACCACGAATAGTGAGGGATGAAGGATCGTCGAGTGTCTGACAGCATGCCATGAGCAACGGCGCAGACTGCAGCCACACCAGACATGCCTGGGTGAGCACCAAGGGACCATCTCCTCGGGGCCATCTTTGTTCTACCTGTCCGGTACCTATTTGAGAGAGGGAAGAGGGGGTGGGGGGCAAGAAAACTTGTAATCTCGTTCCTCTGGCTGCCTCATTGGTGATGTTGTTCCGTGTGGGAGGTTGATCTAGGCTCTGCCCGGCCGAGCCCCTCCCCTCCTCCCCCACGCAGTCACGCAGTCACTCAGCCACGCCTGCTTCGTACATGCGTTGTCCACTACGCTTGACAAGGCTCGACTAAGGCTAAAAGGGTAAGTGTTGCGTTCTCCACAGTGAGTTCTGGAATACTTGAAGCTGATGGAGGAGGGGTTTCCTCACTGCATTAGTGAATAGCCATACTGTGGACCACCGGAACATCGTGGTGGATGACTGGATACTCCTAGTGAGTGAGGAGACAGAAACGAGTCCCCTTTCCTCAGACCTACTCAGAGGAGCCATTATTATCGATTCTTCGAGAGTGGGATAGAAAATGAGGCACAAACGAACAAACGTAGAGAAAAGAAGAAAAAAAAGGTCAACTGGACGTTTCGGTCCAAGGTCAACTGTATAAACAGTTACACGGTCCTTCTTCCGAGCCAGCCGATGCGAACCATGGACTGCGTGGCAAAGACACGTTCTGTTGATCAAGCCACTCTGCATGTTTATCCATACTCGTCGTCCTCTGAGGGCCAACCCAGCTTGATCTCCTCGACAGTCGTCAAGAGCTGAACCCCAAGATCCGAGGGCCTGGTAAACAGTACCTACACCTAACCAAGATTTCAGCAACATCTCCGCTCCTGCACATGGCGCAGACTGCAACCAACTCGAACGCACAATCCCACCCTTCCCTCGGAAGGGGGGTTGGAGAACCAACAGCCTGCCCCAGGCAGCCATGAACATGCACGCCCTTCCTGAGAACACAGCAATGCAAGGCATATGGAGACTCGTATCTGTTCTTCCCCTCCTTGGGTCTATTGGGTTCCAACCTGCATATGCACGGCATGTAAGCATCCGTGGCTCCCGGTGGGTGGGTCGTGGAGGAGGGGGGGGGGGGATTCTTCGACCCAGACTGCCGGGAACCAACCAGAGCTGAGCTGCCCCACGTCTGTGACAATAGTAGGCCACACAACATGATTCTTGGGAGGGAGAGGAGATCTCGATGACAACTTGAAGGACAAGGGAGAGGGAGGGAGAGGGAGGGAGAGAGAGCGGGAGAGAAGGAGAGAGAAATATCAGGACGCAACGGAGGACGACTACTTCAGTATGCTGACGATCAAAGTTTCTTCGTCCTCCTCCTCCCCCCCCCCCCTCCCTCACTGGATTCCACTCATGAATGCATCTTGGTCATGATCTTGAACCAAAGACAAGACAAGACCCAAGGAAATGTAGAAAGGAGGAGACAAAAGCAACAGGCGAAGAAGATACTCGAGTGACTAAGTGGCTTCTCTAAGAAAAGCCTACACTCATTCTGAGACACAATCTTCTTACCTTGACTACAAGAGGCATCATCCATTTCCCCAGGTCTTCCCACAACCACCTCCTCATTCCCGTGGTCAACTTTCAGGTCTAGAAATGAGTGCACCTAGAAGAATCCCATCATAATGACGTGCTTGCTTGCCTTTACTCATTTGCTACATCCTTCCCTCTACCTGCTCCGCTCACTACTCTCCCACATCGTTGTTCCTTTTCCTTCCGCAAATTGAACCCAAGGGATTACTACCCGTTCTTATCCCGTAGCAAGTGCTAGATAGGATGTATAAATCATTTCACTCTCGCTCTCCTCGATTCTATCCTGCCTTGCAGTTATGAAGACTTCTAATTCCGACAGTATCACCGAACCCATCCAATACCTCTCTCCTTGGTGGTGGTGGTGATGGTGATGATGATGATGACAAAGGGCCTGGAGCCTGAGCTGGGCCTTTTTCTTTTCTTTACACTCTTGTTGAAATATAGTGTGCACAGCAAGCCACACCGAACCGACAAACACACATGCAGACACACAGAGAGACAGGAGAGACAGACAAAGAAAAAGACACCCCAAGCGCCAAACATGTCTTTCACCCCAGTCGTAATATAACGGCCCCTACAAGTGAAAAAACCACTACCCAAAACAACAATGACCCGAGTAAGATAGATGTTACTCAAGTCGGCGGCCGTCCTCATACCTCCTCATCACTGTCCTCGCCCAACAGTTCTCCCTCATCATCATCGACAGTGGCATAGTCTCCTCTGCCCCTTGCAAAGCTGTCCCGCGTCGTGAACGGCCTGCTCCCGCCTCCCAGCCTTGAGAAGCCTCCACCACCTCCATACCGCAGCCTGTCCAGTGCTGCGACGCCCGTCCTCCAGAGGCCGGCCACGACCAACGGTATCGCCCCTGCTACCGCCACCGCCGCACTAAGGGCGATGATAGGATACCGCACAAACGGCGAGTCCGAGTCAAACGCGCCAGCCCCGAAGCCTGCACCGGACGTGTCGCCAAGACGGATCTGTCCAAACTTGCCGCTCCAGTTGCGCCACACCCACCAGCCGGCGGCTCCGGCCGCCGCGAAGGGGATTGTAATGGCGAAGAACAGGCCCACGCCAGAGAGGCCATGGCGCTCCTTGAACTCGTCCTCCTTGCCTGGGCATACGTGCGGCTCGCTCTGCTTGTCGAACTCTACGCCGCCCACGCACGTCGACAGAGGAATCTTGCGATAGCCCGTAGGCTCGTAATACTCGACCTGGTCTGGGTTTTGCTTGCAGTACTCGCTGTGGTCCATGGGCTGGAAGCCAGGCACTAACTTACAGGCACCATGACCAACGAGCTCGAAGTTGTAGTCACTGTGTTACGTGTCTCATGTCAGTAAAGATTCCGGTTACCTCTCTCTCTCTCTCTCTTTCCTCCTTTGACATAGAACCCACTCCTCCCAAGAGCTGGAAAGACACTTACCATTCGTAGTCACGCCGACTGCAGGTACAGTTCTTGGAATTATAGACATGCTCGATCCTGTAGCCGTTGTAGCATTGCCTGTCCGTCTTCTTGCGCATGTACTGTGTGACATGCCCAAAGAGACACTCATCACGCTGTAGAGGGTGGCTGGGTGACCAGATCCGGTAGTCGGACTCGCTCGGGTCATCCTTTTGCAGGCAGGGACGGTCTGCCAGACCCGTGAAGTCGACGGTCGAGGCCACGGTTGAAGTTCCATCTTGGGTCCAGACGATGAACTTTCGAGACACACCCGAGCTCTGCGTGGTGAAGTCGGACACCATCATTTCCTTGTCGGCAAATTTGAAGTCCGTCCAGGTGTCACCCTCATCGGTGGTATAGGACACGGTCTGTGTCTTGATATCGAGAGGAACCAGGGCGATGATGGACCCCTGGTCTCCGTACTGCCACAGCCAGCGGCCCTTCTTGACCTGCTTCCAAGTCATGCCGGCATCCGTCGTCATGTAGGTGTCGGCCTCGTCCTTCCTGCCAAGATACTCGCCGACATTGCCCCATGCGAACATGAGACCCACCGCACCCGCAGACGAGTATGTCCTGCTGTGGTCCTTGCGCTCTGTGTACCCGTGGATGTGCAAGGCGCACTTCTCGGTTCCGTCGCCGCTGCAGCCAGTAGACTTCCCGTCCATGTCCTTGGAGGGAGGCGGTAGGTATGCCCACTCAGCGCCATCGTTATGGCTGATCTGTGAGTGCAGCTTCTTTGGATCGTTGGGCTTGTCCTTGTTCGCCACAATGTTGACCATCTCGACGCCCTCGAGGCCGAGCATCTTTTCAAAGTCGACAAAATAGTCCTGGTTGCAGTTGACGCCTGCGATGCTCATGACATAGGACGTGCCGTTGGAGTTGCTCTTCAGGATGGACCCGGAGCACCTGTCTGGTTCGAGGTCGGTAGCAACAAAGAGGTTGACCGCGTGCGTCGAGCTGTCGAGAACGGTGTATGCATGCTGTTCAGAGACTTCAAAGTTGTATGGGAACTGAGCCTCGGCGTAAGTTTCGCCGTCAAGACTGGCAAGAGCACGGAGTGTGTTTTTGGTGACGTTCTGCGTGGCGACGACGATGAACTCAGACATGGTCGCAAAGTCCTTGACGTCGCTCTGCACAACCTTGCCCTGGTCATCGAAGTCGTTGGCAGGCCCGGCGACGAGCTGCCACGGGTTGTCAATGCGGCTGTTGTCCTCCTTCGTACTGGCCTGGCATATGATCTGGTCCTGCGGGCGGAAGTTGTTAAAGGCAGTGGAGCCGGTGAACTCGCAGCGGCTGACGTAGCGCTTGAGGGTCTGCCAATGGTCGCCGCGGTCCGTGGAGAGCGAGGCTTCCGGATAGCAATTCTCATTGGTGCTTGTGCACTTCTTGCCGACCCAGATGATCCAGTCCTTCTTGTCAGGGTGGAAGGCGAACGGTGAGCGTGGGATGTCGGTGTCGGGCGGAGTGGGAGCCTTGAACTCATCAAAGGACTGCCCGTGGTTGACGGTGTACACGATTGTGCCGTCTCGCTGGATGAAGAGCACCATGTCCTTGAAATACGTGTGAGGGACAAAGTCCCAAAAGTCTCGAGCCAGCGCGCTGGGCGCGTCCCAAGTGAGACCACCGTCGTGCGTGATCAGGATCTTGCCGCCGCCCCTTGCGATGATGGTCTCGTCATCTGACCGGCTGGTCTCACCCCGTTCCAGATAGCGTACTTCGGCCTTCATGGTGTTTTCGAAGACGTGTTGTGCGCTCTTGACCTCGCCGCTGGCCGGTCCCTTGGGCGGCGTGTGGGAGTCGGCGCACTTCCACTCCTTGAAGTCGTCCTTCTGCGGTTCACCCTTCTTCCTCTTGCAGGTATTGCCAGGGATGAGCCGCCACCCTGAGGATCCCATAAATGTGTCCTCGGGCTTGGCGTTTGCGCATGCTCCATTGGGAGCCTGGATCGGGCCGACAGCAACGCACTCGCCGTTCTCGCGGCGAAAGTTGTAGTCACACTCGAAGTCATCGTCGGTGCAGTCGCAGTTGGTCGTCTGGACCTCGACCAGGTTGAACTCTTGCTTCATGAAGCAGTCCGCCTCCTTCTTTCTGCGCGTATACTTCTGTGTGTGGCCCATGAGACAGGTAGGCTTCCCATCCTCGTCGACTCTGGCCCACCACTCTTCCATGTCGCCTTTGTCGCACGTCCGCTCGTGCAGGCCCTCGAAGTCGATCGAGATGACCTGAAACTTGGGGTTCAGCTCGTCGCCGGTCTGACCAGACAGCAGGAACTTCAAACTCGTAGAGTCGGGGGTCGTGGTCAGGACCCACGGCTTGATCTTGAGACCGTTGGGGAGCTCCTGTACCTTCCAGGTCTGGCCGTGGTCAAGCGAGTACTTGATCTCCCCCACATCGACTTTATTGGAGTCGTGAATGGCGACGAGGACGGTGCCTTGGTCTCCAAATTCGTACTTATGTGGCCCCTTGGGTCCCTCCAGCCAGTGCATGCCAGCATCATCCGAGATGTATAGGTAGGCCTCAGCGTATGGCTTGAGATAGTCTCCGGTGTTGCCATTGGCCATGACCAGACCGGGCGCGGGGCTCGAGAAGACACGGCCGGCGTTAATTTGTTGCGTGACAGAGTGCAGGTGAATTCTGCTGCCAGCGTCGTGCGTCTGTACAAAATTGAACGTCCGCCCGTCATCGTGCGTGATCTCGGACACGATCTTCTTCTCCGTCAGAAACTGCTTCTCCACGTCCTCCCAGTTTTCCACCTTGTTCACGAGGAAGATGCCCTGGATGCCAGCAATCTTCTCGAAGTCGACGTGGCCCATCATGTTACGATTGGTATGCTCGATATTTCGGGTGAAGAAGGTGCCGTTGGAGTTGCTCGTAAACATGACGCCCATGGGGTTGGACGGGCGGGTGGTCATGACGTCGACCTGGATGCTGTAGTTGGTGCTCTCGAGCACCGTGTAGGCCTCCTGATCGAGGCGGTGATCCTCCGGGAACATAGCCCTGTGCCAATTGAGGGTGTCGTCGCTGACGAACAGAGCCATCTCGTCCGTATTCAGGGAGGCGGAGGCGGCTAGGACGTACTTCTTGACAGAGGCCACATTGATGATACCCTGCACCGGCCTGTCGGTGTCGAGGTTCGGCTCGTACTCCTGGATCTTGCCGTCGGCGCTGAGGGCGCTGAAGTAATTGTCCGAGATAATCAGTCGGTTGTCCTGCTTGAGCGGCGAGAAGGTATCTCGGAGGATACACATGATGCGCTGCTTGTCTAGGTCGGACTGGCCGGTGGTGAACAGGTCGGAGCCCTTGGCCCACCAGCAGCCCTCGGTGTTGCCGCGCAGGAACTTGGCGTCGGTCTTGAAGCCGTCGAGCGTGTACATGGCCACCTCGTCGCAAAAGATGCCCTTGCAGTCCATGCCATTGAATATGATGCGGTCCGGGTCGCTGGCGTGGAAGTTGAAGATCTGGGAACGGAAGATGTTGAACTCGGAGTCGGTAAAGAAGCTCTTCCACGTCTTGCCCTGGTCTTCGGTGCGCCAGTGGGAGGTAGACTCGGTCAGGATGTAGGCGCGCTTGTTGTCGAACTCGTGCAGGACGAGGGCGAAGGCCTTGCCGTCGGGGACGTCGTCGATGATGGACCAGGTCGAGCCGCCGTCAGGAGAGCGCCATACATTCTGTGAAGAGACGTCCTGGAAGAGGATCACGTCTGACTGGTCAAAGTAGTTGAGGTTTTGCGGATAGTGATCAAACTCCTTGACGTAGAAGGTCGGCTCGTCCTTGGCCAGCACCGGCTGTACCGGCGATGCCCAGAGGAATGCCAACAGCAGAGCTGCCGCATTGGTAGCTCCCCTGGCCTTCATCGTATCGGCCGGATCGTGATGAAAATCATCAAGTTGGGAGGGAGAGAAGAGCGGAATCAATAAGAAGTGGGTCTCGAGGCGGCCAGGTTGTCAAGCAGGCAAGGCAGGCAAGGCAGGCAGGAGGAGAAGGACGAGGTTGATGACGATGAGGAGGATTATGCTCGGGGGTTTGTTGGATAAGCTGTTTGTTGCTGTGGTGGCGGAAAGGTCGGCAAATGATCGAGAGATGGTATTCGCAAGGCAGTACAAGTACAGCAAGCAAATAAATGAGGTTGGATGCGACGCAGAGGGAGGAGTCAAGGATTTGGTCTTTGGAAGCCTAAGAAATTTTGAGAGGCCAAGATGATGAGGTGTCGTCCTTCAGGAATTCAGCTGTAAAATGCCAATACAATTGCGTGGCGTCTCAGGCGCGGCAGGTCTGAGGCAAGCAGCAGCAAAGCTAAGCTAAGAATAGCGGATCCGAGTCCTCAACGTGAACGGTTACGTAGAGCTCCCGGGGGGTTGGGGTCGTAGCGTTGTCTGCCCAGGCTGGCTGCCTACCATAATACCGCCACCACCACCCTGCCAGCATAGCGCCATGGGCCCCAGCCTATCAAGCCTATGAATCGAGAGCTACATACCATAAGTACACGCAATACTACGCAGGTACATTACAGTACATGGCAATCAACAGTTATCCCTCGGTTATCATCACTCTTTCTTTCTCTTTCTCTTCTCAAGATTTACCAGTACTGCTGACGAAACAGCATACCCTGACTGACCCAGTCTTGCCACTGCAGACACATACGCACATGAAATACGGCGAATCGGCTGACCTGGAACGAGATCAAGCTGAAGCGTTTGAAACATCTACTGCCTCACTGCACGGACGGGCCGTTCCTTGCATTGTCTGGTTCTACTCCTCCATTTTTGCTACCTCGGATTCTCTTTTTTCCTTTTGCTATCTTGTGCGTGGCTATCTTGTCAGAGACTGAGCCACATTTCACTCATCATACTGTACCATGTATCTTACTCTCTTAACGACATTTCACCCGTTGGCAGAACCACTACTGACTGCCCTGGCAAGACCGTTCCCGAAAACTAAGTACTTACTGACAGGAAATAACCCTAATCATGATCCTAGGCTAGTAGAAGTCGTATAAACTCAAACCCAATTCATTATCGCTTTAGGTAGGCTTGGCATTATTACTCAGCGCTTTACAGACACACCAAGCTTATCCCGACGTACAAAACACAAACAAGCCAGCATAAACTTCAACAGAGACAATTGATTAGTTAAGCACGATGACTGGCAAGTTGGGGTTTTTTTTTTTTAAACTCTCATAACACATTGTAAATATATATATAGATGACTTTGACTACGTGAAGAAGGGGGGAAAAAAGAAGGAAAGACAAGAAGAAGAAAAACAGAAGAAAAGACAATGAAAATGAGGGGAGAACCTCTGTCTCTCTCGCTCTCACTACACCAAGACGCCTGGGACATGGAACAATGCAAAACTTTCCAATCCGACTCTGATGTATAAACGTAGGGTTAAATATAAGGTTACTGTATCTTGCTACCATGAGAACGGGCCCTCGCTCTTCTCCCTCCTCGGCCAACCTCGCGCGTGCATGCAAGGCGGAAGAAGGAAAGAAAAAGACAAAAGAAAGCACAAAATGCTCGCTTATGTTTTCCCCCTCCCCTCTCCCACTTCTCGCGCCCTTCCCCCCCCCCCCCCCTTTTCTCTCCACCCAGACTCAAAAGAACTTCCATCTGCTGGTGACGAGGCTTGATCGTAGGAGGCTGTCACACCCGAGGTCCTTGCAAAGAGAGACAGTGAGATGCAGAGAAGCACTGCCAGCCTTTCCCTTCATCATCATCATCATCTCTTCTCCCCTGAGCCCAAACACCCCTCGCATAACATCTCTTTCCTGCGTCCTAACAGCTCGGGTGCTCCAAGGGATCGCTCGACGCGCAACCGAAGAGTTCGTGACCATACTGCTCCGCGTAACAGTAAAGAAAAACAAAGTGAAGGTAAGAACACATGTCGAAGATGGTTGTCAATATGTCCAAAATGTGGGTGGGAGTGGGTGCTTGTTTGAGAACAAGCAATTGGGTCCCCGCCTCCCCGGGACCGAAGTCGTGCCCCGTTTCCCTGTCTCGTCGCGCAGCTTGATTGTCGTGTGGGCCACCATGGACGTGGGGTGGAGAGAAAGAGGCAAACTCTCATCAAGTATGATCTCATACACACACACACACGAAACCGTCCATAAGTAGCTTTTCAGATTTGTTGGTTGTCTTTTAAATTTTGTCTCAAGCTGCGATTCCCAAGATTGGGTCCGGGTTCAGATTTCTTGCACTTGGGCCCCTCCACCCCCGTTCTCAAAGGTAAAATAACAAATAGCAATTATGTGCAGGTTAATAGGTGTTTGTGTTACGGCAGAACCTGCGTCCCGGGTATCAATCACTTCCCCCCGGGGTAGAGAGATATGCTCGAGGGTGAGACGCAGGCGCTGCCATTTCTTTCGAGGTATCAAGTAAAGAAGAATAAAAGAAAGGGGAAAAAAAAAAAAAGATGACGCTAGACAGGAGAAAAATGCAGCGCGACCATGTCATCTAGGCCATGCGACTTTTTTTCTTCTTTTCTTTCTTTAGTCGGACAGCGTAACGGTGACCGTACCACCAACAGTTGAGACCTATAGAATTGTTAGAGAAAGTCATGAAGGGATGTGTGTGTGTGTGAGAGAGAGAGAGAGAGAGAGACAGAAAGAGAACTTACAGTGCAGCCGTTGCTGGCGCTGCCGGAGAAAGAGTTGCTGCTGTAGGTGTACTTGCAAGGGGTGCCGTCGACATCGCTGCCGCTGATGACAATGTTGTAGTCCAGGGCGGCGTCGCTGGTGGGGGTGTTGTGGAAGATGGACAGGTAGGTGGTGCCGGTCGTGTCGACGCTGGTACCCAGGTTGACACCAGCCCAGTTGCCGGCCTTCTCGGCGTAAGGGGACGGGCTGTCCCAGACACAGGCCTGGGCGGCCGTCAGACCCTGCAGGTTCATGTAGAACTGGGCCGAGGTGGTGGATCCCTCCCACTCAAAGGACTCGCTCTGGTACGGGTTGTAGAGCTCGACAGTCTCGCCGGCGGCGACCTCGGTGGGCAGGTACATGCCCTCGTTACCCGGGTACCAGGTCTTGCAGATGTAGACGGACTTGCTCAGCTCGCTGACGACCTGCACGTTTCCGGCGCCCTTCTGGCAGAGCTTGGTCGAGGTGGAGTGGGTCAGGTGAAGCTTGTTGTCGCTGCCGCACCACAGGCCGCCGATGGACTGGCCGGAGCTGCCCTGGGCAGCAGGCCACTGCGCCTGGTCGTAGCCGGCGGGACAGGCATAGCCGACAAAGTATCCAGCCTGGGGGTCGCCGCTGGTGGGCTCCGAGAAGGAGACGGTGATGTCGGCGGTCTGGCCGAGCTCGTAGTTGTCGGTGCCCACGTCCAGGTAGCCGACCCAGGGGGACACGGTGGTCTGGTCAACGGCGACGGCGCCGTACGCGCTGGGGAACGTAGTGCAGTCGATGGTGCCATCAGGGAAGTCAGCATCGACACCAGTCGCGCCCGACGAAGACGAGGACGAGGACGAGGACGAGGAGCTGCTGGTGGAGGCAGCGGCCGCGGCGGAGGTCGACGTGGTCGCAGCGACGGCCGACGAGGCGCTGGTGGAGGCAGAGCCGAGCTTGACCTCGACGAACTCGGCGCCACTGTCGGCCGAAGAGGTGGTGGCAGCGGCCGAGGTGCTGGCCACAGCAGTGCTGCTCGGGACGGGCGTCGAGGTCGCGATCGGGGTGGTGGACGAAGGCTCGGACTCGCCTACAACCTCGTATGCGCCGTCGGCTAGGCCCTCGGCGGCCTCCGAGGCGGAGATGGGGTTGCCATTGACGTCGACGTAAACGGTCTCCTCGACGAACTGGTAGTCAACGGCGGGAGAACGCTCGTTAAGGGACGGGGTGCCGCGTTCCTTGAGCAGCTCGGCGCCGTGCTCGTGCTGGTGGCGGGCGTGCTGGTGACGGTGCTGGTGGTTGTGAGGCTGGGCGGCGGCCCCGGCAGCAAGAGTTGCCGCAATAGCTATTGTGATGACAGACTTCATTGTCGCGTGTCGTCAGGTGGGTTTACTGATACTCGAAAGACTAGACAGGAGAGGAGAAGCCAATCAGTATATATCATCCTGCAGTGGAAACAGCCAAGTACTGTATCTGCCATCTGTAGATATGGCACTTTGTCTCTCTCTTTCTCCTCTCTCCCATCTACTGGCTCCTCTTCCGTGTCGACAGCCAGTTATCCCTCCACCCCCCTCATCCAGCTCTTCCCAAGTAGTTCTATTCCATCGCAGTAGATAGAAACGCCGAGGACAAACACCCACATGAGAAGGAAAAGGTCTGACTCACTTATAAAATAGGAGGGTCGGAATGGAGGTTTTAAGTCGTGGTATGATAAAACAATATGATGGATCCTTGGGATAAAACCGTAGAGGGAAAAGAATGAACGAACGTACGAACAGACGGGATCAAGAATCGAGTGTGTTCGCGCAAGTTCCAAAAGAGTGTGGTAGAGAGGACGAAAAACTCTCTGTTGGATGGAGCGACGCTGAGCCAAGCAGGAGAGAGAGGAAGGAAGGAAGAAAGGAGGGGAGGAGGATCGCAAGATGCGGGCGTCGGGAAAGAAAAAGGAAACAGGCGAAGGTCCAGGACTAAGAGAGTGACTTCAAGTGAGTGAGTGTGGGAGTGCGGGAGGAGGTCGTAGTGGTAGGTAAAAGAGAGACAAAAAGACCCAACGACAAGGGGGGCCTGGGCCGAAAAGAGAGGGAACCACGCAATGAGGCGTGTGCGTTGTGGGCTGTAGGAGCAGTCTTGGAAATGAACGATGGAGATGAAGATTGTTCTGTGCTCGGGGATCAGGGGGTGGTTTGTGGCTGTCAACGGGCAGACAAGGATATGGGCCAGACCCCTGCCGTTTGGCGAAATTGCAATACGACTAGGGACGAAGGCAGAAGGCGAGTAAAAGTGACAAGGGGTTCTTGAAGGGGGTGAAGAGGAGGGGGAGGTTGAATGGCAGGGCCCAATGATATAGAAAAGATGACCCTGGCCAAACAAACGCCTCCACCAGGTTTAGACGGTAAACCACACCGACGAGGCCCTGTAGTACAAGCCAGGAATATCACCAACTCCGCTGGGAGGCAATGTCATCATAGCATACCACGTAGCATTGGTCGGGAAAGAAGAGACAGAGCACCAAGAACAAGAAGAGAAGGCCAGAATTGGGTCGTAAGACTGGCCCCTCCTCCAGCAGCAAACGGCACTGTGGTAAGTTGTCAGACCCCAAAAAAGAAAGGAGTTCCACCATGGCATAGCAGAAGGTCAGCTGCAGTGGACCACCACCACCACCTCCTCCTCCTCCTTCTCCCCTTTCTATTGATAGGTTCAAGACCACACAGGTGACCGCCTCAAGCCACCTACTCTTTACTTACCAGCCAAGCCTCCTACAGCAGTACAACAGGAACATTAAGCTCTTTTCTCCCTCTCCTCCCCTGACAGACTGACAGGACAGACGAAGAGCATAATGATCATGATCATCATCATCCACCGTCCAGATGGGATCAGCACTAGACGAGAGGGGGAGGGGGGGGGGCCGGCGACGATCTGCACGAGCAGCAGAGCTTGGTTACCCTACAGTTTCAGGGCACACACACACATGGCACGACGGCGGCAGAGCTCCATCGAAAGGAAGACTTTCTTTACCCTGGCGCTGCAGAAGACGCCACAATGAGGGTTTGTGTGTGGTGTGGTGCGGTAGGCGGGGTGCATGAAGGTGTCGTCGTCGTACCGTTGAGCTGGTCAAAGGAGAAAATCAAAGGGAAGGGGCAGAAAGCCAGACAGAGTAGAGAGAACAAAGTGCCCGCCCCCATCCATGCCCTGAACGACCGACTTCCTCTTTTTTCCGTCCCCAAATTTAGGCCCCAGCAGATCAACCCCTGACCCGACCGGGTAGATCCCAGCTCGACTCCAGATGGGACCTGACTAGTCCTGTCTTGGGGGCGCCAATTAAGATTTGACCCAAACAATTGGACAGCGGTGCACCATGGGTCTGACCTATGTGTTTTTTGTACCTGTTGTACCACGGTACGTACCTTTGTACAGAGAGTGTGAGAGAGAGAGAGAGAGAGAGACACTGAGAGGGATCCTCAATCTTATGAGGAGAGGGAGACGACGGGTCGGGTCTTCAGCCACTCTCTTGACATTTGCCGGAACGGAATGAGGGACAATGGAGAAAACCGGGACCACTTAAAGAAAGCATGCATGACGAGGCTGAACTTGGACAAGAAGAGGTGCTTTTTTATTACTTGCTTGTTCTTTGTGTCCAAGTCCTTGTCCTTGCACCCAGCACTGACTTTACTCTATTTTCCAAAGTTTAGATGTGAATATAGTAGTTACCTACATCCCTACTTGGAAGTACGTAGTAGGACTACTGCAACATGTACTCTCCTAGTCCTCGCACAGATGCATCGATGACGGAGATCTCGATTCCTACAGATGTCAGGTTAGATTAAGATATTAATTACATCTCGTCATTATATAATAACCCAAATGCCCATCGCCCTCCTGCCGAGATGAATAGACCACCACTTTTGGACGATCTGTCTCGAATTGGCCTGTGTCGCGCAGGCCCAGCACCTCGCGCGCGTTTCTCTTGTATCCCCCCTCGTCCCGCGGTTCCTCCTCGTTCGTCGCATGCCATGCCATGCTCGCCATCCGCACTCGTATAGGTAATACTTGAGCACCACACCACCTAATCACTCGCTGCCCCGCAAAGAGAAGGGATTCTGGGGTAGATGCTAGACGAGAATCTGACAACGAGAGTGTGGCTCTGGCCTTGGACTGTACGCTTGTGGAAAATAAAGTAGAATCAAAACAACGTAGCGGTTCGAGCGCTATGGCGGGGTTCTTGTTCATGTATTAATTCTCCGTCCCCCAGATGGGAATGCAAGTCGATCCGATATGCACGGCTTGTCAAATCGAGACTTTTGCTCTTTTTGTGATATGATTTTAGTGATGGCTCAACGTGCTAGTTCACCCAGTGGCCCCTCCCACTCCTTCTCTCTTCCTGTCTCTCTTTCTCTCTCACTCTCATCCTCTCAAGGACTATGTATGTCTTTCCTCTAGTTCCATTTCCCCCTATCATAGCCTGCATAGCCGACCTTGTGAGAGAAAGACAATTCCATCTTCTCCTCTACTTTCACCGCCTCATGCAGTGTGGAACCTACTTCCACCAACAAACTCCTGCTCTGGCCCCGTCTTTCCTTTTTTTTTTTTTTTTTCTTCTTTTTTTTCTTCCTTTTTTTTTTTTTCCTGGCCTTTGGTTTGCGCCCAGTCTTCTCGCCGGCCTCATTTCCGCGATGGCCTCGCCTATCTTCCAGAGTGTCCACCCGCTCTCCGCCCGCTGGCCCGGCTCCACCAGACCCTGCGAGCATGGGCTGACGAAAGCTTGTGAGGCCCCAACATGAACCTGTATGCATGGCATACTCGACGCGAGAGCGACAATTGCGTGCTACACGCTGGATTTTCTTGTTCTTTTTGCTTTGGTATCATTTCAATAGAAAAAAAAAAAAAAAAAAAAAAAAAAAAACCAATCCAAGAGAACAATGTCCTGAGGCGACAGGTGTTGTGCCAGTAGGAGGCCAAGCTCTATGGCGCCGGCGATCGTCGTCTCCGGAATGGAACCTCCTCCTATCACCAAGGTCCCTCCCCCCCCTTCTCTCTTACACTCACACTGACACTCACATTGCCCCCCTTTATCACAAAGGGCGCTATTCGCTTTGAATTTCACCAGTCTATCCTGCCTCAATAATAGCATGAAGCAAAAAAAAAAAAAAAAAAAAAAAAAAAAGAAGAAAACCTGTTACCAACCATAGTCCAGAGGGGCGCAAACATGGGCGTGCCTGTTCTAGCCCCAACCCATAGCCCGCAGCGCCAAGCGGGCTTGAGAGGAGACAAATTTAAAGATGGACGGGCTTGGAAGTCGTCATCACATTACGCGCCCTCCAGTCCCCCCCCCCCCTTCTCTCATCTCTCCGATATGTCTCTCTCTTCCCACGTTCCGGCATCTCTTTGTTGGTGGTCATCAATCACCTCCGCCTTGTTTGGCTGGGCTGCATTGCTTTTGTTCAATTTTTGTCTCCCCGAGAGTCGGCGATTCGGAAACTCCCTCCAGCCAGTCAGATCGGAGCAAAGCGTTGGAGGGAGAGTGGCTGTGAAGAAGGGGACGAGGGGAGGGGGGGGCCGGCAACCAGGGCTGACCAACCACGTGCGCCTCCTCACCAAGACCGGATGAACCACGCTCTCCTCCTATTAAAGTTCGGTAGGGCTGTTGATGTTATTCTTTTGAGTACTATTGCAAGCGGTCAAGACAGCGCGGGTTTCGATTGGTCACCTCTGTCTCTCTCTCCTCTTGTGGTTCCTCGCACTTCTCTCTTTCTCTCTCTCTCTCTCTATCTCCTTTTGGCCTAACCCATTTTCCCCATCTGCCGTATAACTCATTCCTCTCCATGACCCAAGGCCTATTCTCGGAACCGAGTCCTTGGCCCTTTCGTGTTCTGCGACGCCGAGCTGCCCCTTTCCAATAAGAAAAAGGAACCCGTCTAACCTCTTTGAGACGGGGACCAACAGCCACCTTGATCTTCACGAGGCTGAAACATCAGCGGGAGGTCCTCTCTACCACCATACTTTTCTCTCTCGAGGAATTCCCAAGCTGCTCAAGGGTTATACCGGCAAAAGTACTATTGGTGAAGAGATCAAGCATAAACCTACCATGTGCGTTGGGGTAGGTTTCTAGGCTCTCCGTCTAAGGCGTAAAAGGGCCTCCCTTTTACTCCTCCTCTCTCCCGTAATGAACATCATTGTTTGGCGGCTGACTCGTGCATCGCTTCCATTGGCCTCCCGGCTGGCGACAATTCTCCTTTCTACGTCCCAAAAGAAGAGAAAAAAAACAAGGCAGTCCTGAGACTTCTTCTCTTTTCCTCATACTAATCAAGGTGACCAGTCTCCTGTTCCATAGGAGGCGGGAAACAAGATATGTACAACAACACACTGTGCATCATAAGGATACATAATCTCTTTCCTGTTGACCTAAACATGTGTACAGACTTTTACATCTATTCATCCATCCGTCAACCCCTCTTCTTCCCCGTGCCGCTCTCCTCTCTGGAATGCCAAACTATCCCGGCACGGGGCGCCCCGTCTCTCTGCCGCGTCCACATGGGAAAAACCCCTCAATGTACTACTGTAAAATCATATATATATATAGTGACTAAATAAGCAAGTAAAGCTGATTTTGCCCCGTCCAGGGCTGAACAAGCAGGACAAGAGTTTAAACCTGTCTCAGCCGCCGCCACCACTACCGCCGCCGCCAATCCGTCAGTGCTGCTGTCCACTATCCACTTGCCCACTGTCCTTGTCCCATCCTGTCCCAGAGGCTGGGTTTCTGAGACATTCAGCCACCCACGACACACAATACCCATCTTCTCTCCTCTTCTTTCCTTCGCTCTTCAATCGCCGGCTGAAAAAAGAGAAGACAAGAAGAGGGGGGGCGGGAAAAGGGGGCGATGATGGGGTGCCGGCGCAGCCTAGGAAGGTGCCAGATACCACCAGCCACCATACCAAACGATACGCCCCAGTCTAGGAATAGAAGGCTCGCTGGTTCATCCCAAACCATTCCGTCCTCTCTTTTTTTTGCCCTCTTCCCTTTCTCTCTAGAAAAACCTGTCCCAAGTGAATCCTGCATCCAGCCAGCCATCTACGTACTTCAGTGATACAAAGTATCGGCCACCCAGAGCCCTATTTCTTTGTGTGTTTTCTAGGAAAGGAGAAAGCAAGAGATTGTCAATTGTTGTCGACTTTCCATAATACAATCCATGGAATATGTACCGAATATACTGGACAAGGGAGGGTTCACACTATTGGAAGAAAATCATGGCACTTGCATATCTTGTACTTCCCACGTTGCACATGTATCCGTATGGCTTGGCCTGGGCGGCAGGGCGGGCACCGTGTGTCTCTTGCGCTTCCACACTTGACATTCACTCAGCCTCGTCGCTGATCTTGTAACAAAAATTGAGTCTACCAGGACACCGTCTTGTCACAGAGCCACAGGGTCCAGTCAGACCTTCCAAGGTCCCACGGCTAGTTATTACAACATCGGACTGAATTTGAAACCACTCGGTGCATCTTATATTCATAGCAAAAATGTCTACTAACAAGAAAGGCCGTTAAGATGGAAGAGGGCCAGGAACCCTCCCATATGCTAAACAACAAGACCATACCACCTCCCTTCTTCCTATATTTACAATAAACATCGCACACCACAATAACAATCTAAAAAAGAGAAAAGTCTCACGGAGCCCTCCCGGAAAAGATCCCGGCGGGATCAAGAAGAGAAAAATAGAAAAGACCAGTCTGATGCTCAATGTTGGTTTGTGCATTGATTTGCAAAGGATAGCCCCAAGTCGTTTGACTGCCTGCCCTTATTGAAAAGGAGAGAAAAGAAAGAAAGATCATACGGTGCCTCCATGTCCACGATCCCAATTGGGGCTAAAAGGCAAATAAAAGAAAAGACGCCTGATGAACGCCAAACAATGCAGGAAAACCTATTCGGCAGCATGGTATCATGGGAGACCAATGCGATCCTGTCCGACTGTGCAGAAAGGACCGTTGGAGATGCAAACGTGTACATGCAAAGAAGGAAAAGAAAAAGAAAAATCAAAGGCGCAAAAGTAAAGACGGAAGAAAAGGAGAAAAAATTGCAACGCAATGCCGATTGTAGAGGGAAAGCATCGTGTCGCCAACAGAATGGAAAGTAGAGAAAAGGACTGTACCTCGGAAACGCCAGCTTTCTCCCTGACCATCTCGTCCTCAATTTTTGGTCTCGGATCATTCGTCTGTGGCCTCGTCCTCCACCTCTTCCTCGTAAAGGGGCTCGCATGTTGTTGAGGTGGCTCCAGCAACCCATCGGTGGAGTGGCTTGCGGTCGTCTTCATCATTCTTCATGAAGGGCACAATCCACTCGATCACAGTCGAGATGCTGCGTTGCCACACGTCACCATGTGAAAGGCGATCGTCGACGGACAACCTCTGTCTCGGCAGAGCAAGAGGTGGATCTTTCGCAATAGGCCTCTAGCCCATCCTGCGCAGGTTTTCGACGCCAAGGCTCGGTACCTCGACATCCTTGAGCCCGCAGACGCCCTCGTCGCGCCGGCGGTCGATAAAGGAGTTGCACTCGTGCACGACGATGCTCCATTCCGCAAGAGCGCGGCCCGAGTACGTGGCCCGGTCCTTGAAGATGCCCACCGGCTGGATGGGCTGGACGACTTGACGCTTGGCTTCAGTCCGGCCACGAGGAACTTCCAAGCGCCCGCTGCTGCCCCTAGAGGACGATGCTACTGAGTCGTTATCCGGCGCCGGGCTCTTGACGAAAACATCAATGGTCTCAATGCTCGTCACGCGCTGAATCTCGGGCAGGTTGAAGTTGAAGCCAGAAAAATCGCCGCTCTGGCTGGGACCGGCCTCGGCGTCCCCATCCTCGAGAGGTGTAGCGTTGCGTGCGCCGCTGATCAGGCCTCCCTGCGATGTGCCAGAGTACATTCTCTCGGGAGGAGGCATCCCTGGCGACGGAGGGGGAGGGCTGTCCTCCCGCGAGCCCGACGAGGCCGCACGCGCGCTGACCCTTGCCTGCGCAGGGGCTGGGAGGCGCGGTCTCGACAGAGGTCGCTCTCGAGGGAGCGTGGATAGCATGGTAGACGCGGCGCTGATCATGTCCAGGCTCGGGTTCCAGGGGAGGGCACCGAGGGTAAACTTGAACACGAACTGGGCCGTATCGTAGACCGGGGCGGACCCGGTCGACGAGGCATCTGACTCTCCCGAGGTGGAGGAGCCCTTGGGCGGCGGCGGAGGTTTGGACCGCTCAGCAGCCGTCTCCCGCCGCACCGCCTCCAGGTCGTTGCTCGGGGTGTTGTTCCGTTTGGCAGCCTCTGCAGCCGCAGGAGCGCTCGGCCCACTGGATGATGTGAAGCTCAGCATCCTACCCAGAATCGACCACCTCTTCTTGTTCGTCGGGTCCGCCTGCGCTGTGGGCGGATCACCACTGCTCTCGCTCTGACTCGATTCGGTAGGGCTTGTTTCGTGGCTGCCTACCGCGCTGTTCATGATGTCGAAACCTGTTTGTAGTAGGCCAGTGTGTGGAGGAGGCACTTCGATGCGTATGATCATAAACCTCTTGCCTGGCTGAGGATGACAAGGTGCTGTAGAAGGAGGCAGCTTGCCCGCTGCGTCGGCTGTCTGCTTCAGCCAGAGATAGTGCGACCACGCCTGCTTGAGCCGATCGGCAACGGTGGTGAAAATTTTCCTGTCAAGGCACACAAGTTCAGCAAAAACGAAAGAAAGGAGAGGGGAAAAGACAAGAGAGAGAAAAAGGCCATGCATATAGAGTCAATAACAACACTCACATATCCAGCTCATTGGGGCTGCCCTGATCACGGCATACTCTCCAGCACAGCAGGCGCATAAAGTAGGCTCGGACCATGGGCGTGTAATTGTTGAAGAACTTGTCAAAGACCTCCTCTGACAATAACCAGCCGATGCAGAGCTTCTCCTTCCGGGCGGCGTCTGCGGTGAGGATATCCCAGGCCGAGAAGATGAACGATAGGACGCGAATCTCCGACATGGTGCTGTTCGACTCGAACAAGATCTTGTGGCAGACCTCGAGCCAAAAGGGCCAGTCGACGTGGTCTCGTAGCTGCAGCTGTCGCTCCTTGCACTCCGGATCGGTGTAACCAGCATAGGCGTCGAACGCCAGGAGCACCTCGTGGAAGAAGTCCATCAGCATGAGGACTGGAGCTTGCCTAAAGACGGGTGTCTTCTTGGTGGCCGCTTTCAGGATCGACATGAACCCGATGGCGAACGTCTCCCGAGCACCGGCTGTCAGGCCTCCCACGGCGTTCTCTGCCAGCATGTCCTTGAGGAGGACGATGAGCCGGTTCTCGTCCATGCCCCGCAACAGGTTGCTCGGCGGCAGCTGTGACAGAGCGGCAGCCATGGCATCCGCGCCGCTGGCCGGGTCTAGGATGGTCGGGGCCATCATGTTTTCAAAGGCAGCCTGGCGATGGTGGATGGTGGTGTCGAGCACGCTCAGGAGCTGGGCGTGGATCAGAGCAAAGCCCGGCGCCCTGGCCTTGTCAGACAACGGCAAGTCGGCCGGCATGAAGTCATCCGCAAGAATGTAGTAGTATTTGCAGAAGATGAAGAAGAGGTCCGAGTCTCCGCCGCGCCATCTCGAGATCCAAGGGCCGTGCCACTGAATGTTGGCGGCGACGAGGGACAACTTCGTCGTCAGGCGCAGGTTGTCGATCATGGTCTTGACCGACGTCCAGCCCAGCTTCTGTAGGTTGGGCGGGAACAGGGACACAACATCTTCGCTCCCAGCCTTGCTCCTCTTGGGGAGGCCGAACTCGTCTGCCACGCGCCTCAGCAGGTCCGGGGTGAGGCCCCAGAGCCGGGCCAGAACCTCGGCGATGCCAGGGACGAAGAAGAAGGCGTAGGCACAGGCCTTCCCGCAGAAGGTGACCAGGGAGGATGGCGCATGTCTGCCAGACATCCTGTCGACCACGATGGCCATCTGGGTCAGGAGGTTGTTGACGAACATGGTCCTGACGTTGTGCTCGGCGGACTCGACTATGCAATCGGTAGACTCTCTCGCCTGGACGCGGCCACGAGCGGCAACGCCCTGTGCCGCCGCCGGCTTATCCTTCAGCGGGCGGAAGCAAGGCGTGCACATCCTCCACTCTGGCCGCATCATGATGTACGTGATGAGCTCGAGGAGGCCGGGGCGGTCCGCCCCCGACACAGGAGCAAGACCTGTGGCGGTGTTGTTGGCATGAATAGCTGTGAAGGTCTTGGCAGGACCACCGTCGCCGTTCCTGGATCCCGTCCCCTCGAGGAGCCCGAGCAGTCCATTCCACCACTTGTGTAAGATGGTGGCGCGGCGGTCGACGTCTTCGGGAGACAGGGCACCGCCCTGGCCGCCGTGGTTCCGCAGGAAAGGGATCAGGGTGTTCCTGGCGATGAGGATCCTCTGGGCGGTCGTGGCCTTGGTGAGGAAGATGGCGTACTCGGAGTCGAGCCTCCTGAAGGTGGCCCAGAGGGGGTCGCGCTGCGGCTGGGACTTCTGCTGCGAGGACATGTTCTCGGCGGCGGTCTGCGACGGTTCCGTGATGGCGGTGCTGCCAGTACCTCCACTGCCCGCATCTGACGTGGCTGAGAGGTTGGTCTGCGAGGAGAGGCGGTGGTTGACGGACCCTTCAACAGCAGCAGCAGCAGGAAGAGAGACGGCCTCGCTCTTTGAGGATGACGATCCGGGAAGTGGTGGCACGACAAGATTGGCGGCGGCGGTGGCGGCTGCGGCGGTGGCCTTTGCTGGCAGCGGCGGCACGCGGGGTGGCTTTTGCTGTTTGATCTTGCCAAAGTACCCACTGGCTCGGTTGAGTGCCCTGCTGGTGCCGCTAGAGGTCTCAGCCAGTTCGGCCTTGGCCTTGTCGCTCTCGCCGGGGCTGGTCGAGGTGGCCCTCCTCCTGGTGAGCTTGTGTGGTGACAGGCGAGAGGGGTCTTTGACCGGGGAGGCAACGACATCGCCCTCGGCGCCCTTCTTCCTATTCTCCCCACCGCTCGTCATCATGATCTCTCCTCCTCCGCCTTCTCCTCTCCGCTCCCTATCTCTTGTGGGGGATGGCGATCGGGAGGATGATATCCATGACTTCTTGGCGAACTCGGCAAACGTGGAAGACCGAAAGGAGGATGATCGGTCCCTGGCGCTCAGCCGTTTGCGCGACGAAGGTGCGTCCTCAGACCTTGCAGCAGCGTCCGTCTCGCCGTTGTCGTCTCGTGGCGCTACCACCTTCCTGCTGTCCTTATTCTGGGCGGCGGCGGCGGCGGCGGCCTTCTCCTTCTGGTCCGACGACGCATCTGAAGACGACGAGGCAGAGGCGGACTTGCCTGCCAGCCATGACTTGGGGCGGCCCACGATCGACCTGGACCGGCGCTTGTTCACGGGTGCCTGAGGCACGGCCATAGGCTCGGGCGGTAGCTTCGGCCTCGCGATCGCCGGCTCTGGGGCCGGTGTGACCTCGACCTCGACCTTGGACAGCTCCGTCTCGATGGGAAGGTTCGTCTCGATGCCTGCGCCGAAGTCAAAGTTGAACACTGCAGCAGTAGTCTCTGGCGGGAGTGCGCTCTTGGACGGCCGCTTCTCCTTGTCCTCCTCCTCGTCGTTCTCCTCTTCTCTGGTCTTCTTCTTCTTTTTCTCCTCGTCCTTTTTCTTCTTCTTGATCTTCTGGGGGGTAGTGGCGGAGAGACGGCTGAGGTCGGTTGGGGCGCTGGTATCCAGCGAGGACTTTGTTAGCGAGGGTGAATCTAGGAACAGGTCGGACGAGGGTTGGGAGCGGTGGACAGCCGGGGCGGCCATCGTCACTGCTGAACCATTCATCTCATGACCGTGTGTGTATGTGTGCGCGTGTGTCACGTCATGAGAGGCGCCTAGAAGCAGCTGAACGGTTCAAGTTTCCTGATGATGCTGACAATGATAATGGTGAAATGGATGTTTTAGTTGTTGCTGAAGAAGAAACGGAAAACACAAGCGCACTGCTGAACCAGATCAACTGACAGGCAGATAGACAGGTAGGCAAGTAAGCAGGCAGGCAAGCAGGCAGATGGGCCTTCTTCCTCCTTGGCGATGCGATGCCAGGCGATGCCACTCAGCCTGACATAAATCGGCCGCAACTGGTTTCAGGAGATCGATGAACCTCGTTCACGCTCGCTCGCTCGATGGTGGTGGTATGGTATACAAATCTCCAGCCGGTATCGTCCACCTCTCACATCCTCGGCCACCGGACCGTTTCGTCAGGGATTAAGGCTGTGCTTTGCTCAGCTAGAGGTAGAGGGAGAGAGAAAGAGAGAGAGAGAGTTGTTGAACTTCTGGCCAGCAGGAAAGCGGAGGGGTTCGACGGGCGGCTGCTTCTTCTTGACTGCTGTGCTGGGAATTCCGTCACTGGTCTCAGTTGCGGTTTGCGGGGACTAGTGAGCAAGCAAATGTAGGGGAACGGCATGTACAAGTCCGTCGCGACTTGGGCTTCGTTGACTCGCTCGCTTGTTCGCTCGAGGAAATAGACTAACAATGTAAAAAAACGAAAGTTCTGCAGTCGTCACAGCTGCAGGCCAAGCGAGGGAAACAAAGACAAGGTTGGATAGCCTCACTTCAGGGTAGGATTGTTGAGATGAAGAAAGATGATGTGGGAAACAGGTAAGTAACCTTCACGACGTCGAAGGGGGGGGGCGAAACGGGATCTGGATTTCAAAACGTTGGTACTGTAGTAAAGCAGGTACTTAATTACTGTACTAGCAGCAGCAGCAGTAAAGTGCTGCTGTAGCAGCGGCAGCGGCAGTCGTGGTCGGTCGTCCTTAGTTTCCGGGCGCTAGGAGGTAGGGATGATGGATGAATGGATGGGTGGGTGGATGCATGGATGCTGCTGCTGTGCTGCTAATTGTTACTGGATACAAGGCTTGGCTGGAGCCTTTTCAGAAGAAGGCCTAGGAAAGAAGACGGATTGCATGTGGATTGCCTTAGCATCCTCCCCCGCCCCACCCACCCAAAGTACAGTATTCTGCAGTACAGATGCATTGCTGGGAGGCGCCTTCAACAACAAACAGGGCGTGTGGGGGGCCCCCATCCCATAAGTACTCTAGTAGCTAAGTTCAGGCAACAGTATTATAGTACTTTGGTGTAAAGAATATACTCTGTCCCCTACACACTTGGAAAACAAGAAGACAAAGAAGAGACAAGACGAGACGAGACGAGAACAGAAATAGGAGAGATTAGAACAGGAGTTTCTTGACAGCTGACAGCGGACAGTGGACAATCCGAACTGAGCCTGGGTGGGGAAGGTTCCCGGGAAGAAAGCGCTGCTGTAGCCTCAACCTAAAATGTTCAATGTGCCTGTTCAATGCCACGCCACGTCAGGGGTTCTTCTCGTCACAAGCTTTGCGTTCCAATCATCCAACAGAAAAGGTTTATGACATAATAGAGGGGGGGGGGATCCTGTTTTTCTACCAGTCTCGTGCATTTGTGTGTGTGATTATGGAATTGATCTCGTATGATGCCAAAATAACGGACAGAGCACACAGAATACAAAGTACACAAGAGTTGCATTTCGAAATTTGTTGAGCTGAGGGGGGTGGAAATTTGATAAGAAATACTACTGGTCTCTCCCCCTCTCTCTGCATGCAGGTGCCGATCTGCTACAGCAATCCATGCTACATGCATGCATACAACCAAGAAAGTAAAAATTCAATAGCTGCTCATAACACACACTGAGAGAAATAGAGAATCTATTATTTTACATAGACTCTCGCCACATGGCTGCTGCTGGGCTGGACAACAAAGACAGTATCCATCCAAAGTCCTGCCCATATACTGATCTGTGCGAAACACACCACGGGGGGCGGGGGGACATAGACGGCTTCGAGAATGATTCCGAATAGGTGGATTCCATGAGACATGAGAGTGGTCCCTATTTCATTCTCTCCCCCTCCAGCACAAATTGAATCAAAAGATCCACTGCTCGATCCACTTGGGCACAGCACGTTACCGCACCAGAGTGCACACCACATGCAACCACAGCCACATGGTTTGGGCCTTGTCACCCTCACACAGGATATCTGAGTCCAACCATTCCGAACTATCCTATTGTATCCACTCATATGTAAGATGTTACACCCAGTAAATCATACAGTACTAGCAGTGACACCAAGCCATACAAATACTACTATGTCGTGACATACAGAAAGCACTGTACATTATGAACACCACGGCCCTGGCACACACACCCAAGCTAATACACAGGCGGTCTGCCCGGATTCACGGCAATACCAAAACTGTAGACATGGTTCATCTGATGACTGAATGGATGTCTGAATACATGATCTGTCTTTTGTCATTGAGATATTTCCTGAAAACACATCAATACCTACTTCTCTTCTTTTTGTGAGGCATAGGAGACAGAAGAGGAAAAAAGGGACCCTCCATCCCATCACCAAGTCAAAGGCTAGATGATAGTTCCCTTATCCTCGATGTCGATGCAGAGTTCATCGCAGCTTCAAGAGGGACCGATCCATCCATCAATCAAGCCTTAAAAGGAGAACACCGCAATGAGAATTCAATCAAGGGTGCAATTCATTGCCTAAAATGGTAGACCCTGAAAGTCTATCTGAGCACAGACCAAGGAAAGAAAGGAAAGGAAAGAAAAGAGCTCCTCACCGTGATATCTCGACTGCACAATAGATCGGGGGTGCCGGCTTGCTCCTAACCCCGGAACCCATCAGATCCGGATGAGGCTGAGAGATACAGAACAGTAGCCACTGCAGTTGAGTCATGACCTCACTTTCTCTCTCTCTCTCTCCATGGTCATGGTCAAGGAGGCGAGATGGGTGACATGAGCTGAATCGGATCCACAAAGATTACGACAAGAGGCAGAACGAAGAGGCTTAAAGGTCCATTGCGTGACCCTTGTCGTCACTGAGATCATCCTCTCCGTCTCTCTCTTGATTTGTACTTCACTTACACATGTAAATTATGTATATACAATATGAAAAAGAAAGGACAAAGAGCAAGAAGCAAAAGGTCTGCCCATAGTAGCAAATCTGCATATCTTTCGTCCCCTCAAGGTCAACATTGGAATACAGAAACACAGTCCATTCTCTGTGGCGTTCCCGCTTAGGCGACTTATCAGATCTCGTGTTGAATTAGTTCGTTGGTGGGCCCTCGTAACGTGAACTTATCTATCGATCCAGTGTCTTATCCTTTCTGATTGTCAGATGCTGACAGAGAATGCAAACATGTCCGTCACAGCTGAAGAATCGAGGTCATTGGGCTATGTGTGCTAGAAAGGCACCTACCTGCCCTGCCTGTTCCAGATAGCTTCAACCAGCCTGGTGCCTGCCCGCCTGGCTCCTTCCTTCCTTCTGTAGCATAGCCTTCAACAAAGAGTCTTTTATTATAGCTTGTCGTACAAGGACAAGACCAAAACATGACCTCGTAGTGTGGCATCTCATCCATTTCATCCTCACGAAAGGTCCTGTGGGACATACAGGATCTATACTATATATAAAGTAAAAGAAGAATAGTCCCATGTCTCAAGACAAGCAGCAGTTGTCTTCTCACCCAAAAACATCACGCAGATGCCGATCCTCCTTCTGCTGCAGAAGCCACCCCTCGGCCTCCTCCCGCCCAACCTCAGGATGCGCCTCCTGATACACTCTCACGCAAATCTCGTGCACACTCCGCCCTAGCCGAGCGGCACTCCCACAAAGCAGAATTCGAGCCCTCTGCTTGAACAAACCCTTCAGTTCCTCTCTACAATCCCACAGAACCTCATCCACATGCGCCATCTTCTGCCCAGGCGGGCCCCTCCTCGAGAACGCCGTCCTCACCACCACAACGCCCGCAGTCTCGCAGCCAGCCAACTCCTCCCCATACAAGAAATCCTCCTCAAAGTCCCGACACCCAAAGAAAAGCACCGCAGGGCCTAGCGCCTCGGGACCACCCCTGGCACCGGCAATGGCCGCCCGCTCCTGAATAAAGGCCCGCATAGGCGCGATCCCCGTGCCCGCAGCGATGAAGATGACGGGAGTCTTTGGGTCCTGCGGCAGGCGGAACTTGGCGTAGGTGATGGAGCAGGTCAGGGATGTGCTGCTCTCGTCGCCGTCTGTTGTCGTCTCAGAAGAGCTTCTGGCAAAGGCACCAGGATTCGAGACTGGAGGACAGGCCAGAGGCGATGAAGAGATGGAGTACTGCCGCGGAGCCAGAGGCTGCAGCATGGACACATACTCGGCAAGGGAGAGCTTGCAGTCGGGGAAATCTCGAGGTCGAGGACAGATGCTCGCCTCTCCAGGACCTTGCTGCGGTAGGTGGCTTCGTCTGAAGCGAACACCTTCAACAGTTCTCCACCACCTCTTCCCTCTTTGTCGTTGTTGGATAACTTTTCGGCCAGTGTGGCCACTTGGTGCTGAGATGCCGGCGTGGCGAGCTCAACGCGCGCCCCAAAGAGCTCAGCAGCCGTCATGTAGTCACCCTATGCATCGTCGTTAGCAAACACACACACACACACACACACACACACACACACACACAAACAGTGAATGCGACCTGGAACAACAAAATCGTGACATACCTGCGCCGTCAAGTACTCCTTCTTCGTTCCCACACCGCCAACAAGTCATCAGCATGAAGACGAAACCGGTTCATGACCCGTCGCACGCTCTCGCGAGGGTTCAGAGGCAACACAGCCAAGTACTCGCCGCTCCGGTACGCTGTACCGGGGGGAAGGAGCACTTCCATGTGCTTCTTCTGGGGACCAATAACTCCGTTCTTCACCAACTCTCTATGGGATGGGCTCCCCGGGCCCGTCGATGGTGGGCTCTATGATGCCGGCATCTTGGTAAAGGTTTGGCTCGACGTGATAGGGGCATGCCATGGTAGTGGCATTTCTGAGGAGTGCTGGCTGGAGAAGATGGGATTACTCTTACCCAAATCAGGTCGAGATGATTGTTGTTGGGAGTCGTCGAACAATTTTGACTTGGCAGTCAATGACAGGTCGAAGACAGAAAATGTATTACCGTGCTGGACCTGAGAAGAAGAAGGAGGAGATGAGTGTCCAGGTCAAACAGCGTGCATTATATGCCCACATTCTCTCTCTCTCTCTCTCTCTCTCTCACTCTCTCTCTCTTTCTCTCCAGCCCGAACAAGAGACAGAACTGACCGCCCCCGACTGATCCCCAAGCAGCCCATCATCATCCACAACCTTGCCGTCCGAACAGTCTGCATCTAGCCGACCTCAAAGCCACGAGGGCGAGCCAGCATAAACATCCATCCATCCAGTCTATTCCCCCCCCGCCTCATGCATGCAAGGCGAGAAGGCAGGTAGGACGATTCTCCTCCCACCCGCCCTTCCCCGCCTGCCCAGCACAGGCTCCTGATAACATAGAGTAAAAATGCAGCCAGGTTCAGCCAGCACCACCAAAGATACTAGGTATGATGCTGCACAGCTTGCACACCACAACAATCACCGTGCTACGGTGACTGTGGCGGCTTCCCCACCCCCCTTCTCATGACTACAGTCCTCGTATCTGCCTCGACGGCTTGTAGAGCCCAAGATGGGAACTTGTTAAGTTATCTCTTCCAAGTTCCAGGCCGGTTTGGACTAACTCATCTCGCGCCGTTGACCACGGCTGCCGCTCGAGAAAAACTCTGTATTGACCAAGCAGATGGCGTCCCCGGACCTCGGACAATCATGCGCTTCAATTTTCATCGCTCTTTTGTCGTGGTGAATAACCTAGCTACCCACGAGAGATTTATTCATGGTTTGCATATGAGGTAACCATCAAGTCAAGAGTCTTGAAAGGGGGAGGGGGGGCGGGGAGCGGGAATATCTCTCGTCATTGGGTGGTTAATACAACCCTTGAACGGACCGAGACTTGTGTAATGTCAAGTCCTGTCTATGTCTTATTCGCCGTCCGCCTGCAGAAGGAACTCCACCACCCTCGGACTCTCGTCGGGACTTCCATGACACAAGCATTATCCGACCATAGTTGCATATAGTCGCATTTTCCAGCTGACATTGCGCGAAAATTGGGGCGATATTGAAGCGAGATAGAACCCTGAATATAGAGATGGAATTAAGGCCAAGACCCAGTGATGAGGAAAAGGGCAGAGTAGGGAGGGCAATGGCTGGATGGATATGAGTAAGAGAAGGTAAGTTGAGAGTGGCTAGAACTCACCAAGAACTCGACTACCCCCCTCTCCTGTTTTTGAGTTTCGATCGAGTGAAGTGTTCGTTTGGAGAGAGATACTGTACCATCACAGGGAAGCTTTGGCCAGCCAGCCATGCCCAGACAACAGATGGATTCAGAGAGGACTGCGCGCACAGAAGGTATATAAAATATCAATTGTCCAGTATACACAAAGGCCACTCCAAGCCATGCACACATTGCTATGCTGATTTCTCTTCGCTTCCCAAATGCTGAGGCCGATTTCCAGTTATACTCTCTCTCTGTGTGTGTGCCTCTTTCTCAAAATAACACACACCCTCCCGCCCTCTCCCCTTGGCTGAATGAGACAATGTTTTCGATTCCATACAAAAAACAAAAAAAAAAACCAGAAGAAAAAAGGAGTATTGGCAAAATAGGGGCGGTCATGTTGTGTGCTTTTGTGCGTTGTCCATCTAGAAGGCCTGCCCGTGGTAAGGAGGCATGGGTGCACGTGGTGTCCCAGGCGTCCCAGGCTGCATAGGTATGTATTGACCTGGCGACGGCAGCGTCATCTGCCTGTTGAATCCCTGTCCAGGTCCAGGAGAGGCCATCCTCCCAGGGCCCGGCGACGCCATCCTCATCGGTCCCTGGCCTGGTCCCGGGGATGCCATCCTCATGGGCCCCTGCCCCGGACCAGGAGAGGCCATACGCATCGGCCCAGCTCCAGGACCCGGGCTGCCCATCCGCATTGGGGCTCCCGGGCCAGGACTTTGCATCCTCATGGGCAACTGCATAGGTTGGGCAAACCCAGGACTCGGAGGGTACTGTCCAGGTCCTTGCAGCGGCGGAGGGCTCATGAATCTCGGTCCGGGGCTCTGTGCTCGGGGCCCCCCCATCGGGCTCATCGGCCCCATGTTGTTCATGCCGACAGGAGGAGGCGAGAGCGTGGCAGAGCGGGGTGGGCCTGGGGCAGAGAAACCACCTCCACCACCGCGGCCCATGTTCTGCATTCCCATACCGCCGCCGTGGTGCATCGGCGACGCTCCGGGACTCATCGCCATGCCTATGTTGTTGAGGTTCCCCATGCTCATGTTCGGACCAGCACCAGCAGCAGCAGCAGCAGCACCGTACATCTGCTGCTGAGCATATTGCTGCTGCTGCTGGGCGTACTGGTGCTGCTGGTGCTGATACTGCCTCTGGTTGATGGCGTTTTGGACCGTCTGCGAGTTGTACCCTTGTTTCATCTGTGCCTTTTCTCTCTCGCGCGCATCGATCGCCCCTACCAGCCCGGGCTGATGGTGTCCAGCCTGGTTGTTCGTGGCGATGCTGATCAGCGGTGTGCCTGTCGCCCTAGCAACGTGCTCCTGCTCTCGGGCTGTGAGGTGCGAGCTGACAGCCCCTGTGCCATTGGCACTGAGCATGTGGCTCGAGTCCTGCGAGTTGCGGCGCTTGAGGAGGTCAGCGCTGCCAGACCTGGAGTGCCGGTTGGTCAAGTAGTCCTGGCTCCCACTTCGCCTCAGCGGTGGGGACCCCATCTGCGCCAGCGTGTTGCCCGAAGGCGTGCGCTGGTGGGTGGCGTACTGCGGCATCTGGGCAGCAGCGGCCCTCTGGTGCACAAATTCCTCAGGCGACATGGCAGGCTGACCTGCTCCGCCGCCAATGGTCGCGCCAGGCTGCCAGGCCACACTCCTGCGCTTCAGGGTGTCTTCAGACTCGGACCGGTAGTGACCGATCTCGCCTGCGCTGGGTGTGATGTTTGCCGTGGCAGTTGTGAGCGTAGGTGTCTTGCGTGGACCTCCTGGAGAATAAGGCCGCGGCGACTGGGCGGCGGCAGGCGGGTTGGGAGGAACCCAGGGTCCTCGATTGATGGTCCGCGGCCCATGCGCAAGGTTGAGCGTCGGGCCAAAGTTGACCTCGGGCATCTCGATGTGCGAGCCTCCGTCAGACGAGGCTGCGTCGCCCACCGTCTTGAGGACACCAGCGCGGGGCCGCTCCACCGACTCCTGTGTCTCGCTCGACTTGGTCGTGCTGGCGTAGTCTGGACTGGCTGTCGAAGCCGCATCGTCGTAGTTGCTGCTGGCCTCGCTCCTCATTGTGCCTTGACGCTGTCTCGGAGGAGGGTACTTCTGTTGACCCTGTTGCTGCTGCTGCCGTTGCCCCTGGCCCCCGTACTCATAATCCCGTGTCTGCCACTCTGGAGAGTCTACCAATTGAAAGGCAGCCTCATCGAGGATGGGGTCGCGAGAACTATTGGGTGTTCCTGGAGACAGGGGCGTATTGTCGCCTGTCCGGCTGAGCAGGGACCCGTTGCGCGAGGATGCACTTGCCGACTGGAAGCTGTCGTCTCGCGTGGGCAAGGCCTTCCGCTGGATGGGGGGAGACGTCTGCAGCCCAGGAAGCGGCTTGCGCTGGACACCTGAGGGAGGCGTGTTACGGGTGTTGGATGATGGAGGAGGCCCATTTCTGCCCGATGGTGTGTAAGGCTGGAACGCATTAGGCCCACGCGTCGGTCCTGGAGAGGGCCGCCGCTGCTCGGAATTGGGCCCTCCTGGTGGCGGTGGCATGCCGCGGCCGCGACCATACCCAGGAGGTGGCGGTCCTCGAGATCCTCCGTGGGGAGGAGGCATGGGCCCGCGAGCACCTTGTTGTTGTTGTTGTTGTTGTTGTTGTTGTTGTTGAGAGCCAGGGCCGCTAGGGGGATACTGCGACCTTCCGCCCTGCTCGCCCGGGGGATAAGGACCCGGGCCAGGAGGGTGCCGGCGCCCGCTGCTGCCCTGAGGTCCGGGTCCAGGTCCCGGTCCAGCTTGGCCTGCCGCCGCCTGATTCAGGGGAGACCTTGACCTCTTTTGCTCAAGGCTCACCTGCGGAGGCGGCAGCCCTGGCGAGCGTGGCGGGGTGTTCATGCTATTGGGAGCTGTTAGGCCTTCACGGGATCCATTCAAATTAGCAGTCATTCCTACCGTATTAGCGTTGGCGTTGGTAAGTACCGCTTGACCCCTCGCGTCTCTTTGACCTGCTGCTGGGGAATCTGCGCTGTCTTCTCCATTGTACCTGTCGGCTGCACTGTTGTTGCCCTCGGTCAGGGCAGGGTCTATGCCAGTCTTGAGGGCCATGCCCAGCTGCTGCAGGGTAGCCATGGAGAGTCGGCTCGTGGCTCTCCGGAGCTCTGGGGAGTGATATGCCCGTTCGGGACGAGCCGTGCGCGCGTGCGCAAAGGCTGGTGGTGCCTGGACCGGCTCTGGGCTGGACAGCTTGTGCATGTTCTCCAGGTCCGCCACAGGCGGCGTCGAGCCGGTAGAGTCGTCTTCCGAGCTGACCCTCTCGGGCGTCGACGCAAGATCGTTGGCGAAACGGATGGGTGTCTGGCCCCTGGACGGGACGCCCGCAACGTGCCGTTCATCGTTGAGATGCGGCGCGAAGCCGTCCAGCCCGTTTGGCCGGATGTGGGTATCCGAGTTGTTACGCGAATGGCCCGTCACATCACCCATGGCGTTCGGGGCACGGACTCTGTCTGCTGGAGGCGCTGAGTCGGTCCGTGGCCCAGGCGTGCCCAAGGAGAACGAGCGAGACGTGCGAACGGCGGGCTCCTCTTCCGAGAAACCCACACGCACCCTTAGGCCGCCGCCGGGCGCAGAGGGGCCTGTGCTGAGGCGCTTGTTCCTGCGGCTGGGGCTCCGACCCTGGGTCATGGTTCCGTCCTCGACGGCGTTCATCCTCTCCCCCGTCAGCTCCTTCAGCTTTCTTTTCCAGTCCCGCTCGGACCACGAGCCGCTCCCCTCGTTGACGATCAGGTTGGTCACGTCAAGGATCTCCAGGTACCCGTACCTCCTGTGCTTGGGCATAGCAAACATGAGGGACCTCGGGTCCAGGACGCTGGCGACCAGCCGCCCGGGACGACCATAGAGGCCAAAGGTATCCCAGGTCGGGAACAGGAACCGCAGGAGCATCTCGAAGCCGGTGACGGCGGGGGGCACCTCGGGCATTATGAAGATGAAGCCCTCGGTTGACGATGGCGGGTCGGAGTGGATAGTGATGTTGCCTTCGATCTTAATCAGGGTCGAGGCGTCGATCAGGGACTTGGCCTGGGGGTAGATGCCGTAGCACGAGAAGGCGTCGGTGATGGAGGCGATGGGCTTGGCTTTTTTCTGCTTCTTTCCGTCCTTCTTGGTGTCGTAGAACTTGATATCGCCCTTCAGCAGGGGTGGCCTCGAGTGGTCGTAGGGCGACCTCTTCTTCAGCTCCTTCTGCAGCTTCTGGTATTCCTTCTCGTCGGGGGGTGATATGACACACCAGCACCGCCGCCAGGGGACGCCGGCCCCGAACCTCACCCTGACCCACTCCTCCGTCTTGAATCTTGCCCGGTCCATGATCAGGTTGATGTTGTTCAGCGTCTTGCCCTTGCCAGCAATCAATGCCCCCGTGTAGGCCTCCTGCAGGGTCGAGTGCTCAAACATGGCCAGCCGGATGCCTGCAGTCCACTGCAGCAGTGAGTGGTGCGAGTTGAAATGAAGCAGGTATCGATTCCTGCCGGCCGTCGATATGCTTAGGATGTTCTGGAGCGGCTGCTCATCGTTGGACCTGGTCGGTAATGATTCAATCTGCGCCAGACTTTTTGTCAGCAGAGCGCCCACTAGACCACTCTTTTGCGACCTTTGCTCTCTTTCTCTCGGTTTTGTTTGCGCATTCGCATTCGCCTTCCCCTTCTTCCGGCCTCCCCTCCCCCGACCTCTCTCTGCGCCCCGGGGCGATATGTGTATGTATACTTACCATCTTGATTGATGCATCCGTGAGGTTGATGAACTTGGGCAGCACCTCTCCGTCTTCTCCTGCGGCATCAAGCTCTGCGGCGTCCCATAGCGACAGGACCGTGCCCACCAGCTGGGCAAAACACTCGGTCCATGTTCTGTCTGGATTTGGGCGTCCATCTGTACACGGAATAAGAAACCAGATCGAAAGGAAAATGTTAGATCGATTGATCGCCCGAGGACGCCAAGCAAGGGAGGAGGGGTTGGTCAGACGCACGTGTGTTCTGGTCATCGAGCTTGAGGAAATAGCCCTCCTGGTATAGCTTGTTGGAGTGGCTGTTGAGGAAGGTGAAGATGGGTTGCAACTCCGGGATGGCCTCGCCGACGTCCATGAGGGGCGGCTGGAAGGTCTGCACTATGGACAAGGGGCGGCCAGAGTTGCTTCGATTGCGGCCCTTGGGGCTGTTCGTGAGGGGCGTATCTACCGGTGACGACGGGTGTGGCGACGAGGGTTGATGTATAGGGGTCGAGTTGCGGTGTACATTCGTGTTCAGTGGATGGAGAGGAGGCGGGTCGTCGCGTGGTGGTGATGAGCTTGGATCCGTGAGTGTCGAGTCCCTGTTACTATGCCCAGAGAGCTGGGACATAAACGAGAGGACTGGTGGTTTAAGCCCAAAGTCAGCACCATCAGTGACGAAGGAAGTAGGTGATGGTCACCGGAAATCAGGACAGGGGGGGGGGGCTCGCATCGGGGGAAGCGGGGGGTGGTGTGTGGTGTAGGGACACGCTGGGGGGTTTGGGCATTAAGACCACCGCGCACGGGAAGAAATAGAATGACTGGGGGGAGGGGGAAAAGATGGGCTCCCCTGGAATGGGGGTGTGTGAGTGTGGAATGCAAAGGCGGCTGGCCAGCCCGGCCAAGCGGCCTAGTCAGGAGGTTATGACAACTGCAGCGAGGGCCGCAAATTGCCCAGCCATGACAGAGAGGTGAGAGCGAAGGTCAGGGGTGGTAAATAATCACCTCCTCTGCACTCTGTTTGATCCTTGTGGGAGAGCTGTAGTTTTTGGGTGTGCCCTTGCTGAGCAGAGTAACACAGCAGAACAGAGCAGGGCAGACCTGGACCAAGACCCAGACCAGCAAGCAAGGAAGGGGAAAAGAGAGAGTTCAGATTCAATGCGGTCGCTGAGGCGATCACAAAGGGGGGTGAGGATTCAGGGAGTGAGGGAGAGAGAGAAATGGAGTCGAACAGAACAAGACCCAACATAGTACCACTCACCTCGATTCCGGCCCATTTTTTTAATGGTATCCTCCTCCAACGATTCCTTTATTGCGCGTCTGCTCTCGACCTTCCCTTTGCTGAAATTTTTGCCCAGCCTAGGAGCAAAATTGGTGTCAGCCGCCTAGCCGCTCCAAAATGTGTGCTGTCTCGGTCGGGGCATGGGTCTTTTGGGGCCGCGCAAGGGCACAGGACACCAGCGAACGGATCATACGTCAACAAGGCGGGCTGTGCTGGAGTGAAAAGAAAATGAATGGCCCTTTCTTTTGCTTGAAATGGGTCTGAGAAGGGTGAGACAAGCATTTGACTTGTACTTGTCAGGCCGTATATCCGACACCAAGGAGGAACTCACCGGCGCAAAGGATCAGATGAGGGCGGTAAAAATTATCCGAGAAAATATAATTACTTGAGAAAGGACCACCAGACAAAAGAGACAAAACAGTTGCGAGAGAGGTGTTCGGAGTGTGTAGAAGAGGGCGCCTGCGCTGCTCGGTGCGTGCGGTAAAATGCGATGGTCCAGATGCAGTGAGTGAGTGGGCGGGTGCGATGTCGTGCTCTCGGCGCTCCCAAGATGGTATCGCAAGTACTATGGTGACGACTGCTCTCCTCCCTCTCTCTTGCGCGGCTCCCTTAGCGGTGGGTAGGGTCTCGGTCCTCTCTCCCTCTTGCGGCGGCTGCGGAACGCGATTCAAGACTGGGCTGGCGAGCCTCGTCGAAAGGAGGAAGTTTTGTCTCGAGGTTGTCTCGGAGACGGTAAACAAGAAGTAAAAAAACTTCGAAACCCTGGAAAGGGTGATGTGAAGAGGGGAGGCGACAGCTTTGTATAGTGAACGTGTCGTCCCAAGGTCGTAGACAGATGGTTGCCGCCGTGGTGGCCCTCAGTACTTGGGCTGATGTGAACGAGGCGAGGAGGGATCCGCACAAGGGTCTGCACCATCATACGTCAGGTCGCAAGCTCGCGCTACTTTTTTGTGGCCCCATCCGGCGTCAGGCCTTGTTTGCATGCGTCTGGTACACGGTACTGACTTGAGTGTACCTGGACAGGTATTCAATGTGGGGAGGGACAAAGAGGGCGGTGCTCGTCACGAAGAAGGTTCTGTCGTTGTGGCTGGTTGGATGTCGTGGTTCGCTGCTGCTGCTGCTGCTGCTGCTGCTGAGGTTGTGTACTTCATAATTTTCTTTTCTTTTCGCACGGCAGGCTTGCAAGCGCTCTCTCGAGGTCGGGTATTCCCTCCCTCGTCCAGGACGAAGCTGGCCGGCGCAGGCGATTATATGGGGTAGTGGTGGTGCCTTTAGCAGGTAAGGCAAAGGGTACCGTGACAGGCGGGAACAGGGTGTCTCTGGTCGTGGGGCTAGCCGCAGTGCAGTGCAGTGCAGTGCAGTGCAGTGCAGTGCAGTGCAGTGCAGTGCAGGATAAGCTAAGTAAGTGAATAAGGATGTGTGCCGGGTAGTCCGGAAGCAAATAGCTTTTAGTGAAAAGAACCGGGAACGAACACGACCGTCTTTGCTGCTGCTGCTACTACTGTTAGTTGTTGTCGTTGTTGTTGCTGTTGCTGCTGCTGCTGTCAAAACAAAATTTTCTCGACCTTCGTCAGCTGTGGTCGTTCAGGACCAGCTCTTCCGAGGTCTGGGGTAGTACAAGCTGACAAGCTGGGCCCTGACGACGTCGCCGCCTCCTGTTCACACAATGGTGAGGTTCGTAGGGTGCACTTACCTGCCAGTCCTCCCTGCCCAGGGTCTGCAGGAAAGTTGTGGTTGTGAGCTGTAGTATGTAACTCTGCCGGAGCTGTACTATGCTGGGCTGAGATGGGCTTGCGGTACTGTGGATTCTGGCGGGCGATCTCCCCTAGGCGGTGGGAGGCTAGTCAAGACTGCTCTGTGATGTCGATGCGGAGGCTAAGTTGACGATCACGATGTAAAGTACTGAGCACACACCAAGCATGATTGTCGACACAATTTCGAACGGAGGGGAGAGAGGGGGGGGGGGAGGGGTCAATAGCGGTGATGATGATGGACCTGGTGCTTTGACTTGGGATAGGCGGGCAGGCAATTAGGCCTGCTTGGAGATGCTTAGACGGAAGGACCACCCAAGGCACTATGGTCGCTTTGCTGCTATAATAAAAGTATGTTTTGGTGTATGTGTGTCCCGAGTACGAGGAAACTTTCAGATGATTGATGACCCCGTCGTGAAGAAACCTTGCGTGCGCGCGGGAGTGGTGAGGCAGGGCAGGTGAGCCGAACATGTGGTAAGAGCCACCCGCAACCAGCACCTGCACGAAACAGTAGCGACCTCCTGGCTAGTACTATGTACTGACTATTGTGGTGGTGCTGCTGCATTGTACAGTAGCGCTACCACCACCAATAGTCACTACGTATGCTGACAGGTTCTTGCCCTGTCCTTGATTTAAGCCGTTCACTAGCCTCAAATTTCTACCCTTGCATGGTACGATGATACTACTGAATGGAAGTATTTTTGCATGTACTGAATAATTCCATAAATTCATCCGTCCACCAACCATCCAGCCATTCCACCATCCAAGATCTGTTTGCATGATACATTAGGATTACTAGGCAGTGGATGGTCGACCCAGGTGATGAAATCAATCGGTACACGCACAGTAGCACGCAAACTTTGTCACAACACTGAGAAAATACTGCAATGTTCATGCCCCAGCATATGTACTATGCAAGTAACGTCTTGGCAAGATCCAGAGCGCATACGCTTACGCACACCACATACACACACACAGGATCATCCCGTGGAGGAGGAATGCCTACCACGCCGCCATCTAAAAGAGGACAAGATCAGTAGACTACTTGCTCAGAAACCAGGTCCCAAATCAGGCCTTCCACATATCCTCTTTCTAATTACCCTCCCCCCTTCCCCGTCTCGTTACTTTCCCAATCGAGAAAACGTGCAGGTTGAATGGGACGACGTGGGCGGAGTGGATTTTTTTCGGCTGTTTGCATATGACTTCATCTTTTTGTGGTGATATCACCACTTTGCCTATCTTGATCATGTTCATCCTAAGCCAATGTACTTAAGTAGCTAGCGTTGAAAGCTGCCCCTCTTCATCCTCCATGGTAGGGTAGGATAGGCTAGGTCCGGAGTAATCAAGGCGGGCCGGCTGTGGCGGCCATTCTGCAGGGGGAAACAAGAAAAGAAGAAGAAAATGAATATAGACTTTTCTTTCTTGGACGCCCGTAGAATTGCAGGAATACTTGTAGGAATGTATAGAAGCGTCGAATTACATTTTCCTCCCCGGCCCTTAACATCCTCCTCCTGTCTAGTCCACTCCTGCGGGCTTTTGGGGAGCCGCAGAGAGAGGACAAAAAGAAATGCATCACACGGTTCCCCCGTCCGTTTCCGTCCGTCCATCCGTCCATGCACGAACGACATCATTCGCATGCCGCCACTCAGCTGCTTAGAATAGACGGTACACGCATGCGCTATGGAGCCGGTGGCTGGTTGTGGCTGCGTGTGTTTGTTGTGCTGATGTCGTATACATATGGTACTTTGTGCCTGCAGGTACACAGCTTATTCTCCATGTAAGTACTTACTACTCAGTGCATAGGTGTAAGGCGTCAGTGGAAAGCCGTTTGGTAGTTCGGTACGACGGCACAGCACAGCATCAGCACAGTGAGTACGGTGTGCACTCACCGTCTTCTTCTGTACGCGTATGCGCCTGACCAATGCTTCCTTGATGCTATGTATGACAAAGAGCTACGGTCGATCGATGTCTTGATCAACTCTGGGCTCAGGACAAAGGGGAACAAAAGAAAGAAGGAAAGTACAGGGCCTTGGAGCATTCCTGGGGATAAGGTCACCAACCGTCTACTTTCATCTCGCCATGGGCCATGGCCAGTTAGCGTTTGGTCGTGCGTGTACACACGGGTCACAAGGGAAGAAGGGACGAGAGGACAACCAACATGCATGGCATCTGCCTCGTTCCAGTGTGGACGTCACGTCACGTTGGACCCTAATTCTGCCCCTCCTCCTTTACCCCGGGCCACCACCACTGCCGAGCACACCAAAATACCACAACTACATAGTACCACCAAGCAACATCCAGCAGCTTACGATGGCACAGACCTAAGGCTCGCACAATGTCCACAAATGGTCCAGCCTCCAGCTTTTTACCTTAATACATACCACGGCGCCAACCTCACACATTTTCGTATCCAGCCCCTTCCCAAGCCTCCGTCCTCTTCTTGGCGTTGCTGGCTGGGTCTGAGGTTTATGTGATCCATTTCGTTCCTCCCAAAGGGCTCCACCGACCGATCTACGCAGGCCGCCGCCGGGTCCGGGCTTTTGTCGATTGGCCGAGAATTGCAGATTCCTGTCTGACAAGGGGAATTGTCTTTACCGCCTCACTCAGAGGGAAGAAAAAGAAAGCAGGACAAACAAAAAAAAAAGTTGGCCCCTTGCCCCCCCCTTTGTTGACTCAGCCCCGTCATCACCTTTGGGGTTCTTGTCTCTCTCTCCAGGCCAGCACTGCAACACAGACCCAGTGTTGTTGCTCCATTACCCCATTGCCCCATTGTGATGCTGTGGGCCGTCTTTGTTGGGGACACCTCCCGGAGATTTCTTGACTGAACGTGTCAACCCGTCCCCCCAAGCAGTTCCTCTCTCTCTCTCCCATGTACCGTAGTATCTCTTTCTGATTCATAATTCGCACACCTGAAACGCAACCTCGGCGTCCGGTCTGGTCTGAGCCCAAACCCCCATTCCCGAATCCTCCTCGCGCCGCTTATCGAGCTCCATCGGTCGGGTTCAACGGAGGTGCAGGCACGAGAAGAACAAAATACATCCTTAATCCTGCCTTGTTCTGGGTGAGACCCTTTGTGCTCAGGTGGCTTTTCAACCAGCAATACGATATATACAAAGCCTACTTAGCACGCTAAGGTACATGATAGATGGCCAACCTGGCTGCCTGGGTCGCCAGTCGGGCAGTAATTAAGACATGGCCCCGTAATTTGGGAATGGGAATGCGAATGGAGATTATCAGGAATCCGAAGCTATTCAAAGAACTAATTTCAGTTCTTCTTTTTTTTTCCTTTCCTTTTATTTCCGAAGAGCCGACCCTAGATCACTTTCGCCATCTCTCTCTTCCTCTTCGTTTTTGCACGGAACCACCGGAGCACGGCAAGAACGCCGAAGTCTCAATGCGTGGGAGGAAGAGATGGAGACCACTGGTGTGGTGGGACAGGTCAACGGAGTAGCCCGTACTGCCGAACATAGCTCGTATGTACGTACGTTTACGCCTACAGGATGTACAGGCTTATGCTTTCTTGTCTCGCCCCCTTCTCACCCCCTCGCCCCCAAAGAGTAACATAAAATTCTCTTGGATGAGGCGGAAACAACACAGCCTTGGCGCGTGCGTGACGCGTGGCCTCTATTTCTCCCAGGACATTATTCGACCGGAGGGCCAATCTCAGACAATTGAGGCGGGCTGAAAATATTACTGATCCACCACCATCTCTGTCGACATTTCTCATGCTGCTTTTTTTGAATGAAATATCTCGGCTCGGGTCTATATGCAGGGCTGTGCAGCCAGCTGCTGCCACCTTGAGATTATTGTCATCATGCTAATGGCCGCACGAAAGTTGATAACCTCGAAACAGATTCTTCATCCGAAAACTCGGGACATAACAAGGTACTGTGCATATCATGTCTCTGCGGCAGCATACCAGAGTAGATAGCTAAGTAAAGCCACTGTCTGTTTCCTGGATCTTCTTTCCCAGCGTCAGCCTCATCAGCCCTCTCTTCTCTCAGGCTTTTCCCCACAGCCTCCTCTTGAAGCCTTCTCCTCGGTGGCTTCTTCTTGATCTTTTTCTTGTCTCCTCAGAAAATCACCCCTCGCGAGTGCGATGGCTCCTCCGCAGGGCCGAACGTGGCTAAGTAGCGAGGTGTCAAACTCGGTGTCTCGGTCCGAGTTGCCAAGAGGACGGAGGACAGAGGGCGGACTGACCAATCCAGGAGAAAGTCGAGGCCTCAATCAGTAATTTTTGGTGGAAGGAGGCAGTCACGTCTTTGTGCTACATGGTACGATGGAGATGGAGGAAAGGTTCTCAGCGAGCAGCAAACTGATGTCGAAACCTCAGCACCGATCGGTGCCTAGGGATTTCCAGTGTGCCTTTTTTGTCGACTGTGGGGCTACTTTTACTGTGGAATGAGGCCAGTAATGAGGCCAGTCCTACCGTAGTCCGACCATCGGCAGTACGTACATGATAGTACGTACTATGGTCGTAGTGACCAGAAGAAGGGAAAGGCAAAGTGACAGTGCTATGCTATGTTGGCCAGTGAATATTGTTGGGGAAGACAGTTGTACAAGACAGGATGAGGTCTCTGGCCCCATTTCGAAGTCTTTTCCTGGTTGAGTCTCAAAACTCATCCAGCAAAATCAAAGAGAGAGAAATGAACAAGTCATTTGTCCCCCGCTCTGCAAAGAACATCTGCAGAAATCTTCCAGAAGGAAAAAAGAAAAGAGCAAAGAATTTGGGTGATCGTCACAGACCCTTGCTCCTCATCTAAATCCCTGCAAACCGTTGGCTCTCCCTCTATCTTTTTTTCTTTTTGCCCCTTCAACTTTTTTGAACCCCGAAAGCCTTATCGTAAACCACGACTGATTAACAACGCCGCATCCCTCGTTCAACAACAAACACACCAACGCACGCCTTCTTCTTTGGTTCAACACACAGCTGCGACGTTACAAACCTATACCGGCAACGTGTTACAACATTATTCCAGTCCTGGCCCGAACCTTAAAAAAGAAAATCAAATAAATAACCAGTGCCTCATCGCTGGGATGAGGAAGTCAGTAACTCTGTTATTACCGGCCTCGATCCCTCACCAAGTCCGGCAGACGCTGTGCTGCTCCTACGCCCTCCTCCTCTCCTCCTCCTCTCCTCCTTTGTCATCGCCGTCATGGCTCCTCCCACCCCGTCATGACCGAAAACGAAGCCGACCCCTCTCTACCTCGGCCGGCGTTGCCTCTGCCACTGCGACCGCGATTGCATCCGACGACCCTCGCAGTGACCACCCCCCCACCCGACCACCGCCATCAGACAACCAGCAACAGCAGGCCCGAGACCGAACGATCCCTGCTCTCCCCGTGCTACCCTACAAGTTCGAGACGGGCATCTCTCTCTTCGCCAAGCGCGCCCCAAGGCCATTCCCACCGCCGTTCCTCTCGCCGCCGTCGGGCTCCTTTAGCGATCCCTTGAGCACGCACCACCGCAGTCGCGACAGGCGGCCCAAGGTCAACGGGGAGCTGATCAAGGGGTGGACCAACGGCGACGACGCCGTCTTTGCAAGCGAATACTTTATCGGCGCGAATGATGGCGTAGGCGCCTGGAGTGCGCGGCCCAGAGGCCATGCTGGGTATGTACCGTGTCTCTCTCTTCTACTGTCGCCTCTGCTGCCTCCTCCTCCTCCTGCTTCTTCTTCTTCTTCTTCTTCTTCTTCTTCTTCTTCTTCTTCTTCTTCTTCTTCTTCTTCTTCTTCTTCTTCTTCTTCATCGTCGCCACGCTTACGCAAAATCGTCTTCTCTTATCTACCAGCCTCTGGGCCAGACTTATTCTACACTTCTGGGCCACAGCCATGAGCGAAGACGCTGCGCGGCCCCGCGGACCTGGCGACCCGGCTTACCGCCCAGACCCCGTCGCATACCTCCAGCGCGCCTACGAACTGACGAAAGAGGCCACCTCCGAACCCGACTGGCAGGGGACCACGACCGTGACGGGCGCCCAGCTGTTCTACGGGGCTCCTGAGGAAAATGACAAGGCAAAGGAAGAGGAGGATCTCAACATCAACAGAGGTGGCGGCGGCGTGGGCGTGGCGCCTGTGCTCTACGTGACGAACCTGGGCGACTCCCAGGTGATGGTGGTGCGGCCGAGCTCGGGCGAGCTGGTGTTCAAGACGAGCGAGCAGTGGCACTGGTTCGACTGTCCGCGGCAGCTGGGCACCAACAGCCCCGACACCCCCCTGGAGAACGCCGTGCTGGACCGGGTGCCCATCCGCGAAGGCGACGTCGTCCTCGCCATGTCGGACGGCGTCATTGATAATCTGTGGTCGCACGAGATCGTCGAGAACGTCACCACCAGCATACGGAGGTGGGAGGCCGGCGAGGGCACCGCCGCCAAGGCCAAGGTCAGGGCCAGCAGGCCCGAGTACGTCGACGGGACCGGCGAGATGGCCTATGTCGCTGAGGAGCTGATGATGGCTGCCAAGACCATCGCCCTGGACCCCTTCGCGGAGAGCCCGTTTATGGAACATGCCATCGAGGAGGGTCTGCCGAGCGAGGGAGGTGAGTAGAGGCCTGCTCTTCTTTTTTTTTTTTATGGACTTTTTTCTTCTTTCTTTTCTTTCTCTTGCCCCCTCCTTCTCTATCCATGATGATCATTCTGGTTGACATAAAGGGTCGCAGGCAAACTAGATGATATCAGTGTGGTCGCGGCGCGCTGTATGCGAAATAACGACTTTCAATGATCACGATTTTATATTATTATTTTTAATGCAGGCGGCGCATCGCTTTTGTGTCAGAGACAAGACACACATGAGGAAATCTCGTATTTCTCTTGGATCTACATTTTGACATTTGCTGTCTAATAAGGAGAATAACTGGTCATCGCAGGAGGAAAGCCTTGCTTTGTCTACATACAGAAACGGCGTCAAGGGGAACAAGGTAAGAGGTGGGACTGATCATATAGAATTCTGGCATCAGGGGTGGTTTTTTTTACTGGGTGTGAGAGGAGGAGGATGATGGTCGACGAAGGACAAACAGGCGTTTCGTTCTGCAGGACCAGATGGTTGGGTTTTTCTTCTTATTGTATTGTTATGTACTACTATGTACCGTGCAGTGCAGCATCAAAGTACATAGCCTCTAAAATAATCTCCCGCCCTGCTAAGGCAGCCAAGGCGCAGCCGCAGGCAAAATCATACTTCAAGGGAACGTGGGGGGCCCATGCCACTGATAAGCCTGAGCCGTCTGGCGCGATAACAAAAAGTTTTGGGCGGCTTCCCAACTTCGTTCTTTGTGACTTGGTAGACAAACTTGCGTGCAAATCACCCAACCTATCAGTCAATCAACCAGTCCACCAAACCTCGACAACCTCATCATCACTTTCCTCCTCATTCTTCTCCTTGCCATCTTTCCTAAGGACACTCACAAACCAATTGGGCCGAGAATCCAATCCTCATCCGTTTCGCAGATCGGCCCAACACCCCTTCTAGTACCAACGAAGAGAACAAAGAAGTCCCTCCTCGCCTTGGCCTCCATCTTTACCTTCCTCTTCCTCCTCCCACTCTTCCTTTCTCGGGGCCCTACCGCGCTGTCCCCAGCCCCAGCCCCAGCCCAGCATGCGCGGCAAACGCTCCAAAGCCTACCGCAAGCTCCTCAAGCAGTTCGAGCTCGCCTTCCACTTCCACCAGCCCTACCAGGTCCTCGTCGACGCCGACCTCGTCCGCGATGCCGACCGCTTCGCCATGGACCTGCCCCAGTACCTCGCCAACACCCTCCACGGCGAGGTCAAGATCCTCATCACCCAGTGCTCCATGCGCCACCTGTACGCACAGGGCCGCGAGCCCGGCATGGACAGGGTCATCGACAAGGCCAAGACCCTGGAGCGGCGCCGCTGCGGGCACCACCCGGACGAGTTCCCCGAGCCGCTGAGCACGGTCGAGTGTCTGGGGAGTGTGGTTGGGCCGACGAACAAGCACCGCTATGTCGTTGCTAGCCAGGACGCTGGGTTTCGGGCCAAGATGAGAGGGATTCCTGGTGTGCCGCTGATCTACATCTCGAGATCGGTCATGATTGTGAGTTTTGATTTTCTTTTTGGTCTATAGTATCCAGTTATGTCTGCAAAAACAAGGAACAAAATGGGAGAGGGAGAGAAGAAAAAGGGCACCCCTAAATGCTGACTGGTGTGACTCGAACACAGCTTGAGCCCATGGCCTCGGCCACCGCGAGGGTCGTGCAGAAGGGCGAGAGGGCCAAATTCCGCGCCGAGCTGAAAGAACCCGCCCAGCCAGGCGGCAAGAGGAAACGAGACGACGGCGATAACGAAGGTAGTGACGGTGATGAGAAAGAAGGGGGTTCTAAGACGGAGAAGAAGAAAAAGAAGAAGAGAAAGGGCGAAAAGGGCCCAAATCCATTGTCCGTCAAGAAGCCCAAAAAGAATCCACAAGTGCAACAGGCCTCGAGACCAAGACGAGAGGAGGAGGAAGAGAAGGGAAGGCCAAACGAAGAGGGGTCCTCGGAGCAGCCGAGCAAGAAGAAGCGGAAAAGGAAGCAGAAGAAGACGGAGGACAGTGGTGGTGATGGCGCTGGTGAGGCTCCGCAGGCTGTGGCGGTCGCGGGGGACGACTAGAGCAGGCATCTGGAGCCTCTCAAAGGGGAAGAAGGGCTTGGGGGGTTCTTGAAGAGTGTGGACTACCTTTCCGGGTGCATAGAAGCGCTTACAATGATACCATGATCAGTCCAGAAGGATTGTCTGCTCACTGACGCCTCTTCAGAAAACTTGAAGCCTTCCAACAACACAATTGTGACGAGGATTCATGATGTACATGGTGCCGTATCAGTAGCGCCAGTACAATATGTATCTATCCATCATAGATGGCCTCAAGTTAGGATGCGGTGTTTCATTCTATGGCTCCTTTCAAGGCGATTCAAATACATGGCATGCAAAGTATATCTTAACGCCAGCGAAATAAAACAATGCCGTCAACGCCGCCCTCCTCCTCTCATAGACAGCATCATTTCGCGACACAACGGCAAAGCAGAACATCAAAAACGAAAAGAAAACCAGACACAGACTAATCTACATATTGATCATTTCTTTCTATGTCCTAGTGTCGATCCGTAAACAAGGTCTCCGTTCCCCTTCATATCCTCCACAATGAAAAGGTCTCGTCAAGCACAGGTCGTCTTTTTGACCATGGTGTTTTCCATACGTTTTAGTTGCGATCACCACAAGCCCCGAGAACCGCCAAATTGCCCCCTCCTTCACAATGGTGGGGGTATGGACGGCCTCGTAGCTGATGGTCGTCAATTTCGTTGTCGTTTGTTTGGTGTTTGTGTGTTTTCTGTCAGCGTTCATGAGAAAGAAAGAAAAAATTAAGAGTGAAGAAAAGTGTTCGTCTTGTGGTATGGGGTTTCAGCAGCCCCGAAATAATCGTAGCCGAACAGCGAAGATCTTTTCCGTTAGTAACAATATTGGCAAGAATGGTGAAGAAAGAGCAGCGTCGTATCGCAAACAATGCTTTCAGCATGGTAGAGTAGTAGCGTCAATGATCCTGTCGGAGAGGACAAGTAGAAGACGAATCAGATAGGACCTGCGAGCAAGTCTCAAGAGAGAAAAGAGGCTCCGCAGTCGGTTGTACAAACTGCATCAAACGTTAGCGAGGAGGTCTGGAGGGAGGAGTCGAGAAGAAAAATACCCACGCCCTGAAGGCAAGCGCCAACTTGGCTTGTTGGGGAAAAAATTTCAATATCTTTTTTCTCTTTTTTTTTTTCTTCTTCTTTTTTTTCAACAACATTGTTTAGGTTGAGCAGAGGGACTTCGTCGTGGACTTGTGGATGACAGTGTCAAGATCCGAGTCGTCGCTGCCCTCATCACCACGGCCTATCGTGTCGTTAGCAACATGAGGAAGCATACATAGCAAGCACCGGATACCGCTGTTGTTCATACCATTTTCGCCATCAGAAGCCTCGGACAATTCCTCGTCGCTCTTGATCTCCCGAATGGAGAGGATAGTGACCCGGTTCCCAGAGTTGGTGAGATACGACTCTTGCTCGTGGTGGACGGTCGTGTGGCCATCACGCCACTCGTAGGTCGTGCTCTTCTTCTTTTTCTTCTCCTCCATGTCTCCATCATCATACAGGCGCCAGGAGGCCTGTGACCGTGGAGTCCGAGACTTGTTGTTGCGCGTGAACTTCTCACTGGCAAACGTCTCGTCGACGCCCTGGGGGACATGTGTATAGAACTCATCCTTGGCCGCCTTGAACTCGTCCGTCTCGCCCATGTTGGAGAAGTCGAACTCAGGATAGCCAGGAGGGGGAGGAAAGGTACAGCCATATCCATAAGGGGCAAAAAAGCCGTCATTGGCCCGAGAGGAATCGTACATGTCGAAACCAGCCTCAACAGGTGCGGTATAGCCAGAGAAGTCCCGGCGGGTGGTGGAGTCGCTGAAGTGGGTGGCAGAATCGAAGCCCGGGTAGAGTTGCTGGTCAGTGAAAGCACTGTAGCTGTCGTAACCTTGGTAGGAGACTGGATCGCCAGCAAGGTTGTATGAAGCATATGACCGCTGGCTAGAAGACTGAGGGTGGGATGTCCAGTAGTCATGGGCATTCTGCTGGCCCCCAAAGTTGTTAGAGGAAAAGGTATCAGTGCCCATGCTCATGGGCTCAGAGGTTGCAAAAGAAGCAGATGAAGTCGTCTGGTAGTAGGAGCCAGCAGATGGAGCAGGGCCGCATGAACCCCGAGGCATCGCAGCATCTAGGTTGGAAGCTGCCTCTCCGGAAGCCTGCTGGGCTGAGGAGCCCTGACGGAAGCTGGGAACACCGCGGCTGTACTGTCGACTCGAGGAAGCCTCCTCCGCCCAGGCCTTTCGCGAACTGTCGCCAAGATTCTCACTCAAGACGGCGCCCTCACGCTCGAGAGGACTGCCCGTGCTCTCCTCGGCAGGGTGACGGCGGGGAGGTCCGCGGAAAGCGCTAGACTTCTTGGACGAAAGATTAGATCGATAGCCGCTCGAAAGGCTGGAGTCAGTGCCATGAAGCAGGCTGCTCTCAGAGGAAGAAGAGGCACCGGTAGCAGAAGTCATAGGTTGATTGTCCTCTTTGTCCTTGCTCCAGTGTACCTTCTTCTTAGACGAGCTCACGTCGATGGCTTTATGGTCATCGGCGGGGACAGTTGAGCGGTCTCCAACTTGACCTACGCCTCCATCCTCACGCAGTAGCTGCTCACCAGCAGTCTGGTCTTTGGCCTCCACGGCGCAACCACCACCCTTATTGGAGGTCGGCTGAGCCTCTGAGGAGAGTCCCATACCAGCATTGAGACCCTTTTCTGGAAGGGGTTGCACGTGAGGAGGGTTATACGAGCGCGACGAAAGGGGGCGTCCTCCTTCGACGGAATTGCGAGCTTTCTCTGCCTCTAGCTGCATAGCCTTGGGCTCGCCGACGGGCGCCCCGCCTTCGTTGGAGCTCTCGGAGGATTTGGTCTTGGTCGACAGGGAGCAGTGCTGACGGATGAAGCTGTCGGAGTGCTTGACCTTCTTTGGTTTGATGGGGTCTTCGTTCTCCTTGCCGGGCGCAACCTGGGCTCTGGTCGTATCGTCGTCGTCATCCTCATCTTCCTCAATATCGCTCAGCTCAGCGTCGTGCATCTGACGCTGGAAAGCCTGTCGAAAATCAGTAGTGTTAGCGGGAGAAAGTAGGAAGGAGAAGGACGGGCCACTCTGGTCGTGAACACAACATACCTGATCTCGGATTGTCGCCTCACTTCCTATCTCACTGGCCTCGCGTAGACTGTATTCGAAGCTGGGTGAGACCTCGCGACAGGCTCTGCAGTAGTTGGGCGTAGGCACGTCGCCCTCGACAATGCGGTTGTCGCGATGGTAGCTCTTGGAGCGGATGATTCCGCATCCCCAGCAATAGTGGCGCTGACCACTCCAGTTGAGCGTCTTGCCCTTCAGCTCGCTGTAGATACGGCACCTACCACACCAGTTGGGCTGCATCTTCTGTCCCTCCTTGAGGGGGTGACGGCTGTGGAAGGTGTCGGAGCGAAGCTTGCCGCAGCAGTAGCAAATCCAGCGTTCGGCGAGGGGCGCCAGAAACTTGGAAACCTCTTTTTTCTTCCCGTGCTTGCCGAGCCGCTCGTGCTTGCTTCGGCGTGAACCCTGGGCCGAGGAAGTGTGCTTGGAGATCCAGGACATTGTGAGGCCCTTGAGTTGTTCAGTCAGCTCGCTGGCGCAGACGCCGACCGACTTAGACACCCTGATGGCAGGAGCATCGACATCAGGGGGAGAAGGGTCGCCCGACCGCGAGTGGCGGCGAGAGTTCATGACTGGAGGCGTAGCTGATGTGGTGACGATGGGGATGTAGTGGATGTGAACCTCGTGACTGGACGAAGACGAAGGACGACGCGTTTCCTCGCGCTGCTGACCTTTCTCGTTGTCTCTGGAGTGGCGCGTGGTGGAACGCTTGCTGGTAGCCTCCCGTCGAGATCGTTGTGAGCCGCGGTCTTTGATCAGGACTTCATCCGAAGAATCAGAGGCGATTACGTCGTTAGTGGGACGGTGCGAGCGTCCGTGGCGAGACTCACGGGGGACCTCAGAGGTCAGGTCGTTATCGGTGGCATGGCTGTCGTGCGAACGTCTCGAGTGCCGACGGGGTCTGCTGTGCTTACGATCACGATCATGGCGATCCTCCGCTGAGGACCGATGGTGTAGAGGCGTGCCTTCCATTATCCGCTCTTTGCGACGACGGCGACCGCCTCGACGTCGTCTGCGTGGTTTGTTGGTCTCGCGAACCTGTTCCTCCTCAGAAACGGCCGAGGTTCCCCTGGTTGTGCTACGTTAGCAATCGTATGCACGCCTGGATTTTTGCAAAGGCCGAGAGGAAATTCACTGTTGTTTTTTCTTGAGGCATGCCATTTGATTGAGCTTAGGCCAGAGGTTTCACTTCAGCTTCAGTCGATTGATCCTCTGGGGATGGGATGACGATTGGGTGCCACTGGGGGGTGTCTTGTCGAAGCTGAGAAAGAGATGACTTCGCAACAAAGAAAAGATTACAACGAAAACAAAAGTAGGTAGAAGATGGCTACTGCCAAGGTGCGCTCCAAGGTGAGGTAGTGCGCAGAGTCTGGGGGGAAGCACGGCTAAGGAAAGGAAGGGAGGAATAGCAGGTGAGGTTGTCCTGCAGGGACAGCATTGCAAATTCAAAAAAAAAGTTGGGGAAAGACAAGTCACAGGAGTGAGCAAGTGCAGAACAATAGGGTCACCTGCTGATAAGGGACTGCTATTGTGTCGAAGTCGATAGAAGTTAGATGAGCCTGTAGTATCGACAGGAGCAGCACGTAAATGCTGAGCAAGAAACATCAGCCGCCATCCAAGAGTTTCTTGCGAATGTACATCTTGATGATACAGTCCAAGAAAGCAAGAGAAGCTGGGCAGCAGTCCTGTCAGCACAGGAAGGCCTGTGAATGCTGTTCTTCTTGTGTCCTAGAAACAAATACTTTCTGCTGGTTTGTTCAATGCATGCCAGTGTGGTCACAGCCAAAGGGAACGAAGGCAAAACCTTCCATCAGAGGGATTTGTCTTCTATTGAGACTCTCAACTTTTTGTACATCGGCACCTTACCGACAACTTGTCCCTTCCTACGCCACATAAAAAAAAGAAAAAAGTAATCTACCTGTCATCTCCTTTTGTACACTGCTTTAAGCATTGCCAAGATCCACCTAGTCGAGTCGAAGGGTACGTGCACCTCGCTTCTTGACAGGCTTCTTCTTCTTGCTGCCCTTCTCAAAGGACGCCACTGAAGCGTGATCTCTGCCAAAGTTGTCCAGATCCTTCACCTTGTAGATTCGGATGATCCAGTTCTCGCTGGTGAACGCCTCCTCCACCACGTTCAGCGTCGGGCCCTCCGCTGGGAGACGGACGCCACGAACACGATCGGTGGCTTGTCCAGGAGGGAAGAGAGTGTTGTAGTTATAGTACGACATTTTGTACCTGCAGACATGATTAGAAACTGGGAGGTGTACCCAAAGGATGGGTGTGACAGAGAGTACTTACATCAATGAGTTCTTCATGGTGTCGGTGGCCTGATCATCCACACGGTATTCTCCGCGAGCGGTAAAGAAGTCCCGCTCCTTGACCTCTTCTGGCCATATGCCCTCGGCGATTCTCACCATCCAGAGAAACTTGTTGATGTCATCACCCGAGTAGCCCAGCAGACCGCCAAAGACGACAAGGACGTAGTCGACCTCGTGCTGGCGCATGATTGGGTAGCTGACCTCCTCGCGAGAGCTCATAGCCTTGCCCACCGTGGCAATGTGAGTGTTGTTCCAGGTGTTGTTGTCCACGAGCGTTGGTCTGTCAGCCATGCCGCCAATTTGATAGCCGTAGTCCCACCAAGACATGATCTTGGCGTCCTCCTTGGTGTTCTGTCGTAGCCACTGGTAGGCCTCGCGGTAGTCATCAATAATGTGCTGGCTGCCATCAGGCATCCTGCTGGCCAAGACCACAGATGGCGACGAGTACGCGTTGGAGGTCACCCAGGTACAGTGCATGACAAACATAACCAGGTACAGCGAAAAGGCTGCCGAGACCACAGCCTTGGACGTGACCCCGTAAATTCCAACAACCGGCGACTTCTCGCCCCAGGCCTTGGGCTTGATGGGCTTCTCTTTCTTGGATGCACCCTCCACTGTCTCGCTGGCACTCTCTTCTGGTTCCGGACTCTTAGCCGACAGGTAGTTGTCCAAAATTTGCGAGACCGCCATGGCGGCGGTGACGCAGACACAAGGGGTGAGAGTGAGCATCAGACGAACCATCACACCGGCGAAGTAGCTGGCCGTCACGGCATAGGTGATAAGGAAGATATGCTCATCGCCCAGCTTGTCGAAACACAGGTAGACGCCAGCAGGGAACAGCCAGATGAGCATGTTCAGATCAAAGAAGAACGCGGGCCAGGCGGTCGGCTGGTGCTCCGAGACGGAGGCGATGATGGGGATATGAATCTTGGCGTATGAAGTGTCCCAGAGCGAGTAGAAACGTCCACCCCAAGACGCGATCTTGCCAGTCTTCACAAGAATAATGTTGATGGCGAGTCCACTAATCAGGAGCCCAATGAAGGTTCCGATTCGGAGCCTCGAAACCTTATCCTCGGGTAGGAAGTTGCGAAGGTAATCGACAGCGGCCATGAACTGCAGAAGCCCAAAGACACCTTGAAAAGATAAGGATCAGTACCACATTTAAGATCCCGGACAAGGGTGTCAACTTACCTAGGGCCGGGAACTGGTCACTCGAGCTGACAGGCAAGAAGTTGATGAACGGAATCTGCATGCTGCCCAGCATGCCAATGGCATACCAGGTGCTGTATGCAACATAGAGTCTGGGGCTGTATCGTCCCGAAAGGCAGAGAACGAAGGCGTGCAGTGCAATAAGGTTGGTAATGAAGGCGTAGCCACCCCAAGAGGCAGCCATCCAGTCGTAGAAAAGGGCGCACAGGGCACCCCACATCATGGACCCCTGCTTGACGGCCCTGACCCAGAGAAAGTAGGTGAAAACCAGTAGGAAGATGGCAATAGCCTCGTTGTCATAGCTGCCTGCGACTGATCTAGAGATGTAACCAGGTGCAATGCCCATGAAGACAGCAGCCAGCAGGCCGGCCGACTGGGAGGTTGTCATCTCATTGGTCAGGAAGTAGGCGGACAGCGCAGTCAGTCCGGAAAATCCTGGTGCGAGAAGAACGCAGATGTTTCGGATGTCGACAGGAACAGTGAGGAAACGGAGCAGGTGGTAGATGACGCCGCTGGTGACCATCAGGCCGGGATAGAGAGTTCCTCCAGTGACCCGGCCCAGCGGGTACCAGGTCCGATCGTCGAACCAGTCCCAGAAGTTGTAGAATCCATTAGCTACCAAGTATTTGGTGGCTCTGAAATTGAACCAAGGATCGACTATGTAATAGAGCTTTTGTTAGTTTGTTGATCGTTCTGGTAGGGAAGCGAGCGAGGGAAAACAGCAGCCGTCGAGTGGGGGAGTGGAACGGGTGGCTGAGAGGATGGGAATGAGGGCCACGTCGGCCAGTTGCTGGAACTTCAGCGCGAACAGGAGGGTAAACGGACATTCCTGTTGTCGTGTCAGTATTTGGATCCTTATTAGAACGAGGAGAGGGTGGGAAGATTGACATGAATGACTGATTCGAAGCCTATAGAAGGAGAATCGTTAGCACTGTCACTTGTGTGTTCTGTGGCGCAAGAGGCACAGAGAGCATCGCAGCCAACAGCACATGGCTTCTTTTGGTGTCGCCAATCAAGCTGGACTGTAGAGGGTCTCTGGGCACGGGAGGATGTCGAAGAAGGTAAACTTACGAATCACAGAGAACAGTCTGCTGGCGATAGCAGCAGCAGCAATCAAGGAGAGGATGACGACTCTGAACAGAGCTCTGGAGTTCTGGCCCTGGGCGCCTCCAGATAGAACAGAGTCGAGGACCGACGCCATGTTGGGCTGGGTTATTGGCGACCAAGAGGAGGAAGAAAAAGCAGGCAGGGCCTGGGGAGGAAAAAGAAGGGGAAAGGAATCAATCAGTCAATGGTTGTGTGTCGTTCCTGACCACAAACAAGACTTTCCTAAATTCCATATAAGCTCCCAGAAGTTGAGATGCTGGAAAGGACACAGTTGGAGACTGACGAAGCTCTGACAGGGGGGTGGGTCCCACACCCGCGGCAGCCAAGACCTCGATGCAGGGGCAGGGTTTCTAGCTCCCCAGACCCAGAACCGTGGTAGTCAGTTGTCTGTACTATGGATGGTACTATGAGAGGCACAAGCCACCTGCTGTTGAATTTCGTTCAGTCTTTTCTTTCGAGCTGCGTTGGTCGACACCTCAGGTCACCATACTCTGGTTCTCGAGACTATGGAAGGTGTGCATAAAGTATTTAGTGATTAGAATAGGAGAAAGTAAGTGGATGGATGGTTCATTGTGTTGACGAAAAACGCAACAAAAATTTGTATAAAGTGCAGATGCAGGCACTTGTCTGTGTCTGGAATGCTGAAGGTCTTCCCTTCCAAGGACAGTTGAAGACTTGTGCGACAAGCCTAATCGATGGGACAGAAACACCCTTCCCCCTAGAGATCAATGCTTTGGCACCGTTTGATATTCTGTCCCAAAGTACTGTGCGTTTTCAAAAAGTCCTGGCTGACCAGAAGCTGTCCACATTTGGAGCAAAAATGGAAAGATAATGACCTAAGTAAGCATTCAAGTATTTACTCATTCAAACATAAGAGCACTATCAGATCTGTATAGAGGCTGTTGACAACTTCTGCCTGTAGGCTGCACACGAAGTCCAGTAGCAACAGCCCAAGAAAACAAACCCAAGAAGAGTGCAACAAGAGAGCGACATCCCCCTTGGCTACTCCATCACAATACAGCCCTAGAACTATGAATGGAATTTTCAATGTCTAGTCCTGGAACGAATTTTGATATGTCTTTACCTCCCGCTTTCTGCCACTTGAATTCCAGTCCACGGATGGTATTTGGGTGATGCATTGAACATCGTGAAGAGTGAGCCGGATGTCATCTACCTTCGCCATGTCATCACCAATACTTTGATCGGTCACGAGTACAGTCCGGTTTTTTTTTTTTTTTTGGAAAATGCCATCTAGTTCAGTAGTGTACAGTCGTACAGACCTCGGTAGGTATCTAGGTCGGTAAAGAAAAAATCTAAAGCCGCAATCCCGGTGAATCGTAAGGTTGCCCGGAGCTGCTTTGTGTGCGTCGGCCACGCCACCGATCGTCCCTTTTGTGTTCCTTGCGAGGCGTCGTCTCTCCGCCGAGCCCCCTCCCTGCCGTGCCTACCGCAACGAGAGCTTCCTATCCCAAATTGTGAGCCCAGGTGGACCAGGACCTAAGGGTTCTCCTTGACCAGGGCGTTGAAGAATGCCTCCAGGTCGAAATTCGCGCTCATCGGATCTTGATTCACTAATCCTGCTGTCAGCGCTCGGGCCTCGTCCAAAGATGATAAAAAATTATGTTGCAGTTTGAGAGAGAGGAACATATCCGGAGTCTTTCACTCACATCCACCGGTCGTCGAGGCCGCTGCTGCCGGGCTGTTCTTCTTCGCAAACTCAGCCTTGGCCTTCTCTATTAATTGCTGCTTGTGCTCATATTCCCTCTTCTCCGCAGCTGCCCTCTGGGTAGCGTTGATTGATCTTTGGTGGGTGAATCCGTAGAAGACGCCAAAGGCGAGAGCGGAGTACCGGAGTACCTGCAGACCTTGATCAGCTTTCTTGTGTCTTTCTGTCTCTCTCTCTCTCTCTCTCCCGAACTGGCCTCGCCATCACGATATGTGCGCCACAGAATACGCCACGATTGACAGACAAATTGGTTTCTGTGTGTGTGGTCGTGCGCGCGAGAAAGGGGCCGTGGGACGACGGCAGGACTTTGTGCACGTACATTAACTCCGGATGTGGCAGACATTTGGGAGGATTTGAAGGCGCCTCGCGACCTTCAGCGACAGGCGAGGGAAAAGAAGGAAAGAGAGAGATCGTGGAGGCGGCCAATTGATGTCGAATGACCCAGGGTGGAACAGCCGTCGAGCAGAGGGAATTTGTTTAGAGTAGCTTGGCTAGATTGCGAGGTTTGAGCCAGTAGTCGGGAATTTTCGCGAGAGACCAGCCCAGAGCTTCCCAGGCACGCCAAGATTCGTCCCAAAGCCGAAGCGGCTGGCAAAACTGGCTGGGAAAAGCTCGGACCACCTTGTCTACCTTTGAACGTTCCCCCCCCCCCCCCCTGGTGTGCCGCTAGAGCCCAACCATAGGCCCCGAGTGGTGAGGACTGCGACGCATGTGCCTGATTGCTTGGCCCCATCGCGACCATCACCATTGACAAAGAGACATCTGCCGCACTAGGGTACCTTGGTATCTTCCACAAGATTTCCCTCTCAGCTCCATCCAAACGACTGCACAGCCCAGACAGCTTCAGAATTGCTACACATACTTTTTTTATTTATTAGAAAACCACAGTTCTTCGGACTACAGACACGAGATCATCTTGAGATGGGTTACTAAAGGGCACTACCAAAATGCAGCAACGACGGGAGGAGATCCTCGCCAAAAAGGCGAAGCTAGCAGAGCTGAAGCGCCAGAGGGAGTTGCGCCAGACTCAAGGCGGCGGTCGTACAAGTTTTGGTGGGAGCGAGGTTTGAATTCCCCGTGTCTGTCCCTGCTGCCTCTCGCTCGAGCTGAACAGCAAAGTAGTTGATCTCACCGACCCCTGGCCGAGCCGATAACCGCCGAGAAATCGAATCCCTCATCAACAGCCTCGTTGGCGAGAGCCGTCCTGGGTCAATATCGACGGGCGGTGCTGCATCTCCAGTCCACAGAGGCAGTCGACCGAACAGTGTGTTGAGTGCGGGAGAGCTCAGCAATGTCGCGGCGTCGGAGTTCACGTTACCGCCTGGGGCCGAGAGCCTGACGCAGACGGTCTACAGCCATCCGCAGGTGTTGACTGCAGCCCCGCTGACGACGGTCTACGAGTGTCCGCCCTCGCCAGTCAAGGAGATCTTCTCCTACAGCAAAGGTGTTCAGACGTCCGAGGACTTGCTACCGGCGGCGCCACTGCGGTCGCGAACATTCTCTGTGGATTCGCTCGCCGAAGATGCGTCTTCCACATCCAACAAGCGCATGAGCCGACGAGAGCGGGACAAGGAGGAGGAGCTCCGGCAGAAGATCCGGCAAGAGCTGGAGGATGAGCTGCAGGCCACGAAGGAGCTCACGGGCGGAGACGGCAAGAATGCGGCGCTGTCGACGTCGAACTTTGCGAGCAGAAATCTGACCAACGACGAGCTGGATGCTATCATCGCATCAGACGAATTTGTCGACTTTTTTGACCGGTCTGTCAAGGTCATCGAAAAGGCACTGGATCAGTATGATATCTTGACAGACTACACACTGCAGGCGGAGGACATCGACGACGATGATGAGCAGGGCAATACCGGGGGCAAGGGCCGGCGGAAGGTGAAGGAAAAACGGCAATTCTATGATGAGAGGTGGTCGAAAAAGCGCATGGTCAGCGCCATCGACTTCTCACCCAAATTCCAGGAGCTGGTATTGGCATCGTACACCAAGAATCCATCAGCCCCGCACGAGCCAGACGGCATTGTCCAGGTCTGGAATCTGGAGCTCCACGACCGGCCCGAATTCGTGTTCCACGCACAGTCCGACATTCTCACAGCAAAATTCTCCCCCTTCCACCCCAATCTCATTGTCGGCGGTGCGTACAGTGGACAAGTTCTCTTGTGGGACACCAGAGCACGAGCTGCACCAGTTCAGAAGACGCCTCTGACCGGCTATGGCCACACACACCCCGTCTATGCCCTTGACATCATCGGCACACAAAACGCCAACAATATCATATCATGCTCCACGGACGGGACCGTCTGTGGCTGGACCGTCGACATGCTGGCACAGCCGCAGGAGACACTGAACCTGGCCGCGCCACCACCAAACAAGACCGACTACATCAGCCCACTATGCCTATCCTTCCCTCAGGCCGACCCTACGTTTTTCCTGGTCGGGACGGAGGAGGGTACAATCTTCCCCTGTCACAGGTATGACCGTGCCGGAGCCAAGGCGGGTGTTGACCCACGAGTCAGTTACAAGGGCCATGCCGGCCCGGTCATGTCTGTCGACTTCCATCCGGCCAGGGGTCCCGTCGACCTAGGCGACCTGGTCCTCTCCAGCAGTCTGGACTGGAGCGTTAAGCTCTGGAAGGTCCGCGCGCCAGCCACGACGTCGACCATTGGTGGTCTGGGTGCCAGCGGAGAGGGCGCAGTCTCACACCTGATGGACTTTGTGCGAGAAGACGTTGTCTACGACGCGGCCTGGTCGCCTGTGAAGCCAGGTGTGTTCGCACTCGTCGACGGTGCGGGCTGGCTGGAGCTGTGGGACATCACCGTCGAGACGGAAGAGCCGGTGACAAGGATAAGTCCCAGCCCCAGGAAGGACAGCCGGACTATGCTATCCAAGAGTCTCAACAAGGTGCGCTGGGAACAGCAGGAGGGCAAGAGGCTCGCTGCGGGTGGTATTGATGGTGCCCTGACAGTGTTCGAGGTTGGACCGGATCTGGGCGGGAAGGAGAGTCTCAGGAACGAGGAGTGGACCAATGTCAAGAAACTCGTGAATCGGGTCGAGACGATGGGTGCCAATGGAGCGACGGAAGTGTAGAGAGAACCTTTGTGGCCAGAAATGTTCCCAGGACGAGGTCAATTGTGAGGGAACGAGCCATTGGAACACGAGGCAAGGCGGAACTGTTTGTGTAGATGCCATGGGCTTCACCATTTTTATACCCCATCTTCTTTTATGAGCAAACCCTGAACTTCTCCCGTAGTGCCGGACAGGAACAGCAGCATCATCACGGGTGCGGGTGACTTGATGTTGTATTACGTAATTAAACTACAGGGGTGTTCATCGCAAGCTCGAAAAAAATTAGGCGAGGGCAATACGGTAACTTTTTTTTGCTTTTGGCGCGTCCCTCCGCTATTGTCAAAGTGATCACCCGACCTGCAATTGCATCTTCTTCTCTTTCTTTCCTACATAAGGTATTTTTTTGGTCTGATTACTCGGTCCATTGTCTCTTGTTCAAAATGTAAGTCAAATCGCTCTTCCTTCTTTGTTTCTATAGCCTGTCTATTTCGATCTCGAGCCCTAATGCGACATGTCCCATCTGCAGGAATCCTCTTCGACGTGCCGCCACGAGGGTGGCTGTCTCGGCCTCTCGAGTTCCTTCGACCAAGATCTCGGTGTTTGGAATTGCCACACAGTTCGCTGCTGTTCCCTCAGCACGTATCATCGCTCCCATCGCCGTGCGATGCTTCTCGCAGACTCTTCGCGTCGCCGAGGAAGAAGGCGAAGGCGCTGCTGCTCCGGAGACGCCTGCTAAGGCTGGGGGTAAGCGAGTCCCTTGTGCTCAAGGCACAGATTCTACCTGATTTGAATACAAATACTTCGTCAGGAGTGCGCAGCCGTTGACCCGATCGAGCAGACCCCAATGAGCCTGGACACGGACTGTTCATCCGGAACATGGTCTTCGAGGCCAACGAGGACCACCTGAGGGAGGCGTACGAGAAATATGGCGAGATCACCAAGGTTGCCGTTGCACGCGATTCTCGTGGTCTGAGCAGAGGGTAGGGTTTTGCTATCTTTGATTCCCCTTCCCGTTCCTTTCCTTCCACTTTAAATAGAATTCCAGCAGCCAGTTTGTGCTTGGCAGCCTCTGGTCAACCTTTTTCTGACGGGTGGATGTCACCACAGATACGGATTCGTCTGGTTCACCACCCGCGAAGCCATGGAGCAGGCTGTCGACGGTACCAACTCCTCTTTCTGGCACGGCCGCCGCATCTCGGTCTCCCCTCGCTCCCCACGTACCAGAGAAAACAAGTCGAGCCGCAGTGTCGGCCCCACTAGATCGCTGTACATTGGCAACATTCCTTATGAGACGACCGACGCCGAGTTGAACCGCATCTTCCGCGAGCTTAACAACGTGACGGATGTTCGTGTTGCTGTTGACCGCACCACCGGATGGCCCCGCGGATTCGCTCACGCCGACTTCACCGATGTCGAGGCCGCCACCGCGGCGATGAAGCACCTCCAGGGCATCACGATTGGCGGCCGCGAGCTGAGGCTGGATTATGCTGCTGATGTGTCCAAGAACCCGCTCGCGGGCCAGCAGCAATCGTCATGAGCATAGCAGCAAGATGTGGACAAGAAGGCAAAAGGGATTGGGGAGCCAGGCTGTTGTTGTAGCGCTTTACCTGTGTCTACGAAGCGAGGAGGCGGAAGGGGCAAGGTCTTTCGCAGGTCTTTCAACACCTCAATCCAGTCACCAGCAGTTGTGAGACGGAGAAGGGTGTTTCTCAGGATGAGACAGGCCAAGGTGACAAGTATGGACAGGGTTTGGTGTCTCGAGGGAGTCATTTTTTTTCCGGGTCCACAATGATATTCATACAAAAAATCGTACACGTTCGGACTGGAAGATGTTATTGCGCGCTTGATTTTTAATGCGGCACGTTATGGCACTGTAACGTTGCTCATGTAGTGTACGTGTTCTCGAGTTTCAATGAAAAGTCTCCCCTTCTCACCTGGATAGTACATGCACGGAGTGTGAAAGCGTCCAGGGTTGGTGGGTCATCAACTGTCACCAAGCATATGGACTAGAGTACCCGTAGAGTGCCACCATGGAGCCTCGGTAAAGTTAGCCGCAGGTGACCAAACATGTACCGTATCTCCACTGGTTCCTCGGCCCGTCCTTACACTTCTCGCCCCTCAAAATAAACCCCACGTCAGAACAAACCACAAGAACAACACACGACAGCCTTCCCTCCCAGCCTCCTTCCTATTTCCCCTTCTCTCCTCGTCCTCGTCCTCTTCCATACCAGCTCACTGATTTCACCCATCCACCTGTGGAAGATCAAGAGATCCAAACGTCATATTCAGTACTCAAAACAGAGAAACACTCGACATCCGCTTGCTGCCCTCTCGATCATCCTCGAACGCCGACGTCCTTAGGCTTCCTTTGTCTCACCCCCAAACCACACTCCGGTCCTCATCCATACATCTAGGGAGACTGCCTCCCAATCACGCCAGGACCATGGCCTCTTTCATGGGCGGCGGCGCCGAGTGCTCGACGTCGAACCCCCTCAGCCAGATGAGCAAGCATGTGCAAGGCGACAGCAGCCTCCAGCGGGACCGCTTTATGAACACCGGCCCCGGCGGTGCCTCGGCACAGGGCTTCCGAAGCAGCGCGGGTCCTGGCACACCGCTCGACGGCAAGATGAACGCCTTCATGCAGCAGAATCCCAACATGCCGGTGGAGATGGCCTTGCAACGGCAGGGCCCTGGTCCCGCGTCCGGCGGTCAGATCCACATCGATCCTGCACACAGCATGCACCTCCGTGCGCAGTCTGTGTCGCCGCCGTCCTTCTCTCCTTCATTTACTCCCGATGAGTTTGCCAAGTTCCAGGCAGCGAACCGCTCCGCCAATGCGAGGTCGAGTCCGGCCCCACAGGCACAGTCCATGACCGTCTCGACGTACCAGAGGCCCATGATGATGGGGGCAGGACCCATGTCGATGGGGATGATGCAGCAGGGCATGTATGGGGGCATGCCCATGTACTCACAACAACAGCAGCAGGCGCCGGCACAGCAAAACTACCAGACCGATGTGAAGGGCAAGGGGAAGGAGGTGGACACACAGGAGCTGCAGACGAGGTTCGAGGAGCAGTTCAAGCTGCATGATGAGCACGACGAGTCCCTGGCCATGGAGGAGGAGCTGAACCAGATGGACGAGAAGCTGATGGAATCGGAGACGGGCTTTGGAGATTTCGAGTCAATATGGAAGGGAATACAAGAAGGCGAGGCGGCGATGCGGTCCATGCCCGACGACGACCTCGACATCAAATGGGGCGATGGCATCGATTCCTGGGGAGGTGGAGGCGGGCGCATGTCGGCCGACCCCCTGATTGAGGATTATTTGTTCGAGCAGGACAACCTCTTCAAGGACCAGGCCAACCCGTTCGAAGAAGGCGTGCGCATCATGGACGAAGGCGGCAACCTGTCTCTGGCGGCCTTGGCATTCGAGGCTGCCGCGCAGAAGGACCCGAAACATATCGAGGCGTGGGCGCGCCTGGGCTCGGCACAGTCACAAAACGAGAAGGAGGATGCGGCTCTGCGGGCATACCAGAGGGTTCTGCAGCTCGACCCTCACAACCTCGACGCCCTCATGGGGCTCGCCGTCTCCTACACCAACGAGGGCTACGACAGCACTGCCTACCGAACCCTGGAGCGGTGGCTCTCGGTCAAATACCCGCAGGTCATCTCACCAGATGCCCTGTCCAACCCGGCCGAGGTGGGCTTCACGGACCGGGCAGAGCTGCACAACAAGATCACAGGCCTCTTCATCGAGGCGGCGCAGTACGCCCCCGACGGCGAGCACATGGACCCGGACGTGCAGGTGGGCCTCGGCGTCCTGTTCTACGGCAGCGAGGACTTCGACAAGGCCGTCGACTGCTTCCACGCCGCGCTGGCCTCCTCGGAGCTCGGCATCGCCAACCAGCGCAACCAGCTGCACCTCCTCTGGAACCGGCTGGGCGCCACCCTCGCCAACAGCGGCAAGAGCGAGGAGGCCATCGCAGCCTACGAAAAGGCCCTGGCCCTGCGGCCCAACTTTGTGCGCGCCCGCTACAACCTCGGCGTGTCGTGCATGAACATTGGCTGCTACGAGCAGGCCGCCGGCCACCTCCTGAGCGCCCTGGCCATGCACAAGACCGTCGAGAAGGCCGGCAGGGAGAAGGCCAGGGAGCTGCTGAGCACCACCGGCGACGGCGCCGACGTCAGCGACGAGCATCTCGACCGCATGACCACCCACAACCGCAGCACCACCCTGTATGATACGCTGCGCAGGGTGTTTACCCTCATGAGCAGGAGGGACTTGAGCGAGAAGGTTGTCTTCGGGGTGGATCCGGATATCTTCCGGCCCGAGTTTGAGTTTTGAAAAAAAGATTCATTTTGTTGGTGGTGGCAGAGGAGGAGGAAGAGAAAAGAAAGAGAAAAGGAAGGGGGGGGGGGGTTGATGATAGGCAAGATTGGTATATCAATCGAGATATAATCAGAATGCATGTGAATGATGAACATAGTACCGAGTAGGATCTGGCCTTTTTTGTCAGATTTTTCCATTCGCTACGACTTGAGCTTTGCTCTTCCTCTCGCTCAAGTCATGAACGCCTCACGCCTCGCAGCTTTTTGCACCGTGGTGTAGGCAGTAAAGACTCCTTGGGCTTTTGTATATCCCATACATACTCTCCGCCTTCAATTTACCCAACCAAAAGTCATGATTCCTTAGCCAAGCACATCATGTCTACTTGACGCCAATAAACGCGATGCCCTCACGAGCCTGGCGCGCGGCTCTCCTGAGCTCCTGCTCCTCGCGATCCGTCCACTTGACGCTCAGCTGGTCCCACTTCATGCCAGGCGTATTGTACTCTTTCTTCCACTGTGACTGCATGCTCTGCAGCCGGCTCATCTCCCGCGGATCCCCGCTGCCGCTGAAGACGATGAACGCCGTGCAGGGCGGCAGGGCGTCGTAGATGCGCTTCAGGCGATTTGCCACGTCCGTCAGGCACTGCTCCAGCGGCGAGGCGCCTGGCTCGGCGTGGGGTGCGCCCGCATCCTGGTCGCTGTCCTGTAGTGCTGTCGCCGTCGTGAAGTTTTTGAGGTCCACCACGGCATTGCTGAACACGTCTGTCCCCGGGTTGGCGGCAAAAGGGTTGGTGCGCGTCGTCGCGGCGTGGAGCTCTTCAAGCTCTTTAGGCGGGCCGGCATCCTCCCCGGAGGCATCTTTCCTATTACGATTCCACCATCCCTGGAGGGCCTCCAGCTCACGCATTCGCGCCCAGACGAAGTCGGCCCCTCCACCCTTCACGACTGCCCCGTCTGGGTCTCCACGCACCGCGCGAAGCACACCCGCCTCGACGTCCGCATCGCTGGTGCACCCGCCAAGCACCACATCGGCCAGGTTACAGACACTGCGCTGGGCATCGCCCCAATCCACGGCTGCGGAAGATTTGCCGACCGACAGGCCGCCCGTGGCTTCGGGCCCAGCCTGTGCGCGGTAGGCAGTACCGGCGCGGCCCAGGCGCTTGAAGAGGTTCTCCCCCGTGGACTCGCCAGCGCCCCAGGCCTTGCCCTTTTCGCACTTCTTCTTGACCAGATCGAGGCAGGTCCTGGCGTCCTCAATGCTGTCGTGGCCTTGGAGGGTGCCATCGCCCTTCTGGACATCCCGGCCGAGGAATTTTTGTGCGAGCCATTTGAGGGAGTGCTTGAAGGGGGGACCCTTTGGATGGGGGAAAAGAACGGAGGTGTCAACGATAAAAGGGTGTGTCATCCTCAGGGCTTTCATGTCGGAGTCGAGGGAATGGCCCAAGAGGAGGGTCTGTGGAGTGATGAGCTTGAGGAGGCGCTGCTGAATATCCTGTAGGGTCGTGGTCACAGGATCAAGCATCTCCTTGGTGATGCCTGAGAACCGCGTCACATAATCTGTGATTGGTTTGTCCGGCTTGACCAACTCGTCCATAACGACACTCCCGTCCCACGAGACGACGCTAATCCTCGTGAGAGAGAACTCCTTCTCTCCTGTCATGCACATCTCGCAGTCGATGGCAAGCACCTCGCGACCTGCAGTGATGCTGCCCTGCTGTATCTCTGACTCAGGAACCTCGCCGTCCTGGAGACTGCTCACCTCTGTGTGTACCCACTCGATCTCGCTCGTGGAGGCGTTGAGGGTCTGTCCGGGTTTCAGCAAGCTTGGGTGAACAGAGAAGCCATTCTCGATGTACTGCTCAGGCGTCAGGATGAAATCGGTAATACGAGTTCGAACGTTGGTCCAGCCCTGAGGATCCTTGACGGGCTTGGGGCCCTTCTTCTTCTTATCCTCGGCAGACTTGGGTACAGGAGCTGTCAGAAAGGTAGAGATGGGCGAGTGCATGCGCCCTTGCTTGTCGTCGCCAGTGGCTCTGCAGGGCCAGAGATGGGAAAACATCTCTGCAAACGGCCGCAGAGCCTTTGGCAGACGATCCTGGCTGAGGGGACGTGGGTAGTAGTCATCAGGAGAGGTGAGGAAACGGTCGGCCGCTTGGCCGCGATTCTTGCCATCGGCACGGTTGTAGGTCGCGTAGTCGATATTGTGTTTGAACATCAACTCCTCGAGACCTGGCACGAGAACAGTGACGATCTTCCTGAAATGGGGTCGATGCCTGACGGAAACCCATTGCGGAGCTGTGCCGTCAGCCATGATGTAGAGGATCAAGTTTCGCAGCTGGGCTATGTCGATCTTGGACTGTAGCCTGGCAGACGTCGAGAAGGTGATGGCTGGGTAGCTGGACCCGTCAGGTCTGGGCGTTTTCTTCGATTTCTTAGTCGGGCGACGTTCAACCTTTTCCCAGCCATCATCATTATCGCCATCACCATTCCTGGTTTCGTCTTCCTGGTTGCCATCGACTGACCGCCGCCTCTTTGTGCCTGTGCTGTTGGAGTCGCTGCGTGACGATGGGGAGGCTACTTGAGTCTGTGAAGCCACAGCCTCCCCGGCAGCAGCACTGTTGTTGTTGTTTGCTGTCACACCTTCCATCATGACTAGTAGAATGACTGAAGTAAGACAGGCTCAATAAACTTCTTGTTCAAGGACCACACAAAGGCTTTGCGGCCTCGATATGTTGTGGTGGGACAGTGCAGCTCAGGCAGCTGTCGATTGGTCTCGAGTGAGGTTGTACATCCTTGAGCTGAAATTTCAAGGTCACTCTGCAAGCTATGAGCGGCTGGAGTATGTATAGTACTAGGCGCGTCCAAACCTGTGGCAGGACCCCCATGGAAGCATGCTACGGGCACTTACAGGCGTCAACCCACTAAAACCAAGCTCCTATAACTGACTAGCAAGTGCTAGCCACACCATCTAACAGGCTCTAGGAAACATTTAGACTACTAAAAAATAGGCTGAAATGCCTGGTCCGACAGAGCAGGTACTCTGGGAACAATATTATCGCCTTCTATCTGCTTGTTTCTCTAGTTGGAACATGTGTCTTTGATAAGCCAAGAAGAGTAGAGTGCCAAGATGGTTCAAAGCTTCGCTGTTAAAATGTGAAGTTTCCAGCTGAAGAATTTCTGGACATTCGGGTTGCTTTTGCAAATTCTGCAGACTCCCTCCCACAGCAGCAGACAAGCACTGCTGTGCATTTTATTTACGGTAAACCAAACGAAAGGTGGCATACGGTACGTTTCATTACATGACTGGACATAAACATACTTCCGGCCCATCGAGAGATAACTGGCTTGATCATGATATAACTCTTCCAATCCTTTAAAAAATCATCTCGGTTGATGAAGCCATACACGCTCCCTTGTGCGGCCCGAACACTGTCTACCAGAAGAAGTGCTATGCGGTCTCCGCAAAATCTGCAACCATGATGTCCACCGCAAATGAAGCCAAATCCTCGATGGGCTGCAGGATCTGCTCCTTGAAGTACTTGGTGCCGGCCTCGTCACGACTCTTGACCCAACCACGAAGAAGCCCCGACTCCTTCTCCCGGCCCGGCAGACTCGCAATGTCTTTAAGAAAACTTCTCGCAAGCTCCACGATCTCCCAGTCTTCCGAGTTGGCCAGCAGCCCGTATTTCTCCACCATCAGCGCGAGTGCCTCGCACATGGCGACCTGATCAGCCTGGCGCAAGCACATCATTACCCTCTCATCGGATCTTCTGGAGAGCTCGTCCATCACCGAAGGTGGTGCCGTGTTCGTGAGCGTCTTGGCGATGACCATGAGGCCCTTGAGCCGTCGCTCATTGAAGGGCGCGGGATACTTGAAGGGGGCACAGCTCAGGGCGGCGAAGCACGCGACAGAGAGTGCATGTGCAAAGCTGCCAGTTTCCATGTAGTACATAATGGCGTGCTCGACTGTCAGCCCCAGTGGTTCCTGTGCCCACATGTGGGCCTGTATCAAAGGCTGGCATTGTTTCCACTGATGTTGCAGGTGTGTGAGTCGTGCCTCGGATGTCCTAGGCGCCTGTGAAGGATCGGGGGGTTGGCAGGCGACGTAGATCTCATCGATGCTATCCTTGAGCTCCTTGAGGCCCGCTTGTGAGCTTGGCGGCTTTATGGGTGGTTTGCGGAGTTTCTCCAGGTTGGGAACCAGGCTGAACGAATTTAGGGGAATGATAGGGGAGCTCTTGCACACTTCGTAGACCGTCAGGTCGCCTTTGCAGCGTGGGCAGACGCACTCGAAATGGTACAGGTGGAGGCCGAGTTGACGGAATAGCTTTGGCTTGGTATAGTCTGATAATGTCAACATATAGCCAAAGAAAAGGATGGCACCGAAACATAACCCTTGAACTGGAGAAGGTACCTACCAATGTATGAGATGGTGATCTCGTCTCCCTCCTTGATCGGGAGCTCGGCTCTCAGAAAGGCCTGCCTTCCCGAGAAGTTGACAACCGCATTCGGTATACAGGAATGATTGGCCATGGCAAGAGTCTTGTGGAGGAAGATGCCAGCCTGCCCTGTATCCGCGTCCGTCCTGTCAAAGGAGTTTGTCTGGATCTGTCTGGTCGTCAGAAAAGGACTCTTGGAAGAACCTCCTATACAGCAACGTATAGTATGGGTGTCTTGGCGGCCTACCTTGCATAAAATATCCCTCGCCATGTGAAGTTGATCGTCATTCTCCTTCCTCCCGGCATATGCCATGCCACCATAAGCCTGAAGGCCAACATCTTTCCAGACGTCGGCATTCTGCTTGAACTTGTCCACGTTTCCCTCCAGATGGCCAAACTGGCTTCTCAGCTCCGAGTCTGCATCCCACTTCAACAGGACCTGCACCAGTGCCCTCACGGGCGTGGGCAGCCAGTCTTTGTCGACCGAGGCTTTGACCCTCTTGTACACCTTGCACTCGAGCTTGTGGATGAGGCCCCAGTTGGCTTTCTGACAGGCTGGACCGCAGTACACCACGGCCCTGCAGCCCGTGCACGCCTTTGTCGGCTTGGTATGGCTCAGGCAGTGGTTGCAGACAATTTTAGCAGACGGGCCGTTGGGGAGAACCAATATCGGGTCTAAGAAGGCTGCGATGAGCTCACCGGGCTGGAAGGCCTTACGCGCCGCGAGACACCGCCCAGCCGCACCTTTGCCCTTGGTGCCGCGAATATCGACATTGGCGCGAGCCTGGTCGTCCGAGGAGATGGAGGTCATGGTGTCGTGGATATCAAGAAAGCCTTGTGGGTCTAAAGTATTCGTGTTCATGTTCTGAGGCAGAATATACCAAGTCGCAGGATTACATAACCCGGGGTTAGGGTTATAGGCCACCTAGATCATCAGTGAGCCAGGTGATGATCCATGGGATTCAGACTGAAGAGCTGGGATATATATATTCGATCTCAACAGCACAGATAACCTTGTCGCTAGTGGGGTCCTTGCATCGATTTCTAGAAGAAAACAGAAAGAAAAAAAGAACGATTCTGTATGATGATTTATATTGAATGACAAAATTATACAACGCAGTCAAATGTGGCCCGTCTTCATCAACGTCCCCAGGCAGGTCTGGCAACTTTCTGGCTTCCAAGAACGAGGTCCTGTCCGCGCTCATTTCACCTCTGTCCCGTATTGGTTCGGTGCATGTCGTCCCGCCAAGGCATCCTGCCAAAACGCAAGCGCATCGCCTTTCGCCCGCAGTGAGCCAGGGAAGAAAACGTTTAACAGCGATGTTCCAACAAGTGGATACTTGGACTCGAGCTCTTGGAGGACTGTCGCGACACGAGGGCCTTTTATGACTTCCTTCAACTTCACGTGAAACCGTGCGAAGCCGGTTGCCGGCCAGCTCCCGCAGCGTACAAGTTCTGTATACTGCCCAGAAGACCAACCCCCATCAAGTCTGTACAAATGAATGGGGAAGAATAAGTCAGATACTCACCAACACCATACTCAGGGTCTCGATTTATAAAAGTAAATGACTTACACCAGGTATGGTTTTGGAGGCCAGCCACTAGGATGAGGTGGACTAACCACAAAAGCGCCAGCAACACACGGACATGATCCTTGTTATCCGGCTTGCCTTTGCCGTACGTGTGCCACGCGCCAGCACCTCAACGTCCATTCCTACTTTATCTTTCCTGCTATTCAAAATGACCACAGCGTGCCTGGCCCCGTTACCCTGTGTGATGGTGACGGTTGTGCCTCCTTTCTTGGGACATGCCCACTTCTCCTCCCGCCATTGTGGGAGTGAAGCGCCTGTAAGTGCAAGGACTGTAGCCGTAGCAGTGACCAGGAATATATCCCATGAGCCATGAAGTACCCACGGCAGAATCGAGATCACAAGCTGCACGATGATCACCAGAACACCTGAACACCAACGACGTCGACGGAGGATACACCGTGAGGAAGGAGCGGATTGTCTTGGATCTCGTAGACGCTGACTCTGACAACCTCCCAAGCTGGTTGCCCTGGAGGTCGAGGAGGCGTGTACCGAGTCATCGTGCTGCAGATAGTAGCCTTTTCTGACACGGGGGGTTGATGAGCGGCTTCATCCGCAAGCTGATCGTCCACCTCGGCATTCAAGTCTCTCAGCAGGCGCCCAAGGACCTAGCTATCAGTGATCCTGAGATGACCTGTGTCGGCCCCGATCACCTGTACGTTGGAAACATCCGTTTTGGGCATGAGTTTATCGTCTACGAATATTTAGTCAGCCTGCCTGGTATATCCTCAGCTTCCAGGCTGCCACAAACCTCCGATAACATCGAGCAAGGCGGCGACAGCGTAAGCCACCCATCCGAAGGAAAAGGCGACGGGCGTAAGTGCACGTCCAGTTAGTTGAGCAATTGCGCGTTTCACGACATCGCCACCCACGAGCGTGAGCACGGAGAGAACGTCGTTGGGGTTCTCCTACTGGGCTGCTATCACTTGGGACAAGCTCGAGCTGGAGGCCTGACTTGACGCTGTGATGTTGAGAGTAGATGTTGTCATTTGTGTATTGTTCGTCGGATGCAAGGTAATTGCGTGATGAAGCCATGATGGAGCCATACTGCGGTTCTATGAAATCGATCTTTCGGTTGCAAGTCAAGCTGGGAAATCGGAAGAAAAACTCCTGGGTCGGGGGGTAGGAGAGGGAAAGAGTATAATCAATTTCGGGGACAGTTTTCTAGAAAGTCAGCACGAATAATAGGATTACTTTAATCGATGGAGTAAGTGGGCGGAATGCTTTGAAGGAATTATGAGTAGCCCACACGCTGAGACGGGTGGCACTGTGTGTGCTACGACTTTTCAAGACCCTCACCGATGAGGCGCAAGATTTTGAGTACTTTACTAAGGCATGTCACGTTGAAGTGTTTTGATACTTACTCCGGAGCCCTTCGGTGCAGGGGACGTAGCTTCATGCAGCAATGCCTCATTCGAGATCAAGAACGACTTGTTAGTACGGCCGCAGCAGCATCAGTCTCCTCCTATGCACGATCCAAGACTTTGCTTACTCACTGCAGCACTAAACACCGCACACCTCCTATACCTGCAGGCACTGCCTGCATCTTAACTACTTCCCTCAATGCTGCAACAATCTCAAAACACAACAGCATCCAACCTCGTATCTCCCTTCGCACTGGGCTTGTGACAAGAACACTTTAGCAGCCTCGAACAGAAACAGCGCTTCCAAATAGATATATATATTGCAATATTCACCCGCAATACGATGGTCGCTCAGGAGCACGATGGAACCCTTTTTTTTGTTGCTGGCCGCACACCTGACAATGAACCGCCACCGCCTGCACCTTGGGACTCGGAGTGGTTGTCTTTGGAGATGCTCGGAGATTTCCTGAGCCTCGATCAAGATGATCTCGACATGACATTGGCTCTTGAGTGTAGCCTTCCAGGTTTTGGTATTCATAATTGCAAAAGCAGGCCATGTCTCTATCTCCGATCCAAGATGGAAGACTATCTCCCTTCCATAAGCCGCAAGTCCGGATGGGTAGACCTTCATGGCTGGGTTCTTGTCGTCGTGTCATGTGCGACAAGACACGCCTGATCACGGAAAGAGGAGACTGGCTGCAAAATCGAGGGTGATATTGAGGATTCTTGTCATAATGATCCGGAAAGATTGTTCGCCGCACTCAAGTTCTGTGGTGACATGGTTGAGTATCTCGGGAGGTACACCAGGTGGATGGCTCGCCAAGATGTTGATCAGTTCGACTTGTACGATCTGCTCTATCGAGCCTCTTTCAACTGCATCACAGGATGGATTAAAATACCGGAGTTCAGAGGCCTGCACAGCTATTTTGAGGGAAAAGAGTTGGTGGGACGCCATATGTGTCCCGACGGACCGTGAGAAGAGGAAGAAAGCCCTGAGCAAGATGCACTACAACTACAACCGAGCCTCTCATACTCTCGTCCATGACAGTAGTTTAGTCAACCTGCCTTGGAGCAATGATGGGCGTCCATGTCTCGCCTTGATATTATCTAGTTGGGTATCGTCGTCCGCCCATTTTCGTTGTGTTTCACCACCTTCTAATCAACAATGGGATCGGCCTCGGGGTTCTCGTTACACGAATTGCTGACTCCACAACTTCTTTAAGCAGTTCACTCGTGGCTGGACTGCGCTTGAGTTGTTTGCCTCCACTTCAGTCAAAGTTCTCTTCAAGGGACCAGACGGAGCGCCGATGTTGAAGGATTTGAACGATGATATCCTTATCAACGAACACAGCGAAACACCCCGCTACCACGCACATCCCGCATGGATCGAAGCCTCCGGGGTTATCAGGCGGATCGGTCAGCACGTAACCGACGATGATGCCCTCACACATATTCAGTTCAGTCTCAAAAACCGGGACGTCTGTTGGAAACAAGATCGGATCCTGATCGCCCAGTCTGATGGCAGAGATGGGGGCGGAACTGCGGGCACAAGCTTTAGGCAAGCAGCCAGATGCTGAGGTTGATGTGGCGACTGGGGAGAGCCCGCAGCCCTCAAATCAGGTGGAAGCGACCAAAGCTATCCTGCGACGAACTCCAGCGGCACTGCTCCACGGCCAGCCTGCAATTTCCATCGAAGGCCCTTGGTCATGGTGTCCGACATCTTTCTTTGACTTGGCGCCTCCTTTCGATATGCCCTCCGCCACAAAGCTAGGTTTCATCGAAGTAAGCGGTGAGCTTGACGACGCCTTGGCCGGGCGTTGGCTGTTCGGAAGCGTCGGGGAATGTGATGCCCTCAGTTTCAAGCCGCTCTCACATCATCCGTATGTTCATGTCCGGGTCACAGAGGCCTTGGAAAAGCGGGTAGGCTACCTGCTTATGTCCCCATTCTTCGAGAAGGTGGCGGATAAAGACTATTTCGTTGTATTGGAGAGCCTGGAACGGGAAGTCATGGTTCCCGAGCAAGGGTCTGAGCCATTCCTTGCGTGTGCAGATACGTTGGCTCCGTTGTGGAAGTGTCAGAAGGTGAGGCTCCGACTGTGGATCGAATGGAGTATCAGAATATTTGCATCAAATAATTTTGGGATGCATACACGTTAGGTTATTTGGTTTTTTAACCCTCGTTTTTGCTCAATTTTGTTACCTTCATTTCTCATCTGCATCTCATCGACGAAGACGACGACGACGACGACGACGAGGAGGAGGAGGAGGAGGAGGAGGGCCGTCTTCAGCCCAGCATCAAGGCGCCAGGAGCGTCTATTTATGTTGAGTAGAATATAGGTGAGATTTTAGACTGAATAACTTAATCAGACTTTGTATGTGTCGTGAAAAGAAAGAGAATGCATATTGAAGCATCCGAGCTTTGCTGTATTTACGTACGCTAGGAATAGTGAGCACGCTGTTGTACAGCATTGGTACTGTACTTGGTCTGTACTGTGGTACATACAGCCACGGCATTAGGCCTGTTAGGTAAGCAGGCTTGGCAGGCAGGGCCAGATCAGTGGGATATAAAACACCGCTTAAGTCCGCACTGCCAAATTGGCTTTTCGTCTCACTCATAACTTTTTCTTCTTTGTTTCCCTTGCTTTCTTTTCCACCCTCAAGGACAACAAGCACAGGCGCGCAGCCTCGTCATTGGCGTCACAACACGGGCAATATGGAGCTTCGACGGCGTTCTCTCACGATCTCGGTCCTTTGAAATCCCTATATCTGTTAGAAATTTTCTATGATTTTGGGAGTCTTCAAAAGAGGTAATACGGTAAGCGCAGTCACAGTTGAGCCTTGTTCTTCTTTCTTTCCTTTGACACGCTGGCATCAATTGATGAACAATGAGTTCTGCAATTCTGAAGACACTGCGTAAGCGGTGGCATTGTGGACAAAAAACACAAACCCTACTTGTAGGGCTCTGAAGATGCCAGCCTGCAAAACACGTCTGTTCAACACAATCTTAAACACAGTCAATATTAGCGAGTGCAGTAGTATGCTAATAGTTTGAGTGTTCACAACAAGGCAGTTCAAATTCAGCTACGAAAGAGTAATATGTCCACACTTGAAGGTCTCCTCTGTCTGTCCTAGGTGTTGGTGGGCGCGCCAGCGGGGTAGCGAGTCCCCTTGATATCCATCTTGTCCAGGATCTCATCAACCGCCGCCATGTCCTCGTCTGTCAGGTCTACCAGCTTGGAATTCTCATTGACCCTGTCCACCGTCGTTGCTCCGGGGATGGGGATGATGGTCGGCATGCCAGGACGCCTGGAGAGCGCCCTCACCCAGGCCAGAGCAAACTGGCCTGGGGTGACGCCCTTCTTGTCGGCCAGCGTCTTGACGCGTTCCACCAGGGTGATGTTATGCTGGAAGTTTTCGCCCTGGAAGCGCGGCATGTAACGCCTGAAATCGCCCTCGGGAATATCGTCAAACGACTTGAATGTGCTTGTCAACAGGCCGCGGCACAGGGGTGAGTAGGCCACCAGCGGGATGTCGTACTGTGCACAGGCCGCGGCGACGCCGTTCTCGAGTACGTCGGTGGAGAACAGGCTGAGCTCGACCTCAACAGCCTTGACCTTTGTGATCTTGACGGCGTCGTGAATCGTCTGCGCATTGACCTCGGACAGCGAGATGCCGCCCAGTTTGCCCGCGTCGATGTATTTTTGAATCTCGCCAAATGTCACCTCCAACGGCACGCGAGGGTCACGGCGGGCACACTCGAAGAGGTCCAGCTTCTTGCGGCCCTTGAGCTGGCTTAGGACAGCGTCGAGGGAACGCCGGATCTCCTCGGGGCTACCGTCGGCTCCCTTCTCCAGCCGAGCCCCCCCGGCGCCCTTGATGCTGAGGACGATCTTGTCCGCGTCCTCGGGATACTTCTCAAAGTAACGCTCCAGCAGGACGGGGCTGTTGTATTCGGGGCCTCCGTAGAACTCGCCCCCGTTCCAAAAGGTGCAGCCATTCTTGAGAGCGGCACGCATCGCCTCAAAAGCCTGCTCCTGGGGGCAAGGGTTGGGCCGCCAAGTGAAGCCTGCAAAATAGCTCGTGTTAGCATCGCGATTCGATCATTAGAGTGCGGCTGGTGGGATCAGGTAGTGTGTAATCACTCACCCATAAGACCGTAGCCAATGGGGCCGACCTCTCGTCCGTTGATTTGAGGCATTGTTGCTGTGGTGTACAAAGTTTTTGCGAGTAAAAGTGTGTGTATTTGGTCTTGGTCAAAAATGGGTTTACTGAAAGAAACCCGACTAATGAGTGCGTTGAAATTTGCTGTTATCGAGCTGGAATAGCAGAGCAGAGAAAGAGATCCGTGGTGAATTATATATTTTTTGTGAGTAACTTGATATTCCTTTTGTTTTAAGAAAATCCCAACCCCGCCTCGGTGATATCGCCAACCAAGTTATCCCTTTGTGAGTAAAGCCAGTTTTAGTGACGGCAGCAGCGATCAGCAAAGGGTGATGATCTCATTCGCGCCCGGCGTTAAGGATCCAGCTGCTGTACGAAGGGCAACTGCCACTGGAAATAAGACCCACTTTTTGTTTCTATCCGTAAGTACACTAAAACCGTCGCCGCCCTGTTTCCTCGGTTTCACGGTCTTTAGCAGACGATCCAGGAGGATTCCACCCTCTCAGACAACAAAGTGTCTACAACTTACCAACCGAATAGCGATGTACAGCATCAGCCTCGGAGAAAGAAACGCGCGAACGGAAATCGAAGTTGTCAACAGCCGGAATTGATGGACTAATAATCCAGACACACAAATGGCGAGCGACAGGCTCTTGAGTTCTTCCAAAATCCATGGCGATTTTCCTTCGATCCCCGACTCCCAATGAACCGAATGCCTGTGCCTCATTCTCGGCCAAGTCCATCACAGGAACTTGCTACACAACCCACTTTATCTCCACATGCTTGGTCGCCAGCTACTTACTTTTTCAATCGATGTCCACAAGCCTGTCTTTTCCTCGCGCTCCGGATATATTCTCCTCGCTAGCCACCAAGTCACTGCTTACCGGCGACAACCTCCCACGCAAGTCCTCATCGTCGTCATCCTCGCCGTACGGCCCAATAGCCTTCCCGCCACTGGCTGTGCCAATACTCCTGTCTTTTTTAATCATGTCCGCCGGGGTCAGGCTCTCCACCGTCACCTTTGCATCCCTCTGCTGCCCCTCCTCCTCCTGCGCGCCGTGCCTCCTGCCTGCAGCACTCAGGCTGACCGTGGGGGCCACCATGCTGTTTTCGTCGGTATATAGGTTGAAACTGCCCTGGGGATGGATGCCAACTCCCTGGGTACCTCCTTGTCGTCTTCGGAGCATGGTGGCGTTGTTTTGGAGGCTGGTGGCAGGTTCGGGAAACGATGCTGGTCTGGAGGATGCATTGCTGGTCCGCAGGAATAGCTCGCGCATTTCCTTGATCTGACGTAGCTTCTGCCGATTGCTCATTTCCGTGCTCCCAGAGAGGAGGGCCGACATACGCCCTTGCATAAGGCGGAGGTCCATGGGCGAGGGCTGATGGTGGTACTGCTGTGAGAGGTTGGCGGGTCTGTGAGTCTCAGAGTGCCGGGAGGAAGAGGAAGAGGGAGAGGATGACGACGTCGAGAGAAGGGCTTCTGCCGGGTGAAAGGAATGTCTCGGGCTGGTCAAGCGACTGTCGTCTGTATTGGCGCTGGCCACGTGCATATCCACGTCTATATCTTCTCCTCCTCTTCTCGGCCCAGCAGGGAACCCTTCAGCGCCCATCACCAGGAGATACCAGGTAGGAAAGTCCTTGAGCCCAATCTCGCGCAGGCCCTCCCAGCTCGTCGGCATTCGGTGCTGGTATCGGCACCCACGTCCCCATTTGCATGTGCCATGGTGGCACCAGTGTCGGCAGTAAGTGGTGTTCATATTGCCCATGACAGGTTTGTTGTGTTCCTTGGTACCACGGTGCTGAGCTGCAGCAGGAAGACACCGAAATTCATCACGCTCACTGTCGATTGTGTTATGCCGGGGTGTCATGATGAGCCTAGGATCCGAGAAGGCCAGCCCAGGTGCCTTCTGTCTGTTCTCATGCTGCTGGTAGTGATGATGTTGGTGGTGGTGGTGAGGCTTGTCTGGCTTCTCAGCACGAATCCGCTCTCGGCTTGCCGCAGAGACTGTGACCTCGTTACTATTGCAGCGTACCATTGCTTCCGCAGTTGCTACCGCTGCTCGCATCCCAGCGGTGCGAGGCGACGATCTTTCCTGTGGTTTATCGCTCTGAGCCATCCTCTCGGCAGTCGACGTCGTCATCGTCACTGTATCCTTCCGGGGCGCTGCAGCAAAATACTGCAGCCCAGCTTCCTCCTCCTCCCTCTTCCCCTTCTTTCTGTGATCCTCCTCTGTGCCCTTCTCCGTAGCAGAAAAACCCGGCGTCTCAGGCTCAATTTCCGTGCCGTTCAGGATGGCCCGGATCATATCTGTGCGCAGACATACCTCGTAAACGCTGTCGTCCTCCCGGCTGAGAATCCCGAGACTGACGAGCCCACTGGCCTGCTCGGCCCTGAGCTCGCGCGGGACGCCGGCGAGTTGCAGCCACTCAGGGAGCTGATCCGCAGCGACAAGCGGCACCATGGTGTCCTGGCGAGCGCCGCGGCGGACAATGAAGTATTCAGGGCACGGATACATGGGTTGAGAAGTGCGTGCTTGCATGTAGAGGATAGTTTTTCTTGTGTCTAGGTGTCTGTTGCTGCTTTGAAGAGGGCGTAACAAAGACTATGCTTGAACTTGGGACACCAACACTCAAAAAGACTTACCTTTCATCGTTTAAATAGATGAATAGGAAAAGTTAAATACCCCCCCCCCCCCCCGGAATTTTCCGAATGACTCTGTTCTTGGCCTGCCGGTATTGAAAGGGCAAGGGAATCTCCTACAACCAGGATCTTGTTTGCTTGCTACGGCGATGATTGCCTGGCCTTCCGCGCGGACGCAAACTCAAGCCTGCTGTGATTGCTATGGCGGCATACAATACGTCAGCAAGCGATTGCTGCCATGGTCAACATGTCTTGTCTTGTCTTATGTTCATCGTGCTCTACAGTGCCTATGCTTTGTCATTCTCTCTCTTTCTGTCTATCGCGGCTCTACCCTGATTGTGACATCCAGCCCATCCACACAAAATCCAAACTGTCTAGGCGAGTCGTTCAGCTCGACCTCCCTCTTAACCCATCTGGCAGCTCTGTTCATGGGCCGTGTTTGCTCCTCCACACCTATCTCCTTCTTTTTCTCCTTCTCCTCCTCCTCCTTCGTCTTCACCTGCTCCTGGACTGATTCCTCCTCATCGTCGCTGCTGTCGCCGACCTCCTCGTCATAGCCCGCCACAGGGTCCCATTCTCCAGTTTCCCAGATGAGGCGCAGCTTGAGCGGCGGGTGCCCGAAGAGCCTGCCGGCAACGCCCTTGACGGCGTAGATATCGAGCGACTTGGGGACCTGCGCACGCTTCTCTTCATGCTGAAACCGGAAGACGACGCTCACAAGCCTCGCCTCTAGAAAGTTGGGGTTGGTCTCTGTGCGCCGGTTGACAGCCGGCTCGCCGTACAGCTCACACAGCTCGTGGTACCTGCGGTGCCCCTCGATCACCCTGGCCTCGTCCTCGGGCGTGTCCGGCACGGAGGAGAGCTGGCGGCCGATTCTGGAGAGGTAGAACATCTCGGCGTTGGTGCGATCCTCAGGTGTGATGGTGCTGAAGTTGAGGGACTTGAGCGATCCCAGACGGCCGACGGTCAGCATGTAAGCCTCTTCGGTCACCGTGGCTTTGGCACTTTCTGCTGCGGCGGCGGCGCTGTCGCCATTGGAGTGATCGAAACCACCCGGGTTGTCATAGACGGGGTTATGAGCCAGGCGCAGGGACACCAAGCCAGGGAACGTATCCGGGAGGGCATCGATAAAGGACCATTTGTGGATCTTGTTGTAAGAGATGTCGAGGTGCGTGAGAGACTTGCTGAAAGCCGGCAAGTTCTCTGTCGTGTCGGATGATATGGCTGAGATTCGGTTGCCCTTGAGGTGTAAATTTCGGAGGCCCGTTACAGCCGCGAGGCTAGCAATGTCAGAAAGCGAGGTGAAGTCATTGAACTCCAGGTAGATAGACGTGAGTGTTTCTAGGAGGGTGGAAGAGGCTGGGATAGGTGACAGTCTGGAAAGCTGGTTGGAGCTGGCGTAAAGGGCAGCAAGGCTGAGAAATCTGGTGGCGACATGGCATATCTCGTCCCACCGCATGAGGGTCTCATCGACTGCGAGTTCCTTGACGCGCTTAAAGGCCTTCTCAGAGCCAACTAAGGATTCATCTTGGAGCACGTCCAGAAAGCGATTGCCACTGTCAAATGTCAGGCACACAGAGAAAGCTATACGAAAATGGAGCAACGCCGCGGCGAACCTACTTAAGCCTCAGACCACGCAGCTCAGTCAAGTCGGAACAGATCTCAACCACAGGGGCAAGATCCGCCAGTAAGTTCCGGCTGAGATCCAGCTCCGTCACCTTTGGGCAGATCTCGCGGACGGGCTTCGTCTCCTGGCCACCAGAAGCAGCAGCGACCGAGGGCGCAACGATCCGCATGCCATCGAGGATGACGATCTTGAGCTCGCTCAGCTGGGCCTGCTGCCTGCGGATCTTGTCGAAACCAATCTCCTCAGCAACCTTGCCCGAGATCACAATCTGCGGACCCGGTGCGATGGGCTTGTGGTCTGCCGTCACCTCCGAGGCGTACTTTTGCTGAAGGGCCTCGAGGAAACTCTGCGGCTTCTCGACCGGCCTTGTGGGCCGCACGAAGGAGGCTGCCGTGGGGGACTTGGATAGACCTGAACGAGATTTGAGCTGCTGTCTTTGTTGCCTGCCTGTGTGGAATGCATATGATCGCTTGCAAGAGGGGGAAGGCTTACACGTGAAGTACCGGGCTCCCTTGTGAGAGCCATCGTGTTTGCCTCTGGAGGGGTCGTCCCATTCAACACCCAACCATTCGCCGCTGGTACCGCCGACTTGGCCAATGTATCGGACGGTGCATAAAGCGCCGTCGTAAGAACGGCGCTGTCCGATGTGGTGCTCAACATTTTGCGACATCTTGCAACATCTTTGCTGAACGTCCTTGTTCTTTCTTCCTTTCTCTCTTTCTATTCTTCAGAGGGAATTTACTGAGTTGGCTTGTTGAGGCTTTCCAGAGCTGTGCCTGACACCCGCAGCGAGAGGTTTTTCGGCGGTCAGGCCTGGGCCGTAGGCACCCATGCAGCGCTCCAGCCGCTGCCTAAAAGCAAACCACACTACAGCTACAGGACCAGCCCAGCATTCTGGGTTACCATGATCAGTAATCGACTCTTGAGATTATTTTCGATTCTCTTTGGAAAAATAGAAGGGAGAAGCACAAAGGAAGCTTTCTCCAAACCATAGTTCGAATAAACTCTTCAAAAGCCTCATTACATCCTTGCTTAGTTCTGCAAGCGCACCATGAGAAGGCAGGCAACATCGTTGAAATCTCAGTTGACATATGCGAATAATTCACATGCAGCCTAATTTTTCAGCCACCAAAACAAACTTGGCCAAGAAGAAGAAAAAGAGTGACTGATAAAATTTCAATCCCAAATGCGTCTCACTCGAAAGCAGGAGTCAGAACAAATGTATCTTTACAGCTTGCTCTTGGCCGGGCCAACAACCTTGACGAGAGCTCGTCCGTTGCTCAGGCACACCTTCTTGCCCGCGATACTGGTAACGAATCGGACCTCCTCAAATCCATCCTTGACCTCGCCAGTCCTCCAGACATTGGTCACCAGCTTATCACCAGGCTTGACAGGGCTCGCAAACCTCGCCTGGAATTCCTTCAGGTTCTTGGGGTCACTCCCGCCAAGATGCCTCAGGAGCCCGTGGCAGGTGGAGTTGAACGAGTACAGGCCGTGCAAGATCTCGCCGCCAAAGCCCATCTTCTTGCCCGGCTCGGGAGTCGCGTGCAGCGGGTTGTAGTCGCCGTTGAGCCTGTACAATAGGGCCGTCCCGCGCTCCGTCTGCGCCTCAAAAGTCACGTCGGGGGTCTTGTCCTTGGGTGGCGGGAAGTTCTCGGTCGCAGGGCCCTTGGGTCCTCCCCAGTTGCCCTGCGCCACGAAGAAAGAGCTGCCGGTGGCCCGCGAGTACACCTCGCCGGTGCCGGCGTCGACGAGCTCCTGCTGGACCTCGAGGACGGACCCGGGGCGGCCCTTGTCGTAGACACCCAGGACCTTGGAGCGGATCTCAAAGTTGCGGCCCTCGGAGGTGGTAGGCAGGGGCTTGAGAAACTCGACTAGCCGCTGGCCGTCGACCACACGGGTGTAGTCAAAATCTGGGACACCAGGGATCTTGGTCGCCTTCTGGGCAGCGTAGAAGTCAATGACCTCTTGCGTGGTGCCCTTGAACGCTGATCAAGAAAAGAGAAAAGAGGAACGAGAAGGTCAGCACCAATTAAGCCAAAGCAGCGATGAGTCCTTCACTTACGCAGGATCACCGAGTAGGAAGGGAAGACAGCAAAGTCGGGGTGAAGTTCCTGCAACAGTTAGAATTCTATGATTCGTTTGTGTCTCAAAAGTCTTCCTCTCTCTGTGTCTGTCTCGCCTGCTTACGTAGAGGAAGTGAAGCTCATCAGGCTTGCAGCCAATGCTGTTGGCGAAGAGGAGAGCATCTCGCTTCAGCCACGCAACGGGCTTTGGAGGATACTCGAAACCGACACCGGGACCACTCATGATGATTCTTATAGGAATGAATTACTGGCTCAAGATTTTCATCCAGATAGAGAAAGCAGGGGGAAAGAACACAGAAATAAGAATCGATTTGTGAAGGGGAAGAAGAGAGCAGAACAGCAAGTCGTCTGCTGAGCCGGATTTACTCTCCTCCTTCCTTATGCTCCCCCCAAGAGCCGAGGTCCGCGTTTAAGACCCCTGGTAGTTCGGATGTGGGGATTAGCAAACAATGTACAAGGGAGTACTATACTACATACATTAGTACAGTACCCCAGGTTTTGGGAAGTGGTGGGTGAGGGGCCTACTAGCCTAGTGCTTCTTGCTGATGGTACCATGTGTTTGTTTTCCTGACGGGGTGCGGTGTATGAGATGATTCCTGGTTTGTCAGATATCTCTGTAGAACAGTATACGTCCTCTGTACTGCAATTACATGGTCCATGGCAGGCACTCACTTACCATGGTACGTACTGTAACGATTCACATGTGAGTGTATGTCTCGTCTCGTCTGAACCTGCTTTCTTTTTTCTCTTCTTCGTTCCCCTCCCTTCTTCTTCTTCTTTCTACTCCTTCCTTCCTGTCCCATCATCAGGAAAGTATCGTGCCCTGGTCGCACAGGACAGGCAGGTATACAACAAAGTCATCTTGATCCATAGTTCGGTTCGGCCCAGTCCAGACATCGACAATCTGAATGCGGCCTTTAGGCCCGTCCCACCCCCACCCACCTATCCTAGATCCGGCCCCCCAAACCAACCCCCCCCCCCCAGCTATCTTATCAGCCCCCGTCAAAAAGTTCCTGTCCAAAAAGAAAAATCCTAATCGACGGCTCCTTCACAACACGATTCCTCAACACCTCGCCCTCTTCTTGCGAGCACTTCGCCTTGCAGAGGCCGCCGCCCATGGCAGCAGCCACAAGTGCGCCGCAAGGCGACAGCGCCACGCCTCCGAAATCGGACGAAATCAACCGGCGCCTTAAAGCCAAATTGAAGGGCACCAAAGCCTCACAGCCCAGCCCTGACAGCGTCACCAGCAAGCCCAGGCTTCGACTGGCACAGCCATTGACCGATAGGTTCAAGCGAGGCCTCACGAAGAGGACTGCCAGGTTAATCAAGAAGCGCGAGGAGATCGACCGTGCTCTCCTGAGGGAGGCACAAAGAGACCTCCGGAGTCTCTCTGCCAAGGACTGGCTGCCGCGCGAGCTGCTCTTGAGGAACAGTGAGGCACTTGCAAGACGCGAGCGCAGCCACATCAGGTTTTTGGGAAAGGAGCTTAAGGAGAGGGAGCATTTCTACCAGTCGGATCTTTCGACCCAGCGCGCGAACGATCTCGACCTGATCAGGATCGAGCTCTGGAAGTCCAAGCGCCACCTGGGCCCCGACCTCGACACCGATGAGCGCCCTCCCCATACTATAGCACAAGCCGATAACGATGACACGTCGTTCTCCGGCTTCGACTCGGAGGGGGATGATGGCGATCGCTCCCCCACGCAATCCGCACCCGAATCTTGTTCCGACGCCTCCCCGTTCACCGACAACCATCTTTTGGACGATAACAGCCGGATGGGTGACAAGCGGGACCCGTTGAACTTAGATGGCGCCTTCGATGACCATGCGAGGGCCAAATCAAAGAAGAGAAGGCTTGATGATGACTCGGCCCGTCTCAAGCTTGAGAAGGGGCAAGGGAAGAAGGTCAAGAAGGAGCAGGCGGGCAAGAATGGGCAAGAGACGGCAGCTACCAAGTCGGAAAGGCAGTCTGACAAACAGAGTGCGTCGGCCCTGTCTACTCAAGTGGAAGAAGCATATTCTACTGGAACGAGTGCAGCAATTGACAGCATGTCTCAGTTCAAGAAGCCTAAGCATGTCGAGGCCAGCAACGAGGGGGATTCTTCCGTCAGCGCCAACCGAGCAGCAAGCAACAGTCTTCTCAAGAACGGTGTGGGCGGCAGCGGTGGCGGCGGCGTCGTCGTGCCCACCATACAACCATGGTACAAAATTCATGCGAAGGCAATGATGGAGCACGACTTCAATGATTTTGTACGTGAGCGACCGAGAAGAACCAAAGCGCCGGCCAGGAAATACCTCGTCAGCGGTGCTCTGCTCTCCCTCCCACGGGACGTTGTGAGCGGTGCCTTGCCTACGCCCCCTACATCATCATCATCTTGTTCCTCATCCTCTTCGTCGACGGTGAAGAAGTCGAACAAGACCACCGAACGGCCTGATCTCATACAACGCACTGGTCAACTCGGAAAGCGCCAAAAACCTCGCGCTGGACTACGGCAAACTACATCTCGAGTTGATTCAGGTCACAGAACCTACTCGCCATATAGCAAGAAATCCTAGCAAGGACCCGAGATCCCCGCTGAACAGACGCGGTCCAACAGGCTTGTGGATAGCGTGAGCAACTCAGAGGACCCCGCCTTCTTGTACGACCTCAGAGGCAATGACGGTGCGTCCACAAACATAGGGGCAAGAATGTCTCGTTCTTCATGCAGTCAGCCAGGTATGGCAGAGCCGTCCCATGACGGTTCGATGACCAACCGTGGACATCAGTCTGGCCATGGAACTAGGAGCTGGGGTTTTACTTGTGGCCTGTCTTGTTGGAGGTAAAGATTTCACTTTCGTGTGAAAATCCCATGCCTGCGTGCGACACCTTCATTAATACATGGGGATATATGGTGATGTTCTTTTTTCTCCCCTTGTAAGAAATCAGGATTCAAACGGGAGTTGATCAAGTGGAATAGCAAATGATGTGGCGAGGAGTTGTGGTTTTTTTTGGGTTGTCACAACTGCATAGGGCATAGGAGTTACGGATTGTTACAAGATGGCAGCATTACCCGAGTTCTAGCACTTTCTCAGAAGCATTTTGATCATTCGCCTTCACACCTATCCTGTCCGACTTTGAGGCAAGACACATCAACCCTCTTCTCGGCATTTCATGAGGTCTGGGTACGTCCCGTGGTTGACTACATGCCTTCTTCTCCATCCAGAGTGATTATATAAAGACTAATGTAACGATCAGCGGCGAGCACTAAATCTCCGCAGCACCCGAGCCCCGGCCCACAGAATAGAATCCGGCTGGAATAGAGGAATCCGTTTCTCAGTGCTCCAATATGTTGGTACTCCGAGTCAGGAAATCCTGAATGTGACATGCATGGGCAGAGCACCAGAACCAACCAGTTTCACGAGGCTTGGGCTGGTCACAACCATCGGTCCTGCAGTGCAACCGAGTCCACCCTCTTGGACCATATTGGACACCGACCCCTCCACCTTTGTGCCAGTGAAAGGAGACTTGGAGCTCGACAGGATTATCTCGTCAGCAGCCGCCCCAGTAACTTCTCGCGGCGTCGCCCAACGCCTGTTGCTGCGTGCTCGCCCCAGGTGGAAAACTTTCAAAGAAAGAAAGAGGAAAGGAGAAAAAGAACAGACATGGCCATGAGCAGATCAGCAGCAGATTTCCTTGTTCTAGACAGACGTGCATCTACGAACCCCCAACTGCAAAAGGGACCGGAACACCGCATGTGGCAATATTGTAATAGTGCCGAGTGCCTATATGCGTCGATGTACAGTAGCGAGCTCTTCAAACCACTCCCGTGTCCTCCTCCCCCCACGCCTTGGCTAGAGCAGGCTAACCATACATTAGGGAAGGATTTTGCCCAAGGGTACCACGACAAGCCGGCCAAGGCCTGATAGTTACCTAACAAGGACCGTCGTGCAGGCTGGGTCTCGGCGGCAAAAGCGTGGGCGTTGGGGCCTTGACATTGGCTCGTTCTCACTCTCGCCCACACTCGCTCTTCCCGTCTGTGCATGCAAAGGGCCCCCCTTTTCCTCCCCTCCAGACTATTGGGGAAAAGGCAGAGAGCAGAGGTGTGGTGGAGAAGTTTCTTAGCCTACGTCTTAGAGCATCTGATGTGAGTCGTGAATCATGGGAGATCGCCAGACGATGAGAGCACACATTTTCCATTATCTCGCCCTGATGGTGATGATAATGATGCTGTTTTTGATGTTGGCTCCTCATGGCGAGGAGGAGGAGTGGAAGATGGTCTTTCTTGCTGTAAAGAAAGCAGTACCTCGTCCGCACATCCTCCAACGGACGAGGAGGCAGAAAGGAATCCCCCCGACAAGAATAACACAGCATCTCGTCCACACCCACCCAACCCACTCGCCCGATCCGCAGGATGATGTGCAACATCCCGGGTTGAGCTAGCCAACTGGAGGAAGCTCAGATTCCATGGCTCAGCAGGCCCAAGGTTGCAGATGGACGGCCGCTCGCTGTTTGTCGTGTCATATGACCCCACGTGGAACCATGATGGTGTTTCCCCTCAGTCTGTCCTTCCTCTTGTTCTTATCTCATCGATTCCCAGATCGGGTGGCTCGAAGGGGTATTTAAACCTCCTTCCCATCTCCTGCTTGTCTCTCCCCCATCTTCAGAATCTCCTGAATCTCTTCCTTCTTCAACGTTCAAACACGAGCTGTTAGAACATCAAACCCCTCGATAGCAATCACTCAACCACATACCCACACACCCACACACACCCAAACACACCAACAGCAACAATGGGTGCCTGGTAAGTATCCCTTGACATTGCTCAGGATCAAGGGCAGCCCGCTTCTCTCTCTTTTCTTCCTCGTCCTCGACTGATCTTGTCGCCCGGCAGTGCCTGTACTACATGCTGCAATGGGCAGTGCACCTCTAGCTGCAACTGTGCCACGTGCAAGGCAAGTTTCCTTCCTGCTCTTTTTTGCTCGGGTGATTAATGGCGAGAGACTGTATGTGTGTTGAAATCTAACAAAGCGTACAGCACTGAGCTGGCGCTCATCGCCCGTCGCTTCGGCGACTCTCTTCTTGAGTTCGGTTCCTGAAGTTCGGATTGGTTCACACACTCTCTCGTTTGGTTATTATCTTTTTTTTCCGGTGTGCTTGAGGGGATTAAATCGGGCCCAAGTGCGGGGAAAGGCTACAGTCATGGAAAGCCAATGATCATGGCTTCCTGTAGATTAAACGCTCCTTAGTCAAAGTAAAGGGAATTCCATATACTCTCATTCAAATGATTTATGGGTATCGTTCTAAGTAAACTATTGGCCTTGTATTAGTCTTCCGATTTTGTCCCACAACCAAACAGAGACAGGGAAGAACTTACACTATCACACAATGCCGATCTAAACCGTGTGGCTTGCGGGACCCATGTTGTGCAGGATAACATAAGCCTGCACGCCCATGGCATAAGTATCGGAGGCGGAATAACAAGCGTGCGCGCGCAATTGTCGCCCTCATGCATACTTAACTATCCCAGGTCGTGCTGTGCCTATACAACGCCGCTCAATGATGATGTTGATGACAAGTGTCGACCTTCTTTTTTTCTTCTTTCTTTGTACTTTTCTTTTACTCTCAAGTGACCATATCCTTAATCATCCTCTTCATGCCCATTTCCCAAGCAGGGCCATCAATCCCGCACCAAGACACATGCATCCAAATGCTGACAGCGTCATACCGATACTGCTCTTGCGCATCTCCACGTTGAACATAAACTCGTGAGCCATCAGCTCGACCAGACCGGTGTAGATGAGGATACCAGCGGAGATGGAATCAAAAATGCCGTTGATGGTCAGGGACTTGAGGCCCTCCGGGGCAAGTGTCTGTCGAACACCGATACCGATGGCGATGGCAATGGGCGTGGACAGCGCATAGGCGCAGCCGAGCACATAGGGCAGCCACTCCTTTCCCTTGGGCCACTGTGCAACCGCCAGTCGGGTACCGAGACCGAGACCCTCGAAACTTTGGTGGAAGACGAGGACAATGTACAGGATGGTGAACTCAGAACCCGCGACGGCGAGGGTGAGCCCGATGAAGACGGAGTGGAAGATGACACCGAATTCCAGAATGAACAGGGCTGTCATCTGTGCGGCCAAGGAGTCGGGCTCGGTGTGGTCGCGTTTGTGCCCCAGGTGGTCTTCGCCGCCGGGTGGATAAGAGACCTCATGCGTGAATCGCGGGTCGTTGACAGAAGTAAGGGTGAGGGTGGTGGAGTCGTTGGCGGCGACGTTCTCCTCATCAGCAGGCTTCTTGATTGCTATAGATGAGACTGGCTCTGCCTCTGCTAAGTCATGGCTATGATCATGACTGTGCGCGCCGCCGAGGCTCCACTCAAAGCGGCTGGCGAGCAGCTCGATGAGGAACATGAGGAAGATGGTCATGAGGGCTATTGCCTCTGGCCAAGAGTAGCTGGCGATGACGGAATCTTCCGGGAAGCATGGCGAGCTGAGTGCCTCGTTGGCAGGGGCCAAAAGGTGGATGAAGGCGGTTGCTATGATGACGCCAGATCCAAAGTATTTTGCAATAAAGAAGGCAGTCTTGGGGACCATCATGCGACTCGAACGGGCCAAGATGATGGGGGCCACAGCACCGATGAAGGACCCAACAAGAATGACAAAGATGGACGAGATGCGCAGACCCAAACGGCCGTCATAGTCGTTACCAGAGTCGCATTCCACCGTGACACTGGTGGGTGCAGCCATAGCTGTGCTATCGGCAGACATTGTCACCTATGTGTGACTCACAAACGCTTTGACTGGTGGGACGTGTGAGGGCGAGGTCTATAATGTGAGTGGAGGGACAATAGGTATTGGCCCTATATCACAGACGTCGAGGAAGGGGGGGGGGGATAAAGGAGAAAGTGACGATAAGAGTTGATGTGCAGAGTAACAGTCGATGCAAATGCTGCGGAAACGAGGCGGTTGCGCCGTCTTTTATGGAGAGGCAAAGCCGACGCAAGTGTGTCGCGACATTGGAAATCGACGCTCGAGCCAAGGTTGGAAGGAGGAGGGTGGGTGGGTGAGAGAACCTTGAGGGACTTCGGCCAAACAATCGCAGACTCAATGTTCACTAGCCTGTGCCATGGGTCAAGATGATGTTCTGAAGGTTGTGGTGTGCGCCGTGGGCTGGATTTCTGGTTTGGGGCGTGGAAACTTTGGTCGAGGAATCAAGCTCTGGTGGGCGGAGGGCTAAGCACATAGGTTGGGTTGTGCTCTCGTGAGGACCTTGATGGCTGGTGCTGGTCACTTTTTCTCACTTTTTTTCTCTCCTTCTCCTTCCTTCCCCCTCCGTTGCAGCACGATACTGAAATCCAAGTGACCAATAAAAGCGCATTACTGAGAAATTTGCAACACTGTCATTGGTAAGTTCAGGGATCTTTTATGGGGACTCCTGCCGAATCATTGCAACTTGGCAGTGACACCAGCTGGGGGGGCTGCGCCACTTAAGATGGCGGGGCGCTGTCTATCGCCCGGTAGGCTCCCTTAGCTAGGTACGTTTCTCCATGCTAGTTCGTAGTACGGCACACATTGCCGGCCGTTGTACTGCAGTACTGTAGTAAAATGTGAAGGGTCAGTGAGGGCCAAGAGCCCAAGAAACTTACTGAAAAGTACCGCTTCAGTCTAGGGGTGGGGTCGTTCAGGATTAGCTCAAACCATGCAGCTCTGACCATCAAGGTCCTCATAAGACGACCTCGACGATCGCTTTCACCAAACCAGTCTTGATTCGTTTCAGCAGCACCTTCACTCGAGGACCTCCTGACCCATATGATTTTCAATCACCCCCCCCCCATGCAACCCCTCGGACACCAATTTTGCGCCTTGTCTAAAACATGCGCTCCAATGCAAGTATGCCTGCAGGCACACTCGGAGTCAAGGGCTGTCCATCAATTAATTACCTTCCTATGCGCTCTCCCTCCAGTCACAAAGATCCCGTACTCCAGGCAGAGCAGGACACTAAACTTGCGAGCAAAGACAAGCTTTTGCAACTTGAGCCCTCTGGCAGTGAGCAATGCCAACTAGAAGGAGAAGCCATTGAAGGGGAGGAGGAGACCCGCCGAGAGTAGCTCGTCGCAAGCAACGTCTCATCCACCCCCACCCCCCGGCCGGATAGGAGCTGAATTGAGACATCCGGGCATGATGGGGTAACACTCAATCATCACGTCGAGTATTAGGATTCTTCTAGCCTCAGGATAGCTCAGCTTCCTTCTCACAACTAGCGAGTCGTTGTTTCGACTGTGATCCAGGAAATCGCATCCTTGCAGAGGGATGAGTCGGTGAGCCAGCACGTACAACTGGTCCCCCGAAGAAGCGCGTCACCCTGCGAAGTGAGGAGGACAACCATTGATGTCCAGGTCATTGTCAGTTACACGATAATTGCTGAGAAATGGCGTTACACCTTGAGTGGACCACCACAATAGCGTGGGATGGCCTCGGATAGTTGTTGCAGCAGGTGATTCAGCTGTTGTCTAGCCAGCGATCGCAGCCACCCGCCCCTCTTCCCGACAGGCTCATCACAGAAATCAACTGAATCGGGCCAATTCGACCTGCCTCGTATCAAAAGTATCAGCCCTCATATCATGTACTGTGGTGGGAGGAAGCAGGGTGGGGGAAAGGGCACCGCTGAGGTCGTCGGCAGGACGGCCGCGCGAGAGGGCTCATGAGGACCTTGATGGTCAAATTGTAAGCCCCACCGCCGCCAGACGATGACAACATGTCAGGGGAGGGGGGCTGTTCTAAGCTTCCTCGCCTTTTTAGAATTTACGCCCTATTGACCCTGTCTGTATGCAGCCTCAACGTGAGGATTGTCAAACTGAAGATCGTGCCAGTGCATCCATCTCCATCTATGCAGCACCGACAGCATGGAACGTAGGAAAGGGTATATTCTACTAGCACATGCTAATGAAGCTGGTTCACCATCACGTCGGCGGTTGTTCCCGACGTCTTTCAGCCCTGTCACTTTGTCTCAGAACACAAAGTTTTATACATGCGTCATTTCTCTTGACAGAGGAACAACTCTTTGTCAACCAACCGTGGGTCGTCGTCGCTCACGACCCACAAGCCGGTCGTGACGTGACAGATGTCCGAGGCAGGGACGGTCACCCATCGAAGAGAAACTCACAACATCTCCATGTAGCCAGTGTTCCGCATGACGTTATGACCTAATGACCTCGACCCTGAGAAATAGACGAGAGCAAGCGGGGTGGCGCAGAGGGGAAGAGGAGATGAAGGCAGAAAAACCACGACAGCTTGAAAATTCGGAAAGTGGGCAAATTCAGAAATACAAGCAAGAAAAGTATTCTTTCTAAAACTGAACTACAGGCTGAGGCCAGTCTTCATACAAGGCAGGCAGAGAGAGGTTTAATTAGACTTGAGGCTCAAGAAAGTGGGAGGGGGGCAGGGCTATGGAAGACTTTGGACCAATTGAACCGTCCGAGGAGTAGAGCTCTCTGCCATGACCTTGATTGAAGAATTACCCCGATTACTGCATACTCTCTGGGCACTAACCTCCCCCAGTAACTTCAAGTCCCTACGCGGGGCTTTGGGGGACTGGGACACCTCACCTTTTCCACACACCTCAATGATCTCATCCCTTGAAAGAGCAGATTCCAGTCTCTGCACACTGGCGAATATATCCCATTTGATACCAAAAAATTTCAACCACCATCTCTTGAACTCATTCGGGTTATCATTGAGATACTGAGACCTTTTCAATTTTATCTTAGCAGGACTACGCAGAATTTCTCTCATCATTCTCGCCATTGTTATTCGTCGTCTTTCTTTGGGGTTGAGACTGGTTTGTCTGCCTCTCTTTGTACTGCCGTTTGCAGGCGGCTTCAGGTGGTGACCCGAGTCCCACAGGGCCCCTCCGGGCGGGTGTTCAGGACCCCTCCACCCCAGCTCTCCACAGCCCAGGGCCCAGGAACCAGGCGCCTAGACACTGTCAGGGCCAAACGGGGGTTTCTTTGGGGCCTGCCGCCAAAAGGAGCCCTTGCCAGCTGCATGCAGTTTGGCGCTCTATCTCTTCCCCAGAGCCTCATCCTCACCAGCATAATGAATTGACCTCCAGCCTGTCCATCCCTCATCTTTATTACCCACTTTCTTCCTTCATGGCACATCGTCATCCTGGGGCGAGGCCCCTCAAACCCCTCGCCCCTCGGGCTCCTGATCAACTCTACTCCCAGGCCTTCCTTCAGACGTGCGATGAGCCCCCGACGCGCCCTGCGAGTGACCTCTTGAAAACTCGAGACTCACCAGCCCTGGCGCGACCAGTGCCCAAGCCCTTGCCTACTCTTGCGCCTGCTCCTGCGTCTGACCCTGCGCTTGTAACCCTCTCTTGGGGAGTCCCAGCCTCAGCCTCAGCCTCGACCCTGGTCCCCAACAGCAGGCCCTCTGACGTCTTTCACAGCCCTGCCAGCCATGTCCCTCATCCCTCTCGGACCCCTGATGAGTACCCGACCACGCTCGAGCTGGCCGAGGGTCTCATCATGATGAGGTCGAGCGTCGAGCCGATGAGCGCCAAACCCTCTCGCATTCCCTTCGCGCATCCGTCCACACAGCCACATGTCGCCCTCAACAGTGGCCTGGCGCCTTTTCCTATGCCCCGGCCTTTGAACGAATGCGCCTTTCGGGCCTCCGATCCAGACCCGGTCGCACTTCCCGCGGCACCTGCACTCCCCGTCGTATCTGCAGCCGCACCCGCACCTGCACCTGCACCCACTACACCTCTGGAACCTCTGGAGGATCGGCCCAACCATCCTCCTGTATCCACGTCATCGGAGGAAAATGCCGGCCGCCACTCAGATATCTTCTCGATGGGCGAGAACAGTGATACCATTTCTGACCCTGATGTCGACTCGGCCGAGAGGACCCTCCAGGGCTCAGCCCCACAGCATTCCATGACATCTGCCCAGCAGGTGCCCCAGCAGGGCGCACCCCCAGTGGAGATAGCACCCCAGGAGCAGACGTCGACGCCGCCTGTGGTGGACGGCAGACATGTCTCCCCACGGTGGCCTTACCCTTCTACGATCAGCAGGGAAGAATTGGGCCCGGGCGTGGCTGGCATACCGGTGGACGATCCCCCAGCAGCGGCTCAGCCCACGTCTTTTAGGCTCTACGATCCAGCAACACCCATATTACCTGAACACGGCACACAGTGCAACTGCCGTGCTGTGCCAGAACCATTTATCGCCATACTAGACGAAGAGCAGCCCGCCGATGTCAGGATACTCGCCAAATATTACGGGGCCTGCAAGGAGGATCTTTGTCCGCTGCACCTGGATGCATATGCCAGGCTGATCACAAGTGCTCTTGGTGAGCCATCACTGCCGACAAGCGCCACCATGGCAAGGCCTCTGCCGACAGTCGAGAAGGAGCAAGATTTAGACGGGATCGAGGTCGAGCAAATTCCCACCCTGACAGGGTCTGCAACCAAGTGGACAACGATTCCTGTGCGGCGACGGGCAACATCGACACCGGGTATCTATGAGTTTGAGCTCGAGTTACCTGCCAAACGACGTCGGACTGCCTGGGAAGACCGCCCGCCGCAGCTGAGCGGAAAGGCACACCACTTGCCACACAGCCACCCACTGGAATCGCTGGGAAGGGAGCCGCGGTGGGAGCACTTGCCAAGACACAACAAGGCTGGCCGCCCAATCATTGACGTCGAGCGCGACGAGAGGTTCCGCCGGCAGGTTATGTCTGAGCTCGCCGAAAAGTTCACAGACACTAAGGAGGATGATTGGCTACGAGGCGAAACGACGAACCGGCTGGTCCACGCTATTCTTTCCACATGTCGATCACCAAATACAGATCCGAGCAAGGGCCCTGTCGATGCAGACCTGTTGAGTGGCGAGGAGGCCCTAGATGCTATGGAGCGTGGCACGCAGAGGATACCAATCTTCACAGAAGGACAGCAGCAGTTCCAGTGGACTGATAACGGAGCCCGCCCCATCGAGCAGCTGTTCCACCGCATGGAGGACCTCAGCAGAGAGGTCTCTGTTCAGATCCCATCTCGCAACTTCGACCTGGCGTCATTCGAGAAGAGGAGCCTCGCCGACATCAAGGCGCGCTTCCTCCGCAACTCCCCTTCACAGGACCCCTGGAACATCTTGGACCTCCGAAGTCCGCTTCCACACTCCATACTGCCAAGCTTCCTAACCGGGGAGAACTGCCAACTGTTGCCCCGTATCCGTGATTCATTGTTGGAGGGCCATAGTGCCGAGAGGACGAAAGCCAGCCGGGAAGATTGGAATGAGTGGACTGAACTTCTGGAGTGGGTACTGGTGTCGGAAGGTGGCCACAACACATCGCCGCATATGGACAGCCACGGATGGTCGACCTGGATTACCATCCAGGAGGGCGAGTTCGGTTTCGGGTGGCTCTCCCGCCCGACTGAAGAGGAACAGAATGCGTGGGTCGCCAACCCGCTCAGCTACACAGGTGGCAGGTGGCGCTTTGTGATTCTTCGGCCTGGGCAGACCGTTTTCTTCCCAACAGGCACCGTTCACTTTGTATTCAGGCTACATGCGAAGCAGACTCTAGCGGTTGGCGGACACCTCCTACAGTGGACCGGCCTGGAGCGCTGGGCGCAGATCATACTCCTCCAGCTGAAGAACCCTGACACCACCAATGAAGACCTGGACATGTCTACCCTCAAGTATGTCCGCAGCGCGAGCGAGATGGTCAATGCCCGCACACTGAGCTCCAGGATCGAGCCGCTGGGCGGTATGCCTACTGTTCAAAACTTCATGGCCTGGGTCACTGTGAGTAGCAATACACCCCCCCCCCCCCTTCCCCCGGCGGCGGGGATACAATACAATTTCTTGTTGGCCACTGACAGATGATATCTACAGGAGATCGAGAGATGGTACAAACTGGAAGCCGACAAAAACGAGAGGAAAAAGAAGAAGAAGAAACGAATCAGGTGAGACCTTTGTGGAGAGACCTTGCGATATCTACTTTTGGCATTGTCCCTCTTCGACACCCGGCCCAGACGACGCACATGAGGTAGGTTTTGGGGGGAAAGGGGTGCGTTAGGCGTTTGTTTGGATCGTCAAGAATGGTGCGCAAAACTCCGATGGCAGGCTGCACTTCAGCGAAACTCTTCTTTTCTCCTCCTGCTTCTGTACCACGGTCAGGGCAAGTGTATAGCTGGAAGTGGGGGAGCCCGCTCGCAATTCTTTTTTACTTTCTTCTCGTCCTCGACCGTCAAGAAGCATTCGGCAGCGGCAGGGGAGAGGTTGCTTTCAAGGCGTTGGCTGTATGGGGGGAACGGGGTATTCAAAAAGTGATCATGTTCTTGTAACAGCATGGAGAGATAACTCGGAGCCTTTAGTCATAATGTCTTTGGTTGTGCTCGTGTATGCCGAGGGACGGGATGGGCTGGTGGATGCGAGAAACATGACGCCCACTGTTGTGAACAATGTACATAGAAGAAAGTAGCCCTCGGTTTCTTCTCAAGGCTACTCAGCAACTGGTAGGAGCATGATAAATACAAAGTATTGCATGTAGGAGCCAGAACATGAAGGGCAAAGGGCAATTTGTCTAGACGTGTATTGCATTGGTGATGAGGATGACGATGATGATGAGAATCACGCATAGAGAGTGAAAGATATTGCTGCGCCCCGTTCTACCAAATGTATCGCTGACCCATCTAAAAGCAGAACTCCAGAATCTTTTCCCCTCGCCTCTTGTCATTTTTGCTCGTAATGTCTTCTTTTTATTCTTTTCTGTCTTTTTCTTTTTTCTTGTTTCCCCTTCTTTTTCCCTTCCCTTCACGGAGTGTATGTGTATATACATAAGAGGACGTATGATATTAAAGGGGGTTTTTAGTGTCCGTTTGTGCCGTTGGTGCCATTCTTGGCCGTCTCGGCGACTGCCCTCTCGAGAGCCTGCAGTGCGTCCTTCTTCAGATCCTCTGCATCCTCGACGCCGCAGCTCACGCGGACTAGGTCGTCAAACACGCCGACGGCCTCGCGCTGGTCCTTGGGAATACCGGCGTGGGTCATGCTGGAGGGCACCTCGATCAGCGACTCGACACCGCCCAGGGACTCGGCCAGGGTGAAGATGTTGGTGAGCTGGCAGAAGCGCTCGGCGGCGGCGTGGCCGCCCTGGATACGGAAGGACAGCATACCGCCACCCATGCCGTCGCGGTGCTGCTTCTTGGCGATGGCGCGGTGCGGGTGACTGTCCAGGCCGGGGTAGTTGACTGCGATGACGCTGGGGTGGGCCTCGAGAGCGAGGGCGACGGCAGTGGCGTTGCGGGTAGCCTCGCGGGCGCGCAGGTGCAGGGTCTTCAGCCCGCGGTGGGCCAGCCAGCTGTCAAAGGCGGAGGGAACGGCGCCGATGGCGTTCTGCAGGAAGGCGAGCCGGTCGCGCAGGTCGTCGCTGTTGAAGGCGGCGACGCCCATAACAACATCGGAGTGACCGTTGATGTACTTTGTGACGGAGTGGACGACGATGTCGGCGCCGTGGTCGAGGGGGTTCTGGACATAGGGGCTCAGGAAGGTGTTGTCGACAACGACCATGACGCCGCGGGCGTGGGCGGCGGTGGCGACAGCGCGAACGTCGACGAGACGCAGGGTAGGGTTGGAGGGTGTCTCGATCCAGACCAGCTTGGTGGCGTCGGTGATGTGCTCGCTGATGTCGACCTCGATCTCTGGGGTGAAGGTGACCTTGACGCCATGGGCCTTGGCGACCTGGGTGAAGTAGCGGTGGGTGCCGCCGTAGACGTCAGAGACGGAGATGACGTGGGATCCGGCGGCAAGGCTCTGGAGGATCACAGCGGTGGTCGCGGAGCCGGAGCTGAACGCGAGAGCGTGCTTGGCATGTTCGACGGCAGCAATAGCGGTCTCGAAGTTGGTCCGGTTCGGGTTGCTGCTGCGGCTGTATTCATAGTCGCCGACAGGCTTGCCGACAGCGCTCTGGGCGAAGGTGGTGGAGAGGGAGATGGACTCGATGACAGCGCCAGTGACGGGGTCGTGAGGCGAGCCGGCGTGAACGGCGAGAGTACCGAAGCCCGCAACAGGAGAAGGTGCGCGCGGAGGGGTCGCGATGGGCACGTCATGGCCATTGAGGTGGCCGTTACCGTTGACACGGCCGTCGAGGGCGGGTACAGTCATAATTGCTGGAGGTTGTGTATTTATTTTGCCGTTTTCTTCTTCCTTCTCGATATCGTCAAGGTCGACGTCGGTGTGTGGGATTGGTGGTGTTGAAGAAGAAGAAGACAGATTGGGTGGTGAAGGAGGGAAGACGGTGCACGAAAAGGGGGCGACTTTCTGCTGTTCCTTTCCTTTCTTTCTCGGTCTTCGCCGAAGGGAAAAGATGTCGTCGAGATGGCGCGGTAACGACGATGATTAATGATGACCTGACAAAACGCAGACCTAGCACTTAGGGCGGATTGCGCAATCGATGCGCCGGGGACTGGCTGTGAGGTGTCTCGGTCCTGTAGTGATTGTTGCCTGGCGCCCTTGTCCTAGCAGATGCGCCGAGGGGTGCGGGTGGTATATATAACACAGAAGAAGGAGAATTAAGATTGAAGCCGAGGGCCTGTCGGAGGATGATGCTGTCGTGATTCAGTCGTGATGAGGCGTTGCTATCTAATCGTTGTATGCGATTTCCTGATCGAGAGGGTCCTCTGGAACTTTTGCAGCCCCACCCTTGAAGCCCCTGCAACAAACGGGGTTTGATGTACAACGCTACTAACGGGCCCCTCTCCGACGGAGCGGGTTAGCGGGTAGCAGCGGGGTTGGTGGTTGTCTGCGGAGGGGTCGAGGGGTCGGTTGAGGTGCCAGGCTCGAGACTCGACAAGAGAACTAACTCGTTTTCACTGCAACCTGCAGCTTCCGCTTGTCACTTTGTGCTACGGGCAGGAGGCAAAATGCGGATGTTTTCCCGACCTCCCTGATGCCAAATGCAACTTTGAAGAGGGGAGGGGTGTTCTTGTTGCGACGGAGGAAAGAGAAATTGCGCAATAGCTGTGCTCGTGTCTGTCTTTTGTCTCGTGCCTTGTCGGCTGGCTTCTTCAAGTCAAGACTTCCAATAATGACGACAGAAACTTTTGCTCCTTTGAGAAAGTGGCCACGACAGCAAAACACCACCAACACAACCAGCAGCGTCCATTGTTCTTATGTAAAAAATACCAACATACTTTACCTACCTGCCACGGATGTATGTGCAAACGGGTAGAGTCGGGTCTGTTCATTTCTGCTGCCGTGAACCTCGCTCAAGGATTGGAAATCAAAATGTCGACTTTGCTGTTGCTGTAATCTGTACAGTCAGCCCCTTGTCCTCCTTCTGCGCCTTTCCCCCTGGGACTCACCGACAAATCCGAGAATCTTAATTACGTGACAAAGCATAGTATGATTACTTACAGTATACTACCATGAGTTGTACTACTTTGTATGCAGCAGGTGGCTGCTGCTCTAGGGCACATTAGCACTACTACTGCAAACATTCTCGTACCACAATACATACTGTGTAGTACGTAGTACCTGCTCTTTCTCTCTCTCTTTCTCCAACCCTACACCGCTCGGATAAAATACTTGGTACCTACTGCGTAGGTACGTACGTACAAAAAGAGAAAGGGAAGGCACAGTTTGTCATCACTTATGCTGCGCTTTCTTCCCTGGGCGAGCCTGTTCCCCATCTCCGCTCCAGGCAGCTCCTGAAACATCCAAAAGCGTCCGTTCGGTATCCGAGGGGGGTCGTCCTACGATATACGGTACAGCTCGCCATCAAGCACGCAACCTGAATGGCCAATAACGCATCAGTTCGACGACCTGACTCCTAACTCTTAAGTCTTTTGCTTTGGGGCCAAGCCTTGGCTTTCTGCCCAAGCACACGGCATCTCCCCCCCCCTCCCGGCCCCTCTGTCTCTCCCTTCTTCCTCTCTCTCTCTTCGAGTTTAGAGTCGGCAATTGTCCACCGTCCGGGGTCCCGCAATGAAGGAGAAGAAGTTGGTGCCGTTGGCGCGTCCTGGGCTGAGATTTGAGCATGACTCCTTGGTCATGATGGCTGCAGGCGTGCGTCGCTCACAAAATCTTTGGGGGCAGCAGACTGGTTCCCGCTTTTCCCCAGCTTCATCAGACACCAGACCAGTCTCTACTCGCCATCTGGCTTGCGGGACAGCGCGGGCCACAATTTGATGTCCTGGCTGCCGCCCCTCTAAATCAGATCGCCCGTCCAATGCTAATTGACTCGACCTCATGCATGGTCTGCGCTCCGAACTCTATGTGGACGGACAACGCATCCAACTCCAAATCCCCGTCTACAACTGTATATGTAGATGAGCGGTGATGGCTTTGTGTGTGGGGAGAGGAGAGGAGAGGGACTTTGGTGGATCACTACGACGTCTTGCGTACTATCATGTTGGACCTGTCTGGCGACCAGCAGAGACGACATCTGCAACATCCAAATACGATAATTAAGTTGGGGACGGTTAACCAGTAACATACTGGTCCACACGAGTCGTCCACCAACTCAGGCTCGGTACCGCCGGGTCGGTATCAACCAGGAGCGCCCAGCGAGGAACAGTCCGTGTCTGATGTCGTCAGAAACATCTGATGCTGCACTTTGGCAGCAGCCCTACCGCTCTTGGCCCCCCCTTCGACATGGCATCTCTCAGATCCACGGCTTTTTTTAAGTTTCAGGGCAGATCTCATTCGTGCGTCCGTGATTGGCTACAACCTCCACGTGGAATTACCAGCATTCGATCTCACTATACAGTAAAGACAGTGGGCAACGAGGGGGGACGGAGAGAGAGAAAAGAAAGGGGGCCCGCTGCAAAGGGGAGATCCTAGTGGGCTCTTCGGATCGGGTTAGTCCGTCGGACGGATTCAGGTGTCATGACCGTCCCTATATTTCATTTCCCGCGCGTCCGCGTTCAGGAGGACGACACAACACGAATCGCAGCAAGCCTTTTAACAAACACTGCCAGACCGGGCTGTCCGAGCTTGCTGGGCGAGGAAAGCAGTATGGCAGCGGGGCAGAGATTCGTGGCAAGAGTAGGTCTCTGAGCAGCTAGCAGAGAAGTACCATAATGTGTTGCGATGCCTGCTACTATGGTACAGTTGCACGCAACTCCTCGGGACCTGATCCTGCCGGTCGACAGCTGCGGGATTGACCACAAAAACGGACAAATATGCTGGCAGCATGCTGATCGTCCTGCAATATTTCCCCAGGTCGCAGCCAGCGCCGTGGCCGGGGGGGGGGCGGGGTTGTTTTTTCCTGCGCGACGTCTCGCGGGCCGTCGCTCTGTTCTCTCCACACGGATGAAGGAGCCGGGCCAATCGGGGTCTTGCGAGTATCCGAATGTCAATAACACCCTGTAGATGCCATAGGCTGGGCTCCATGGGACCCTCTGGCTTTTCGATGACATGCGGTGCGGCAGTGTCGTGGTCATCAGAACCCTGGCTGGCTGAACAAGCACACACAACACGGCAGAGTAGTATGCATGCGCACTACTGGATTACACACAGAGCTTAAACCTGCACGCGGGCCCGGCACCGAACCTAGACGACCAGGGACTAGACGTCGCTCGCCAAGATAGTTCCAGTCGCCTTTTCCAGGCCAGACTTAACCCTTGCACTCGCTATCCCTCTCTCTCCTCTACGAAACTCGTCTCAACGTCAATCCCTCCGTCACTCGCTACCTTATCGACCTTCGTCTTTGCCCCTCGAACTCCACGACTCCTCACGTGCCCACCTATCGCCTTCAAGCCTAAGTTTCCTGAGGAGCGCGAGCGGACACCCAGGAAAGGCAAGAATCAAAGCGAAACCTCAGGGGTATAGCACGGTTAACATACTGCACGGAGGGAAGAGGACGAGCCTGCAAGCCACCACGAGGGGATGGTTATAGGGTCCAGGCTGTAATCTTGTTCTGTCTGGTCACGCGAGCCGAGCACACCTCGCCATGTACCTGTCTTATCGGTAGCCCAACGGAGAAACGTTCCTGCAAGGTCTGGCATGGTCGGCTGTGGGCAAGCCCACACTTGAAAAGAGGTATCGAGGAGCTGCTGCACAGCCGTCACGATGCCACCACGACGCTCCCATAAGAAGTCTAGAGCAGGCTGGTAAGTGAGCTCCGTCACATTGACGCACATCCTGGAGATACAGGCTCTCAACGGAGGCGCACACAATACTGACCCGCACAACAAGTAAACGCTGCAAAGCCCGCAAGATCAAGGTGAATGGACACAACCCCACATCACATCATCATAGTCTGCTTCCAAGCCGGGCAGACCCTCTCTCTCTGTCCACAAATACTAACCATTCTCGAGTATCTAGTGCGATGAGGTTCATCCCCGGTGCAGCAACTGCCTGAAGCATGGCGTCCCGTGCGATTTCGAACACCCGGGTGTCATCCACGAACTTGAAGGGCCAGCGCTATCTTCCAACGGACTCCCATCATCCGCTTCCCCCACCACCTTCGCGCCGAGCGCTCTCGATGGTTCTGCCCGCCGACCAAGCTTTGTAACGCCAACGAGTAGTCAATTCCCTTCAACGATTGGCGTCCCCATGTACCAACAACCAGGGATGCTACTGCCCAGCTCGCAGCCGGTCGGACGTCTGACAGAACTACGACTTATGCACCAATACACCAGACATACTCACAAGACACTGGCTGTGACGGCTCCTGAGCTTGAGGGCCTCTGGGGCTCCTCGGTACCGAGTCTTGCCTTTGGAGGCAACCAGCACCTGATGGACGCGCTCCTCGCCGTATCGGCACTTCATCTGCGGAGTGCCTGGCCCCATGACAAGGAGTTGGTTCGAGCAAGTCACGCCTACATGGCCTCATGCCTCAACGCATACAGCAGCAGTCTGACGGCGGGCATCGATGCCAGCAATGCTGAGAACCTGTTCCTCACGGCCACCCTGATTGCCTTTCAGAGCACCGCCACACGTATTTTCACCAAGGATGAGGGCCCCTTCGCCACAGGCACGACAGGGCCGTTCTCAGGGTCCGATAGCAATGGGGCAGGCGGTGCCTACCAGCCACCGCTGGCATGGTTCCATTCTTTCCAGGGTGTCAAGACAGTCGTGGCGGCCTCGTGGCCATGGCTGAAGCAGAGCAAGATCATCTTGTCCATCATCGACGCACAGCCTGTGCTGAATCTAAATTTCTCCCGCGCTGCAGACGGGTTCTTCGGCCACCTCCTGACTGGTCTCGACGAGGAGCTCACCGCACTGGAGCCCTTGGCATCCGTGGCCGACCTGTCCGACAACGGGACTCCAGGGAGCAGTGGAGGAGGTTCCGGGACGGGCACCACGAGCATCGTGGAAACGACGCGACAGGCCTACCAGCATGCAGTGGCGACTCTCAACTGGGCTCACTCGAAGCCAGGCAAGGGCGCACTCGCCTTCCCGGCAACCGTATCCAAGCGCTTTGTAGAGCTTGTAGAGGAGCGACAGCCTCGTGCCCTGGCCATCCTGGCGTCCTTTTTCGCACTCCTCAAGACGCTTGACCACGTATGGTGGCTACAGGGGATGGCACGACGGGAAGTCCTAGGCATTGTGTCTCTTTTCAACTCGGATCACTTTGGTCCAGATCTGGAGCGCAAGTGGTGGCCGCACCTGGAGTGGGCGGTTCGCGTTGCGCTCTACGATCCTGGCCAGAGCGGGCAGAATACCATCCCGACAGACATCTGGGGTTCGAGCTGGGGCTTCGAGGGGGGCGATCAGCAGGGCGACATCAAGTTCACAAGTCACATCGAGATGCTCAGCGAGTTGGTGCACCCAGCATCGCCTCTGCCGCCCCCTCCATCCGACAACACGTGAGCCGAGAATCTCCTCTTTCTCCCATCCACCCTTCTCAGCCTCCTGCACACTCCACTTGTCGCATCAAACGCAAGCTCACGCCCTCTTCTCTATCGGAAGGCTCATCCGTTTGGAATGGTCGCTCCTGTCCACCGCGAGACTCATCCCTGCCTTGTCCGACGACCCGGGCAAGTGCACCTTCTCAGGAGGTTACGTCTGCAGTTTCTGAGCCATCGTTGCTATCGGCGCTCATACACGCACACCGTAATCCGTCCAATTCCTGCAGACGTCGAGATTCAGAGCAACCTCACCTGGCCCACAGACGGCCAGCGGCTCCGAAGGGGCATCTGCAGTGGCTCTCCTTGGCACGCCTCGCCGTTACGTTCGCTTCAGTTGCGCTCAGTGTTTCACAGTAATCGCATCCGAACCAAAGGAAAGTACGAGTCTTTCCGCACTTCCTACCAAGGAAAGTGAATCAGGAGGACTTCAGAACTGCTACACGCAAGCATTGGAGCAGTGCAGCTGTTGAGATACACTATACACGTGTAATAGAAGCCGTGGCGCGGGACAGCATGGCTTAAGCCTTGAGATCACTTCTCGATGCAACGAGGTAGCACGTGTGTCAGTTGAGACGACCGAAGGAGTAAGCGTATAAAGCTGGTAGAGAGGACATCTCGATAGCTCCATGAAGCATCGAGAACTATGTGGGATGGCGGCATCATAGCAAGTCTTAAGAGGCGACGGCGCAAGTGTGTCATGTCTTTGGTTTGGGATCTAGAGGGCCACGGCATATCACATGCCTTCTCTCGACCCAGGGTCTTGTGTACAGGGTCAGGCCGACAAGGGGCGTTTGGGCGGTGTTATTGGCTGGGACTGTACAAACCCCTTTGTTCTTCCTTTTTTCTTCCCCAACAGCCAACCAAGATGTATTAGTACCCGGCAAGACGTGCATATATAAACATGTCAGCTTTCACCAGTACTGCAGAGCTCCAAGTTTTAGAATGAAGATAGATTCCAAGCCCACAAGAAGGACAACCGATGAAAGTTTTGAGTAGTCGCCGCTCCTAAGTCATCAGCGAGTTCCGTAGCATACCAATCAAACTCCATACACCAATGAATGCAATTTTACGGGCAAGCAAGCGCATGCGAGGTGAAATACACCCTCCCTCAGCCCAAGATCTAGACCCGAGGCCCCGACACAGACTTGTAGGCCTATTTCCTACGCTTCCTGCTCTCATCGTCACTCATGACCTCGTCGTCGTCGTCGCCTTCGTCCTGCTCCTGGTCCCGGCTTCTCTTCAACCCCTTCATCTTCCGCGTCTGTAGGTTGCCCAGGTCTTGCTTGCCCAGATGGATGCGGCCAATCTTGTCGCCCATGACATCCATGGAGACGTTCTTCTTGGTCCTCTCCTCGGTGGTCTTGGCCTTCTTCAGGGCCTCCTTCAGCATGGCCTCCTCAGGCTCTTGTATACGACCTACACGGAAGTCCATCCTGGGACCCATCTCCTCAACCTAGGTTAAACATGAGTTGTCAGTACAAGGGGCCGGCACGCGCGCAAACACACGCAGGTCCAAGGGAAAGAATCGCTCTCACCTCCACTCTCGGCAGGCGCTGCCCGCTTCTCTTGGTACGAATCAGATAAGCGCGCAGGTGTATCGCGGGCTTGGTGCCGTCGCCCAGCCCGGTGGCGCTGCTGCTGCTGCTGCCGTCCTCCTCCGCCGTCACGGCGATGACGTACTGCAAGCCCTCGACATCGATCTTGTCCGCAGTGCGCTCGCCGGCAAAGAAGTCGGTCAGCATGCTCTTTGCCATGGTGTACTCGTTAGCGACGGTGCTCTCGAAGGCGGAGCCGGCGAAGACCAGCATGGGGCGCAGGCCGATGGCGGGCTTCTTGCCGCGGAACTGGTCGAGGCGGCGGAAAGACTCGCCGTCGAGGTACAGCTCGAGCATGTCGAGGACCTTGTAGCCAAAGGTGCGGACGAGGGTCAGGCAGTGCGGGCGCTTCTTGCTGCTGCTGCCAAAGACGAGGAAGGAGGCGTCGTTCTTCTCGGCGAAGAACTCGAGGCTCGAGGCGTCCTCGAACGGGTGGATGGCGTTCTTCTTTGTGAATTTCTTGGCGAGGGGCTGGCGCAGCTGGTGCAGGTCGTTGAGGGCGTCCTGGACGACCTGGGAGCACGTTGTTCCACGAAGAAAGAGGACTGTCTTGGGATTCTCGACAGCCCTGGGGGCGCGCTTCTCGAGGGCCCGCTTGGAGCGGGCATTCCGTGGTTTTCTGTCATGACAAAAAATGCTGTTATCAGCCTAGTGATTGAGGTGGGAAGTAGATACGCTGGTTTGAGAGGGAGAGGGGGTGGACGGGAGGTCTTACATCTGTCGCAACATCTTTAGCTACTATGCATTTCAGACGTTGAGTTTCTTAGGATGTGCCAAGAGAGGAGGTTTGACTATGGGCGATGCGATCTTCAAAATTTCTGGATAGGGTCTTATCGATAAGAAACTTTAGTGGTTGTGCCAGGGGTGCAGCCACGGTAGGGGATTGTACTATCGTACCACCGCTATACTATGGTACTATGGTACAGTAGTCTGGCGGCCCTCTAATCGTCATTCTAGTATGGTATCAGTGGTACATCTTCAGCGGCTCGTCAGTGGGGTTCACTGCTTCCAACTGCACGCTGTGTCGATATCTTACTGCGCATACCATAAATGAGCTCTTGCTTTGCCTTGCTCTACTCTTGCTTGGACCAGATGTGCCGCCTCATGAACATCTTCAGGGCTTGCCAATGCAGCATTTCCACCCAGAGACAACAAGACACGTCGCATCCCTTATGCAGGTCTGCCCATTAGGGGACAGACGGTTTGCTGCCACTCGTCTCTGTCGAGCCTATCAGGAGCAGACAGAAGCTCATTACCCAGTAGTTGTTGATCAGTACAAGAGCAGAACGGCTCGGGGCTTGCGGCAACACAGCAGCAGCCGTCGTAGTCGTATAGTATAGGACCGAGAGTCAAAAGGTCATGCCCGGAGGGCCCACATTCAAAACAATGTTTCCTTACTATGTACGTACAGTCAAACAGTGCCGACGCCAAGTGGATCCCTCTCATCTGGGATTGGGGGGTTGCTCGTCAGTGATTGAACTCGTCCTGGGTTGGCACTGGCACTGGCAGGGTTTAAGCCAAGAGGGCATGAAATCAATCAGACCCAACCTTATTTTGTGACTTATGGCTACAGTACTATGAATATCCTGCCTCGACGGCGCCAGCCCCCTGATTCTATACAAAAATACACGCATGAAGAAGTGCAACGTCACGGCCGGGGGTATGAACACGGTACTGGTCATAACAAACAGCAGTAGCCAGCGTGTGGGCTCCCTATCGCATCATCGCACAGTCTGGCCTCCCTGCGTGCTAGGCAAAAGAGCATGGGCACATACTATGACTTGAAGGTGGTTGGTGGGCCCTGACTACGTGCATACGTAAGTGCACCATCACCTCATGCTGCAGCAGCACATGCTCCAGAAACCTCCCAAATGGGCAAGCCTAATGTACGTACTACGTGAATACTTGCATAGTACAGACGTACGACTGCGATGAATGAGACTGTCTCACTTCGTCTCAGCTAAAAAAGGTGTCTTACTGTTGAGAACATAGAGGGTGGGGAAATAAATAGAATGCTCGGATAGCATGCATGAGAATGGATCAGGGCATGTGCGAGTCCCAAGAGAGACAAAACAATCTCATTGTCTTCATCCGCATTTTTCTCTTCTCTTCCTCCCTCCTGTTCCTGAGGGGAGCTGAACCCTAGAGCCAGGGACATTGGGGCCGAGTGCAGGACGCACGGTCAGGGACAGGGCCTGTGGCAAGCCCCTGCTAAAGGGCCTCCAGCAGGGCATCCACCAGGGGACAGGGACAGGGCTCAGGAGAATTGGAAAAATAATTACCTAGACTGCCATATGGGAACGGATACCGAGATTTATGGCTCCGGTCTCTTCGAGATTTTGAGATTGCATCTCTTGGGTCTCTCTGGACCGGTGATCAAACCCCCAAAGGAAAACTTGGACTGGACGGTTCACTCTTTTAGTTTTCCTAGTTTCTTTCTTCTTTTCCCCATTTTTTGTTCTACTTTTCAACGTAGAAACTTGTCCTAAAACCTCGATTCCCCACGACCCAGTTGCTCCTGCTTGTGTTGCTCCTGTCTTCCTGCCCCCCGGCCCTCCTCTTCACCCCTGTATGAAGTAATTATTACTACTGCCTGTGTCCCGACGCTAGATGCTACCACACCTTCAATCCAAACCGTTGGTGAATACTCGCTCGCCCTCCTTTTCTAGTCTTTCTTCTTCTTCTTCTTCATTCCTATTTGAACAACGCCGTCGTCGCTCTCTGTCTGTCTCTAGCGCTCAGCCTGCCTCCACTCGCTTCCGAACGATACGCTCGTCTATCGAGCCACCCTTTCCAAGTCATCTCCGGATTCGTTCTCGCCTTGGGCCTCAACTGAGCCCAAAGCATCCCCTCACTGCCGTACACCCCGTGCCGACTAGAGCCCTCCGGGCTTCTTGATCACGTTAGCTCGGTATCACCACCGCTCGAGACCGCCTTATCAAGCTCTCGTCTACGTTATGTCGCCATAAAGGCTCTCGAGGCTGTGCCTAGAATACCACAGTCCAGCTTCATTGCTGCTGCTGCTGCTATATCTAGTCCTGGGCCCCATACCATTTGGTGCCCGGATTCGACCTCAATCAGACACGATTCACTCTGTTATCAACGACCTGCCGGACCGGATCGAGGTGATCAAACGCCCCCCATCGTCACCCTCAGCTGGCACGGAAACCACAATCTCGTCCTACACTATCGCGGTCGTTCTCCCCTTGGGGGCTACAACCCGTACATACACCCAGCTACGAGAAATTACGGACAACCCTTCGACCCAGGGGCTGATGGGGCGCGGCCTCTCTGGGAACTTCCTTCTCTCGGGGCTCCAAATTTTGATGCACCAGGGCTTCTAGAAACCCTTGCGGACTATTTTTCCAAACAAGAGCATCCAACATGACCACGATGGCTTTCTCTAGCGGCATCGTCAGTGCTTCGGCACAGGCTTCAGGCCCAGAACCGCCCGCCTCGCCGACTCTAACGAACCCAGATATGATCCTACCCGACTACGACCACTCCTCTCCCGGTGACCTCGACGGAGCCATGCAGGCTTCCCTGCTGATGTACCCCCAGGCCGGCCATGCGCCAGGAAACAACATATACAGCAACTCATTCCAACAATACCAGGCTTCTTCCGGCGTTGCCCCTACTACGCCCATCATCTACGGGAATGGCACCATGCTCTCGGACATTGGTGAGGTGACGGAGGCTGAGAGCACTCCGGCTAAACCCTCACCCCCTCGGCAGCGCTACGGCCCGGCGACAACCACTGCTCTTGGGCTCAAGGCGGATGACAGCGAGGGAGATGCTGCTCTGGGTTCTTCTCCTACCATAGGCAAAGGCACAGGCGGCGGTCTGGGCGCCCTCAGAAGGCGCGCAAAGGCGGCGCAGCGAGAACGTCGCAATTCCAGCGACAGCAACAGCACCATCACCGACCACCACGACCATGCCCCCGTTGTTGTCGAGTTTGATGACACTGTCAGCGTTGGCGATAGCGTCTTTCAGGGGGACGACGAGGAAAGCCTCGCCAGTTCTTATGCCGACGACACATCCCTCTCACAGGGCCTGCCACTCTCCTCCCCGGCATTTAGCCGCGACAGTAGGCAAAAATACACCACCTCCCAGTTGAGCCGCAGGGCAGAACAGATCCTTGCGAACGCGAAGAAGAGGCTCACACTTATGGAAGACAACCTCACGAGGGCCCGGAGCTCGCTGGTCGTCCCCTCATACTCAGACTCCAACACCTCCACGCCCTCGCCCCCGATCACGAGAGCATCCACGGCTCTCATCATGTCGACGGCGGGCCTCCCATCCCCTGCTGGACACCGCAGGATGAGTAGCGATAACTCGCTCCGCATCGGTCTTCCCGTCAAAGTCTACCCGCAGCGGTCATCGACCTCGCTCGGCGTGGCCAACGGCCCTCGGCAACAAGCCCTGACTATTTCGAAGAGCGCTGATCAGTTGAATGGCCAATACAATCGCCAGAGGGTCTCCTACATCATGCGCGATGCCTCATTGGAACCTCTTGGTGAGGACGATGCGTCGCAACCCGCAAAGCCGACCGGACTCGGCATCACGCACGCGTATTCGTCCAACACAAGCCCTCCAGCAACTAGGGGGCCCAACGATCGCGGGCTCTCGCGATCTGCTTCCACGTCGCAGATGAGAGATATCCAGGACCAAGTGAACGACCTCAAGGGCAAGATCTCGAGTCTGCGTGAGCAGGCACGTGCGGATAGTATCAAGAGACGGAGCTTGCAGGGCGTGCGCACGCCGAGTCCCTTCACTTATGCTCCCACGAATCCATGGTATGCGACATCTACAGGGGACCCGGAACCACAGTCTCGGGCCAACAATGCAGATGTGTCCCCCTTGAGCGACGAGGCACCGGCGCGACATACGCTGCCACCGGGTGGTCATTCAGGCACCCCGCTCCAGGGTGAGTTGGACGACGATATCTCACCCGTCAGTGCTGCTGTGACCGCAGAGCGCCTGGGCACAGAGAGTGCCCATCACTCCGACTTCCACCAAGTGGGTGCAGTCCATTACGAGACTCATGTGGGCATCGAGGACAACACTGATATGCTCACTGAGAATGGCGATGCCGAAGAGGAGCGCTCGGAGTCAGAATATGAGGAAGCAGTCGCGCAAGACGATGATCGGGTCAGCGACGACGGCGACTCCATCTACCATGAATCTGTCCAGCACCCGATATCGCACGAGGACCGCGAGGACGCGTTTGACTACGAGCACTTCTTCCTCCACAGCGCCATGGGGACTATGAGTCAGCGTATGGGGCGCCGCGGCAGTGATACCAGCTTCGGTTCCGAAGACTCGGTCGAGACTACGAGAGGACCCGTCGCCGACGGTAATCCGTCCTTGGCAGCAAGAGCACGACGTGGCAGCGAAACGTCGGTTTCGACCATCGATACTTTTGCCACTGCGGAAGAACGTTCTGGAAGCCGCCAGGCGCAGGGCTTACACGATGCAGATGAAGAGCATGAGGAAGTTGAGAACGACGAGGAGGAGGAGGACAAGGATGAGGAGGGAGGGGATGAGGAGGAGAGAGATGCTGAGCAGGCGGACCAGGCTGGCCAAGAGACTTTCCCTTCCTTGCATTTGGGTAAAGATGCAGTGGAAAGGCGAGACACTCCTCCTCCTATCTCGGATGGTGCTACCTCTTCTAGCACCGAGTCGCCTTCGGTCAAAGTCTTGCAGGCAGAGCAAAGGAGTTCACGCCCCGATGCACTTTATTCCGCGATCCGTCGGCCCATGAGCTCGACGGCCTCGACGAGGCCACACGCGCCTTCTGTCTCATCGTTTGAGTCTTCCGGTACGACCCGCAGCTTTCCGCTCGTAAACCGGAACAGCAAATCTAGCAGCAGTCGGATATCTACGCCAGAGAGTGGTCCTTTGGATCTAGAAGCCAAGTCTGGATCCAATCCCGTGCTCAGTGGCCAGGGCCTCCAGAACAATAGCGTCACCAACGGAGAACATAAGCACCGTCCTCCTCTGCACAATCTCAGCAGTCCGACCAGCATCATCGAACAGAGTGGCACCACGGCAGTGATAGAGACTCTCCACCGAGATGATCAGTTCCTGGTCGAGAGGCTCGTGGCAAGCCTCGGTCGGTGTGTTCTCGGCATCACAGAGAACAGCCGCGCCAGCACGGACGCTCGGATGTACAGGCGCAGAATCGATGCAGCCAGGAAGATTCTAGAGGGTCTGGAATCTCCCTGAGTCGAAACATCTCTCCTTTCTCTTTGTCCATGTCTCTTTTGTTCTGCTTAAATTACTAGGGAAGCTGGAAGCGGATGTTTGGTGGTCATGAAACCGGTGCTATGGTGGATGGGTAAAAGCAGGCTTAGTTTGGCACTGAGATTAATTATACCCAAACTGGGGAGGGGCCACCTTGGCTTTGATACCCTTTCCTTTTGATTTACTATTTTCCTTCAAGAAACCAGGCTGAAATCTTGCCTGCCCTTTTGAGCCTGGGGTCAAAGGCTCCTACATATTTCACTTGGCCTTGATGCCTCAAGTATACAGCATTATGATATAAAGTATAATGTCTTGATGATAAAATTGGGCAACCACCAATACAAATACACATAATTAGCGATATCGATTCATCTTTGTGCATGTTTCTTAACGCAATGTGGAGGCGGAATTTCCTCTTGTCCTGGCTTTGGTAGACGCGAACTTTGGGTCCTGGGGTCCGTGCTCCACTTGACGAGCGAGAATCCCTGCTCATCTTTTACTTTCAAGAGTGGACCAGGCCTTTGATCTCCGCAGCATTCTGGACCCTGCGAGACCCAAGCGAGCAACAACAACTCACCGTACATGAGACTCCTGGCTTTTCGAGACAAGATTTTGCCAGTATCCAATCCAGCTCTTCTTTGTTGATCCTCTCAGCCACGTACATTCAAAACCTTGACTGGTGGTTTATCTTTCCTTCCACCCATCTGCTTTTGATCTCCTTCTCTCTACACTCGTCCGACTATCGCCCGCTGAAGAATCGCACACTGTCGCTCACTACGAATCAATTTCTCTCCACCCAAAGCAACACACCCAGTGGTTAGCAGCAGTGAAACAGAATCAGTCGAGGTCATGGAGGGTGGTCAAGACGTTTTTGATACCCTCCTGCAGAATCTGAACGTGGCCAGAGAAAGTAAGCGACTGCCCCCGTAACCAACATTCTCCCTCCAGGCCCCTGGCACATGCCCTCCCCCTACGGCACCGTGCCACGTCGAGGATCACGCGACGCGACGACGACGATGACGGCCCTTGTTCTTCTTTCCTGACTACTTTACTGACTCGTATGTTCTCGCAGCCATCTTCTCGGCAAATACCCTCCACCTCGTCAACAGACACATCCTCTCGTCCTCGTCGCCGCTCAACAACCTCAGGCGGCAGTTCCTCGACACCATGGCGCCCATCGCCGAGCCGCTCGTCGCGCGCCTGAACGAGATCCTCGTCAACTCCCCCGACATCGTCATCCTGCTCCTCGTGGTGCTCGTGTTCGTGCTGGCCGTGCAGGTCCTCGCGTGGATACGGCGCATGCTGGTATGGCTCACCGGCCTGCTCTTCCGGCTCATGTTCTGGGCCGCCGTCGCCGCCGCCATCGCGTTCGTGTACCAGAGGGGGCCCGAGGAGACGGTGCGCGACCTGGTGGTGGTGGTGAGCAAGATTGCCGGGTACGGCGCGTCGCTCAGGGATGTCTGGGTAGCAGAGTACCAGCGGTACGATGGGCAACAGAATATGGCCGGGGGCGGCGTGGGGGGCGGGTATGGATCTACGACTGGTCGCGGACGATGATCATTGATGTCGTCTTCTCGAGCAACGCACAGAACGGTGGGACTGGGCGCGAAAGGGGGAAGAAGGAACGGGGTGAGCAGACCAGCAGAGGATGTGTGCGTGTGCATGCGCTCTTCTCAGAATGGATTTATTCGTGAGGCGTTTGTTGGGGGGGACACATATGACTTGTCATGACAGTACGATGTATGCAAAATATCAAGGGTGCAAAGAAAGAGAGAGCCTGACGACATCAAAATTTTTGTGCAGATACGACAGAGATCTGTAAATGATATTCCTGAGGGGTTGGCCGGACCACAACGCCGATGCTATGCAAATAAAAAAAGAAAACAATGGTATCTAAGGGATGGCCCCCGTCCCACCAACCCTGGCGCCAGTCTGAGCAAGGGCCTTTTATGCTTCTTCCTCCTGCTCTTCAAACTCCTCGTCCTTCATCTCCTTGGGCTCCTGCGCCTCGTGATACTGAATGCAGTCGTCTATATAGCTGAGGATTGCGCCGACGCTGTCCTCGTCGGAGGCGTCGAGTTTCAGGTAGTTGACCATACTGAAGCTCTCGATCAGACCGGCGACGGCCTTGTTCAACCTCTTGAAACTCGCTCCGCGCATGACCGCACCCCTTTCCGACGGGTCGACGTTCTCGTCGTCATCATTATCTGCCCGGCCGCCTCCCTCCCCGCCGGACGTGCCCTCGCCGAGCGCGTGTCTCTTGGCCAGCTCGGCCGGGTCGTCGTCGAGGAGGCCGGCGTCGGGGGTGAGGAAGCGCTTCATGTCCCTCTTGCGCACCTGGCCCTTGACCAGGTCCATTTTGGAGAGGATGTTCAGGTGGGGCACCTCGAGCAGCATCATGGCGCTCATGGCGCTCAGGGTGCCGGAGAAGTACTTGGCGCGGTCGACGACGAAGGTGGCCTCGAGCAGGTAGGCGGCGCAGAGGCGTATGTCCAGGGCGCCGGCCTGGCTGAGGAACCTGCACAGGGACGGCAGGATGGGAATGTGGGTGTACAGCTCGATCTGGCCCGGCATGTCGAAGATGATGAGGTACTCTTCGGTCAGGCCGTCGAGGGCCTCGGTGAGGAAGTCGAGGTTGTCGAGCAGGAACTCAAAGCAGTAGACCAGGCCGCCGTTGGGGCCCAGGCCCATCTCCTCCATGACATCCTCGAGGGAGATCAGGTCCCTGATGTCGAGGTCCGGGGCGTGGTCAAAGGACTCGGCGGCCGGATCGAGGTTGACATAGAAGCAGGAGCGGCGGTTGAGCTGGAGGTGGGTGATGAGGGCGGAGCAAAAGGTAGACTGCAGATGAAGGTTGGGATGTGGTTAGAACGATTGAGGAGTCCGACTGAACGCGATGCGACACCACGCTTCATGCCAGAAAAGAGGGAGAGACGAAAAGAGGGCATCTTCTTACCTTTCCCGCCCCTGCCGGCCCCATGACCATGACACCGAATTTACTCATCTTGACGAGGGGTTGGCTGATACTTTTTACAGTCTAGGCGGGGAGGAGGGAGGAAAGGTGGTCGATTGGAGGTTCATATCATAGGTGTGGTCCGGTGAGAGTGCGCAACCGTACACATGCTGGTGACGTCCACCTAGAATTTTTTGGGCCTGGTACGCCTATGGTGAGCATGCCCCGCCATTAAGCTTCTTATCTTATCGTTGGTGGGCATGCACGCATAGCCAGCACTGCTGTAGTACGGCACACCCCTGAGAGGCACCACTAAAGCGCAACGGTTAGGCTCGGGCTACACGTAGTGTTGTAGGTAAAGGATACCATGGTTCGGCACCACGATCTTCCCCCATCCCCCCAGCCGCCCAGGTGTCTATCTCTACGTAGTAGATTTTCAAGTAGTAAGGGCGGAGAGAAGGAGAGACAAATAGATCAGGTGAAAATTGTGCAATTCCTGCTATTTGCTTGCTATTTGCCGTCTTGTATGCTGGTGGGGAAGGAACTTGCTCTCAAATAATCTCCTGCAAGATACTCCCTTCATAGCGCTACCGGAGTTTTCCCGACCCCGAGTGGTCTATGTGCTGGGTACATATGATTTCGTATTACGTTGTATAGCAGGCTGTTCCCAGATTGTTGGGCATTGGCTTTCCAGGAACGACAGGGCCGGGCTTTCATTTCGCCTGGGACTCGTCGTGAACAATTTTACTCCGCATCATCCGTTCACCTCATGTTCATCTACAGTTGCATCACATGAATTCCTCACAAAAATTTTGTCCACTAGAAACTTGAGGCATGCACGTACTGCAATGCCAATTCGCTAACCTCGTGGTGCCATCTCTGCGGGTCTGAGGTCTTCGTCCCAGGCGGGGCCCAGGACCCCGTGCTCCAGCGAGTAAATAACACTGGGCGTCGAGCGCTGACAGACCTGCCCTTGACAAGGAGCGCGGTCCTATTCGAAAAGTAGTGGGTACAAGAAGGACCTAGCACAATTTGGTGAGGGTAAAAGTACTGGACACCCACAGGGAGGGGAAGGGGGACCGGGCCAAGGGGCAACTGCCAAAGTACTGTATGGCAGAATCTACCCGGCGCCGGCCTTCGGCGACTTTTTTTTTTCTTCTTTTTTTTTCTCTCTGTCTTTGTAGCTCTTGGGTCTTCTACCGCCATCTCCCTTCAAGAGGAGAACAAGATTGGATCCATACCCCAGAGCCTTGGTAGCAGTCAATAGTCTCCTGTACTGAATTGTACTCCCCGCTTGTACATCCGACGCCGATTGAGCCCAAATAAATTCTCCCCCACCTGCATGACAGCCCCTCTTCGTCTTTCTCCTCCTTCCCTACCACCTCTTCTTCATCTCAACCTTCCATCATCTTGGGGATTCTGCATTGTTCTGTTTGCCTGTCGTCTCTGTATTGTCTCTTAGTATTTTCCTTCGTCTTTTGTGTCTTCTTCGACGCTCAGACTGCCAAAAAAAAAGGTCAGTCAGGTCACCAACCTCCCGACAGCACGCCATCCCTAGCTTGTCTTTCCTCAAAAAAATTCCGAAACCTTGGTCGACCGTGTTGACCCTCCCCTCTCTTTTCCCGTACTTTCCCTCCCTCTCCGTGCCCAGGGATTTACGATCATCTTCTTCCTTTCCCCTACATCCATTCTCTTCGACTACAAATCTATTTCCCTCTCATCCATCCAGCTTCGCGTTTTTGTTTCCTTTTGTCCCAGGCACCTTTCGTCATCCCGCCGTGTCGAAGACAACGAACGCAGCATCGTACTTCACAAATCAATAGGCAATTGCTGACTCTAGTCGGGCAGTTCTCCTTTCTTCACTCAATTCCCACATCCCCAACAACAATACACAATGGCCGCCAACGGTACCAACGGAGTCAATGGCTCCTCCCACCACAACCAGGGAAGATTTCTCTTCACCTCCGAGTCTGTCGGCGAGGGCCACCCCGACAAGATCGCTGATCAGGTCTCTGACTCAATTCTGGATGCTTGCCTGGCTGAGGACCCCCTCTCCAAGGTTGCCTGCGAGACTGCCACCAAGACTGGTATGATCATGATCTTCGGCGAGATCACCACCAAGGCCAAGCTTGACTACCAGACCGTCGTCCGCAACGCCATCAAGGACATTGGCTACGATGACTCCTCCAAGGGTTTCGACTACAAGACCCTCAACCTGCTGGTCGCCATTGAGCAGCAGTCTCCCGACATCGCCCAGGGCCTGCACTACGAGAAGGCTCTCGAGGAGCTCGGCGCCGGTGACCAAGGTATCATGTTCGGCTACGCCACCGACGAGACCCCTGAGCTCTTCCCCCTCACCCTGCTCCTCGCCCACAAGCTGAACGCTGCCATGTCCGCCGCCCGCCGCGACGGCTCCCTGCCCTGGCTGCGGCCCGACACAAAGACCCAGGTCACCATTGAGTACGAGCACGACAACGGTGCCGTCGTACCCAAGCGTGTCGACACCGTCGTCGTCTCTGCTCAGCACTCCGAGGACATCACCACCGAGCAGCTGCGCAAGGAGATCAAGGAGAAGATCATCAAGAAGGTCATCCCCGCCCAGTACCTCGATGACAAGACCATCTACCACGTACGTCTGCGCGCCCTGCACCAACATTCCTCCTCGCTCTCTTGTGTGTGTGACAAACGCTTCGTATACTGACAAGTCATAAAAACACAGATCCAACCCTCCGGCCTGTTCATCATCGGTGGTCCTCAGGGTGATGCCGGTCTCACTGGCCGTAAGATCATTGTCGACACCTACGGTGGCTGGGGTGCCCACGGTGGTGGTGCCTTCTCCGGTAAGGATTTCTCCAAGGTGGACCGGTCCGCTGCCTACGTGGGCCGCTGGGTCGCCAAGTCCCTCGTGGCTGCTGGCCTCGCTCGCCGCGCCCTCGTCCAGCTCTCCTACGCCATTGGTGTCGCGGAGCCCCTGTCCATCTTTGTCGACACCTACGGCACCTCCTCCAAGTCCAACGACGAGCTCGTGGAGATCATCCGCAACAACTTCGACCTCCGCCCCGGCGTCATCGTCAAGGAGCTGGATCTGGCCAAGCCTATCTACTACCAGACGGCCAAGAACGGCCACTTCGGCACCAACCAGAGCTTCAGCTGGGAGAAGCCCAAGGCCCTCAAGTACTAGGCGCCTCGCAATACAGCCGGAAAGATTCAACGTCTTTCCCGCTTGCTTTTAACTACATGACTTGACAGCAAAAGGCTCACGCGTTGAGCCGTTTTGCCTGGTACACATTAATGTTTTGAACGCAGGACAAGTGACGAAAAGAGGCGTTCGGTTCTCAACAAACCTGATTTTGGGCGGTTCGACCCTGGGTAGGGTTATTTTCATCGAGAATTTCTAACTAGGCGTTGCGAAGAAATTTTGTTCGGGATTGGTTCCGTCTAGCTTGGCTATTCACAGAGGGAGAGAGATCCATTGGGAGCGGCGTCTTTCAACAGAGACATGGCTGGCATTTACAAGATAAGATACCACTCAACGGGGCATTTACGATCGGCGTTTTGGGGAAACAAAAGAATTTCAACATACTTTGCTTCCTGCGTGCCGATGAAGCCTGAAGGGTACGGGATGCAGTGGCTAGAGGAAGGTAGCGAAGTGGCTAGAGGAGGCTGTCGACCATTTTGGTTCCGACGGCCTGAGACGGCACTTGCTTTAATGGCTTGGGACTCGGAGAGTATTTGGAAATGACAATATACAATCCAGGTCTGCCAACACTGATGACCAATGCAATAGTCGTGTGAGTGTGTGTGTGTGAAGGTCCATTGGGGCGTACGCCTTAGGAGGAATTGTGGCAGTCGCCTATGGGCACAGGAGCAAACAACGACAGTCAGCCTCATCCGTATGTCGACCAAAGTACAGTGGGCGCATCATCTGGTTAACTTGGTCCCGCCTATTGGTCACTTACCGTGAGCCCGTGAGCCAGAGACGCCAGCTATGAGCCTGATAAGAGCCTAGTCTTGCCAACCAGCTTCCCTTGTCTCTGGTCAGCTCTCGAAGCGCCCTTGCCAGCAACATTCCTTGGGGGAAAATCGAAGAACCACGCATGATACGACACGAATACTCCAAGACCCGGGCACGGCAGCAGCTGCCCGGAAGGGAACAGAATAGGAGGGCGAGGCGTGTATCGTTGCGCCATGACAGCATGTGTCTCCACTTTTTCTCTCCACAATGCTTCTCAAAGGGGAGCACAATAAGAAAGCATGTTTTCATTCTTCCATCTCCCGTCCTATTCACACCCATTCACAGGTCTCGTTTTCTGACCATTGTCTAGTGTTACTCCAATTTTTCTGCCTCTGCAGATATCTTGATTGGCTCTTGTTGGGCTGGTCATTCATCACGACATGGTCCAATTCATGCCCATTTTGGGCACGTACCACAGTAATAACCACTAGCTGGTATCAGACTGGACCAGGCTACATATTGTCAAGATGGATACCTGTCTGGGTCATAATATAATCATGAACTGCCAGGGTGAGACCTGTGTGTCTCACTAGTCTGCTGTGTTTCCCTCTTATTCTTCATCTTCTTCCTTCCTTTCTGCCACACCTGAGCAGATCCCAATAAATTTTATAAACTGCTACTTGGTCTGATTCTTTTCTCACTTTCCACTCTCATCAATATCAGTAAAACAAGTCCCCTAAAACAACCAAGGTGTCCCAAGAGAAGGCTGTCTATGGATCATCGCCAAGTCGTGTCTCGGATCACATATATTGTAGCCACATATCTACCTCCATACACTTGAAGCGCCAAACGCCCCCCCGCCCCCAAAATTCTCAAGGCAGCGATCCTGCCAGTTTCTCAGTTCGTAAATCCCCCTCTCACTCGCACCTTCCACCTCCTCAACAAGACGCCACTGTCGCAGAATATGGCATCACCACCACCTCGCAACTCCTCTCCTGATCCCCTAACCGGCCTACCCAAGAATACATCGCGCGGCCCCCCAACACCGCCACCAGCCTACTTTCCCCGCCGACCTATGCCTGGCATGAGTGCCTACCTTGCCGCTCGCCTTGCTGGCGACCCACGGGCTGCAGCTCTGCTCCCCCGTCAAGTCACGGTCAACGCTGCAAATCCGGGTCGTAACTCAGGCTGGCACGGCGACGGCGACGAAGATGACGACGGCAACCACTCCACCGTCACTGTGCGGATCTCGACGGCGATCAGGGTCTCTGGTGGTGGGAACATCATCAGCATCCCAACGAACCCGGCCGAGAGCGCGAGGCTGGTCGCCGAGACAGTCACCAGGACCATCGGCCAGAGCGAAGCGGCTGAGAACGGCGGGATTCCCATGATCGATGAGGAGGGACGGCCCAGGCCGCTGCGGATCGAGATCGAGGCAGGCATTGAGGTCAACGGTGAGGGAAATGTTATGGGTGGTGAAGACGTTGTCATGAAGGCAGTGCTTGGGAAGCGTCGTCGCGCAGAGGAGAGCGGGGAGGAGGCGAGTGACGAGGGGCGCCGTCGATATCCATCGCAGAATACCATGGCCAGGGCCAGCACCAGTACTTGACACAAGCCATGTAGGCCTGCGGTGATGGAAACTTGGGACTCCGGGGGCTTTTGAAGTAAATGGCGTCTTAGTGTTCATAAGGCCTGGGGCTTTGTATGGTAAACTACGAACTTGATGATCGCTTGGGGCCCAGAATTAGGCTCCTTTGCTTGGTATTCCTGGAGTTGCGACTCTTCCTTAGCGATGTTGGCGCAACACCTTACTTGCTACTAGAGGGAAGGATAATACATTACAACTCTCATTTATACGTTGTGCCTTTACCATCAAGCAAGCTACGACGATGCTGTGCTCATCCATCTTTAGTTTGAAAGAGCGTCACTGTTATCGATGATCTGAATACCGCTCTCAAAACGCATGGGGATAAGCCTCGAGTAGCATGGCACCAGTGCCTCATCATCTCATTTGTCACACTACTCGATGCAGGACTCATACTGTTGCGCGTAGAGGGCGCTCCCCATCTCAAGACATTCACCACAGCCTCATGGCATATCTGACCCCAGAGGTTTCGTCTGCTGCTACCGGGAAGTGGCCCGTCCGGCGAAGGCACATGTTGAAACTGGAGGAGACAGGTCCTTTTATACCTTGTGCTAATTTAGTCAGATGCCAGCTCAGTCACCCACAGCAAGCTGAGACTCGTCACATCTGTCAAGGAATTCGCTCCCATATATCCCCCATCGAGCTCACCTCACAGTAAACCTCGACTCCAACCTAGCATCTGGCAACTAGACTTCGCCAGACTTGACAACCGAGATATTCGCTTCGTACATGTAGAAGACAAACTTGGGCGATTACGCCTTAACCTCTTTTTGTCCTTGGCCCAGGTTAAGTATCAACGGATTTGTGTTTCTCTTCTTCTTTCTGAGGACGTTATCTAATTTGATTTATAGAGAAAGTACGTATTATTCAGCAGAATTCCTGCCTTCCATATCAACTAGATCAGGTGTTCGGGGATACTAACCAGCTAGAAAAAGATCTTTTAGTCGGTTATAATATAGAAGCTTATATTAGGATTCTACGCCTTCTAAGTGTAAGTACTTCTAGTATAACACCGATACTGCCCATCATCGATACCTGTACCATATCTGTTACGTCTTCTTGCCTCTTGTTCTAGATGTTCATCTTGACTCTGGACAATGCTTCATTTTGCGTGGAGTTCTCGGATAAATGTGGCAATTATAAGCCTAACTGCTCCGAATTTCACGACACTGGTAATGATGCAATGCTTTCTCTCTGTGCTCTGCTACTTCTAGCTGCGAAGAATGGACAAGTCCAGGGAGATGAGTTAATCTCCAAGGAACAATACACCCTCGAGAAAACTGAACAAGTTAGAAGCCCCAACCAGACTTTTCCGCTTTTCTCCATAGTGTACCCGATCGCTCCCCACAGCCTGGTGTCTTTCAGTGTTTATAATTTTGTTTTATTTTTATGCATTTTGCCTCAACCGACAGCCCGATCATCAGATACTAGCATACAGTATTCGGGGTTAGATTCAGTCACCCTTTATCGATATGTCCAGCTAGTTAACATAGACCAGTCTCAGCGGGTTAGGGGCCAAGAAAGGCGGCCCCACTACGTAGCAGCCCCCCAGTAGCCAATGGCCGCTGGAAAGAAACACCCTTAAATCACCAACTCAGAGTCGGCCAGGCGCGAATTGGAATCGAATAAGTTACTTGCCTCCATTGTCCCCCAAAGAATCGCTGCTCGACCCGAGACTGAGCTGATCTGCAGGCCTCACTGCTTAGAGTTTGGCTGGGAGGTCAAGTGGGAGCAGCCTGCAGAGACACTTCGGAGTCGCAGCCATACGATATAGTATAGTACTTATAGCTTTGCTGTGGAAGCGGTGAGGCTTCTCTGAGCATTTTCGCCAGCAGACGCTCACAAAGCACTCGGTGCTGCTGCAATGGCCACACTCAGCATCCGGAACATTACAATCAACCCCCTCGAACTCAAAACCATAGAGCGATACGGAGGATCATCACCCAAAAGTGGCGGGCTAGCCAAGCTGGGTCGCATCGTCACTGGTCTCTTCACCGCCTCGGCCAACTCGTCACGCCCACACCCCAAGGACGGTCAAGAGCCTAACGACCGGCAGGATGTGAAGGATATCATCGCAGGTCCCTTCGAGACCAAGGAGACGGGCATACTTGCACCAGATGTCGGCCACGAGGTGCTGCGCCTCACCTTCCAGACGCCCGGGACGGAGTACAGATACGTCGTAGACTGCCCGGGCCCCAGCGCGCGGTCCCAGGTGATGAGGAGGCTGGACGGCGCACCCCTGGAGCTCACAGTTGTGTACACGGTCTCGGGCGCGCAGCTGACCATCTTCAGCTCCGCGGCGCTTGAGAGCTGGATGGGCGAGCTGCGCGACGAGTACCCGCTGTCGATGCTGTCCATTCCCGGGACGCACAACAGCCCGACATGCTACGTGGCCCTGCCGTCGGTGCGGTGCCAGGCAGTTTCTGTACGGGAGCAGCTGGACAACGGAGTACGCTTCTTGGACGTTCGGGTCAGCGTGAACAAGGACAACGACGATCTGGCGCTGGTGCATAGCGTCTTCCCCATCTCGTTGACGGGGAACAGGTACTTCAGCGACATGTTGAAGGACCTATACGCCTTTCTGGACGCAAACCCCTCCGAGGCCTTGCTGATGAGCATCAAGAGGGAAGGCACTGGAAGGGGTTCGGATCATCATCTCTCCCAGCACCTCTTCAAGCGCTACTGTGGGGGTGACGACGCGCGAAGGTGGTTTACGGAGCCGAGAATACCGAGCCTGGGGGAGGCGAGGGGCAAGCTCGTCCTGATCCGACGTTTTAACGTGGAAGACGCGCTACAGCACTGGGGTCTTGATGCGGCTGCCTGGCCCGATAACTGTGCGGATGAGCCGACGGGAAGTGGGTTGATGCGCGTGCAGGACTTCTATGAAGTGAGCCAGAGCACCAATATCGAAAAGAAGATCGACATGGCTCGACGCCATCTCGAGAAGGCGTGCCAGCAGACTCTTGCAGAGTTTGGCATTTCAAATCCGGCCTCCGAGACGACACCTACTCCTTTCTTCGTCAATTTCCTGAGCGCCAGCAATTTTTTCAACGCCAGCTGTTGGCCCGAAAATATCGCTGCCAAGGTCAACCCGTCCATTATCGAATATCTTTGCACGAGCCATGCTGAGCATGGTAAGGGCCCAGACCAGTTGGATGTTGGAGACGCCGGTACGGGCATCGTAGTCACCGACTGGGTGGGACAAGAGGGTGACTGGGACTTGCTCAGGTGCATCGTAGGCTGGAATGCGAGGCTGCAATTGAAGAAATGAGTAATGTGCTGCGCACATCAAAACTACGTAACACAAGGTGGCACGTATGAAATAGAGATAGAGTGGCTGGGAATGATGATATTGCCGCATAGACGATGTATATTTCTCATAGGCTATACTAGAGTACACAGAACGAACGCGTACCGGCAGATTGGAGCGCAAAGAAACTGCTTGGGCGAACTCGTCAGCTTTATTCCTGGTGAGATGGCCAGAAGTATTAGAGTGAACAAGATTTCCTTCTCAGTTCTCCAAGGTGAAAGGTTTGTATCGTCACGATGAACTCAGTGTAAAACAGCAGTAAAATGGGTATCATCCGAAAGGGGTTCAGGGCCACGGTAAAGAATTGAGCGAACTTACGGGATTAACATAGCTATGAATGAGGGCATTAGCAAGTACTTGTTACCTGTCATGCAGTGTGGTCAGCCCATGGTCGATTTAGAAGCGTAAAACGAAGCTTGATGAGGCAGAACAGCTGTCAGGCTGCGACAATAGTTAGCAAGAGATCGGGATCAGTGTTGAGATGAGGTGAACGAACCTCATTAAATCAGATTTGGTGTGTGTATGTTCATTTCCGGCCAAAGGCACAGATCAAACAGTGTGAATAACGTTCATCATGTTGCTCAAGGAATGCTGGCTGAGATGATGGGTTATGTTTACCTGTCATGCTCAAAGTCAGCCAAACCGCACAGCTACTCTGATTTGCGCATCCGAAAGACGGTGCAAGGAGCATTGATCAGGTGACGAAGTCTCAACAAGATGACCCGTTCGGATACGCCTCACAAGGTGTACAGCCCTGCTTTGACGAGACGAGCCGAACGAGCCTCATTCTGTCCGCCCGTTCGTTCAAAATTTCGTCATATGGCTCATGGGGATGTAAGGACGTGGAAGACGGCGGGAAAAAGTACCTGTCGGCGATCATCGTTAGCGGCACGTCGTGGATGGTAGAAGCTAATTGTGATAGTCTTGTGAATTTTTTTCGTCCAGTCAGACAAGGCTGAAACTTATAGAAACATGTAGTCCACATTGGTCTTCGGTTCGAGGAATCCCTTGATGTATTGTATCATCACACAGACAGAGAGAGGGAGGGCACATAATATCAAGGAAGGGTACAAACCTTTTTGAATGAGGACGTGTTTTCAGGCATTGGCATCCCTGCACCAGGCAGAGGAGCGGTCGCGAGGCAAGACTCTCGTCTGCTGACTTCGTTAGCCAGTAGCCACACAAGTCTCAATGGGTGAAAATGTGTGAGGGGGGTAGGTTGCTCAGGGTAATTCTAGAGATAAAAAGAGTCCCCATGGATGCTTGTAAGATTTGGATTGTTCGTGTATGTTCGTCACAGCAGTGGTTTCGCGAGATGAGTAGCAAGAACCTGACGTACCTTGGGTCGCAGAACGAGACGTACGGGACGTTGAAAGCGAAAGGAGAGTCAAGTGTGGAAGCTCGAGGAGGATGGTAGGCGTAGCTCTGGTTTTGACAGTCGAGGAAATTTCGAGGTGGAGCAGGAGATAGTGGAGTCGGAAGGGAAAAACTGACGCGGCGCTTGAGCTGGGTAGAGCTGTAGCAGCGGCTTGAGCTGCAGCTGGCAGGCAAATACATGAAGCTGATCTGTGGCTGTGCTCGCTAAGGCTGTGGAGCTGTTTTTACAGCTGCCGACCACAGCCGTGGCGAATGGTGGCAAATGCCGGGGTAAGTCGGGGTCCCTGCTGTGAGGGAGCCGTGACGGGGAGCATATGTAACCTCCGGCCCCTCACGCCCTTGTCTTCTTGACGTTGCTATCGCTGTCTCTTTCTCCCAAACAAACAAATCGCTGCTGTCTGTTGAATCTCGCTATCCCTCTCTGCATCTGCAGGAGAGATTCGACGACAACCATCATGGCTCCTGCAGGAGGGGTGCTGGCCCCCGTGGTCATGCGCGCCTTACGACAGGTCGCCGCATCCACCGCCAAGGTCTCCAAAGTGATCCAGGGCAAACTGTCGCAGCCTCTCGGTCGAGAGGTTCAGCACATCGCCGTCCGCGCCACCGGCTCCGCGCGACAGCCCATTCATCCCGCTGCCTTTCTTCGCCAGTCCAAGCGAGGTGCCCGCTGGTCCTCGACCACCTCCTATAACCGTCTGAACGCCGCCGTTCGTCGATTCATCAGCACCGCCCGCGGCGACGCTACTCACTTCGCCCCAATTATCGACCGCACCGCATTCGCCAAGACGACCGTCGGTCGCGCCTTTGCCCAGTTTCCTGGCAGGGCTCCTTTCTCCCACACTCTTCGACCTAATCTCACGGGTGGCACCCTGCCCCGCACCGCCGGTGGTTATGCTATGCCGGGTTCGGGACGCCTTGGAGGACAGCGTTACTTCAGCCACACTCCTGCCTCCCAGGCACAAGTCGTCCAGAATGTTTCACAGGCCATGCGCGCCTTCTGGCTGTCCGGCCAGAGGGCCCACTTCGATGGATTCGGTCCCAACGGAGAAAAGTCTTACAAGTCTGTCAGTGTCTTGCACGACTCCGCAGCTACAAAGCTGGCGAGTATGCCTCGCTTCGTGCCAGGCTCCTTCATCGACTTCCACATCAGCCCCACCGTGACGGCTCTGGGCCCTCTTTCCGCTGCCGCCACCGTGGCGGCCGCGTCCAGCTTCGAGGCCAGGCTCAAGTCTGGTGCTTCGACGCTGAACACGGACGGCTTCCTCGACGTCCTGTCGACCGACTTCGCGCGCCAGTTGAAGGACCTCGCCGCTGTCATGAACGATCTGAAGAGGCTGGTCGCATTGGGAGATTTGCCCATCGCGCTGGAGAAGAACAACACCCTGCGGGTGCGCTTCCCTGGACTTGACGCAGACACCGTGGAAAGGCTGTGTGATGATGTTGGCATCCAGCGAGGGGTTGTCCGCCAGGATGTTGACTTCGATAGCAGCTACGGGTCTCCCATGGCCCTTTGCTTCCCGCTCGCCCCGGGTGCTGGAGATGATCAGGAAACGTTCACGTCTCCGGGTGGGTCCGTGAGGTCGCATCTGTCTGAGCTATCTTCTGTGGAGGAAGACGAAGCCTTTTTCGACCAGTACATCGAGGAGAACCCATGGTTATCGGCACCCCCGCTTGAAGTTTTGAGTGAGGAGGGTTATGAGAGCATTTCGCCGCCTCTTCCTAGCTCTGCGGAACATGTTTCGGAAGATTTTGATGGAGTAGAGGTAAAAGAATATTCCCGGAAACACCCCCCATGTCGAGGTCTCAATTCTGCTTTAGAGTATCTTGTGCAGGATTGATCTTGCTTTCTCTGAAAATTTTGTCACGACTTTGGTCTTCGTTTTCCTCGGTAATGGCTGACTGACAAACGGCGCAGGGCATTTATCGGTTTCTCGAGGAATGTGACCAGCTCACGTCACGACCGAGGTTTTAGGTTTCTTTTGTTCACAAACTAGCGTTACCTATGGCTTACGGAGTCCCTCAAATTGTCACGGCATACGGTATCCACTACACTCTTTTGCGGAGCACATTTCGGCCCCACCTAGGCGATGGTCATCACATCATTACATAGTAGTAGCAATGGAATTTCTTTGAATCGCCAGTTCGACGTTCTTCCTCTTGCCAAAATCACGCATGGACGACGCATGTGTTGGTCGATGGTCAGAATGAATTTTGCCAAGTCAATCTAGCATTTAAAGATGTCCCAGAAGACTAAGATCTGTGTAGTACAGCGCAGACGTCCGTCCACCAGAGACCGAATCAGCCATCGGCACTCTTCTGGGACTCTAGATGCGGCACAGCACGACCGGCAACGAGCCCTATCGTGTTTTCTGTCCGTATAGAACGGTTTGGAGTCCTGTAGGAGGCCCATTGGAGGTGGGGCCAGCCCATGCCCGGTATGACAATTCCCGGTTGTTAATAAGGTCGCGGTCCATGTCTAAGGCATTGCGCCCTTCCTTTTGCATGTTCATGCTCTTATAAATCCTGCCTAGATTCTCATCTTCCACTTCCTGGTTTTTCTCGACTTATGCCCTAACACACACGCGCGCGCGCACCATATATCCATAACGTATCGCACCATTACTCCGAAGTGGGCATCCTCCTTGTACACGCCATGCCAGATCCTCACTATGCCAACAATCCCTCTGCCTTCCCAATGGAAGGCGGTTGCTCTTGTGGCCATGTCCGCTATCGATTGGAAACAGCTCCCTTAGCTGTGCACTGCTGTCACTGCACCGCGTGCCAGCGCGAATCTGGCACGGCCTTCACGATCGGTCTACTCATCGAAGCGTCGAACCTTTCCGTCCTGCCCCCGGCGCCGGCGACGGTACCTGCCAGCAAAGCAGCGCCGGATATTATCCCCCCAGCAGGACCCGATCTGTTCGCCTCGGCGGCAAGACAGGATGGAGGAGGGGCGGAACTGATCAGGGCGCGCATCCCGCAAGAATCGGGCGAAATACAGACGGTGTCGCGGTGCCCGATGTGTTTTAACGCCGTTTGGACGGAGTACGCTAGCTTCGGGCCGCATATCAAATTCGTGCGCGGAGGGACCTTGGATCGAGCCTGGCTGGTCCAGCCGGACGTCCACATCTATCTGAAAAGCAAGATGGACTTTTTCAAGTTTGACGACGGAAAGCCGCAATTTGAGGAGTATTATGATCGGACTAAGGTCTGGCGCCTGGAGAGCCTGGAAAGGTGGGCTAAAGTGCTCCCAGCCATCATGGAGTATCACGAGAGCAAGTGAGAGGGACGACCGTGGAAGATATCTTCTGTGTAGGATGCCCAAATAAATAGGCTCAGAGTCCGTTTTCCAAATCCTTTATCTGTCTTTCGCATCCTCCTCCAGGAAAATACCCACCTACTGCATAAGAGATCCTCCTGCTGGTTCGTGATGACATGTATGAACAAAGTGTCGCAGTTAGTATCTATAAATGTCACAGCGACTGGAAAAGGCAGGGATGATTATTGCAGCCGTGTTTTGGGGCAACTAGTCTGAACCCTAACCCTTGGATACCGGTCTTCTGAGCTTTGGCCAAATCCGAAGTCACCAAAAGTCACGTGCACGTGCTCAAGGCAGGGCGCACACTACGAGGAAAATTTGGGTGCAGCTAGCGTCCGTGCCTCGCCCTAGCCCTCTCTCCGCTGGCTTGGTCAATCAAACGAGAGCCGTCCCACTTTGACTTTCCTTCCTTCTCGACAGGCGACCTGATCATATCCAAATTTCGCTATTCGATTCCAACCCATCGAACAGCGAAATCGTGATACCCTCGACAAACCGCAATCATGGCTGACACCGAATACGTATGTGATACAACCTATTGCTCCCGTTCCGCCACCCCTCCTACGACCCTTGACCACGCGCACCGCTATCGATGACGGCGATAATGGCTGACTTTTTCTCTCCCACGATGTAGAATGCCGAGGAGGCTGCTGAGCTGAAGAAGAAGAGAACCTTCCGCAAGTTTTCTTACCGCGGCATTGACCTCGACCAGTACGTTTTCCCGACCTTCCGTTTCTCCGATAGAGGCGAGATCTCTTATTGCACGATTGCCGTCCATCATTTGGCCCCAAAGAACCATCAATCGCAGCACGCACAAGCTCTCGGGCTCCCACAGAGAAGATCAACGGAGAAAATGTATCATGGCTGACCAAGGCTCTGATTGGATTACAGGCTCCTCGACCTCTCCTCCGACCAGCTCCGTGATGTCGTCCACGCCCGTGCCCGCAGACGTATCAACCGTGGCCTGAAGCGCAAGCCCATGGGCCTGATCAAGAAGCTCCGCAAGGCCAAGCAGGAGGCCAAGCCCAACGAGAAGCCCGACCTCGTCAAGACTCACCTCCGTGACATGATTGTCGTCCCCGAGATGATCGGAAGCGTCATTGGCATTTACTCCGGCAAGGAGTTCAACCAGGTGGAGATTAAGCCCGAGATGGTTGGCCACTACCTGGCTGAGTTCTCGATCTCTTAGTACGTTGGACCCTTTTACAGGATGCACTGCGATTCGAAAATGAAGAATGTTGGTGGTACATCTACTAACGCATCCTACAGCAAGCCTGTCAAGCACGGTCGTCCTGGTATCGGTGCCACCCACTCTTCTCGTTTCATTCCTCTCAAGTAAATTCAAAATGGATGCGGTTTCTTCGGGGTTCTTGCATTTTGTCGATTGGTCTCGGCGAATGGTTTCGGCTTTGCTTGGAACAGCAGTGCCGGTACTACCTAGCAAGGTAGCAATGGAATGAAGCACACGGTGCATTTGAAAGTATGAAAGGGGCTCACGGCCACCGCGTTGTATTATGATGTCCTCGAAGGCGTGGTTCTCTATGCTATGCGCCGTATATCCGTGACGAGATCGACTTGAAATAAAATCCGAGAATTTGGGCATGAACGTGTTGCAGATAAACACCTACATGATTACCGCCCCGGTCCATTTTGTAGGTTTCTAGAGGACAAAATGGTCATGTTCATTCGCTAGGCCTTTTGTGTATGATCGCCGAGTTCGTGAGCGTACATGTGTTGAGTGCTTCGTGCTCAGAACCGAAGTATTGATCCTACACGGCTCCGTAATGGCAGTGATGCCGTAGAGGATGGACGGGATACTCCTGTGTCTATATGAACCCCTTGGCATGCTACGTCCCAGTTACAAACAGGCAGCTGCAAGAGACGTCCCATTGGCCATCTGATAGGTTTCTTGGATGATCCGGAAATACCAAGCCGAGGCTCAGGTGCAAATCTGAGAGAAAATTGACCATAATCTATTGCTTTGGATGACCAAATGGTGTAATACAAAGGCTTTTCAACGCCGCCCAAGCCTCACGCCTTCTTGGCCTCAGCCAACTTCTTTGCTTTCCGCTCCTCTTCCTCTAGATGCTCTTTCCTGTAATGTTCGACGAGATAGTCCAGGTTCACGTAGTGGCCCGCAGGGACATTGTGCGGGGAGCCCGAGTTGATGAGTCTATCCCGAGACGTCAGCTTTCATGTCCTATGAGAGCAGGCAAGACCATACATATCCAGAAATATAAAGAGGCTGTTTTGCAATAAGAAGAGGAAAGGAGGGGGGGGGGGCATTGCCAAACGTACTCGGGCGTCCTCAGATCAAACGCTTTTGACTTCTCAACCGTGTTGAACAGGTGCCTGTCGGCCGCTGCCTGCTCCTTGAGATCCGTACGCAAGGTATTCCGCTGCTCCCAGGTCTGCTGAGATTGTGCCCGGTAGCTGTCGATCCACTGGGACAGCTTAGACGCCTCGCCTTCCTTGCCCGGCCGCGAGATGGAGTAGGTGAACATAGAGAGACCTAAGGCGCCGAGGGCGAAGTACAATCCCAGCTACACCGAGTTTACAGTCAGCTTCGAATCCGATGGGAGCCCATTGAAGAACAGAGCACTTGAATCTATGGGTGAGACGTCGATGCACGTACTCCAGGCGATTCCTCGACTTGAGGGGCATGATGATGATCGTGGTGGGCGTCGTGACCGTGGTCGGATGCGTAGAATCGCGCAGCGGGTCGGAGTGCGTGCGCTGTTGGCTGAGCCCTTCGGGCGACGTAGGTCGCTCTCTGTCGGACTGCCAGCATCTTGACTCTGTTGTTGGCGGTGTCAATTGGCTGGTTATCCGTCTCTGGGGTGTCTACAACCTGGGGAGTGAACCATGTTGGCTCCGAAGCTCTCGGCGGTTCATGGGCTTAGTCAGCGGTGTCGGATCAGTCTAGAGAGAGCCCAAGCTGTCGAATCAGGTGTCGCCCTTGGTCAGCGAAGCTCCTTCGGCCGGCACTGGCAAATTGTGCCTTTGTAGCCCTAACCCTGGCTTGGTTCTTCACGCACAGGTGGCCTCTAGGCCAGTTGTGCCAGCAGCTGCTATGGTACCGTAGTATGGAGTAGGCTAAAGATTGTGGACGGCGGCGAGGCGAAGTCGGCCAGGAATGATGATATCTGTCTTTTCTTTGAGATTCTATAGGTTGAGTCACTCATATGATGAATACGTGGCTGCTTCTTGAGGTTTATATTTTAATGCTTCAATTCAACATTTGAACTATGGAAAAGCCCAGGTCATCTACACTGTTCAAGAATTATTTTTCTCTTGCGCAACCTCAATTTTGAATATTCTTCTGGCCACCATACTTACTCACTACATTACTTTCTGGCCGTCATTTTTTTCTTCCTGGACACCCGACGTCCACCTATTGGACTTCTACTTCGCTGAATATCTTTTTTTGAGAAGTTTCAGACGTCTGGTCCATCTATATCAGCAAGATGCATAGACCTCGTCTCTTCTCCGACCTCACCGCCGGCCCGTCTCTTGCATTCCTCGTCTTCCTCGTATTCGCTCTGCTGGCAGTCAGCGTCTCTGGATCTGGCCAGCCAGCTGAAGCTTCAAAAGACAAGATCCTCGGGGGAGAAGCAGCCGCAGCAAGGGAACAACAGGCTGGGCAGGACTTGATATGCTCCCCGGATGATTCCGGGGACTGCTATCCAAGGTTATTCCAGGCGACCGAGGACTTTCAAGTTGTACGAGAGGGGCAAGAGATACCACAGGGACTCCATGTCAGGCTCGATGTCAGCACAGGCAGGAAAGAAGCCAAGATCAACGACCCCAACGAGCAAAATCCGGCCTTGGAGGGACTACCTGTAGACTCAGCGGTGGTGATGGTCGAGCAAGAAGGCTTTTCATCTTCTGTGGATCAAGGTGCACAGATTCCCAAGGGGGCGCCTGCCTACGAACCAATCGGCAAGATCAAGGCACCCGAGGTTGAATCGCAGGCATTTCATGACTCCTTGACGGTCCTCAAGACACTCTCATTGGCTGACCGACCAGTCGATGCAGCCCTGAGTATACTGAAGGACATATCTCACGACATCTACTATGGACTGAAGATCGCTGAGGATCCGAAGGCCGTTAAGGAACTACTGTGCATGATGAGCAGCCAGGATGTGTTCGCCAGAGATGTGGACGAGGAGGCTGTTACGCTGGCTGGAGATGCGGCATCTATCATCGGCTCGGCGTTACAAAACAACCAGAAAGCTCTCGCAGAACTGGAGAGCTCATGGCCGGAACACAGCCAGGCAAAGTGTCCCGGAACAGATCGTCCGCTCAGCCAGGCAGTCTTCAACATGCTGGTTCCACAGGTCCCCGCGAGCGGAGAGGCGACCAGGGCTGAAGGCAACCGACTCAGCCTCACGAAGGCCAAGACATCCGCGCTGCGAGGCTTGATCAAGAGCCCGACTATCCGCGACGAATTCCTCGCCAATGGAGGTATGGATGGAGTCCTACGAGTCCTACTGCTCGAGAGGCCCGATCTGGTGCCTGCGCAACAGAAGCTTGCAAATTTGGTAATGGACAGTTTCCTGGACGAGGGCATGGGGGCGACACTTGGTGTGTGGCCCAGGCCCGGTGACATTGACCACGACTGGGACTTCCAGCTCAAGACCCTCGCAAAGCTCCACAGGACGGAGAAGGCTCATTGGAGTGCGGAGCTGTGGAAGAGGTTGCAGGATCAGAGGCAGGGCATGAGGGCTGCGGGCAGAGACGGCGAGCCAGAGCATTCCGAGCTGTGAAAGGCGGTGCGTACCTCTGAATTACTTTTGATACCCATGTAATAGAATTGTTTGCGCCGTTGGCGCTCATAAACTTTGGCTACGATCCCGCTTTGGCCTGCGGCTGTAGGTCCTTGTCTCGCGGGCTGCGGCCTGGCGGGGGGCTATCACAGAAACAAAAGCCATCGAATCTTGTGCCTTCAGCATGACAACTGCTGCTGAGATTATTGGGGAATCGTATAGTGCGTCGCATACTCAGATGTGTACTGACCAGTCAGCTGGCCCGTCTCCCCTTCTTTTCTAGAAAGAAGAAACCCCCCAGTTCTACGAGTCCCGAAGTCCGTCACAGTTCGTACAGAGGTGATCGGAGGCTCCCGGCGGTAAAAGCTTCGAGGCTGGGCCATTTTTGCTTCTTCGGCTTGGACAATCGACGACACTGTCTCGTAGTGCTGTCACTGATACGATTTTGACTCTGAGAACTGGGCCACGGAATTGGTCTGGAGACCTTCTAGCCGCACCTGCAGCGCGTCTTTCCTTTGGAGGTTATAGCTTCAAGTCTTGTATGAGGGTCGGTTAATCCACATCAGAGCCCCCCTCCCCCCTTTTCTTTCTTTTTCCCCCTTCTAGTCTTTATTCTTAGTTTATGTTACCTACGTGCAAAACGCTTCAACTATCAATACTACGCGATTCCCGTTTTACACTACCCATGGTGGATGTATTCTCCCTGGCCAGCTTTCACGAACACGGCATAGATCTATGAGCACCACAAGGGCATAGGTCCAGAAAATCATGCTCGACTAGAGCAACAATCAAAGATGCACGGCGTAGAGGCTAGGCACAGGAACAGGGGGCGGCATCACCTTCATGGACATGCGAGACAAATCCGAAGGGTACTCCTTGAACCGCATGTAAATGAATGTCTCATTTTTCTACGGCTCGAAGATAGCAGTAGTAGGTACTTCTCCAAGTAGTCTTGCGTTCATCCCAAACCAGAGGCTGGCAAAAATGTCTTCTCACAAGTCTGATCAATTTTTTATTTTATTTTTTTGCCACGCAACGCAGTGTCACACGAGAGAGATATGACTAAACATGAGCCTGATGGGAGGAAGATGATCAAGACGTGGCAGGCTAGACACGATCACTATCACCACGCGTCGCTGATCATCGCGGGAGAGTATAGAGAGCCTTTTCCGCGTCGGCGACCATTGCGACCATCATCCGGTCGAGATTTCACCTTGTCTCAGCCTAGGCCGTAGCACACATGCAGTGATAGGCTAGCCCAGTTCCCCTGCGTTTGAAAGCAGCGATTAAGCCGAAGGCGTTGCATGTTGTACAGCGGCCGTAATGGAAAAGAGACTGGGAGGGGAGAAGAAAGAAGAAGAAAAAATCCTTATCAGAGGGGAAGCCATCCAGGAAATCATTGCCAGCCCCTGGTGGCACAGGCCGTCGAGGTCATCTGCGCTTCGGACATTACTTTCAGGGGAGACCTCAGCTAGACATCGGTCGCCTTCTACCACTGGCTTTTTTTGGCGCCGGGTTTGTTTGCTCAATCGACCTGCTATTTTCTGTGCAGGCGGTGTGAGCCTTCCCATAGTATCCTCCTTCTCGTCCGCGAGAACTCGGTCGGGGAAAGACCTCGTGCGCGTGTCAGCAGTTGATCAGATGGAACGTGGCAGAGCTAGCTCGGAGACCGCAGCCAGTGCTCGGCCAGGCTTCAAGGGCAACAAGAAGTCAACAAATGCTCACGCAGGCGTGGGGCAGGGGAGCCATGCTGCCATGTGGCTCTGGATGTGCGTCAACAGCTGCGGTGATCACAGGCAATGCGTACGAAGCCTGTGTGGCTTGACCACACGGTGCATTGTCAATGCAAATAAACTACCAAGGCAGGCATGGCAGACAAAAGGCCAACAATGACTGCATAGAGATCTAATTTTTGTTCTATGCCTGGCTGGCGACATCGAGTGCGTGCGTGCAAAGATTGGGGGGCCACTTGGGGCCACCGTGATTGGGTCAGGGTGGACTTGCGGTGCAGTGCAGTGCAGTGCAGCGCATAGCATCGCATTGCATCGTAGCGCAGTACAACGCAGGGAAGGCACAGGCTCGCAGGCATCCTGGGTCACAGTTTCCACGTGGCGTAACGCTCGGCGCCAACGATCCTGGTAGGCTTGGTCGTGGTTGCTGCTGCTATGTATAAAATAATAGTACATAGCAACACGGAATATGCATTGTATACGTACCATGTGGTGAAGTAGCAGATGTAGAGATGAATGAGTGCCAGACCCTCGGCGGTCCGATATGAACGAGAAAGCGCGCGCGGGACAGGGACAATGGTCTCATTCTCTCGTCAACGGTGCAGCTTGCCTCGCCGACCTCGAAAACAAAACCACCCTGGACGTTGGGTGGAACCGACCAGTCCATTTGAGATCTTTGGATGAAGCAGGCAAGGGGGGCGCCGTTCATGAAGCTGGACATCCGAGCGGAGACGCTGGCTGATGAGCCGTCACACTGTATTCGGCGTTACGAAGCTCAGCACAGCAACAAGTGCTTTCCCCAGATTTCGCCAGAGAAATAGAAAGAGAAAGAGGGACCCTGGGCCCGGTAGTTGCTTCTGACAGGTAATTTGTCACTTAGGAGGAAGTGGGTGGGCAGGGAGAACGAAGAGAAAGGGAGGCGAAAGGGGGGAAAGGCTGCCGCCAAAGCGACAACGACCCAAGACTAACCAAAAGAAGAAAGAAAACAAGAGGGTGAAAGGAGGCAAGAGTATGCAAAATACTAGACCAGCCACATTTTACTCGATCGCAGTGACAGAGCGGGAGGCATCGATCGGGTGCAACCCAAGGGTTCAACAGGCCGTACAGCATATGTGTACGCTGGGAGATAGAGAGGCATTGCGATCCTGCCAGGTCGTCGTGTTAACGATCTGGTGGTTTGGTAGGACAAGTAAAGAGACGGACGAAGGCTGCTGAGCGCACGCGAGCCGGACTCCTGTCAACTTGTCGGCAGAGTGTCACGCGTTTCGCTGAGGGCGGGAAAGCCTTTCTCGCTTGTCCTGTGGCCGGTTGCCTGCGACGGTGGCAAAGGCGAGGAGCTCGCTCCCTCCGACATGATCCTGAATGACGAACGAGCTGTTTCGTGAGGTTGCCGGATTTGGGCGCTGGAATCGTTTATCAGCCGTGCGAGGTCTTACTGACTGAGGGTCGTCGTCGGCAGGGACGTTACGGCAGTATCGGTACAAAGATGTGGTCGTCCTGAGGCCAAAGCTCCGGCATTGTTTCTGCTCATGGGCGCCAGTGACCGCGTCTCTCTCTCTCTCTCTCTCTCTCTCTCTCTCTCACACACACACACTTACCTGTCAGCTCATAACGGTTGGAACCGCAGCCCCGAAGGATTCGAGGGCAGGCGGAGGGGGTTTCAGTTGGCACCACAGAGCACACTCGCAGGGCGTCCTGGCACCTGGTAATGGCAGAGCTGATCTGACTCGGTGCCGCAAGGGGCGATGGCAAGGTAGCCCGGAAGGGGAAATGATCCCAGATCCCCCTCGGCGAAATTTTAGACGGAACCAGGCACATGTTCCCTGTCGGAAGACTGACACCGATTGGCGAGCCGGACGGGAAAAAAGGACTTGGCTCGAGCTCAAGTCAGACCGGAAACACTTTTACAGTTTACGAAAGGATAATAGAGAGAGAAAACAGGGTCGCCTTGACCCTGCCTGGCCACACAGCTCTCGCCTACCCGGCCTAGCGTACACTCATACACTGTCCATAGTATCTCCCTCTCCACATCCAGAATACCACACAAGTCAATCAGTTCTTTGTGAGTTAAAGCGGGCAACATGGATCTTGTCGATTCTGTTGGGGGCTCACAGCTCCCTTGCCTCATGTATGATTGGTGTGTTATATGGGCAGACGTATCTCCAGAGCGCTTTGGTCGACCTATCCTTCTTTCACTGTGTGCACTACAATATGTACATGGTGACAGGTACGGCAGTTCAAGCCATGCATACGATGTAGGCAGACGCAAGGGGGTGGGGGGGGGCAATGACAGCAGGCTGCAGCAGGCCAGCATGGTCGCAGGGGCCATCTGCGCTATTCCCACGTTTAGTGGCATGAGATCTCCCTGGGGGATGAATGGGAGGGGAGAAGGGTTTTTTAGTGGTCAGTCACCATCCTGCGAAATGTTGCACAGCGTTAAGAGAGGGACTGGGCGATTCCTGCGTACCGTAGCACACGTATCAAGCATGCACAAAGTGATACGACGCGAGCTGACGATTAATTTGGCCAGTTAGTATGGATCGATCAGCAATGGGTGGTTGGCGATGTTCCATGGAGCACAGGCCTTAGAACACAGGCCTAGAACTTACCAAGAGATCTGAGGTGCTCATAGCAACAAGACTATGTAGCACCACTTACTATGGTAACATGTAGAATTATTACCTACTATGATGGTATGAATGGTCTGAGGCTATATGCCCGTACTGAATATAAATCACTCTCCTCCCCCAAACGATACGCTGTACAGTACTTATCGGGACACCTGAATAAGCAGCGACCTACCCCATTGGGCAGGTACAACGAGAATTTTGGGGGGGGGGGGTAGAGGAAGAAAAACAGGTTGATTGATGTTGTTATCGATATACCCCAGAATCCGTCTAGTGTTCTGTTGCCCATGTTCGCAATAATCCTGTCTCAATTTTTGGCTTACAGCTCGGCCTCTTTGTGGGGTGTACGTACGTGGACGGTTCCCTTTCCGGAGCCAAGACCAGTAGCGGAGAAAAAGAGATGAGGACGAGGAGGACAGGTAAAATGCTCCGAGCCTCGGTGTTTGTGATGGTTTGGTCGGACGGGGGTAATAATAATAAAGATTTCGGTGAGTCTAAGCTGTCTGCATGAGTCTGCTTCGACGGATGCGTCAAGTACTGTCTAGGGGGGAGGGAAGGTCGGTCCTTTGCAGAGAACACACAGACCGAAACAAATCCGGGAACTAGGAAGAAAGGAAACTGGTCAAACTTCCCCCCTCCCGTTCGCTAGATTGTCCTAGGCCAAGACATGAGGTGAAATTCTGCCTGCACTCCATACTTGCACGGTACGTAAGCGTGAGTAAGCCAGCGGGCTCTTTTGGACTTGTGCCTTCCCACAAGGGCAGTTCGACTGGCCCATTAGATGGGACCAGCATACGATGCGACGCAATGCGACGCACACACTTTGAAGAGCCACCTGCCACCCACCCCCCCCCTTCCTCGCACCCCCGGTGATGAGCCTGGCACGTCGGCTTCTTCATCCTGACTTGAGGTGGAACCCAAGAGGCTCGCGGGATGGGGGGGTTGCATGGCTGGAGCATGGGCCAGATGGGCAAATCAGATCAGAGGTGAGATATGATTTGAGTTCAGTTCGCAAGGGCCGGCGCGACGTTGGCATGCGACATGCTCGTGGCGTGCCACGGGCCCTGTGGGCTAAATTGGCCACTAACACACAGTTGCCATGCCGGGTCCAGAGGGAGCTAAGGCAAAGCATCTCGACCGCTTCATGCGCCTTTGAGGCCCTATCACCCACACCCCCCCCCCCCTAAATGCGACAGCCAGCCACACGTGCCGTGGCTCATGTGCCGCCCTGAAAAAATATCATAAATAGAGTCAGACAATAGTAGTAGCTAAGAGAGTTGCACACACAAGACACTCGATCCGGCCTGGATCGTCTCGAGATCGCGGTATACATTATTCACTAGTAGAGAAATAATACGATTACGCTGGGAATGTACATATTATTCGTCAGGAGAGGGGATCACCGACTCCTGCCCTTGGTGACCTGCCCCGTCTGCGGTAACGTGCACTGCGGAGTACCCTACTTAGTCTGTACATAGTAGTAGGATGTGTCCCCCATGTGTGTATTCGGCGGCATGCCTTCTCTGTTTAGCCCATGCCGGTGCAGATCCCAACTCCGAAGGGACTAGTCTGCTGAGAAGCATCTTTCGTTGCTGACGCACGAGCACACTTGAGGGGACACGGAAGAGAAATAAGAAAGGTGCGTAAGAAGTAGTTCTGGTGGAGGGGGCAAGTCAAAGAATAGGCCTCACAATAAATGAACAGGCACCAAGAGTAAGAGAAACTAAAGGGAGGAAGGGAGGGAGAAGAACGTAATACGTAGAGCACGAAAATACTGTAGTACTATGATACACCCCAGTCAGCAGCTACGATGGAGTTGTGGGTATGTGCTGCACTTCTCCAAGGGTGCTTGCATGATCCCTCCGCTCCCCTCCCCCCTGTAGACCAGACCCTACCTTGATGATCCCCTGAACCCAGCAGCAGGGCGCAAGGTCCTGGCTTGTACAGGGCCCGCCTCACCGGCAGCGACGCTGAGCTCGAGTACCCTCCCCCTCCCCCCTCCCCCCCTCACGGCCTTGTCTGGCCTTCCGCTTCTGGGTTGCAACAGCCCTGGGCCCGCTGAGGGCACGAGCGAGCGGGTAGCGAGCCCGTGTGCGACACATGGGGAGTGGACCTGAGAGTGGTCCCGGCCCGTGGCTAACTGGGGGTCCTCTATGGATGTACCCAGATACCGTGGCAGTCTAGGTCCTGTGCGCACCGCAGATGTACCTCAATCCTCGAAGGAAGTCGCTACCCATGGCTGCAATACAGTACATACTAGTAAAAGTACTAGTATATCAGTGCCGTACCTATAGTGCTACTACCACAGTCCCTACAGAGTATACTGCCAAACTGCGTCTGGGTAGAGCGCGGGTCTTCTCCCCACCCCCTGGGCCTCTCTCTGGTGCCACCCACCCATCCCACCAGACCCTCCCCAACCACAGTACTAGTACTATTGTACCGCGTGCCGGGGGGCACACTGGCACTGGCCATACCTTGGTAGTGCTGTCTGTCGGCTTGTGCACTGAGCGGGTATCCCTACAGGTCGAGTGTCCTCTTGATTCTCATCCTCGATCCTCACCTCGCCTCGCCTCGCCGCGCCCCTCGACTGCTACTCGCCCTTCCTCCCTGTAGGATTTGGCTTCCCCATTGGTCTTTTTCTTCTTCCTCTCTTACCCGTCAGCGCAAGGGCCCACGATCCTCTTCCCAGATAATTCCTCTTACAGCGCACAGTCCACAGGCACGACCGCGGCAGAAAAGCGTTGTCCCCGGTTCTCGAGCTAGAACCCAAGTGCCCCCCCCCCCCCCAATCTCATCGCCCCTGCAAGTTCTCTCGTCCACCTAACCTGACTGTTGCGGGGGGTCCATTGACGCCTTGTGCCTTGCCTTGTTCCCTCCCCAAAGGGCCAGGACTCGATTTTTAACCTCTTCATCCTCCTCTATTTTCATTTTCCTCTTTCAATCCACCCTTTCGCTCGACATCGCGTCTCCGAGTTCCGACCTAACCTGGCCATCACGGGTCACGAGCCGGACGGGTCCAGAAACATCACACCCTGCGCAATCGCCTCGCAAATCAGATTCTTCGAGTCGCATCTCTCGGATTTTGGATATAGACCTATCAACACCCGGTCGCGAACTAGCTGAGACTTCTCACATTCTCTTGCCGAGAGACTGACATTCGATTGCACCTTCTATCGCCTGCCTACCAGATTCTGAGGATACTACTCTCGCGCGCTCATTATTTCTCCATTCAAAATCTCAATTCCTTGACGGACTACTCCTCCACACCCTTGCTCCTCTCTCCGAGAGGAAAGCCGCTCTTTTCAATATACTTCTCGACACTGAATTCGACAGACGACGTGGCATATGTGATTTGCTTGCGTTTATACCACACCGACTTGCACGACCGACCAGGCCCTTCTCCTATCGCATCAATCTGGGGTGTCCCGGATAGTCCTCATCTGATTCATTCCGTTTCAACAAAGGCAACATGGCTACAGAACAAGCCCGCCCAGCCTCGCAGAAGTTTCCTGCAGGTCTGGCCGGCGTCCTCAACCCCTCCGACGACAATAGAGACTCGGCCTACTACTCGAGCACGGACGCCTCTAGCAAGCGTGCGTTGGACCCTTCTTCCATTCGCCTGCTCCCACCCGCCCCCCGCTCTCTTCTGAATCACTCAGTTGCCCTTGTTATAATATGCTGACCTGATTCTTGTTCCAGACAACTCAACCGCTTCCTACAATGCCGTCAGCATCCTCAGTCCCACCAACTCAGGTTTCCACGAATCCAACGGGGACAAGACACCTTCGCCCGTATCAACCAACTTGCTACCGCAACCTCTAGTATCCCCCGTCACGAGCAACATGAGCGTCGCATCCATCGTCTCCCCCACAAACCCCACCCGCGCAGACCCTCGGCTTGTCGATCGCACCTACTCCATCGACTCCAGCGCAGCCCTGAACTGCGATGCAGAACCAATGTCCCGGCGCGAGAGCGTCGACAGCAGGATCAATCAGGAGTTTGGAGGCATGAGGCTCGGCCCATCGCCCTACGCAAGCGCCAATCACTCCACCACCTCTATCCAAAACACCCTGCAGCAGCAACGAAACCCGAGGACGGGCCTCGACACACTGTCCATCCACCGCATCTCCAATGGATACCAGCCAAGTACCGAGCGTATCCCCCTGGACAACCAGATCAAGGCCATTCGCACCGCTCCTACCATTACCGGACCTACAACGGGTACCATTGCGCGTGCCGCAGAACCCACCAAGGGCCAGGCCTGGGCTTTTCCCGAGGATGAGATGCAGAGGCTGCCATCGGGCGCTCATTCGCTCATAGACTCGAGGAGGAGCAGTGTCGCCGACTCGTTTGCCAGCAGCCAGTTTACCGCGGAGTCAAGATTGCCGCCTGGGCAACGCAGGTTGGACGAGGGTTTGGCTACACCCGACTACCACCGCATGTCGAGTAACTCGGGCGAGTTCCCCGCCGTGCACCATCACTCTCTGCAGCACAGGCAACTGGGCGACCTGCAGGCGGAGGAGGCCAACGGCCATGCGGGCGCTCAACCATACAGCAGGACCCCCGAGCTGCGAGTCAGCCACAAGCTGGCAGAACGGAAACGAAGGACAGAGATGAAGGAGCTGTTCGAGCAGCTGAGGGACCTGATGCCCCAGGAGCGCGGGTCCAAGGCGTCCAAGTGGGAGATTCTCACCAAAGGTTAGTTATTCTGGTCTGCGGACAAGGCTTAGCGGTGGTTTTACCCTTCTTTGCTAACACCTAAACTAGCCATTTCCGAGCACCAGCGCCAGAATGACACGATCAAATATCTCCAACAGCAGCACCACTCAGTCGTCTCCGACTTGGAAATGCAGCGCCGCGAGCTAGCTGCTCTGAGGATGGAGAACTCGCAGCTGCGAGGCGAGCTGACGGCCGTCTCAACAAACCATGCTGGCGCTAACCACAATACCGCGGCCCCTGCTGCAGGGTTCCAGGCGAGAGACACCCAGCGGCCAGAACTTCCACCACTGCGGTCCCTCAGCGGCGATATTCCGACAGTTCCCGAGTCGATGACCGGCGTACAGTACAGCGAGCAGCCGAGAATGAGTGGCTACCGGACTTCTGATGCCCGCTACTAGAGCCCTCCGGCCTAATGTAACCGACCTTTCTTCGCCTCTGTCTCAAACCGCATGTGCATATCTGCATCTTCATCTGTCTTGATCTCGAGACAATTATTGGCTATGGACCACAATACAACGTGGATTTTCACTTCTGGGCAGGCGCAGAGGATCGCCTCGGGCTGCTTCATCACCTGCGCAGCACAGCTGCTCAGTCCAGCCGATCCTGCCGAACCATGGCAGACGCTGAACCTTAATCACCAAGGCGCTATGGTGAATTGTATCCGTCACCGGAGACGGGTGTAGCTCATCGAGGCTCCGATTCCATATCCACCATCAAAGAATGGCGGTGGCAAACCCAATATTTCCTTTTGTCGACACAGACAAGGCGGCGCAAAGGGGCAGTGCCCTCTCCCGGTAGACGACCTCCTTCGTGCCGGCGAGGCATACCGTCCTGTCTAGATTTGTGATTCTCTTCTGCTCGATTGATTTTCTTTTCATATACCCAATGCAGCCCTGATGTGGGCTTCAGCCGCCAAGTCGAACGGGCACAGCAAACCCCCTTGCCCCGCTTGAAGAAAGCTGGCGGCAGCCTTAAACCTGGTCACGTATTTGTCTCGTTGTGGGCTGGACGCTAGGAAAATTGGGAGTTCTTGAGGCCATGTTTATGTGCGCCTGTTTGAACGCGTGCCTGCGATGTTGGGGGGACATCAAGAAACTTTTCTTCTTCTTCTCGGGTAGCCTTCACAAATATGGGGCGGAAAAATAAAAGAGAGGGACGGACTTTTGGGGATTGAGGCATAGGATTGGGACAGTGATGGGGAGATGATGTTTAGGACACAAAACTTATCTTTGTCCCTTTGGGACTGTGAAGCATTTGAACCCTTGAAACTCAGTCAGGTGCTCCAGGGCACTGGGAAGACTGAGTCGTCATTTAGACCTTGTTTTATGTGCTGATAGCGTGCATAATAAACACACCAGGACAAATAATTTATATTCACAATGATGCTCTTCGTGGGGCAAGCGCGGTTTCTTCGGGTACCTTGGGTGCAAGAATCGCTGTAAATCTCGACGAGACACCGGGCCACGGGGTGTCAATATTAGGTAGGTGGCCAGAACCATACAAGAGTGATGCCGTTACTGGGAGTTAGGGGCGGTCCTAGAATCTCAATCTTCACATGCCAGGGCAGGCCGGGACATGCAGGGGCACCAGGGTTCGGTCACATGGCATGGTACTCAGCAAGGTGTTACCATAGTACTGCATACTAGTTGGTGCATGGCAAGACCTTTCATCGTGCTAATAGCATGTAGTGATTGGTTGTAGTGCCGAGGGAACACGCCCTCAGGTGCGTCATGGGGATTCCGCGGGGAACCACAACAGGCCCTGGCCAGGGGCTCCTTGGTACACCAAACTTGAAAGCTGACCCTGGATGCTTACCCCAAGACTTCATTCAGACTACTGACTTCATGCATAGAAGAACAAAAGAAGAAAAGGGAAACCTGTCAATTCAGTTCCTGCTTTTTGTTACCCTGATCCTCTCCATCTTTGCATCTCGCATCCTCAGTACCGCTTAGTATTCCTTTCTCTCGAAAACCAGACTGGTTATCCGCGGGTCGGGGACGAGCATACACCTTACAGAGTAGCAACTTGCCGAGGTACCGCGTCTGCCGTCATTTTCCTCGGCCTCCTGCTACTCTACTCCTCCCATTCCTCATTCCTCCTTGTTCCTTGTTCCTGCGTCCAATCTCCTGCCAGCCAACGTAGCAGAGCGAAGCACCTTGCACAGAGCCGCAGTCATGGCGGCGTCTCTACAGAGCATACAGGTGTGTCAGGAAGGAGCACGCACTAATTGTATAACTGCAATGCGGTGCGGTAGACTGCAGTGCAGTCACAATGGCGATCGCTAATACGATATGTCGCATACCGGCCACAGACGGCGATCGAGCGAATCATTCTCGACCCTCGATACCATGACGTCCTCGCCGTAGTCAAGGGCGCCCGCAATGGTGCCGTCTACGGCACCAAAGTCCGCTTTCCTCATGCGCTGGTCATGATCTTCCTGTTCCGATCTGGGACGTACGTTGTCCCTTCCTCTCACGTCCTCCCGCCCAGTAACGTCGTTCCTGGCTAATCCTCATCAACCCTACAGCTTCCGGGAGAAGTTCTGGCTCGTCTTTCGCGCCACCCGCACCCACGCGCGCAACCTTGCCAAGTTTGCAACTATATATAAGTTGACGTGCATGCTGCTGAAGCACTATGGGCCTGGCCAGGCCGGCAAGGAAGGTCCCTACGACACGCTCGTCGCCGGCCTACTTGGCGGTTATGTCGTATTCGGCGGGCGCTCGCGGACCTCGGGCAAGATCTCGAGCGTCAACCAGCAGATCGTCATCTACGTCTTTGCACGCGTGGTACTGGCCCTCGCCAGGCTGGCTGTCAAGAACGGCTCGCCCTTTGCGCTACCCCTCGTGTCCAAGGAGCCGACGAGCAGTCGGGTGAGCTACTATGCATGGCCCGTGTTTGCAAGCGTGAGCTGGGGCATGGTCATGTGGCTGTTCAGGCATCATCCCGAGGACCTGCAGCCGAGCTTGAGGAGTAGTATGAGCTACATCTACGCGCAGAGCAACGAATGGGACTCATTGCGGAATTTTGTCTGGCATAACAAATGATGCCGAGATGAGCTCGTCCCAGTCGACGCCCCCCCCCCCCCCTCAAGGGAGGCCGGCTGAAAGGCGAGCGCGGGATGGCAGATGATGAGAGCTGTATCTGATAACACTTAAGACTTGGGGGGTCACAAAGCATATAGGCGTTTGGTAGGACCATTTTGGGGGCTAGGTCACTATCTTCAGGCATAAGACTAATCCGGACAATTCAATTCTGCATGATCGGGAGTTTAGGGCTTGGAACACGTGTCCGTATGTGATCAACTACAAATGGAGGCTGGGCGTCACCGGTATGCCCTTGACTTAGGCCTAGTTCACAAGTGTTTCCAGCCGTTCATCCACATGATCTGCTTCTCGTTGATGAGGCACGAGGTCCCAGGCTCACTTCTCAATGGCTCACCATGCGGTGTGGCTTCTCTCCACTGCTTCACTCTCTTCAGGACCGTCACCTTTTCGAGGTGCTGTTGCAATGTCGCTCTCCAACGCAACCAACGGTTCGCCCAGGCGCCTACGACGGTCGTAAACGTCCCTGGGTACACAGACCCTGCCTTACCCTGAATTGCTCTGTACGTAGAAGCGCTGTAGCCGACCCTGACGTTGGGATTGAGCCAGACCCCTTTATCTGGCCTCGCTGCCAAAGGGTTGTCCGCATGTATGAGACAGCACTCGGACGCTTCGAGGTGTAGATCCGCCAGGCTGTCCGGGATCGCTCGGAACCGGAGCGCCTGTTCGCCGTAGAAAGGTTCCGCATCGAAAACAATCAGGCCGTTCCAGCAAGACTCGACACGCATGGGCTCGCTGCGCAGAGCTGCTTCTTTGGAGGTCGGGCTCAGGAACCAGGGCCAGTAGCTGCTGACCGTCTTCTGACCGTCATAGTCGCGCAACGCAAATGTGTCATAATAGGTCGACGAGTACTTGAAATCCATGGCGCATGCTGCTGCGTAGCTGCCGTCGCGGGTATGCAACAGCGTGACAAAGTCTTCCACGCTGAAAACCACGTCATTGATCCACAAGAGCTTGTCGAATCTCACGCCCCGTCTTTCCAGCTCCCGCATCGGCTGCATTGCCCTATTGCGCTCGCCAGCAAGGTATGTGATCCGCCGCAGGTCGTACACCTGATCCTCCTGGTTCCAGATCCAGCCTTGTTCTCGCGGCCCGGAGGGGTCAGGGCGCGCCCACATCTCATCCAGCTGTTCATAGACCGTCATGCCCAGGCTGACAGTATTAGGTACGCCCCGCGCATCCAGCTGCTCCTTCAGGCCGGCCAGCTTTTCTTTGGTGTCGTCCTGCGACCCAGACTCCAGGGCGGAGAAGTACACCTTGTCGGGACCGAGATGGTCGACGAGAGCGAGTGCAGCAGCGCTCCATACCGGGAGGATTTTCCCCGTGTTTCTGTGAACCGATGCAATGAAGACGGTCGTATTGTCGTGGCGGCCCACTGCTGAACTGGGAAGGATCCGCGTCGTGCGAGGTCGGTGGTGGAGGAGGACGAGGGCGTCGAGGAGGAATAGCAGCAGCAAGAGGGACAGGATCGGCCGCCTCTGTCGGCGCACGCGTCTGAGCAGACGCTGCGAAGGGAAGATCATGACAGGAGGAGGAGGAGGAGGAGGGTATCGTTACAAGGTCGGTCGTTCATGTATGCGGTTCCAGTTGCGCAAGCGCACATGGTGGATGTTGAGGAGGGAGTCTTGACAGGCTCCTTGGCGCAGGTGAAGTGAGGAAGGGGCGACGACAACCCGAATCGAGTGAACGATTACGTACGACCTGAATGAATCGTCAGCATGAAATAGGAGAGATATTACCTACGACTCCAGTCCACTATCCAGGCTCTGACTGTATGCATAATCTAGCTATTCGGAGACGGCCGCCAATACAATACAGCCAGATAATGAAATAGAGAAGAGTATAATGAATGCACTGCAATATCCGAAGATCTGAAGTATACAAAGAGTTTATGCTAACAAGAACAGTATCGAAATAGAATCTACTGAATACAGAAATATTACTAAGTAATCCATACAAGTGCTAATCATTCGCCTTTGAAGCTATTCAAGTATATAATAAATAAATACTTAGATTAATAACTGAAGAGCTATATTCTAATAATCTATTTAATAATAATAAATATATTTTTATATATTTAGCTCTTTAGTATAGCTTATCTAGCTTATTATGATTCTCGATTTAGAGCTTGATAATCTAGTGAGCAGCTTACTATGATTTAGTAAGTAGCTTATTTTTTCTATTGTAATCTAATTCTAACTTTTGCTTATTTAATTTTAATAATTATTTGCTGTTGGATTCTGATTTCTGATTTCTTATTTAGCAGAGCTTGCTTTATAATCTACATACTGAATAAGTTATAATATTATTTCTCTTCTATTAGTTATTATTCTTAATAATCTTTTGTAAGTTTTTCTAGCAAATTATTTATGCTTAATTATATCTTTCTATGTTATAACCCATCCAACATGCAGGTTACAAAACAGGTCACGAGTAACAAGAACCAGGTATCAAGAATCCAACGTTCTGACTAAACATTGATTACATAGCCCAGGGTTAGGGATACAACAGAGATGGATCACTGGATCATTAGATGATCCAGTGAGCCCGGATTACCTGGATCAGTAGTAAGCCAAGATGAGCTATACTGAAGAGCTGGATATATAAGAACACATTCATTACCAATAGATAGATTTAATATATAGCTCTTTAGTTATCAATCTAAGTATCAGATTACTCTCTTACTCTAATAGCTCCAAAGATAATAAATACTTGCACAGTTATTCAGTTATATTTCTGTATTTAAAGCTTGTATTTAGTACTGCTCTTGTTAGCATAAACTCTTTATATACTTTGGAATCTTCGGATTGCTATAGTATTTATTACATTTTAATAACTCTTATTCAAGAATAGTTCAGTATTACTTTCTTAAGCAATACGGAATATAATAGCTTTTCAAGAAATTCTATCATTCTTATATACTTCTATTCAGAAAGAATTAATTAATCAGATATATTAGCTTACTTAGCATATTCAGAATCTGTATAATTAATAGCAAGCTTAGAACGCTATTATTGCTAATTAGCAAGCTTAGCTAGCTTATTAAGCTTAGCAGATACAGTTTATCTTTATAATTACTAGTAATACTGGAAAAGTATATAAGATAAATAAGCTTGCTATATATAATAATAATTAAAAAATATTATATAAATTTCTTATTTACTGCAGAACATACTTTTTGTATTATATAATTCAGTTTATTATAGAATCTGAGAAGATTATTCTTATAAAAATTTATTTTGAAAAGAATATTCTTATCTAATATAAGCTTTTTTTATATAATTACTTGAAATATTAGAATAATTCTAATATATATATTTAGAATATTAAGAATATATTTAATTTTTTTACAAGCTTTGAGAAAGCTCTTAAGAAAATCTTTAATAATTCTAATAAAGAATGCATTATAGCTTAGCAACTTATAAATCTTAAGCAGATCAAATTAGCTTCTGCTTATATAATTAGATTTAAGCAATTTTTAGCAAAGTGTAATGAGCACTGCAGCAATCCGAAGATTCCAAAGTATACAAAGAGGGTTTATGCTAACAAGAGCGGTATCAAAGTGCCAAGTCCTTGAATACAGAACTATACAAGTCTCAGTAAGCGATGCAAGTATTCACTGCCTTTGGGACTATCAAAGTAGAGAGTAATCTGATACTTAGATTGATAACTGAAGAGCTATATACTGGATTCATCTAATGATAATGAACGTATTCTTATATATCCAGCTCTTCAGTTCTGACTAACCTAACTATATTATGATTCCTTATAGTTATTTCTTCAAATATATTGATTATATTCATAGCTAATATAATTGTACTAGCAATCCTAATCCAGATTATATAATCCTAATTAATATTCAATATTAGATTATAATATCTAATCCCTTGATTAATAAAGCTTATCTTATAATCAGCATATTGGATGAATTATAACATTATCTCCTTCCTATTAGTCATTGTTCTCAACAATCTTCTATAAGTATTCTAGCAAATTCTTCGTATGCATAATCTTGCCTTCCTAATTGAGATATCGAACAGAATCAACAAATCTCGCATTTGCAAATCCTTCTCTGTTCCAAAAAGTATTCAAGATTGAAATCTCTTAGTTTTCCGCCTCTTGGAGAATTTTGTTGAGATGCTCGTTTGTTCCTATTGCAAGAAGTGCAGCTTCGGATTCTGCAAGATATCTCTCGGAAACTCTTCTTGTTGTATCGAATGCATTTGATTGAGCTATTCTAAGTACAACATTATAAGCTTTTCTCTCAAGAAGCTTTGCAATATTATTACTCAATATCGAAAGTTGGAGAATGAGATTGAGAAGAGAGAAACTAAGCTTTTCCATTTATACTAATAGAAGTAGATATAATTCGAGAAAATGAAATATGCTCTATATTATAATATTACTTGTATAAAGAAATTGGATTGTATGGAGGCTGAGAAAGCTGAGGCTGAGAGAGTGTGTGTTGCTGCTGAAGTGCAAGCTGTAGTAGCAGAGGAATCTGCTATTGCAGCTAGGGATTCTTTCTTTGAAGGTTTTAACTGGAACTTTGTAGATTTGAGAGATTCTGTGATAGATTAGTTGAGCTTTCTGAAGAGTAAGATTTCCGAAGCTTCTGAGTTTCGGTTCGGGGCGGAGCGATCGTCTTAGATACTGGTTTCCTTCCTTTTCTAATACTCAGCTACTCTTTCTTAAGCATTCTCAACATTCTTCTATAATTCTCATGAATTTTCGCTTGCTAAGTAATCTTTTTACTTGATAAGATATTCTCTTGTGCTATTTATATTTCTATGTTTGAAGATCTTTTCCATTTCATATTCCAGTTTGTTATCCTCTACTTCCGCTGTATTATCTATTAGTATTTCCTATACTGCTAATTCCAGCAGTAAGATATGAAAAACTGAATATATTTTCATCTCATAAGATAATACTAACTTATAATTAATTAGGAAGATCTATTATAAGATTTTGAATAATTTCAACTTCTTATAATCGAGTTTGTTGCTAGATCTAGTTATTTTAATATTTTTTTGAAATAAGTAGACTTTATCTCTCTTCTATAGAATTAGTTTTTCAATTCTTTTGGAGTTTGCATACTGCATTATTCATTCTTAAACAAATTGTAATTCTGATTGGAGTTCCTTCTGAACTTTCTTAATCTTCTTAACTCTTTTATCTGCAGCTTCTGCATCTGCTTCTAATAATACTTCATAGTAAGCTATTAGATTATATTTATAGAGTATAAAGAATAATAATTTCTTTATTATGCTTATATCTGCACTATTATAAGCAAACTATATAAGAAGTAATAGATTAATTTAGTTATTCTGTTTCTGATTAATATAATATTAAAAATACTATTCAATAATCTGATTTATTCTTTCTATCTGTTTATCTATTTGTAAATGAAATGCTATAAATATTCTATAATATATTTCAAGCTGTTTTATAAGCGAAATTCAAAACTTTAAGTTAAACTTTCTATCTCTATTAGAGATTACTTTCTCTAGCATGCTGTAATTAGCAATAATCATTCTAAGGAATGTATATGCAAGTTTCTCTGCTATACTGCTTTCCTTGTAAAGAAGAAAATAAGCATATTTGCTTAGTTTGCAAATCATTACTAGAATGCTATTATATTGCATTTTAGTTAAGAGTTTTTATAAGAAAAGTAGCTTAATAATAAAGTTTAAACTAATGAATTGCTAAATAGTTATAAGTACTAGTAAGGGGTATAGTAGTTTGTAAAGCTTATATCTTTTTATCTTATTCTTCTTATAGCTATTATATTGTTATAGAATATTTTTAATTCTTTTTCTAAAGCTTAATAAATTCTAGTATTTTTTAATATATTTGTAAATTGCTCTAACTTTCTAATATCTGTATGCTGGTATATTGTATACATTCTTGATATAGTTGTCTTATTCGTTTGGAGTTATTGATTCTGAATTCTTTTCTGAGAATTCTATTCTGAGAGCAGCGTTTAGTTCTCTATATGCATTAACAAGATTCTCTGATTTATCTTGAGCGAAGATATTCTATATATTTAAAGAATCTGCATTTCAATAGTTTAATCTTCTGCTAAGAGCATCTGCTTATTCATTCTCTGAGCTTTTGCAATGTATAATCTTGAAATTGAACTATAAGAGAAATTCTGCTTATCTGATTTATTACTTATTCAAAATCTTAATTATTATAAATGTAGTTAGATTCTTATAATTCGAATAAACTCTGATTGAATATTATATGCTAATAAGATAGTATTGCTACTTCTTAAAAGCTTTTATTATTGCTATAAGTTTCTGATTAGAGATTCTATAGTTAATCTTCAAGCTATTTAACTTCTTTAAGAAGTTGCTTATAATCTTTAGATGCTCTTAGTTGTTTCGCTAACTAAGTTATTCTTCGAATGTATATCCTAATATATCGATCTCAACTTTAAAGAGTTTATAGGAATCTGCTTTATACAGAACTAGCTCTGAGATGATATACTTAATAATCTTATTAAAAGCTTCTTATACTTTGAAGATTCATTTGAAGAGCTGCTTCTTTTTAGTAAGATTTATAAGAGAGTATACAATTCAGCTGTAGTTTCTAATAAACTGTTTATAGAAGTTAATATATTCAAGGAAAGACCTAATATTTCTAATATTCCTAGGAACTAGCTAATTTCTGATAGCTTTTATCTTGTTTTTCTGTAGCTTAATATATTCTAGCTTGATTGTAAATTCGAAATAGTTAATCTTTTGTATATAAAAGTAACTTTTTGCAGGTTTTACAAGAAGTTTTGCATCTTAAAGCATTTATAATACTATTTCCACATGTTTCTTGTATTCTTTAAGTATTCAAGAGTAGATAAGAATGTTATTAAGATAAGCAATAATGAACTAATTCAGATATTTGCATAGAATATAATTGATTATTTTCTGAAACAAAGCTGGAGTATTTGTTAGATTAAAGAGCATAATCAAATATTCGTAGTATTTATAGTATATTCTGAAAGCAGTTTTCTACTCTTTTTCTTTCTTTATTCTGATCAGATTATAAGCTTTTTTTAGATTCAGAACTATGAACTACTATACTCCTTGCAATCTATTTTATAATTCCTTAATAAGTAGCAATAGATATTGGTTCTTGATTATAATATTGTTGAATTGCTTATAATCAATATATAGCTTAAGCTTGCTATTTTTCTTAGATATAAACAGAATAAGATATTCTGCTAGTAATTGCAATAATTATATATATTCTTTCTTAAGATTCTCATTGAGATACTTTCTAAGTGCCTTTAGCTGTGCTTTATCTAGTCTGTAGATGAGGAAGAATTTAAGCTGTTTCCCTTTTTGTAGCAGAATCTTGTAATTATATAAGCTGTATTCTGATAATTCTGTATTTAATTCTTTCTGGAATAGTTTCTTAAACTTATAATATTCTTATAATATATTTGCAAGTATTGATTCTAGTTTATATACTGTTTCTGCTATCTGAAGGAATAGTAAGTACTATTGAGCATGCTTCTTTTCTAATAGCGTTTTCAAGAGCTTTAAGCGTTCGCTCCGAGCTGAACTGAGCGCTTGAGAGCTTAGTTTCAAGGTTTTTCCCATATGAATCTACAATCTACATTCTGAAGCTTATTCTTATCGCTTCGAAGCGAACCAACTTGCTAAGAGTCTTGCTTCCGTTATTTTGCTAATCTATTAGCACTCTAGTACTATTTGAATTCGCTTATTACTAGATTCTTCTCCTTGAACTGCTAGCTCTGCTAGCTTAAAAGTATATATAAAGTTGTCTGAAGCTTCTTTTTCCAAGTATTCTTCAATAACTAGCTTCAATTCTGCATTATTGATTGCAACTATTTCTCTAAGTATAGCTTGTTCTCATGAAACCTAGCTAGTAGTCCAATTAATTCGAGAATTGTGCTCTTTAAGCTATAAAAGCTCTATAATCAGCTCATACTGTGCTATATCTGTAATATTAAAGAAAGCTCTGATTATATATTCTTGAATTAAGATAAGTAGATAATCAGTTTTCTTATCGATTATTCCTTAGTTGTATGCAATAGATTATTCTTTTACAGTGCTGAGAATATATAAGTATCTCTTTCATCTCTATTATAATTATGCTTAATTGATAATATATAGAAATATAAAGTTTCCTTAAGCATTACTATTCAATAGTGCGCTATATCTGTATTCTTAAATATATATGTTGAACTTGATGTAAGTATAGTCTGTTTTGAAAGCTTTATATAGAGATCATTCCGATCTGATTATCTGCAGTTCCTTTACAAACAATTCTATTCTTTTGAATTTATTAAGAACTGCTTATTCTTCTAAGCTTGCTTCGCTGCTTCTTAAGCAAGCTTCTTAGCTTACTTCTGCTTATATTATTATTATTCCTAATCTTTCTTCTATTAATGCTAGTTGCAAGCTTTATTGTTAATATGAATTATACAAAGCATTGTTTTGTACTGCTATTATTTTATTTTCTTGTTTATATATTGTATAAAACAGTTATTTAGTAATCCGATGTATGCATTGTAATGCTATCTGTTAAGAATCTCTTTGAAGCGAAGTTTCTATTCTTTAACAGCCTGAAGGATTTGTTCTAATTCTCTGATAGAGAACTATTTGTATTATACCTTCTCCAAGAAATGTATTCTGCAGCTATAATAAATGCAGAAGATTCATACTAATTCATAATATAAATTGTAAAATAAGCTAATTTGAGAATTCTTATCTTCTTATACTTCAATATTTTGCAAGGAAATACAGATAAAAAGCTTCTCTAGTTCTATCCTATAAACAAGATATTCAATCCATATTATTTCCTTATTTTATCTAATATCAAAGAGAAATCTTTCTATAAGCTTCTTAGATTCATTGTTTACAGGAGATTCCAGTAAATTGTTAGATTGCTCGTTCTAGCTTAATCTTTCCATTGCTTGAAAAGCATTTTCAGTATTATTTAGATATTTATACTAATAATCAAGAGAATACTATCCTTTGTTCATTTCTCTGATTATAGTATCTAATACAGATAATAAGAAATAGCGAAGAATACTGTTATTAAGCCCTTCCTTCAGCGCTTAAATGCTTTGTTTAGTAACATCAGAGCAGTCCGAGTTGTTGCTGCTCATAATCATGCTGAGCATATACCTTCGCTCTGCTATTGCTATCTGCTTATAGCATCTAGATTTCTAAGGAAATCATTCTGAATCTTTCTTACTTAAAAGATATATTAAGCAGTTATTATTATAATAGAATATTTAGCTGAGACTTCTATAATTAATAAAATCTGATACTTGCTTCAAGAAGATGTTTTTGCTTAGTTGATTGGATTTCTATTATCAAGCAATATTCACTTAGCATTCTTTCTGAACTAGTTGCTATTTGTTCTTTCAGAATTGATAGCAGTTGCATATAATATATTCTTGTTTGTTGCAGTTGTAGCAAGTAATGCTATTTCTCTTGCTATACTATCTATTAGCAGTATTGAGTTCTATAGAATCAGCATATATAATGCTACTTTAAGCTATATTGCTCTATTATCTACTATTCTTATATTGGAGTTTCTTGCTT